GCACTTTCCCTTGTGAGAAGTCATCCTTCAGGATAAAACAAATTTATTGCCTTATCAGAATAAGATCAACCAAACTTGCACAATTTCCTAAATATAAATAGGCTAACATGCACACAGGGATAGGTATTGAGCAACAATAGTCACAATATCGAGTTAAACATAAGAAAAAGACAAATTACATAGAGTAGAATTCATATGATAACCATTTTATAGAATTGAACAAATGTTTTCATGTTAAGATTTTCATGGGAAAGTAAAATTTTATGAATAAATCTCATAATTAACAGAATTAGCAGTCTTTATAACCATGGCTTAAAAGAAATAATGAATAGATGAAAAAAGGTAAACAAGATTAGACTAAGGCTTACCCTAAAAAGAGAGCAAGGAAAAAAACTCGAATCGAATCTTCAGTTATAGTAAAAGAAACGCGTGAAAAAAATAAATGAACACATTTGATCAACTAAACTATGAATGGTTAAGTACGATCATTAGGCAAACAGTCGATATTACAAAATATTTGAATGAAAATTAAAAGATAACATTACCTTGATAGTGTCGAGTATTAAGATGTTAGAGCATAACAAGATAAAAACAAGGGTAACATGATGAGAAAGGAAGAAGATGATGGTGATATTGATGGTGATATTGATGGAGACAAGGAAAGAAGAGCAAGAAAAAGAAAAAACGAGCAGAAGATGAACAAGGATGATGAGAATGATGAACAAGGCAATGAAGATAAACAGGGAAATTGGGTTCGAGGAGAATCTGAAGCCCAAACACAGAATCTAAAGAGAGGCAAGAAAAAAGAGAAAAATGGTAAACATGATGAAGACGAAGCAAAAAAGAGGCGAAAGTCAAAGGAATTTAGTGTTGATTAAATAAGAGATTAGATTGATTGTTTTTAAAATGTATCAGCATTACCTTTTTGTTAAAGAGTTGCTCATAAAACTGAAAACATATGATTTACTAGAAGCTGAATTGAGTGTCTTTTCTTAATGTTTTTTTTCACTGCTTTCAGTTGGTGATAGCAGGTTTGTTTTGATCAAAGGTAAGTCCAGTGTTTAATTGTTTTTAATTTATATTAGTATTTTATAACTCAATATCATCCACCTTTTTGTCATTGTGAAGCTACAGGTATGCGAAAGGTTAACCTTCCAGTTACGTTGATCACCAATGAGCTGAAACAGTGGAATATAATTAATACCAAATCAATGAGACTTTATTCTGATGAAAACTGTGATTCTTCCGTGACGATACCTGAGCCTCCCAATCCAGATACTTGCTGTCGCTCTGGCTGTTCTCATTGTGTTTACATTGAGTATGCTATTAGATTAGAGCGGCATTTCAAAGATGGCGGGGATGCAGCTAAGAAGAAACTTGATCAGTTAATTGATGATCCAAATATGAGACAATTTATTAAAATGCAATTAGACAAGCCTTCAGATCAATAGATGACATTAATTTATTTTATTATTAAAACTACAATAAACCAAAATATTTGGCCGACAAACATTTATTACAAACTTTCCCACAAGATGACTCTCACATTCATGTTAAATTGGTTCAATCGGCTTAAAGGGATAAACAGTAAACAAATTTACAAATTATTGTTAGTTAGACAGAAATTATGTGTCTTTTGAATTCTTGTTTACTGAATCGTTGTTCACCATTAGTTGATTCTAGTTTATCTTGCTAATATTTAACATAACACATCTCTAAAATAGCTGTGTGCCTTTCTATTTTTGACAAACAGTAGTTAAATACAATTCCATTGGTTCAAACTTATTTCCAGGCCAATATGATCTCGTTCGTATCTTCCTCCTCCTCCTCACCCTTCAGTCCAGTATATAAAGGATATGTGAAAGTTTTGAACAGTATACTTCTGAGTTCGAGTTCATCACTTCATTTACCACTACATTTCAATTTACTTATAAGAATATCATAATTTGATAATCTTCAGTACTACATCTTCATTATTTCATTTTAACTTTAAGTATTAACACTTGAAATTATTTCCAATGGCAGATTCAACTGAACAATGGCCTACACTCCTCGATGAACAAAGTTTTGGCTATCTGGTTGATTTATCCCAAAACTTGTCCAAAGTTGAAGGATTAGTTAAAAAATTGGTGAAGGGTGAATATCAGCAATGGTATAAAAAAGTAAGTTCAATTTCAATTTTACATTTATTTTAATTTCTATAATAATTTTTTCTTCCTTTCATTTTGTTTCTTCAATTTATTATAGCAATACGAATCGACTCGTGATTCTCAGAACTTTAATAGTGTAGAAAACACTTCTTGGGATAATTGCCTTAACTCGCAAGGAGAGAGTGAAGATAATGACGATTCGTACCCAGCTAGCTACAAATGGTACCCAACTGGAGAAGCATCCAGTGAAAATAACAACAATCCCAAAAGTGAATGGACTGAAAGACGGGACGAAGGTTGGGAAATCGAACCAGATTGGTCAAGTGTTCAATCCAAAAATGAGACAGCTACGAATTGGCCTGTACCTAAGGTATCTGAATGGGACGAAGCTCATTTGGAAAGTGAATGGAGAAATTTTGATTCCAAGGAATCAAATCAAGAGGAAATTGAATGGGAATAACCTGAACCATCTGCTTGGTGATTGAATTTTCTTTCAAATAATGGATGGTCTAGATGAAAGTCATTTTGGGTTTCCTTCCTTATATTTTACTACGAAGACTTTCAATTTTATATAACTATTTTGTCAGTGTCACTTCTATTCCACATATACTATGTATTTTCATGATTAAGATAATTTCCCAAAAATTAGATTGAAATAAATTCTCTGCAACTTTGAATAAGATCCTTCGATTAGCCGTTGAATTTTTTTCGTGAAAATAATGCCACGTGATGTTAGATGTGTTGAGTGACAATGATGTTGAATATCAGCACATAGATTGTACTGTCTATTCCTACTCATTGATACCATTGGTATGTTGACTTTGTTGACTTTCCACCTCCTGATCGCGTCGACATGAAGCCTATTTTTAGATGTTTAAGATCTTTTGAGAAGAGATTTTAACATTAAAGCATCAAATTAAAATGTAAAGGTATCTAATAGCTGGTATCAAAATAAACTAATTTATAAAATTTATAAAGACAAACGAAAGTCTATGATGAAGTGTTGTTCAATCACTGATACTCAGAGAATGGATGAACCAATTCCATTGATGAAGATTAAACTGAATCAATTATTCCAAGCTAAATTTATTGTAATAATTTGTGTGATCTATAAATAATTTATAAAGTGGTTAGTTTCACCAGATGTACAAAGTTGACATTCGAATTAATTAATTTATGGAAAATATGCTGCCCATTATGTTACTGTAAGTAGCAAGTAGCTATAAAAGTGGCAATCGCTAGAAGTGATACCAAAATGACTTTGAAAACGAAACTGAAGGAAAGTATTGATAAACCGGTGAAATAAATCAACAATATGGTTAGAGGAAGTTTCTTGTTCCCTCGTGAATAGTTCCAAATCAAAGTGCAAGTGCAGATTGTTTGAATCTGAAAAGAAAGATTGTATCAGAATATTACTAAAACTGGAAGACTTGAATGAACTATCATAGTATCTTACCAGTGTTACATTGGCATCCATGGCACTTATGATGTGTCTCCAGTCGAATTGCATAGATTTTGCATTTACATAGAAGTCGATTAGTCGTGTCAGAATAGATTCGCCGAAGCTCCATCCTACAGCAACTCCTAAAAGATAAAAGCCGATGATTTATATCTTTGCATAACAAACAAACATCAGTATTTTGGGTTTTAAAATATTTACCTAATATTTTTACTTGAATTAAACTAGCTTTTTGTTGCTTGACCAGAACATAATATAAACCTAGGCAGTCAATTAAATGATCAAAAAGAAAGGCAGGTAAAGGGAGTGTAGCCATGATCGTTAATTTTACTATCTGCACAACAAGATATGCAAATAAAGCGAATGAACACCGGTAAATGGAGCCATATTCAGACCTGAAATGTATAAGAAGAATAAGTATATCGGAATTAAAAGATAGAGAACGCTTGTGAATGAGACTATTCAAATAAGGTTTAAATACTTACAGAGGTGTAAATTTATAGACAAAAAACAAAGGTAAAAAAGTTAGTGATATACAATTAACAAAATAATAAAAACTCATATTGGAAGTTTATCACAATATATGGAATCACTGATAACAGTTAAAATTGATCCAAATTATAGCTAGAATGCTATAAAATAGTTTATTCAAAATCTTGAGGTATGAAGGAATTGGATGAAAATATATCAATCAAATACATCACTACGTTTTCTTAAAATAATCATGAAGATTAAATTCATTCAGAACTTTTCATTTATAAAATGAAACAAAACCCAAAAATCCAACCGGCTGCGTGATGCAAAACCAGGGACGGTTAAGAAATTTCTAATAGAAAGCTGTTCACCTGAATGTTGATAATATTGTCAATAAACTTGACAATAAGTTGAGTTTTATTGCTCCAATACACTGAAAATAATTAAATTGCCCACCTAACTATTGTTTTAAGGTTTATTTACCTCAATATAAGAAACAGCGTCAAAAAGAAGCAGAAATAAATAATTTTGACGAAACGCTAGTTTTTTAAATGTGGGGTTTGTTATGCCTGTTGCTTGATTGCTTTAACTTGATAGTGTTAGTTTATATCTTGGTTTACTATCTCTCCTTGGTAATTATCACTTGGATTAATTTCATCAGAAAAATCACAGCCATAGAAATGGTTAATATGGTTAAATCTCATGAAAGTGAACAAAATTGGACCAGAAAAAGAAGAAAATATTCAACACCAAAATGAATTTTTGTATTGTTTCATCAATTGTTTAAAGTCAATATAATTAACCAATATTTCTAGACTGTGACAGTTTCCTCATATTTGGTCAGTATTGTCAAACAAAATGGTTTGGATATTGGTTGAAAGTCACTGGATATGTTTACAACACTCAATATTGGTTTGGTCTTTATTCAGTTCATTGCTTACTCTGATTGGAATATGTTTAGCTTGGAATCACTGGTTATTTAGTTTAATCATAATCACTGGAGTTGGTTTATCAATTCTAGGAATACCTGCCTCAACAACACTTCAACCCAGGCTTTTGTTGTCATTTATTTTCTTGGATATATTTGACATTATTGGTAAAACATATCTAACACTTGATCTGATCATTTGGAGACGTAATTTACGGACAAATTGCATTGATACTCGTTCACCTGAATGTGATTGCAAATTTGATTATTGCCGGATGCTTTTACTTGATACTACTAATGGAATAATATTTTTATCGATAAGTTGTGTTATCAATTTTCTTCTTTTGATATCAGCTATTTACCTTTACATTTTCATTCGTAAATGTTTAAAATCTCTTCTCAGAAGATCTCAAGCCTCTAAAAACCGGGAAGCTGTAAAGCAATCCTCAAATCGACCTGATCAAGAACAGGAAAGTCGCCATAATCATCAAGAAGATCGAGTTCAGCATAGACATAACCATCTTTATCCTGATACTCGACCTCAGTATAAACATCAAGTATCACTGTGTTCACAAGCAAGTTCAACAGACTCATTCAATCGCGCTTATGGAACCTTTGAAGCTTCAATTCAGCTTGAATACAGCAATGAAAGCACACTATAGTGAACATATTATTGTTGTTATTATTTTGTAAATTAAACTTTTTTACCTTTGTTTTTTTGTCTACTTTACACCTCTGTAAGTATTTAAATCTTATTTGAATAGTCTATCTTTTGATTTACTTATTCTTCTTACACATTTCAGGTCTGAATATGGCTCCATTTACCGGTGGCATTCGCTTTATACTAACACTTGGTTCATCCATTCTCTAAGTATCTGATTGAACAAAACTTCATCATAGACTTTTGTTTGTCTTTATAAATTTTATAAATTTGTTTATTTTGATACCAGCTATTAGATACCTTTACATTTTAATTTGATGTTTTTATGTTAAATCTCTTCTCAAACATCATTGTCATTCAACCCATCTAACATCATGTGCCATTATTTCCACGAAAAAAATTCAACGGCTAATCGAAAGATCTTATTCAAAGTTGCAGAGAATTTATTTCAATCTAATTTTTTGAAAATTATCTTAATCATGAAAATACATAGTATATGGAGAATAATAGTGACACTGACAAAATTGTGAGATAAAATTAAAAAGTTTTCGTTGTAAAATATCAGAAAGGAGATCCAAAACGACTTGCATCTAGACCATCCATTATTTGAAAGAAAATTCAATCACCAAGAAGATGGTTCAGGTTATTCCCATTCAATTTCCTCTTGATTTGATTCCTTCGAATCAAAATTTCTCCATTCACTTTCCAAATGTGCTTCGTCCCATTCAGATACCTTAGGTGCAGGCCAATTCATAGTTGTTTCATTTTTGGATTCAACACTTGACCAATCTGGTTCGATTTCCCAACCTTCATCCCGTCTTTCAGTCCATTCACTTTTGGGATTGTTGGCATTTTCACTGGATGCTTCTCGAGTTGGGTACCATTTGTAGCTAGTTGGGTACGAATCGTCATTATCTTCACTCTCTCCTTGCGAGTTAAGGCAATTATCCCAAGAATTGTTTTCGGCACTAGTAAAGTTCTGAGAATCACGAGTCGATTCGTATTGCTATAATAAATTGAAGAAACAAAAATGAAAAGAGGAAAAAATTAAAATCGAAAATTAAAATAAATGTGAAATTGAAATTGAACTTACTTTTTTATACCATTGCTGATATTCACCCTTCACCAATTTTTTAACTAATCCTTCAACTTTGGACAAGTTTTGGGATAAATCAACCAAATAGCCAAAACTTTGTTCATCAAGAAGTGTAGGCCATTGTTCAGTTGAATCTGCCATTGGAAATAATTTCAAGTGTTAATACTTAAAGTTTAAATTGAAATAATGAAGATGTAGTACTGAAGATTATCAAATTATGATATTCTTATAAGTAAATTGAAATGCAGTGGTAGATGAAGTGATGAACTCGAACTAAGAAGTATACTGTTCAAAACTTTTACATATCCTTTATATACTGGACTGAAGAAGGAGGAGGAGGAAGATACGAACAAGATCATATTGGCCTGGAAATAAGTTGGAACCAATGGAATTGTATTTAACTACTGTTTGTCAAAAATAGACAGGCACACAGTTATTGTTGAGATGTGTTATGTTAAATATTAGCAAAATAATGCGATTTAGTAAACAAGAATTCAAAAGACACATAATTTCTGTCTAACTAAATTTGTTTACTGTTTATCCCTTTAAGCCGATTGAAATAATTTAACATGAATGTGAGAGTCATCTTGTGGGAAAGTTTGTAATAAATGTTTGTTCGTCCAAATATTTCTGTTTATTGTAGCTTTAATAATACAGTGGAGTACCAGATACTGTCAGTAACTGGAAATAGCTTATATGCACAGCAAGTCTATTAATCGAGCTAAATTTTAAAATTAATTACAATGAATAATAAAATTAAAGTTAGTTGCTGGAAAAGTCTAACAAATTAATGTCATTGTGCTGAGGATCGTTAGTTGAGTTGAATTTTCAGAAATATTCAACTTTTTTGATAATTTCTTTATAATTTCAATTGAAATAATTTAACATGAATGTGAGAGTCATCTTGTGGGAAAGTTTGTAATAAATGTTTGTTCGTCCAAATATTTCTGTTTATTGGTACTCCACTGTAAAATAAATTAATGTCATCTATTGATCTGAAGGCTTGTCTAATTGCATTTTAATAAATTGTCTCATATTTGGGTCATCAATTAACTGATCAAGTTTCTTCTTAGCTGCATCCCCGCCATCTTTGAAATGCCGCTCTAATCTAATAGCATACTCAATGTAAACACAATGAGAACAGCCAGAGCGACAGCAAGTATCTGGATTGGGAGGCTCAGGTATCGTCACGGAAGAATCACAGTTTTCATCAGAATAAAGTCTCATTGATTGGGTATTAATTATATTCCACTGTTTCAGCTCATTGGTGATCAAAGTAACTGGAAGGTTAACCTTTCGCATACCTGTAGCTTCACAATGACAAAAAGGTGGAAGATATTGAATTATAAAATACTATTATTTTAAAACAATTAATCAATGGACTTACCTCCGATAAAAACAAACCTGCTATCACCAACTGAAAGCAGTGAAAAAATAACATTAAGAAAAGACACTCAATTCAGCTTCTGGTAAATCATATGTTTTCAGTTTTATGAGCAACTCTTTAACAAAAAGGTATCATTTTAAAAACAATCAATCTAATCAACACTAATTATTATTATCATTATTTTCTCGTGAAATTCTTGACATGAAATATTTCACAATTTATGTGCAAATATTCAACATCAATGCCATTATGTATAAAAAAGTTCAAAGGCCAATCAGAAGATCTTATTCAAAGCTGCAGAGAATTTATTTTAAATCTAATTTTTGGGAAATTATCTTTCTAATGAAAATACACAATTATATGCGGTATACATTATTGATCATAATAAAATTCATGTCTTCAAGGAGTGAGACTGGGATAAAATTTTAAAAGTCCCAAGAAGGAGACCCAGAACGACTTGCTTTCAGACCATCCATTAACTGACATTTCAAGCAATCACCAATCAGATAGTTTAGGTGAGTCCCAGTCAATCTTCTCTTGATTTGATTCCTTCGAATCGGATTTTCTCCATTCACTTTCCCAATGTGCTTTGTCCCATTGAGATACCTTAGGAGTATCCCAATTTATAGCTGTTTCATTTTTGGATTCAACACTTGACCAATCTGGTTCAGCGTCCCAATCATCGTCCCATCTTATAGTCCATTCACTTTTGGGATTGTTGTTTTTTTCACTTGATGCGTCTCCATCGCTAGTTGGATACCAATCAGACCATTTGTCATCTTCACTCTCTGCTTTAGCGTTACGATAATTATCCCAAGAAATGTTTTCGACACTAGTGTAGTTCTGAGAATTTTGACCCGATTTATAGTTCTATTTTAAATCAAAGAAATAAAAAGGAAAAAAATAAAACAAAGTCCATGATATAGAATTGAAATTAGATTAGACTTACCTTATCATCGTATTGTTGATATTCACCCTTCACCAATTTTTTAACTAATCCTTCAACTTTGGACAAGTTCCGAGACAATTCAACCAGATAAGAGAAACTAGCTTCATCAAGAATGATAGGCCAACTTTTCGTTGAATCTGCCATTGGAAATAATTTCGAGAGTTAATCCTGAAAGTAGGAACGATGTAATGAAGATGAACAGCTGATTGGTTAAATGAAGATAAGCACACATTTAGGTTCATGTCCTTTAAAACCTTTACCTTTATATACTGGCCTGAAGGAGGAGGATACGAACGAGATCTGGAAGTTGAAATAATTAAATTAATCACTGTTGGTCAAAAATACAGTTTAGCGAGTGTTTTGGTAGCTAATTAACAAGATTAACAAGAATTGACTTTAGGTTAACCAGGATTTTCACATTTGTAAACAAAAAACAATTTCTTCAGTTTACTGCTGCTCTCAGCAAGAACGATTTCAAATATTTAAGTTACAAGAAAGTGTAAGTCATTTTGAGAAAAAATAAGCAATTAAATTGCTATTGATCTAAGCTTCTTTCACAGTCAATTAATCAGTGCCATCCTGGCAATAATTAAGATGATTGCTGGTCACCTGGTGTTTATGCGATTTCTTTATATTAACGAGTATAAAACGCATTTAGTTGGTCTGTTTTCTGGTATATAATTGGTCAGTAATCTGAGAAAGATACTTTTGCTCATAAAAAGTATCTTTACAGTTTCTTGATTTCTTCAATTCCTATTGACATATCCTTTTCCACGAATTTTAATTGCTTCTGTGATTAGTTATTGCTTTGATCTTTGCTCTAACCACAAGACTTTTGGCCTCAAGACTATCAATCTATAAATCAAGTTAATGATGCGTTTTCCAAGTAAAGTGGTTTCTTCTGAAAAACCTTTATGGTTGGACATTAAATGTTGAAACCATGTTAATCATTGATTTATTTGAATCAGTAGGAAATTTACATGCCTATTAGAAGGAAAAATATAAATCAAATTTCAATAGTCGGTATCATTAAATGTCTATTCAGCTTCGGTTTAATTGAATACATCAGAAAACAGTTTGCTCTGGAAATAAAATTTATGCTTAAATGCTTGTATTTAAAAGATTATTACAATCGGACTTTTTGATGACCAGTCAAAGTAAATGCCACAATTTGGCTCTTAACCAATGAAATAAATCAATATGGTCAGAGGAAGTTTCCCTCATGAATAGTTCCAAATCAAAGTGCGAGTGTAAATTGTTTGAATCTGAAAAGAAAGATCAGAATATTAACTTTAATTGTGCTTCTAAATAGTCGATTCTGGTTGATACCAATTCATTATAAAAATACCTGTTTCCAATATCGCGAAACAACCGAGTAATGTAAACCATTTTTTGGATAATTACTTTTAATTTCAATTATCAACACAAAAATGAAGGCTTGAAAATGAAAATATATTTACAATATGAAAAGATGAAATTTTTTGATGATTTCAAAGGAAATAAAAAAAATGGCTGACGATTTGTCACCATTGCATCTCAATGGTGAATGTCAATCATTTAAAAATCAATGACAAAATCAACATCTGATGAAGTGAATTGAGAATGAGGTTGATGTGGATGAGATTTTGTATTAAGCCAAACAGATGGGTTTGTTTTTTGATGAAGTTCAATTAATGTGGTCCTCAATTACAAAGTTACTGGGGAAAAAAATAAGTGAAGGCAACAAGATGAAAATTACTAATTTGATTTTGATTATCTTAGAGGTTGATTGTAACAATTGAACAATTGGTTAGAGACCAAATAATCCCAATAAACCACTGTTCATACCACCTAAACCTGTCATACCACTAGGACCACCTAAACTACCTAAGCCCGTTAGAGAGGCAAAATTTAAACTTGGTAACCTTCCAGTGAGAAGGTTAGTTAATCTTGTCCGGATTCCTCCAAAACCAGAAGATGATCCTCCAGATGAAGAGCCTGAGCCAGATTGACCATGGTTTGGTACCTGTTGCTTTGGTCCCGTAAAGGAGGGAAATGTATTGCTCATAGCTACGGCCATTCCTTTCATTGGATTGTAATTTGAAGTTAGTCCATTAGACCCACTGGATCCACCGCCGGAAAGAAACCCGAATGATCCTAAACCAGAAAGAGCACTTGACATGAATGAACCATAACCTTTGTTTTTCTTTTTATTTGCTTCCATTCCTAAAATGAAAAGGTAAAAAATAAAGATTACAATTTGAATATTTTTTCCTCTTTTAAGGTAAAAATCAACTTACCCAAATCACCAGTAAAAGGTTGCATTCCTCCAAAGTTAAGAAGTGCGTCATTATCAAATGTCATGTCACCGAAACCGGTAAAATCATCAAGACCTGTATCAAGACCACTTGTCGCACTGGGTCCAAAGAAGTCACTTGGGTTGTAACCTGTCAAGAGGTAATAATATAGTTAAAATAGGGAATAAAATTTAATAATTTTAGGTTAATTACTTGGACCCATTGGATCACCAGCTTCATTGGAACCATAAGGCAATGGGTCGGTTGAGGCTGCACCGTAAGCTGAACCTAAACCATCATCAAGATTTCCTGGTTTCATCAATTTTCCTGTGGATCCCATTGGTTTAATCAATCCATTTGAATTACTGGTTAGGTTTAATTGCAATTACAAAAATAAAAATAAAGGAAAAAAATAATTAGAAATTGTTGGGCAAGTTTAAGTGTTAACTTGTAAAATTGTTTAACAAGGGTTGGTACAATGAATGGCTAGTCGACAAGATAATTGGATTGTTAGCGAATGTTTCGTTTAACGATTGTTTTACCAATCAATTGGTTATCTCGTTAAGGATGAGAAGTCTGATGATGAATCAGTTTTCAATCAATGAAAATGAAAGAATCTAAAAAAGCAATTCAACTAACCTAGAAAAAGGATTGAGACAAAAGGTAAATGATGTAGCAATAAGATGAAAAAAAACTGTGAACTTGGAATGAAAATGCAGATGAAGAAGATTGGAAGATTGGAAGATGAAAAGAGGAAAGTTAAAGGCTAAATGTTGATAATCAATGATGATTGACCTGAGGTTTTATTTAAGGAAACAATTGGGAACTTGAAATAACAATAGATCGACCTGAAAATGGGTAAGACTATAAGATCTGCTGGTTAACAGGTTAACTTGGATGAATAACAATCGAAAGTGTAGTTTAACCCATTGTAATCAAAATTAAACAGCAACATCAATAAATACAATTGTAATCTCATTCCAAACCTGATCATCAATATTCACATCATCATAATTTACCCGATTTAACCATTCTTCATCTTCTTATCATGACTATTGATATTATCTCATGTAAGACCGGAAGATTTGAAGACATGTTAAACCATTTTTAAAATGGTTAACAATCGAGGTCAATATTTATCTAATTCAATCACTCCATTTGATTAACCCTTGATTAAAATAGTGGTCAATTGAAAAGGACTCAACCCTGATCAAGCAATCAATTTGGGGAAACAAAGATGAAAGGATAGACAATCAATTGATTACTTGACATTACTATTATTGTAAAGGTCAATAGTGAATGGTTGTGTTTACAAAAGCATCACAAGTTTACTATTGAAAGTTAATTTGATTTTTCAACTTTTACTATTTATAAATCATTCACTTCAACAAAATAAAGGCTTGATTCCCTAACAATTAACCAAATTTTCAAGTTCAATCTTTAAGACGCTTTACAAATGGCAAAATTAATTCAATTTTGACCCAATTGACTGTCATTGTTCAACCGTTGTCTCTCAATGAACCAGACATACCCAAGTCCATCGGAAGGTTTCAAGTTGCTCATAAAGCCATTGGATGATCCCATTAATCCTAAAGGTAGTGATGGACCATTAAAGGGTTGACCTTTATCGTAATTGTTGCCATAATTGAAGGCGAAATTTGCATTGCCGGACGGATTGTTCATATTATTGGTATTAACAGGGTTGATAACATGATTGTTATTATTGTTATGTTGGTTAGTGTTTAAGTTGATTGGTCCTTGGTTGAATCGTTGATCCTAAAGAGACAAGGTAAAGAGATAAATTAATTTCATTTCAAAAATTTCACTCAATATTCAGAGTTGATTGTAAGTAAATATATTTCAAGTTAGTCATTTAGGACAACCACAATTACTGATTATGACAAATGATGAGAAAGAGTAAAGATGGTTCAATTTGAATAACAATCAAGTTGAAAGTCATCTTGTCATCAATCATTTACTACATAATCATCATGTAAATAATCATGTTTTTCCCATGTTACTCTCAATTGTCAACAAGTTGTCATCATATTTGAAAATAGCAATCAGGAAAACATGAAAAGATTCACCTGATCTTGGTCTAAATAGAGAATCAAATTAATTAATTTTCAGTCTGGTTTTGGGTTGAAGAGGAAAAATTGTTACAATGAGTTGTCGCTAGTGTTTAACAGCAAAATTGACCATTCAAAATGGGCAAGTTTACTGGACAAATTGACTTGCCATTGTTGCTGGTTTGGTACCAAAAAGGAACCATTTTGGGCACAATTATGTTTCAATTTTATCAAATCAACAACAAAAGATGCTAATTGTAATGATAATTTACTAAATAACAAATGGAAAGCTTTTTTTACACTCAATCTGTTTTTTCGTGTAAAATCTTGTTGTTCAACTTTTGTCCGAACACTATTTTGGTTATTATTAATAGCAGAAAGGATTTTCTTATTTTGATTGTTAAAATGCATCACAATGAAGCATAATTGTTGATCAAAATAAATGATATGATGATGATTAAGATGATGATGATAAAATGTAAATAGTCGGAAGAAGCATCATTGTTAACTGTAAATCATTTCATCGGTAAATCATTAAAAAGGTATCAATCAAAGGCAATTGTTACGATCAAAGATATTTGAAGAATCAAATTGAAACATTTCTTTTCCTTGTATTTTCAGTTTTAATTTACTTTTTTCTCAATCTTTCAACTCTTGGTTTCATTTGATTGTCCAGGAAAATATAAATTGCTGACGATAATGTTGATTGTTAATTGCGTGATAAATAAGTAACATGGAAACACGCAATTTGTTCACTAACTGTTTGCCAAATTGTGATTAAATTAGATTGGATGAAGGAAAGTGTGCAAAATTGAATGGAAAACAAAAAGTACTTCATGTTAATTAAATAACTCAATTTTTGTTGCGTTGATCAATTTACAGTAGATTATCACTGATTTACTAATTAAGGTAAACAGTTTAACCTTTAATTGTGATGCTTGTAAACATTTATAATAACATTAATTTACTTCTTTCTGCTAATTGTAACCAAATTTCAATTTAGCGTTACAATAAGCTCAATCTGGTTTGCTCTCTTTGACTCTGGTTTTTGGGTTTTGTGTAAAAAATGTAAACATTTTTACAAGCTTTAAGTAGCTATTTAAGATGCTGATTATCACGTTAAATCAATTGTTTACAATGTTAAGCTAAATCAAATCAATCTTCATTAACTGAAACAGTTGATAATTTCAATAACGATATCATCATCTGTGAATGTTTCCCTGAAGGCAATAATGGTTAACAATTACTTTAGCTTTAAAAACTCAATGAAAACATAATTTGAAGATAAAAAATGAAGCAAAATTGAAAGCAAAATTGTTGACTCATAAAAATATCAACAATAAATGTTGATAAATATATCAGCCTTTTGGTTTATCCTGACAATCAACTGAAAGCTATTAACTTGTTATGAGTTAATTGAATTGTTGGTTTTTAAATGTTGAGAAATTGGTTTTCATTTTATGAAAAGAATCAAGATTTTTAGGGTTTTTTTGATAAGTTAAATGTTTGTTGATTTACCTGGTTGAAGTTTTTATCAAACCCTTGGAATCCTGTGGGTCGAGTTTGACCATTGTTGATGTTGATTCCTCGCCCTGAGTAGCCAGAGTTGGATGGACCATTGAGATTAAGGGGAAAGGGAAAGGCTGGCTTGTGTTGTTTTTGGGAATCAGCTGATGTTGAAACAATTGAATTGGGATGAGGTAAGGATTGATCGTATGAAGGTGATGATGAACTGCTGAATAAAGGTTTCTTGTTGTTTCCTGAGACATCATTATAGCTGTTTGAACTGGACGTGAATGGGCTAAATGAACCTGATTGAGTGTAAGATGATGAACCTTGATTGTTTAAGCCACTTGAAGGATAATCATAATTGGGAATGAAACCAGAGCCAGTTTGAGGTGGACCATTGTAACCAGAGTTGCTCATGTAGGCTTTACCAGAGTTACCCGAATTACCTTGGCTCATCGAGTAGCTTGATTTATCTCCGTTTGGTTGGTCGTTGATCAAATTGTTTCCAGAATTGCCATTTTGATTGTTACGCAGTTTATTGGTCACCAATGGGACTTTTATGTAGACTATTTGAATCTTTTTACTTTTGTTAATGTCGGTTGATTCATCAATGGAACCAAGACTTATCAATGGTAAACAAAAAACTATCAAAAATTGTAACTGTAAGGGAAGAGAAAGAAAAGGTTAATTAATTAGATTTTTGAATTTGTTGTCAGTTTTTTTTGGGTTTGCCAATTGAAGCTGAAATCAATATGAGAAGCTAATCACAGTTTTTAGATGAATTGAGGTAACTTGAGGTTAAATTAATCTCATTATTATATGAGTTTGATTCTGATTTAATTGAATCCGTAGTTGAAGAAGATTTAAAAAAAATGAAAATCAATTATTTTCTTAAATAAATATTAACCAAGTTGTGTTTGGGTGAGAAGCAAATTGAAAAAATAGCCAATGAAGCATCAAAACAAATTTACTTTTTTTTCTTGATTCAATTCACCCAAACAATGATGACAATGATCAACAATTAATAACATTAGATTGAAATAGTTGAAGATGAAACAGGGGAAAGAGATGAAGAGAAGCTGAAATCTTTTAAAAACACTGATTATCACCCAAACGCATCACCAAATAAGACCCATTTTGGTCACTATTTTTTGCTTGAGAAGCAATCTTGAAATCAATTAATTTCATCAGATGTTTTCATCATTATACTGATGATTGTCCCGAATTGCTGATTTTGTTAGTCATTTGCTCATCTCTTTTTCATTACCAAAAATAATTGATAAATCTATTTTTTGGCAAATAAACACTTTCTTGGTCATCTCATCATCTTGTGTCTTTATTGTTATTTTGCCTTTATGTTTGATTGCTTAGTTGACCTGGAGCCATTCATCATCTTGGACTAATCTGGATTAGAGTGTTTACATTGAATTTAATGATAATCATCGATGACCCAATCGAATCTGTTCAATATATTTTGATTGTCAATTGTCTGAATCCAGTCTTTCGTCCTTTCCAAGGTTGGTTAACTATCAACTTTGTACTTTCAAGTGCATCTCTTTTTTTGTACTCAAGTCCGTCAAATGGTTCAACATCATTTGTTTTCCAATTGTTCCTCTCTTTTAGTCCATTCATTGAATTCAAAATCCTTTGTTATTATTGCTGTCTGTCACCAAAAAATCAACACAAAGATTGATATACAAAGCGAGAAGAGATAAGAAAAAAGTCAAACCAAGTAATTGTATTAAAACGGTAAACATGGCTTTAAGCATGAAACATCAGCATCAAACTGAGCATCAGGACCGACAGTAGCATCAACATGAGCATCTTCAACCATTGAACCATTATTGGAAGACGATGGTTAAAGATAGTGGAAAGAATAAAGATAAACAATCAACAATTGAGAGTGCAAAAATGATTGATTATCGAGGTTGTCAAGAGTATTTAAGGTTATATAATTGTTGATTGAAAAAAGAAGGTGAAAACAGGTAAAGATTGAATGGTTTCAAGGGACAATAATCTGGTTTCAATATTGTTTCCATCTTTTTCTTGTATTAGACTTCTTTTTGATCCATCAGCATCCCATTATCATCATCTTTTCATGATTTTCATTAAGCTCAACCAAAGCTGATATACATGAGAATAGATTTGATTGTCTTTTCATCTTCAATTCACTTTTGATACGCTCCTGAAGGGTCAACAGTTTTGCTGGTCATTTCACTTGAGATTCCTTTTTTCAGTTTTGCTCCACAAAAATGGCATCCATTAATTGTCCACAGATAATAAAGTAAATTTAAACATTAAAAATGGCCAATTAAAATCAATCACTAAGGGTAAGAGGAGAAAGAGAAAGTCATGTTATTGTCCGATTCACACAATGTTGACCGTTTCATAGTTGGATAGTTAAATATCATTCGCTATTATTTACTCTTACCTATTTATTATCCTCATTATCAGTGTTATCATCATTATGTTTATCAGCATTCCTATTATTATGGTTATTGTTGTTCAAATAATTGTTGCTCCATTCTTGACCATTCTTGCCAATTGTATTGCTCTTGGTTTCATCTTCATCATTATATATGTATTATAATTTTAACCATTCAATGAGAGTGAATTCATGTTTTCAATTGTTGAATCAACAAGCAAACAAAACACACATTGAGATCATCCATGGATGACCAGGAATGAAGGGATTGGAATGGGAAAAGGTTTGAAAGCAAGAGTTAAGGTGATGGTGAAGAGCAGGTTAAAGGTGGAGGAAGATTTGATCATCAGGAAATAAAGGTTTTCATGAGGTAAAAAAGATGAGAGAATGAAAAACAAATTGTTGAGCTTTTAATTGTTGAGCGTTATTTTTAACAACTTAACGTCAAGAATCAACTAATGAACATCACAGATGTAATTTTACCATTTAATAACCTTTAATGGTAACCAACATACAAAAGACTTTTATTTTTCATTCTCCATTCGCCATTTGTTATTATCATTTTTCACTTACTTTATTATTATCATCATCACTATTATTATCATCATTTTCACCATCATCATCATTATCGCTATCATTATAATCAAAACTGATTGTTTCCTTTTTCTTAATTAAATATCATTGATGAAAGATGAACAATTTTTTGCTCTTCCTTTCAATATTTTCAATTTTCTCGTCACTGATTCCTGTATTGAACAATCAATATGCTGATTCAAATTGATTGAAATTATTTTTCTTGTTTGATTGCTATCTAAATGGTGAAACAATTTTCAGTTATTGTTTAACATTTAAAAGTAAACTTGAAATTTAAAGCACAATTTGATTGTTATAATTGTTCACTTTCAAGATTTGCTTTTTTTCAATTACAATTTACAATTAATCATGGAATATTGAGCTTATGCATGGTTAGAATAAATTTCAATAGTAATTAATATTTAGCCTCTCAGTTTCACAATAACAATCAGTGATTATGAATTGGAAAGTAAGGAAAAGAAATGAATGAGCAAAGATTAATGATGAACGTTTTTTTTCTGTATATTTATAATACAATCTGTTTGTCTGTAAATAGCGATGAGAAGTGAGAAAAAATGAGATTAACATGATGTTAACTTGAATGGATTACTGTGAAGTCTTCAATAATGCTAACAATAATAATAAGTGATTACCCTGAGGCTAAAGAATAAATTCGCTTGTCTTTCAAAGTCTCTTATTTATGTCAAATAAAGATCAACTAGTAACGATTTAAACGGTGAAGATGATGGTAATGTTGAAAGGGCTGAGAATAGACGAGGGAAATGGTGAAAATTTAAAATCAAAGCTGATCTCAGTTGAACGAGATTTAAATATGTAAGTTAATAGCTCATGAGATTCATGGACTAATCTCGAGTTGTTAGTGAAAGTAAGCGGAATTGTATTTAGGATTAAGTTTAGAAATTAAAGAAAAGATAAATTCAGAATCTTAACTACACACTGTTCAGATGGCTAAGTGAACATTGAGATAAAGTGGAAAGCGTGAGTATGAAGATGGTGATGGAGGAGGATGAGGAAGAGGAGAGGGAAAGAGAGAGATGAACATGGGCTAATTTAGGGTAAGTTATTTGTAAACCAGCAATCTGGTTGTTGTCCAGAAGAGAGATAATTTCCATCCTCTTTTTGTGAAGATGAACCAACTTCCCAAAGTAGCTACAATCATTCATTAAAATAATATAAAATGTATGATAATATTTGGTAAAAAGAGAAATGGAAAAAAGGTAAACAATTTAAATGTAAACGTTGATGATATTAATGACTTGAGCATTTAATAGACTTTCTCTTTCCTTTATCCTGGTCGGTTAATGGGTTATGTTTCCTTTTTGCTGCATACCATAAGTTAAATCTTAGGCTTGATTATTGACTTGATGATCATGACGAGTGATTCCTTCTTTATCTTCATCATTCTTTTCCAATTTGTTCATTTTCATCATTTTGAGCTTCCTCTTCTTCTACCGTTTATCTGTTTCCATTGGGTTTTGGTTGGTTTATGGCGAAATACGGGATTGAAGCTCGTTACGATTATCCATGATGAGGTTGTTGTTGTTTTGGTGGTGATTATGAGCATGATGATGGTTGATTGAAGACAACAGATAAAACATCCTGGTGCTAATCTGAAAATTTTAAATTGAACTGTAAAGGCGAATATGAGGATGGAGTAAAAAAAATAGAAAAACTATTTGAACCAAATAATTAGTGATTAGGGAACCGTGATGAGCTGATTTATTTCTTGAACTCCTTCAAGCCAATAATCTTGACCGTCATCTCAAACGAAAACAAACAAAATAAGCCAACGAATCCACCAAATAAACAAACCAATCAAATCAACTGGAGGCATTTTCCCTTTTTTTGATTATCTTACAAATTGGTCTTTAATTTCCACCAAAAAATAGAAACCATAATCAATATCTTTATCCTCTAAGGCCATCATCATCTGCACAATTACTCCGCTTTTTTGCTTGTTTTCAACATCACATAACCCATTATTTAAAGAGGAATATTTCTGTTTCTTCAGAAATATCAACAGGATACTTATCGAAGTAATGGTGAAATGAGTATCATTATGTTGCTATTAGGTGATAACGAGTAAAATAATTACCATATTATAATAACTTGTTGCCAGTTGATTAGTTAGTCACTGAAAAAGTTGATTAATGACATGATGAATTGATTGAAATATTTCATCTTCCAAAGGTATACATAAATTAGATGGTTTCAACTGGTAACATACAATTTCTTGTTTCGATCCAATTTCACATTAAATTTCCATCCAATTGACAGGCAAAAACACAATGATGTCTCAAGTCGAAGGTTTGCCTCTAAAAAAATTTTCATTCCAATTGTTTCATATTATATGGTCAATTTCAATTTCAAAACTTGAATAGGTTAAGATGGCAAAGGGTCATTCAACTTTTACCTAGCCTTCTTTTCACCATAATCATGTTGATAATAATAACCATTAGGATGATATTGGTTAACAATGATGATAATAGAGAAATCATGGTTACCATTTTGACACCCTAGTATTGTCTTTTGAATAACAGTAAAAAGCCTTTTCAAGCATAAGAAGACTTGTGAAGAAAAGGCAACAGAAAGAAGTAAACACCGTAATTTTAACCAAGCATGGTAACCATTACAAGAATTAATAAAATGACTCTTGAACTAAGCTTTTGAATAATGATGTAAATGTCAAAAAACTTGAAAATAAGTTAACACCGTTAGTAAGCAATTTGAAATGAAAGTTAACAGAGACAGAAAGCGATTCAAAATCACAAGACAAGCCAAACGAGAAATTATAAAATTTTCAGCCAATAAATTGAAGCCACGCCGAAATCACACGCTCATTCATTTTGTTTGTTAATTTTTTGAATTAAGATTCTTGTTAAATGATTTGTAACTTTAAATGATGATAATTTTTAATTAGCAGATATTTGCTAATAAATTAAATAGTAATATACAGCTAATTATCCAACTTAATTGATAATTTTAAAATCTTAATTGATCGGCTTTCTGTTAGAAATTTTTTAATGATCCCTATCAGCCGAATTCGTTAGCTAAAGTTTACAACATGTTTTCGAGGCTTCAAACAAATTTCTATCATCTAATCAATTTGTAATGTTTGTATTATTTCTCGTTAAATGTCGGTTAAACTCAAGTAAAGCTGTTCATTAGTACTTATTTGTTATAAAGATTGTGAATAGTTTTTTACAAGCACATGGAGCTTGGAATACTAATGTGGATTTCATGCAATTCAACTTGAAACTTGTTACAAGTGTAGCTGTTATTCTGGTAAGATGCTAAATGTATTGAATGTTATAAACCATACTATCATTTTGACATAATGTTTCTTTACAGATTTAAAAATTTACTTCTTTGATTTGAAACTATCCACGAAATAATTTTTCATTAAAATAGTCAATTGAAACAGTGAATGTTGGTGGTTAAATTGGAGCATCTTTACATGGATCTTTACCTAGTTAACCAGGAAATTTGATCAATGGCTTGAATGGGATGATTTTGGGCACTAATTCTAGTCACTTAAAGCAGTTTATCAACTTCTGTTTATGAAAAAAGGCGAAAAATAAACAATTTAGCATTTCTTATGAAATACATGCAACATGAAAATAAACAGCAGTAATCAAGAAGTAATTTAACCCGCTCAATTTCAGTTACAAAAAACTAACAAGAAGACTTTCAAGGGAATAAAGATAAGATGGCAAACATGGAAAGAAAGTTTAAAAAGATATAAAGTAAAGCTTACCAGAACCATGATTGTTTTTGAGCAATTAATTTTCAATTATGAGTCGCCAGGAAAACAAAAAATACCAACTGATATCCAATGGAAGAAAACTTGGAAACAAATGTGTTGACAGATTACGTTTTGGTTTTGTTGGTCCACCAATTTTCCTTATCTTTGTGAAGTTTAACCGAAATGTTAACACAATTGAAATTCACTGATGATATTGTTGAGATGAGATGATAAGACCAGTTGAAATTACCACTGTAAATGGATCCAACAAGTGTAGATGTAAACCTATGATGGAGACACAAAGTAAGTAATGTTACTCAATCATTGTTGTTTTGTTTTCAAAAAATTGACGTTTTCTATCTTCTCTTGCAGGGTAAAAAACTTGGAGTTAACTAAAACTACCGTAATCCTTCGTATGTTGTTTACGGTGAGACTTTCATTTCTTCACTAAATTAAATTGAATTGGGAAACACGTTAACTTGACTAAAACCAACATATACACAAGTTAAACAATTTATTCAACTTTACCGAGCGATTGTCAAATGATGAAGTAAAGGTGGTCAATGGCTTAACATACCATTTTATATCTCAGCCCTATATTCAATAACGATACCTGTTCTGATTTTTTTTGTATGATTATCAAACTACGTACCTTTTTGACGATCAACAGGCAACAATGAAAGTAACAATCAGTTTAATTCATGAGACAATCGACACTCAACTAACCAATGAGGGAACATGTGATCTATAGGAAGATTACTGGATGGCTTTAGTGTCGATCTTACAGGATCCTTAAAAGAGACATCCTCCCCCAACAGATGAAGATGAAGATGAACAAAAAAAAGAGATGAGTTTAACCACTTTCTTTAGTTTTGTGCTACATTCCATATCCAAAGAGGTAAGTCCATCTCTTCTGTACCCCGGTTTGAAAACCTCTTTTCCCACCCTCATCTTCATTTTTGTTTTCCTCCCTTCTCTCCATCATTTTCATCTCTTCAATCCATTATCATTTCAATCCTCTTCTCTTCATTTCTCTCTCTCTCTTTCTCTCTCTTCTTGCTTCTTTAATCCAACTTATCACGTTTTTCATCATCTTTTCTCATCATGAGTTTCCTTTCCCTTTCTGATGTTCCATCATCCTTCACTCAGAGTAGACTTTAATGATTTTATTTTAACTATTTCTTCATTTCCAGCCTTATTCCTCTGATTTACCTGCAAATATACAAATTTGTCCAAGTTGAAGTTTGCATAAATTTATCAATGTACCTGATATCCCGCACCAAATGATGGCGAGTTGGGAAAGGGTGATGATGATAAATTATGACATGATTATCCAGGCTAAGAAGAGAAATGAAGAGAGAATGAAAAAAAGAACTTTTTCCTCGATTGTTTATTTTCTTTTCTATTTTTTAACCATTCCAAATTGGACTGACAACAGGAAAAAAATTTATTCAATTAGTTAAACATTGATACGTTTGATACATTTTTCCTTATATAACTTATCCTCTATGCTTTGCCATTCAATTAGCTCAGCTTTTTTACCCATTAGTTCAACATTTTCGCATCATCGTTATGATATAAAAAAGTTGATGAAAAAGGTTAATTCAATAATAATAAGTTAACAAGTTTAGATGAGTTGTTGAAAAATAATCCTCTTGATTTACAGTAGTTGATGCAATCTGATTCAGTAAGTATTTAATCACAATCATTAAAACAAATGTTACCGTTTCAAGCTTATTACATGTTGACTTGCGATTTAGCTCTCAACCAAAGTCAAATTAAATTGCTATTTAGATTGACATCTTTAATATCTTTTACTTACAGCTAACTCCAACTCCTGAAATTGAAAAGTCTAGTCCATACAAGAATTGAAATTATCACCTTAATTTACGGTCAATCTTTTTATTCAATTGATCACTTATCACCGGTAAATTAGGAAGACGAGGATGGAAAGGATATTTATATTTAACAATCAAAGAGTTAAAACCATATTTTATCAATCTTCGGAATCGGCATTAGCTTAAGCATCATCATTATCATTATCTGAACCGCCCGTTGTGTTAATAGTCAGCAAATAGAGTTGAATCAAAACCAGATAGAACCTAATAATCTAAATATATTTATGTTCATATAATTGGTCAAAATTTGCTAAAAATAAGAAATGGTTTGAATTTGTGAATGAAATTTCTTTATGAAATGATTGCGAGATGTTGATCAAGAGAGGTTAAGAATGAAGTGAATTGAATCGGGAAAAAGAGGATAAAATGTAAGACAATGATAAAAATGGTGATAATGACGATGAAAAAGATGATGAGTGATCAACTCTGACCGACTGGTAATAACACAATCAACAGTCGTGTTAATTTTATCGTTAGAGCTCTTACAGACTTTCACTTTTTATCAATGTGCTATTCAAGTTGAATGAAATTAACCGATTTCATCTATTTATAATATTACCAAAGAGCAGTTGATTCTCATCGTTTCAATTCTTCAGCCTTTGTTTTCTCGGTTCCCTTTGATGCAGGAGATAAACCTGGTTCAACTCATGTTACAGGCTCTAGAGCCATATTTTTGGGCAAAGGTAAATCTATTGCTCCAGTTGCTGCCGTTGGTCTACTATTCCGTCATGACAAGTTTGCCGAAAGATTTTTCAATTTCTCTTCATTGTGTAAAACCGAGGGTTGCAATGTTAACTGTTCAACCGATGCATTTGACTGTTTCTTGGTTGACAATAATGGATTCGTTGTAGTCTCCAAAAGGTCCAATGAGACTGGCAAATTTTATGGTGAAGTTGATTATCCCATGTTTGAAGTAATGGTTTCTCAAGGCATTTATAAAGAGATAAAATGTACGATTACCAGGCCATTTGTATTGAGGTTATTCAACGTTCAGGACCAGGATCTATTCATACTAATCATTTCAAAAAACTAAATCAACTCATTTGATTATTATTGTGTGATTTACTTGTACTCGCTTCGACTTTATATTAAAACAAAATTGTCTAAATTTATCACGGTTTTGTTAAGACAGCAATCATTATGAATTATAACCAACCATGACTTTAACTTGAGGTTTTGAGTGGTTGTTACATGGGAAATCTCAATGAAACTGATAATGAGAGATGAATTCTGATGGTAACAACACACAATCAACAGTTAATTTTATCGTTAAAGCTGTTGTTAACTTTCACTTTTCACCTCTTTTCAATCATTTACCATCCAAGTTGAGTGAATTAATCCTCACTGGATTAATTGAACAAATCAAACCTAAAACAATCTGAAACTTTTGATTATTCTGAAAACCCTGAGAAAGCAGGTGGTGAAGAAGATCAGAAAAATTCTCAAAGCAAATGGATTATGATTGTGATTACATGATGATCTAATTGAGGAAATGAATTGATTACCTTTATAATATCATCATCAGCAGATTGATATAAATGGACTGAAAAATGATTTTAAAAAAATGGCTAAAAAAGTGAACAATTTATCTGTATTGCTTTATTTAATGATCAGCAGATATTGAGATTATAATATATCACTATTGTGTTATCATTACTTTTTATTCTGATCACTAAAATAGTTCAGATTTAGTCTTATTTGATAACTATTTTCACTGGTCAGTGAATTGTTAAAGTTGAGTGAAATCCATAAATGATTAATATTGATTTTATTTAAAATCGTGGTGCAATTAAAAAGTAGAATCATAAAATTGTAAAAATATCTGCTCATGTTTCAATTGCAAAATGAATAATGTAAAGAGATTGATGATGAAAAGATGAAATGATGAAAGGTAAAAGACTGAAAATGATGGTAAAGAAGGAGATGAAGATTAGGATGATTGGGATGATGAAGAAGGGATAAAAGATGAAGACAGGTTTATCAAATAAGACACAATGAAAGTAGTATGTAAATGTGGATGTAAGTGCATTGAACTTGATCAGGTTTTCCTTGCCATTTGACTTTCATCTCATGGTGTTTGTATATTCATGACATAGACCGATAAATGTATGAACAACAATACTAATCATTGTGATTATAATAACTGTGATTCGTGATCATAATTTAATTTTAACCAAAAAATTGTAATTCAATTGACTTTTCCTTTTTTGTTCATTAAAAGATGAAAAGTAAAATCTAGTCATATGATTAAAAACAATGAAACCCAGTAATAGCATCAAGTTTACCTTAAAACTTTCTTTACACTTTTATTAGTATTTAATTTATTTCATTATATTTTAATTTGTTATCAACTAACTGTTAATATTAATTTAATATTATTATATTTATAACACAATAATGTTTGTTATTTTAGCAAAGATTCAGCGATAAGCCAAGCTGCATTGAACAGATTGCAGTTTAAAGATATTTCAAGAGATTCAAATTTCGAGCTTTTATTTTTTTAAATTTCTTGATTTAATTTATTTATCATCAACTCAATTTGTTATTTGATCAATATTTGATATATCATTGATACAATATTAAGTTAATGTGATTGACTTTTCAATATTAACTGGATATTAACTTTCAATATTCAGGTGCAGGTTAATCAGGGGTTGTCTTTAAGCCACTAAGCCATACAAAGGCTTAATCTCGGCGGATACGCTTTGGATAAAATAAACAGCTTTAGTTAACCTGTTAGACTATTTTTTTCTGTTGTTGGTGTTTACCTGATTGTTGTATCTTCATTTAAATTATATAGCTTATAAATGAATGTTAAAATTTAAATTGTGATTGACCACCAAGGATTGGAATCTGGAAAGGACCAGAACATAAAAATAAACAAACAAGCTGAAACACTCACATAAACATACACACGCTGACCTCAACCGTTAATCAATTGATTCCCAATTTAGTCTTCTTTTTGGATTTCTCATTGTTCTTTTCTGGTTAACAAAGTTCTTCTTCATCTTCATTATCATCCTGATTATCCTCCTTCACCATCAACCTTACCTTATATTGCTTCCTTTTATTTATATCTTCATTGGTTCTTGTTTCTCTCTCTCACTCTTCTTTGCCTTCTTTTGCAGGATTTTTACTGTAAACAAACCCTATCAAAGTGCTTTTTATGCGATAACCTTTATCATTTTCGTCACCATAACCTTTGGCCTTAATCGGATGATGGTTAGCCTTCATTCAAAGGATTCAATCACGTTATCAATGGATTCACAGCTAATCTGATTAAGAGTATTGCTAGAAAGCGCAATTATCTTGAAATTACACTTGATTCCATGCTTTGGCTATCCATAAGTATAGTAATTTAAGGTTACTTCTTGAAGCGTCTTCGATTACCATTAATGACATAAATAATACAAATTATTATTAGCTTAATAGTAAGTAAACTTACAATTACATCTTGCTCATCAAAACATAAATTAGTCTTATATTCTCATCATTATTTGGTCTTTTTCCTTTCTCATCTTCAGAGTAACACATCATCATCTTTACCAGGACTATCATCATGATGTTTCATCATTATCATTATCACAATGGAGACTCAGCAGCCATCAACATCTCAATTTTTGGATCAGGTTCATCTATTGTTGATCTTGATGATCGAATATCAAATTGGACAATATTGTTCTCTACCTGATCAAGGATATCAAAGGGATGTCAAGTCAAGAAATATTGTTGTTCATCTTGTTGACAAAAAATGAGTCAAGTACTCTATCCCAACATCATATTAATATCATCTTTTTTTCATGATTGCTGGTGTCATCATTGTTAATCCTGTTTGCAACTATTATCAACTTGCAAGTTTAAACAATCTTAACTCTTTTTTTGGGTCCAACCTTTTCACCAATCATTGCTGTTTACATTAAACTAGTCAATTGAAACAGTTCAGACGATGATGATGGTGGTGGTGGTTAAAAGAAGGAAAGAAGTCAAAAAAAAATAGATGAAAATGGATGAAAATAAACAAACAATGACATTGGCCTGAATCTTGTTGATCAATTAGGTTACTGATGATAATGTTGATTCCAAATTAGTTGAACTACCCATTAAGACCAACATTGATTTCGAATCCGGATCTCAATCTAGTCTGGTTAATGACAATTGATCACTAAACCAGTTAAGCCATAATCTGGATATTACGATGTACTTACCATTACATTGTGATTAAATTAAGGTTTCGTAAGGTTTAAAATCATGCATAACCGTCAAATTTGATTTGATTATTGATGCAAAATAATAAGTTATTTGAAAACAATATTTACCAAGTTTGAGTTTAAGTATCAGACAGAAAAACTATAGAATCGATGTTTATCTGAATATTTCATTATTGGTGAGTTTTGATTACATTTTTGCATTGATTTTTGATCAGAAAGTGCGAATTTCGTGTTCATATATTGATTAAAAAAAAGCCTGATGAGACAAATTGAAATAAAATGGCAAGAGAAATCTATTATCAAAGCAATCCATTTTATAGATGATACTATTTTCAATCGGTTCAATCTAATTGTTAGGATTAAACTAAACTCCAAATTCACCTTTATTAATATAAAATAGTGAAATTTAATAAATAAATACAAAATTGATGAAAGTAGAAACGCAATGACAATTATATTTAAAAATGTGATTGATTCAAAAATGGAGCCTTTTGCAAAAACGTTTGTCTCCAAACCCATCAACGAATAGGATTTGATTATTCTTAGCGCCTTTATAATCATCATTACTGTTATTACTTTTGTTGTGATTATCATAATTATAACTGCAACCAATACACTTTTGATTGACCCGGATTTAAAGTTAATCAAAAGATTATCAACTCCCAATCAATCTTACAATTGAGTGTGTATATCAAGCAAATTATATATGAACAAGTTAAAAAAAGTGAAACAGTGAAAAGCCATTTTTCATCAATAAATAGGTATCTTATTGTTGATTATCTCGCTATGTAAAAGGTAAGATATATTTTGTTTACAATTAAACTTTCCCCTAATCCAACAAATAATTATATACTAATAGTTAAACTAATTTTCCTTTCAGCTTTCAATACCATATATCTTGAATGGCAAACTGTTGATGTGTAAAATTGGAGCATCTTTACATGGAAACCTAGTTAACCAGGAAAATTGGTCAATTTTGATCAATGGCTTGAATTGGATGATTTCGTATACTAATTTTGGTCACTTGAAGCATTGGTTTACATACAATTAAGAGCAATTAAGGAGGAAATTATCTTGGATGTCGATTTTTAAAATTATAAGCTGTTCTGGTGGAGTAAAGATTGTTTGATTTGACAAGGCTTTGTGTTGGGCTCTTCAGATTTTTCATTCATTTCTTATATGCTTTTTTTGAGATTAATCCTTTATTCGATTTTTTTGATTATTTGATTGAGTTGAGTTTGTTATATCTTAAATCTTATACTCATGATTTAAAAGATAATCATCTTCACCTTATTTCTAAATTTGAAATTTATGAAAGTGATGATGATCAGCATAAAATGAGATTTTCACTTAAACGTTAGCTTTGATTGATCCCCAGTTGATCAATTGATTTTATTAATATTATATTGTTTACTCGATTTCATAATTGCTCAATCAAGGATTATCATCATCTCTATTAATATCAGGAATCACAGTTTTACCAACTATAGCTATAGTTATAGTACAATCATCTGACAAGTTGACATTAACGGTTAACAATTCAAATCAGAATGCTCGCTCTTTACCCTTTAAAATGAGATCTTACCCGATTCAACATAAGCATTTTGACATTTTCAATCAACTAACACAAAGAATTTAATAACAATTCAATTAAGCAATCAAAAAAGCTGTAAAAAGTCTATCGAAATTCACTTTCAATCATGAAATAATATTTTTGCAAAAGCGTATTTCAAAACGCCCATAAACAACAGCATTTGTATTGTTTGAAGAGATTCATTTTATTAATTAGCTTTATTTTAACGCATTTTATCAATTTCTGTTCATGAAGAAAGGTGAAAAAACAATTTAGTGGTTATTTAATGAAATAACAGAAGATTATATTGATGAAAATCATGTTTTTACTCTAACAATCTAATACTTTGTTCATTTTCGTTTCAGGATTGAAACATCATCATCAATTATGTTTTTTGCTTCCAATTTCTGTACATGAGTATAATTATTTGAAACAATTTCTTTATTATTAACTGTTACCAATCAACTTCCGAGATTGTATAATAACAATTAACTTACCTTGAGGCTGTACAAAAAATACCTATTTAATGGAGACAACAAAATGTTCAATATGAGAGATGGAAAGCAAGGCAAGTCCAGCAAAATTGAAAAAATTGAAGAAAATGAACTCAAATTATTTAAATCATCCAACAATTTAACATGATTTATGGCAACAAAGATGATTAGATTGCAAAAAATTAAGAGTTGAACCAATTTAAACAAGATCTTGACCAAAGCGATGTTATTAGTTAATAACATTTTACTTTGCATATTTTAAAGATGATTTGTGAGTCGATTATTACAATTTAATGACAATTATGATGATATTGTTTGCTGTGATTAGCAGAGAGTTAACTAAATTATCAAGAAGACGTTCAATTTGAGGCATTTTGCACGTTCACTGAATGTTTTCACGTACATTTTGCTTTCCCATCACTACCAATCGAAAGGCCTAACAATTTAATGTAATTTAACATCTAACATTGTCTATTAGTTGTAAAACAATGGCTAATTTAAATTGTGCTTAAAATGTATTTTAATTAGTGTTGTGAAGAGTGAAACTCAATCACAATTAAATTCGGTGTTACCCTTAATTACAATAAACATCTAAACATGAAAATAATTTTGTCGTGTAAAAAAGATAACAACATCAAGAGCATCTTCATACATCTTCATCTGTCTTTAACATTATTCTCATCATCATCATTATCAATTGCCATTATATTTTAATCATCTTTCTACCTTCCTTTAAATCATTATTTTATTTCCGTTAGTTAGTTAGTTAGTTAAATTAGTTGTATTCTTAAATTTGATTCTCATCTTTCCTGGTTAACCATTTATTACAATCACCGTTTAAACCATTCAACTAATCAACATCAAATTTCTGGTATTACAATATATTACCAAAAATAATATTGTTATTAGTATTACTTTATGTACCATTTAACTGTAATTTTATCCAACTTCTCAACGTGAGATTGAATAGCAAATGTTGGTAAAGAAAGTGAAGGTTTTAGATGATTAATTTAATTTGTTATTAATAACAAAAAGGTAATACAATTGTTATTAATGTTAATCATGATCATTTCTTCATTAAACATTCAATCGTGATTGTATTATTTTAAACATTGTATTCATTTTCATAGTCTAATCCAGCAATTGGCTTCATTTTTACCTCAATATTTAACCTAAAAATAAAAACTGTCAAAATTCCCATTCTTTAACAGCTTTCAATCTTATTAGTTTAACAATTATATTGTTAATAATTCAGTAAATTAATTATTTATTGCAGTTTTATAATTGATTTTGATCAAACACAAAATCTGTTTAAATATTCATTTACAATTTAAACAATTTGCAATCTGTAAATAAGCAAATAATTGTCCTTTGATCAAATAGTAAAACAATTTTGACGATTATTGGTTTGTATTTATATTTACAAGCTGAGTCCCGATCATGACTGAAATTACTTTTCACTGAATACAATAAATTCAATCCATATTTAAAGGCTCAAATTATTGATAAATACCATTGTCAATGAGAGAAACTAAAAACTAAAATCTGGTTCCACAGCTGAAATTTAAGTTTTAGCTTTTAAGCGATTTTATCAAATACCTTTAATCAGAGAAACTTTTTATTTACACAAATAGTTCGAGTTCTTATGTCCTGAAAGTTGATCAGGTAGCAACTATTAGAGTTTTGGCGCTTCTAAATCATCCAACAAATAAGCATAACGTCATTAAATGAAAAAATAATTCGCTTCCCCCCACAATGCCTTAGAATACGGATTGTTTGTCCCACCTCCCTGAACATGATTTCATTTAGAATATTGTCAGAACAAGAAATGCAAAAGCTGAAATCTTTAGATTTTGTCACATTAATACGTAATATTCATTTTGCAATGAAAAAAGTCATTCTTCAAGAACAGCTAAAAAATTTTCGTACGTGTCGAGAGTTGGCTGTAAAGGCATAAAACTGATTCCATTTTTTAAAAAGTTATTCTGATGAACAGCCATTCAAAAATTGGGTTCAAAGTTGAAACTTAGGTCTCTTTTTGTACAGTTGAGGCCCCATATTTTTCACCTAACTCTTTACTCGAAAGACAGTTTTAAATACACTCCAAACCCAGCAATAAACCATCAATCTGTATACAAAAAAGTTTTTCCCTCAAAGTCTGCATTTATTCCCCTGCCCTGTTTGAACGCTGATTTCTCAGTAACCTGAATTCAGACAAAGCTCTGAGTGTTTTCGTGGATTTAACTTAATCATGGCTTTCAGACTGGGCAAAAATTTCCCTTAGAATCCTTTCCGTTTAGTTACAATTTTTAAACAAAAATTTCATGTTTTGACTTTATATATTGTATAGACTAAATTTTTTAGATCAAATAGATACACGTTGCTGTTGATAAAACAACAGAATAATTGAGAAGGATAATCATTTTGTAACAAAGGTTATTAATCTTTTTAATCCGAGTAAATTAAATTTATAGATTAACTAAGATCAAATACATAACATAAATTGCTTGGATTATTTTTAATAACCCATTCCAACTCTTGTATGAAGCCATTCGTCGGTGTTCAACACTTTTAACAAGGCATCACCCAAGTCATGTTTAGATATTTTAGGTCCAGCTCCTTGCTCCTTGACCAATTTGTACTCTCCTTTGCCATCAGCATCTAAAATTTAGACAATAAATAACAATTAGAAACATAATCGTACCTTTTTATATTTTATAACAGCTATTGACATATACAAATCACAGATGTAAACATTCATCAACTTACTATCAATATGAGGAGGACACAGAATAACCCAATCCAGACCAGACTCTTTGATTATAGTTTCCATCCTTAAGTGATCTTCATGGACATTGATAACTGGTGGTGGAATCGCATCTGGTTTCCAGAATAGGAAAGCTAAAAAGACAATTAAACGAAGTCAATTAGCTGAAATTATTTACAAGTCTTGTAGCTTGACTTACCAGAAAGACAGACTGATATCCTCTTGATACCATGTTTTTTCATTGATTCAACAATATTACGGGTTCCATCTGACATGACAGTTGTAGGTCCGAGGTTGGTCCGAGTACCCAAAACGACGACAACTGCATCTTGTCCTTGAACGGCTTTATCAACATCATCGGCATTTGTAACATCACCAACAACTACTGAAGCAACTTTGAGATCATCTGGAAGCTTTGTTTGGTCTCGGACAAACGCGGTAACTTCAAATCCTGATTGAAAAAAAAACAATGAAGCAATTAAGGAAATGATTGATTAATAATTGAAGTAGACACTAATAATAAATTATTCAAACCTTGAGCAATGGCTTTTGCAACAGTAGCTAATCCAGTGTTACCAGTAGCACCAAAAATCACAATTTTCTTGATACTTGACATTATTATTTCAATTTCAACCGATCAATCAATTAAACTTGTTACAGCAAATAGTTATGGGAGTAATTACAATAAACCATGAGCTTTTATAGTTGATTTGAAGGAGGAATTGATTATCTCAACATTTTTGGGGGTTGGTTTCATGTTGGCGGAACTAGATATGTATTAATTGTACCACAAAATCAACAGGAATAAACCTTTAGTATCCTTAATAACCTTGAGACAAACTAAGCCAACTATCAATGGAGAAGGCTGACAATGTGAGTTTCAGATTTTTCATGACATTAAATTACCAAGAATCGGATTAATCATTGCAATCATTGAACTAAAGACAACAAAATAAACAGTAAACATTTCATGAAAATTGTAGCTCTCAACTTGAACTGAAACAGCACTTGAAATGAGCGTTAAATTGCTGTCATCAGTTGGCAATTAAGATAACAACATGTATGCGTATTTAATATCAGCTGACTACTGAATTTAATCACAACTGGTTAATCTAATATTAAGATAGAGGATCGACATTGCCCTTTAATTGATACTCTTCCAGTGAAAAATGGAAGGAAATGTGAAGGAAATGGAACTTTCTAGTTGAATAATCTACATCTTTGGGTAATTCAGCTCACACACCAGATTCCTATTATCAGTCAGAGTCATTAAACACCAAATTAGGCGTTTTAAATAATCATTCAACACATCAAGTGTTTAAATGTAACAAGTTGATCCCCCGATCATGACCGATCGCTTGGAATTCTTTCCGTTTAATTACAATTTTTACACAACAATTTCATGTTTTGACTTTATATTGTTTGGATTAAATGGAACACAGATTGTGTACTTAAATATTTATATTGATCAACTTGTAATCAAATGGATTTAACGGACAATATTTAATACTATTTACATTGAGCCAATAATAATGGTCATTATTAATGTGAACATTGTGATTCTCATAATCATCAATTTGCTGTTTGTTTGTTCAATTTTTCATGAGCAACAAGCAAATAATCATGATCAACTACAAGATTAAACCTAAATTTATGCCCAACAATGTTACCTTTAATCACAATTTTATTTTTACCCATTCAATGTTCCTTTTCAATTGACTCGATTGAAATTTCGTGATTTAATTAATCTACCATTCATTTCTTTTCATTTCAGATTCAATAAAAGATTGAAATCAGTTCATCAATCATAACATCCAACCTGTTGATTAATTGATTATCAAGAAAAGCACTTGATCATCATGACTGTTGAACCATTGACATTGATTTACTTCAAATGTTGCTTTTGGTTAAATGAAGGCTTGTGACCAGTAAAACAATCACCAATAACCATTGAAATCAAAACATTACCAGGACCAGTTTAATCAACTCAATACACTTTCATTCCCACAAATGATGCCCACAATTAAGTATTGATTACACGTAGGAGTTGATTAGGAAATAAAATCAAAATTAGGAATCAAATTAAAGATTTGGAACACTGCTGTTGCTTTGGAATCATTGAGAGTCATGCTGAATGGATGATCCATTCACTTTCACGTAAAACCCAGAAGAGATTAATTTTGCCTAATATTGTTGACCAGTTGATATTAAATTTCCAATTAAGGCAAATACTAATCAGTAAATCATTAAATACTCCAAATTAGATATTTTGTCTGTTCTTGAATGGATTAAACGCTTTTTCTTGCTCCAATGAATATTTCTAATCTCAATAGTTAATAGCAAAATTAAGAATCATCTCAATGATCATCTTATGATTACATTTGTCCATTTGTAATAAATCTTGATTGTTGTTTGATTTTAATGGCTTTTCTTTAGTAAACCTTTTTTTCTGGTCAATTTGGAGCAACTCAATTCAAATTGTTATAATATATTGATTGAACCTTCATCTTGTTTTTTGTTTGTTCAATTGGCAATTCAAATCACTTTCCTTCATTGATATTAATTTGCTTTTCTTGAATTTCTTTGGTCAATCAATGAATTATTGTAACCAAATGAAGCGTGTTTTTGATTTCACATTTAAAAGCTAAATTGTTCATGTTAACTATAAACAACTAATACAATAAGCGCAATCAGTTGAATCTTCATAATCATCTTCAATGGTTAAAAAATGCAGCTTAAAACTTGTATTTTAAATTGCAATTTTAGTTTACTTGGAAGATGTTTTATTTTTAAATTATTGTTTAACCATTTTGTTGTTAATTTCAAGTTAAATAACAAAACATGATCAAAATATATTGAAATATATTTAACAATTGTTTTAGCTAATTTTATTGCCTCTTTATGTTAAATCAATAATAGTAACGTTTATTGACCATCAAAATAATAACAATAACAGCCATTTAACTATTCAGATTAAAAATTAAAATCACAGTTAACTCATAGTGGATCTAAATATCTTAATCCATTCAATTGCAGATAATTTTCTGGACTATTTTCAAATTGTAATGAATATTAGATTGAAAATTGAACGTTTTTCATTTGATTTTCAGAAGATTTAGCAATTTTAGGATTTTCAATTCTTCACCATTGAATCAAATATTGAAAGTGAATTGTAATTGGTTAAATAATCTCTAAATCAAACAGAGTTGATGGACTTTCATTGATTCTCAGCAAAACTAATGAAAATGTTAGTTGGATTGATTATTTTGATGAATCTGGACTGAGGTGATTATTGTGATTGTAAAATCCAATTTAAGTCTGTTAAATCGATGATTAGTCTTATAAAATCATCAAGACACGATTATTTTAGTTCATCTTTGATTGTATTACCAGCTTTTTTGCAAGATAATACAACCTGTTCATCAATCAATCTTTAATAAAATCAAATAATCCATTTCAACAAAAATAGGGTGATGATGAACCATTTCATTCAACAATTAATGGTTGATTGAGTGATGATCAGGGCCAGCTTTAATCCAAGATCAATTGAAGTTCAGAGTAAACCATTCAAACATCAAACGCTAACTTTGTCGCATTGCAATGAGTTTTCCCAACCAACTGATAAGACTTGACCATTCATCGTCCAAGTATCCAATTGAGTCATCGAAGCTACTAGCACAATACCTTTAATTAGAGCAACTAATGTGATTGATTATGCTATTATATAAATCTACGGTTGAAGAGCTCTTTTCGCAATTTTATTGAGTTAGATTTTACAACATTTTGACTGAATTTTAGAGCAGGTTTTTGGTTGACAATGATATGTAATGGGTAAAATGAAAAAATTTCTGATTAATAATAAAATAGATTTTCGATTGCAAATTATTGGATAATAATTAGGATTAGGCACGAGAGATTTTTGTTTAAAAGGAATAAATATTAGGCGAATAATAGCAACTCAGTTGGCAAATAAAAATTAACAACATCAGGTCAAATTGCAATTTCCAAAATCTCAATTTCCATAAAAAAGGGTTGTTGGCTTGATGAGTTTATTCTGGATCAGGAAATTATGGCCAAAATAATGTCAAAAAGTAGATGGTATTGATGATAGTGAGTGTCCTAAGGAAAATATGAGAAAAGTGTAATTAATAATTGAGGTAAATTTATTTGACTGATTCAGGAGGCAAAAGTATGAATCGAGGAACTCTCAGAGAGAAGATTAGTCAGTTTCAATCATTTTATAAGCAGCCTTGTCGGAGCCGACAAATATCTGTTAAAAAATTTTCTCATCACAGAGTAAAGAATAAATTGTAAAACAAATTTGATAAATTTAATAGAAGCTAACCTTTTGAGCCAACAGCTTGATTTTAAATGATGATGGATGAATCATAATATTTAATTCTCATAATGATATCACCGAGGTTAATCTGGCAAGACCAGAGGAAGATGATGAGTGACTGGTTGAGTTTGGAATAACAGATGAAGTATTACCAGCTGTGGCGTTTGATGCACTATTTGCTGATGCTAAGACAGTCGAACTGTTCCCAGATCTTGAGAATTTCAATTGGAGTTGATTTTGAAGATCTTCTACTCGCTTCTCCAACTCTTGATTTATTGCAACCAATTCTTCTGTACGCTCATAAAATGATTCCAGATCAGTACGGTGAGAGAGATTCCAACGACAATAGTAGCTTTTCCAAGGCTCAATACGTCGATAACAGGCAGTTGGAAATAAAACTTGGTCTTGAGTTTTGTTTGAATATAAAGGATTCATAAATTGGTGCTTATTGCTGTTAATATATGACCATATAGAGATTGTTTCATTTTTTATATTAGCAGTGTTTCGTTCCAGCTCAGAATTGCACAGAAAAGTTCCAAAAAGACAGCTGTATAGGTGGTCTAAAATCGTGATGAGAAATCTTTCATTAAACTGAAATGCATTTGGAAACTGGTTAGTCATTTGCCAAACACACTCAATAAATTGGACAAAAATAGGTGACCGGTCACTGTCGGGTTTCTCTTCTCCATGACCGATTCTGAGAGCGAACTCGTGACCAAAACTTATCCATTCTTTTTCAATAAGAACCTCGAAACCGACAATCGTACGGTAATAAGAGTCTAACATAATCATAGCAAGTGAAGTTAATTGAGATGTCCTATCCCAACCATCACTACAATGAACTACAACTGAAGTCTTGGCATTTTCAATTTTATCAGCGATTTTCAAGGCACCAGCCAACGTTGCTCGAACATGTTCCAGCCAATGAGTTGACTCAATATTTGAATACCAACGTTGATCATCGATGATGGGGAAACAAAATTCCTTCATTTTCTTAAGACTTTCACGCATAACATGGATATTGTGAATATCTAAAAATGAGATTTCAGCATTAACATAATTCTCTTCACTTTCATAACCTCCACCGCGAGCTTTGTTGGCTAAAGCATTGGGATGAGGCCTAGCGTCCATAATGTAAATTTTGTGAGATTGTGCATTAGCATCCATAATCATCTGAATGTAAGCTTCGTCTTCTGGACTCCTTTTACCGGCAACACCAACCATAGGCTGACTACATCGAGTGATACTAGCCTGAGTAAGCGGATGAATCCAACTCAATACCGGTAATCGACCTTTCTTTCTGAAAGCCGCCACTGCTTTCAGACAGCTGTCACCAGCATTGACAGGAACAACCAAAACTCCAGGATATGTATCACATAGAGAATAATTTTCATTATGTTTGATTTTCCAGCTTTCAGAAGGTAAACCTAGTCTTTTGTATTCAGCAATAGGCTCATAAACTGACCATCCATTGAACGGAAAAGTGGCTCCAGCACTTTTGTAGAGAAAAGCAAACAAGGGCAATTTGTTTGTAACCGGGAAAGCATATTTGCACAATTTGTTGAATAATTCTCGTCTAGAGTGATTTTCTTGCTTATGAGCAAACCGAACATTCCTAAAATCTTTACAAAATAATTCAATACCATATGAATTTTCACCTTTGCTAGTCGCACCACCAATTTTTTCAATACGGTTTATAGTACATAATGGAACTTCAATGTGAATGACTTTATCAGAATCAAAATTTCTAAAAACCAAACGGTAATTGGTTAATGAAAGAGCTCCAGGAACAGCACCCGTAAATGGACAAACATAGTTAACTGTTTTCTTTTCCAACTGACCAACAATCACTTCACCAGGCAATAGATCAACACCCGACTCATCAGGTTTATTAGTAAAGCTCATGATTCACTTTATAAAACCAGAATATGACCTGTGAGACTTGGGCAAGGCTACGAAGGTGGAATAAAACACTAAATAATTTTTACCATAGATGCTTCAGAGGCCAATTTTAATTAATATTGAGAAGACGAATTAAGGCCTGAAACAGCAAACAGAAGCAATGCACACAGGATTTAGGATTTGAAATTTTAAGGATACAAATACCAGTAGTACTCAGATCCTCAAGTTATTGGTTTACAACAAGTTGTAATTTTCACGGTAAATTAACAACTTGTTAATAACAAGTGCAACTCATTTTACAAAATGATTATCAAATAAAGAATGTATTTCTGATTTGAAATCAAAATTGCAGCAATCATTTATTAATAAAAAGATACAAAGAAGTAATGAGCAGGGCTTTTCATTTTCTATGCTGTTTGCATACTTTTTATCTATGAAGATAAACCGAAGAAAAGTCCATTGATTTTCAATGGGAAAAATTATCAACAAAATGGGTTAAAAAATGGTTGCATACTTTTTATCGGCGAAAATTAAGGTTGATAAAATTGAAAAGAGAAAGACAAAAGAAAGACAAAAAGATTATGCATCGGCATAAAATCTATGCTTTTGATTAAAAATATGACTGCATAGAAAATGAAAAGCCCTGGTAATGAGATGTGAAAGTATCCAAAAATGCGGATCAAAGGAAAGAAGTCTCAAGATTTGATCAACATGACAATTTTTTGTAAAGGGTGTAGCGGATAAAAAGGAAAATTTATCTTACCTAAAATTTTGATAGAGATGACGATTTATTGATAAATTGATTTTTCTACGTTTGTTTCTTCTTCAATTTTGCTATCTTCATTGATATCATGGTCAACGTCATCTTTATCAAAATTTAAGGTTAGATAAATTCTCCTTTTTATTCACAACACCCTTTAAGTAAACTTGAGGTTTTTTTGATAAATTAAATTTTTGATCAGCTAGACTCTGAATCTTCACTTTGATACTTTGAAGATTAGATATAAACACCAAGATTGATAAAGGAGGATGTCAAATTAATAGGGAAAATTGCCTGCACTCAAATCAATTTTTATAATTTTTTCTAATGTATTTTTTATGTTGATTTTAAAAATCTAAATCATTTTTTGATCCGAGGTACCGTTCGTAAGATATTCACGAAAAAAACAAAGAAAATTCATGTTAGCGAAATAATGAAACTTGATGAGGAAAAAGCAGAATTTCATGATGAAAAATTGTTTATATACTAAAAAAACAATGTAGATTTTAACACAGAAATTCAGTATTTCAGGATTAAAACAGAAAGAAAATATTGAAAAATCAGTTACTTCCTGTGAAAACTGTCTCAGTCGTGTTTTGATCTAAAACTGTCCATGTTCTAGGTTGCGCTTCTCGGTGAAACTTTTATTCTGTACATGATAAGCAATGCTGATTCCATATATGAGATTATTTTTAATCTGAAAATACGCAAAATAAGTCAATTATTGGAATACCTGTATGTATCCTGATTCGGTCATGATCAGTTCATCTTGTAGTTCGCGGCGCACAATGAAACTTCATCAGGGTAACCTATGCACGGAAATTATGGCACAAATTCAGATTTTTAGTGAAGGGAAGATTCGGCCATCATTCATTGGCAAAATTTTTTTCTTCAGTTGATTGTCGAGGTAAATTCGAGGTCTTTCTCTGATTTTTTGACCGGATTTTCCTCATGATATTCAAAATCATGGTAATACCTATAGGCAGTCCTTCTAGGTACACCAATCTCCACGAATTAATTAATTAAATCACTTTGCCGAACTTTATTTAGATGAAAAGATTTTCGCACGCATTTTGGTAGACATTTTTGAAAACACGAAAATTCTGCCTTTGTAAATGACTCATGCCTTTTTTCTTGCGATATTCTGAATCTACTTGCTTTAATTTACTTAATAAAAATCTCTTTAAGTTCCTAGCAACAAAATTAGTTTATAATTAAAGAGTTTTAATTTTGTGCCAAATTTTCCGTGCATAGGTTATATAAAAAGCAATGCTGATTTCATATCTGAAATCAGTTTGAATCTAAAATGGGGCAAAACTATTCAATTATTGGAAAAACTATATTTCGGTGTAGTTTAGACTTTTTTAGTTCATCTTGTAGATCGCGGCTTACAATGAACCTTCATCAGGGTATATAAAAAGCAATGCTGATATCATATCTGAAATCAGCTTGAACTTCAGAGGGCGAAAAATAAGCCAATTATTAGAATCACCTCAAAACCCAGGTTTTGCTGTTAAGCTTTCATTGTTCCAAAGCTCCTCTATTTATGTAATTTCAATTATATACATAATAAGCAAAGACGATCGTATATTCGAAATAATTTTTAGATTTTGTTAGCGCAAAATAAGTCTTAGCTATGCCTTATACAGTTTTTCCAATAATTGGCTTACAGTGATGTGCCAGATAATGAGAATAGGTGGAAATAGCTTATTTCCACTATTCGTCGGGCACTCGAATCTTTGATTCTCAATCTTGCTTAATAGATTGATTTCGCATAAAATTATCATTGCTATCTGCCCTCTTGAGTTTTTTAATTGATATTTCACGAAAGAAAATCAAATTAAGTTAATTAATAACTGAAAAATTCTAAATAAAATTTAGTCAAATTCAAATCAAATTTAACTCTTCTTCAATAGGGACCGTTGAAAAAATTATTCTCATTATCTGGCATTCTCATTATCTGGCACATCACTGTATTTTGCGCCCTCAAACTGATTTCAGATATGAAATCGGCATTTCCTATTGTATACCCTGATGAATTTTTATCGTGCGCCGCGATCGTCAAGATGAACTAAAAAAGTCTAAACTATACTTTATACAGTTTTTCTAATAATTGACTAGTTTTGCCCCATTTTAGATTCAAACTGATTTCAGATATGAAATCAGCATTGCTTTTTATATACCCTGATGAAGTTTCATTGTGCGCCGCGAACTACAAGATGAACTGATCATGACCGAATCAGGATACATACAGGTATTCCAATAATTGACTTATTTTGCGTACTTTCAGATTAAAAATAATCTCATATATGGAATCAGCATTGCTTATCATGTACAGAATAAAAGTTTCACCGAGAAGCGCAACCTAGAACATGGACAGTTTTAGATCAAAACACGACTGAGACAGTTTTCACAGGAAGTAACTAATTTTTCAATATTTTCTTTCTGTTTTAATCCTAAATATAAAATCTACATTGCTTTTTTAGTATATAAACAATTTTTCATCATGAAATTCTGCTTTTTCCTCATCAAGTTTCATTATTTCGCTAACATGAATTTTCTTTGTTTTTTTCGTGAATATCTTACGAACTGTACCTCGGATCAAAAAATAATTTAGATTTTAAAATCAACATTAAAAAATACATCAGGAAAAATTAGTCACGAAGTGTTCTGAAAATAGGCAACTTTTAACATCCTCCTTATGAATACTACTAGCACCACAAATGTTATTATTCGGCAAAAATCTTATTTTATTTATTGTAGTTTCTTTTTTACTCTTCGCTTAGTAAGGAACCATCGTTACCTCTAGTTTTGCCAATTGTAAATTGAGTTTCCATTAATGTTGTATACGTAAAAATTTCAACTAACAATATTGATTGTGAATCGTTTAATATGGTTGTGATTAAGTCAATTAAAGAGGACAGTTCAAAAATTCTATCTCTAGCTTACAAGGATAGAGAAAATGGCGATTTAGTTATTATCAACAAAGGTAAAAGATATAAAGTTCATAAAACTATTTTTCACTACGCCATACCTCATTTTGCTAAGATGTTTGCGTCTGGAATGAAGGAAGCTACCAGTAAAGAGGTAATACTTGACCATCCGATTGAATCATTTGAGATTATCATTGATTGGGCCTATTGTCAACCGATAGAGATTACCGATGAAAATGTTCGCGAATTATACCATCTAGCTGACTACTTTAATATACCTGATTTGGCCCTTGAATGTTTAATGATTTTATTAGACTGTTTTTCTGATCAACCGATGCTCGAGATAGATTATTGGAGGACCCAGGTCGGTGTAATTGACATTGGTAAAATTATTGACAGGTACATTTGTTTAAATTTTCGTAAGATTATATCAACTTCAAAGTTCCTCACTTATGATGTTGATACAGTTGACTACATAGTAAGTTGCAATAAATTGGATATTGACAAGGAAATTGAAGTGTTTGATGCTATTATGATGTGGATTTACGGGAATATCGAGAAAAACCTTGTCCATCTACCCAGGTTGCTCACCAAACTACACTGGTACTCTATCACCCATACAGAATTTATAGACAAAATTGCCTCTAATTCATGTATCAAAGGGAATAAAGATTGTCATGCTATCATCATGTCTGCCTTTGGATTGATTCACCTTGGTTCATCTGATTCGGCTATATCGCAAAATTTAAAACTCGAACCTCGTGACTTTCACGGTAGCCCTACACGTTTATTTTTCTTGACAGATGTATCTGAGTCCAAAAAGAAAGTCGAATGGTTAGATGACTTTGGAGGTGTACAAGAAATCTGTATACTCGACTATGACCCTACACTGGTTGCTCGAAGGCTGCAACATGCCCACATTTCTGAGCATTGTTTTTCTGATTATATCGTTCAAATAGACTGGAAACGCCGCCGGTGGAACCATTTTAAAAATGATGAACTGATAATTACTAAATTGTTTGAGCATGTAATTACATTTGAAAAAATTCCGTAAGTATTCTTTTTAGTAAAAATTTTTTTCACTTACCCTTTTTTCATTTCCTACTAGAGAAGGCAAAGTTTGTTTGAAAAAAGGACCACGAACTATTGAGCTCGCGCCCGTTGCATTGATTGAACACATTGATCATGATGGGCTTGAAATAAGATCGGTTACTCAATATAAAAGTTGGTTTTACACAATCGCAAAATCTTTTTGGTCAAAACATAAAATAGTTGTAGAGGAATTTCACCCCATGGAAAATATTTGGAAATTAGTATCAAATGATATTTCTGCCGAATACCAACATTACGAAGAGCATGGACGTAACAAGAACAAACATTTAGCTTTCGGCGACTATCTAATTCTGTTTCTGGATGATTCTTGTTCCATTTATGATATTAATTCCAAGGAGTGGAGTCATCAACAAAATCCGATACGTGGTTCAACGTCGAATACGGTATTTTGTGTTCATCAATCAAAATTACTAGCATATGACTTTTGTCAACACATTCTACGTGAATTTACAATCGCTTCTGGTGAGCTTGTCAGTTTAAGTGAAAGAAAGATCAAAGACGGTCCAAAATCTTCGGAAATATTTTCAGCATCACGTGAATTTTTGAAGTACTCGCATGAAACATGATAAGTTAAATCGATCTGAAATATTGAAAATAATCTCAAAAACATTGCAGAAATTGAAAAATACACAGGCTTTGAAGGCATTTTTTCATATAATTGTAATGTGAATAATGTACTCGTTAAATAAATTGTTGTGGTGCTCAATTCAAATCATTTCAAAAATTCATTAGTTTATACTGTCAACTAATCTACTTTAACGAATTGTAAAGAAGCACCAAATATAATGTAAAAAATATATTTGATAAATTATTTATTCTGTGTTGGTTAGAAAAATTATTCAAATTAAATGATTATTATCCTCTTGCTAAAAGAAAGCCTTGTGTTTGACTTGAACGGATATCATTTCAAGGTATGTTTCGATGTGCATCGTTGATTGAGCCTTGTTTATGATAATTTAGTGATAATGTTTGGCAAATAAGAGTTATTTCCTGACAATCACTTTGGTTGGCTGGGTAAGATCATAATGAAATTTGGGATTAAATAAATTTTGAGTTATGAATTATAGAAATGACAACAATTTATTTTGTAAAGAGTTAATTTGAACGGACGATAGAACTATTGGGGGAAAATAATTACATTTCAAGGGTGTCTATAATTAATAACAAAAAAATATAGATTGGATATGTTTACATGATAGAAATATGGTTTTTTTACAGTGGGTTTGCGGAGGAATGTTAACCAGTTGATAACAGAAGATGAAAATATAAAAATTGCATTGAACAATTAACAGTTAATCATTGAATCGGAAAACTGAGTATTACAAAAAATTTGCAACGTTTCTTGAGCAAAAAAGTCTTTAGGAGTTTGTTGGTCGTTTTTACAGAATTGAAGGTTGAAGTAGAATCACAGGTTGAGTCAATATTTAAAAATGTCTAAATTACTAAATCATATCTAATTAAAGTTGTATGAATGCATCAAATGAGTTTGAATACCTGAGTACAGTCATCATTTATTGCAGAGCATTTTGTCGTTTAACCCCAGAGTCCTTTTCCACCTCCGACGGCCTTTTTGACTCCTGCTCCTCCTGCAGCTCCTGCTGCTTTCTTGAAGCCAGCTGAGCCAGCAGCTCCTGCTTTTCCAGCGGTCTTGAATCCTGCGCCAGCGGCGAAGCCTTTCTTTCCACCCTTGGCACCCTTCTTGAAACCAGCGGCACCAGCAGCACCAGCCATACCTGCCTTAACACCCTTAGCTCCGATAGCACCACCAGCAGCACCGAAACCAGCAGCCTTACCGAATTTGAATCCTATTACAATAAAATTTTGATTAGTATGATTCTCTGAGTTGAAATATGAACGCTGTCTGGGTAAATACTAACCTTGGCTGACTCCGAACTTTTTGACGACTCCGATTTTCTTGTTGTAACCAGCTCCACCGGCCTTGACGAAACCTCCCTTCTTACCGAACTTCTTGCCGAATGCTCCAGCAGCGAATCCCTTTTTCACAGCAGCGCCCTTTTTACCTGATAATAATGAATAATTGACAAGAATGTTAGTTGAAAATGTTTTTCATTGGCAAACCAATGCGATTTATAGAGACGAGTACTAACCTCCTGCAGCTCCAGCGGCACCATAAGCAGCACCACCTTTGGCACCTTTGGCTCCTGCTTTGAAGCCAGCTTTACCAGCTTTGCCTGCCTTGAAACCAGCGGCAGCAGCACCTTTTTTGCCACCTTTGTGTGCAATGACAGCAGCTCCGCCTTTACCTCCGTAACCAGATTCAGCGCCTTCTAAGTCGGATCCGATTTCTCGCTTGTTTCGACTTTCAATAGCACCATCGTCAGTGTCATCAAATTCAGAGTTTTCCTCGGTATCTTCTAATTCATTTGGATCAACATCAGATTGACACTTTCCAAAGTTAACCAACATCAAGGAGAAGATAGATAAGAGAAGAACCTAAAGATTGAAACAATGATGGAGGAAAAACAAAGGTAACACAATATTTAGTTATTAACTGTAAACAAAAAGTAAATCCATGGAAAATTAAAAATAGTCAACAATTTGAACTGTGACCAGATAAAGAAATTATTCTCACCAATCGCATATTCATTTTTGCTGATTTTAAACACTAAGAATAATTATAAAAATGAATGTTAAATGTAATGTTAACAAACACAGTAAATTAATCCGTGGATTAGGCACAAAAGATTTGCTGCAACTTTGCTGTTGTTGTACACTCTGATTTGTTGACAACTCAACTAATGATCAACTATGATCCAAGAATCACTATTTATACCATTTTAGAGGACCAAACATTTGAGCACTCGAATTAAAAGCATTTCCCGTTGGATTGACCTTAGAGAAGGGAAAAGGAGAGAAAACGTCTTAAATTTTGTTGACTGTCAAAAAAGGATAACCCGTTGAAAGGAGAGTTGGCGAACGAGGGAAAAAAGAAAGAGTCTGTGAAAGTGAAAAAGGGAGGAGGAAGTATGCATTTTTGAGTTCCAAATGTTAAGGTAAATCAAAATGATAAACTGACAAACCAAAAAAAAACATAATTGTACAAAATTTAAAGTCTAAGTTTACCTGACAGGGAATGATCTTGAATTAAGGTCCATTACACTTGGACGATTTTCACTGTTTCTTTGTGTAAACTCTATCGTCCGTTTGTTGATTCTTGTGGCCGTCGGGATAAACCAGACTAAAAAAACTTGTCCGATTATAATAGATTAACCTTCATTAAGAGTTAATTTCACAATTTAACAGCGCGGTTCAACACATTTCACATTTTAATTCATCCAAAAGCGCAACTTAACTGTCTCATCAATTAATCGTATCCACTGGTTACACCTATCGATTACAAGGTAACAATAGATGAAGCATTTGCGTAAGTGAAACAATTAGTAAATCAATTTCAAAATGTTCAAGTTAAACATGATCAAATGTAATATCGTAGATGGAACCAATAAATATCTTAAAATTCATTAACTATTACCAAGATGAAGGCCATAAACAAACCTGAGGCTGTGAATAGTGACTGGCCATTTGTTACCTTATCTAAATGTAATTCATATTAAACATGAAGACAACAACAGCATTAACAATCAATTAATCAAAAAGTCTTAAAATTCAACAAGTGACATGAAAATGAAGTAAATAATCATTTTAATTGAACATTTTATCAAAAACTGGATTCAAATAGAGCCTTGAAAATATTGCATACAAATTATTTAATAAAAGACAAACCAAAGTCTAATTGGTATCGAATCCATCCAATGGGTTAAACAAGGTCCATTGACCAGTTAAACCCAATTAGATTCTTGTTCGTTTCTTTACCTCTAATTTACAAAACATTAACCAGTTGATTGACTCGATTTCAATCAAAGCTATCCCATAATTAGCAGGGAATAGCCCAAAGAATTAAGGTTTCATTACTAGCAATCAATCTTCCTGCTTAAAGCGGTTCTTTTCAAACCCAAAGTGCTTTCCAAATGTAATTTAAATTGTAATTCAAGTTGATTCTTAATGTAAATAGCTGACAATTGTAAAGAAATTTTGATTACACTTGGCAATATAAACAAATGTCTAATGTTATTGACTAACCATCTTGTTATTGATACAAACTGTTGACAATAAAATGGTTAATATACAATTGACCAGAAGGCATATTATTTTCCCATTCAACCTCAACAATCATAAGAAGCATATTTATCATCTTAATTGTTGATCATGATCTAGACAAACAAGTTTAGAATCAAAAAATATTGAAGTTATTATTAAAATGAAAGGAAAGAAGAGACTTGGTGAAATTGGTTGTAACTAGAGTTGTAGCAATACATTGGCTATTTGGTGTTGATTACGGATGAATCTGGTAATATTTTTGTTGTTGGACCTTAACGTCATGGATTTTCCCTGATCTAATGAAATTTCATGGAAAGTTTCTAGTTTCAGTGATGAACACTCTGGTAACGTAAGAAAAGTTCATGTTTTTTTTATCAGAAGCAATATTCAAGTTCATCACTCATTTCTGAAACTTGTTTTGCTCTTCATTTCTCCCTCTTATACTGAATAATATTTACTCTCACTTTCACTAATATTTAATTAATCTGACCGTCCATCAGTTTAGACGATGATAAACTTTAAAACAGATTCATTTAAGTTACTAACAGTGATCGGTTCAAGTTAACTCAACATCTTTTCCTCAAGTCCACCAGTCAACTCCTTAAACCAATTTGATTAATATTATTTAATTGTAACCATGTTTTCCACAAAATGTAAGCTTTAATTGTAATATTTAACAATCTTAACAATCTCAATATTAATCAATATTTTTCCATCTTTTGTTTACTCTCAATACATGTTGATGTTCACTGGATTGTTTGGTTACCATTGTGATCGCATTCACTTTTGGATTGTTTTTGCCCAACATCAATTTATTTTGTCCATTCTAATTAGTTTTAATTTGTTTAACTCTCGGAATTGTTTTGTTAATTGTAAACCCTTGTGAGGCTCAAAGAAAGCGAACCAAACCTTTACCAGAATGTCACTGGGAAGGAATGGATGAATGCATCAAACCGCTCTTCTACTTCAGCCATCGACCCAATACAACTGGACTTGCCTTGAATCGCCGAGAACATGCTTTGCTTTGCAGGTAAATTACTTCACAATTAACTCGAAATACTATCAAAGGTTTTAATTAGTCGAGAGTCAAAGATGATACCAGAATATAAATTAATACACTTTCAACAACTAATCTTTACCTTTCAAATTCAGTCTCCTCGATCGATTACAGTTAGCTTTTTAAAGCAACCCAATCTGGTTTACCTTGATCGTTTCGTTATTGCTAAATTGTTGAGTTAAATTTTCCAAAATATCTTCTAATCACAAAAAATCAGATTAAATCAGCTTTACTCAGCATTTACAGGTCAACTTATGATTAAAATATTGTTGCTATTTTCCTTCAATAACCAAAAATTTTTATTAACTTTACGCTACCTTGAAAGTGTCATCAAAATTGTTAGCGAGAAACCATTTGATTTTAAGATTACTTTCAACTTCGCAATCTTTACAATCAAGATTGACAATTAAGAAACTCAAGACCAGTTCTTCAGCCCTAAACCCAAACACATTGTTACAATGTAAAGCTAACAATCGTTTAGACTTTACCAAATCAATCTTTTAATTTCAATACTAATCTAATTCATCTTGTAATGCTTGATATTTAGGTCAATCAAAAATGTAACTGATTGTGTCCAAGATTTCTTTACCCGGTGTGGAACTGCCTTGTCGCAGGAAATGTTTGTTTTGGTCAATGAAGTTTATGTCAACAATGTGAAACCATTTTGTCGCAATGGAGACACCAAAAACAGTACGTAACCATCTTGAACAATCAACTTCTGATGATGATTTGAATTTCCTTGGGACAAGCCAATGAACTATTATTTGCTTCATTTTCATTCATTTTCATTGTTAAATCTCAAAACCTTGAAGTAAAGGATTGTGGTTGCCTTTAAATTTTCAGGGTTAGGAATTCAAAGCGATCACCTTTGATTGAAATCATTGATTTAATCGGATCACTTCACTTTAATTGTAAATAATCAGCATCCAAATAACCAAAACCAACATTCATAAACCTCTTTAGCGACACCAATTTTGACAAATTTAGGCACTTCAATGAAATCATTGTAAATAGACTTGATCATTGGATTGCTTTAATTGTCAAATGTTAATAGTTGTTTGTTTTTGCCTTCTTAACCATTTAAGATTTAGTTTCTTCATACATCTAATTAGATGTTTAATTAGCAACATTTTTCCGCAATTAACAACTTCTATTTCCTTTATTGTTTCAAGAAACTGTTTAACTTCAGTGTTTGATGGATAGAGCCTAAAATTTCCTGTAACGTTTTGAGAAGGGCAAATTTTATTTCCAGGATTGTAATAATTTATAAATTCATATTTTACCAATCAATTAGTCTGTATTAATATATGCGAGAAAGCAAAACACATTATAACTGCTGTTAATTGCCTTATGATTGACAATGACTGAATAGTCAATTTCATTAACAAACACTAAAAATACTCGACTTGAGGAAAGCTTTTTCACTATCATTATTAATCCTCAGCCAAAAATTTAACCAACCATGGCAGTCAGTTATGACCTTTTTTCAGATATACCATGAAAATGGCCGAGGACAATAATCAGGTGAAAACGGAAAATACTAAATAGTATTAAATTTGTCAAAAAATAGCTAAAATGTGCACAAAAAATCATGAACAGCAATTGATCGGATGTAAACAGATTAATTTTAATTTGGTTATAAGCCAAGTTTAAGATTATTTTGAATGCTCTAACCTTTTACGTACCAAAATGAATATCTTCCAATCCTAACTGATTTTTAATTCACGGCTAAATTAAAGATTGGTTCAAGTCATCTTAAATCTCAATACGATTATGATTTTAATATCAATTGATCTTCTTTCTTATTTTCCTTGATTTTCATTAGATTACTTGGAACATGCAAGATGTGTAAATAATGTTCAATTGACTCAACAATTTAGACGTAAATGTGTAAGCAGATTCCAGGCCACATTGGAAAGCATGGAGGAACAAGTTGATTACTCTAATAGAATCGGATTAGCTTGTTGTGGATATCGAGCTTGGCTTGATTGCTCTACAGAGTAAGCTTCAATTTAACATTTTAATTGCTTACCAATTACTGTTATCTAATTTTCTTTCGTTTCAGGTCTATAAAAGAGGAATGCCAACCTGGAGATAATGCGGCTCAAGCCTTTATTGATTATTTCAATGCCTTCACTGGAGGTATGTTTTAATGAAACAATCTGAATTGCTATGTTACTTAATTTATTAACTGGTTTGTTTAATTTTCAGGTGTCCCTCGCTATGTGTGCCAACCAAAGAAATATGATCCTGAGTCAAAGTTTTGTCGCAAGGTTTTACCCACCGTTCGTCGAAGACCAAAAGGACGTAACAGTGACAATGTTTTCTCCAAATATTTTTCACTCTTCTATCCAAACATTGGCTTTTAAATAAACTGATCTAATTTTTATGTTTTAATATTATATAATTGGAATAAAATCTTTTGCCATTGCATGAAATAGTTCACAAAAAAATCTACAATTTATGTGATTTCTGGTGCCATTTCAATTTAATGCGAGGTTAAACTTCAAGTAGCCTATTGTACCAAACCAGATTATTTAGTATGGATAAAGCCTGAAATTAGACTTTTTAAACCATTTCTAGGGATACAACATTCGCTTCTGATTTAAATGATGTAAACTATTCTTCAAAAATATTTGGCTCGCAAATTATTGAATAAAAACCACCGAAACAACGCGAAACTGGGTAATCATATTGTTTAACATTCAGCAAATGAAAAGAATGAATCGAACATTATTTACAACATTTGATTGATAATAGCTTTAAACTATTAATAGATGCTTAAAGCGAAATCGTTTTCTCTATCCTTTTGGCTTTCCTCCTTTGCATAATTTTAACTGAAATGGGTTAGATTTTGATTGAATAAAAATAATCGTGATTTTTTTATATTAAATATTTACTTTTATACCTTTGAAAAAAACTTTTCCTGTGTATTGCAATATATTGGAAATATTTGACAGCGATAGAAATTTTTTTAAAATTTATCAACAATACCATTCAAAAACATAATAAATCAATAAATAGTGAATTAAGCTTTCCGAGCTTAATACGTAAACGGGTAAACAAATGAAATATCGACTCCTTTGCCCATTGCAGGTTTGCTGATTGACGGGTTGAAGAGTCAAGTGACGAGAATAAATTATTAGGCTAATTATTTACAGGTGAATGGATGATAATTATTGCTAGTTTGATTATTGTTAAGTAAAGGTGCATCAATAGCTTATGATGTTGATGATGTAACTGAATCATGTAAATTGGAAGGAACAAAAATTTTCTCGTAAACATCCATTGGTGGTAATTCAATCAGCAAATGTTTATCTTTGTCATAGGCACTGAGCACAGTTTTCCTGAATTCATCCAACTGTTTGAGAACTTTGTTCTGAAAATAAAAGAATAAAATGAATCATTAATTAAAATTATCGGTAAAAATATAATATATTCAATAAATAATCAACAAACCTTTATTGGTTTGAAGAGAATGTTTTCCGTGTCAGGATTAGCAAGGTAGAGCGACATTGATTTACGTATAGATGAATTAGTTGATTCTAGGTGACTTGTTAATTCTTTAAGAACCTTATTAATTTCTTCGATTGTAGGTAAATTAGTTGAAGGAGTTTTGATGCACCTTCGTAACAGTTCAAGATGTGATTTAATTGGTAGCAACATATTGTTGGCACTGGAGCTGATGAACTTTTCACAGATACTTTTAATTTCGGTGTCAACGATTTTTTGAGGATCCAAAACATGGTCAATCACTTGAGGAGCTCCCTGCAGAAAAATAATAAAACAATAGATTAGTTAATGAATCAATAAATACTAACTTAAAGTAAAAAGCTGATACTAACAGGAACTTCGAAAAGAAATTGAAGTAATCCATTGCTACTTTTAAGGCTGAAAAAATTACGATTGTTGAATAGATTCATTGCTGCTGTTTTGACTCGCTCGAAATCAATTTCAACTTCTCGGACAATACATTCAATCCTAAATGGCGTGATTTGCTCTCTAACAATCAATAAGTGTTTGATCAGAAAGAGGCTACCATCAGATGGACTTTTATTTTTACTAATCTCGGACCCAGCTCGTTTTAATGACTCCAAACAGCCAGCAACAACTTCTTGGGCTAATCCTTGGAATGCAGGTTTATCAAGGGATCGATAAAGCTTAGCAAGACACATGATCGTTCTCCGAACTGTTGGATACCACATTCCATGAATATCTGCTGGAGATCGTGATGCATATCTACCGAAAGAGGAATCATTGTAAGTTGCTAGAGAAATATCCGATAAAGTGGTCGATGTAATGGAAGACAACGAATCACTTCGAACTAAAGGGCCAGGTGAATTGGTAGATAAACATTCAGCAATACTCTCCATCATTTCAAGTTTATCTGGATAAGCAAGATCACCAGGAGCTGGTACATATTCAATAAGGTTGGTTTGAATATAAATAGCAGTTCGGTAGACTAGACGCTCTTGGACATCTTGTAGCAATGAGTTCAATGCCCGACCGAAGGAAAGTGTTTCGTTTCCTTGAATCAAAGAAAACTCTTCTGTCCCTTCACTTCTCAATATACAACAAAGTTCAGATAATGTTTCCAAATGATTGATGTGAATAACAATAGGACGAAGGACATTGTATAATTGGACACAAAGAGTTTCAAGAAAATCGATCAAGAATTGGGATGGAGAAGTAAAAAATTGATAGAAAAGTTGATGTTCATCTTTGCAAATATGTACAAGCATACGACAAGTGTTGCGACTAAGGGTACAGTAACTGCGTCCGTAGGAAGTCACTGTGTCATCGATGGCTGCTGTTAATACTGGAACAATGAGGGATTCTCGAACTTGGAAATACACTTGATGGCATTCGTCGAGATACTGTTGATAAAGTGGATTGTTTTCAGCTCTTTCCTCGATCATTGTGACTAGGGATTTGATTCTAGCACAAGAAGATTGAAATCTGCCATAGAAAAGCGAGAAGACAGAATCGTTATCAGATAAAACTTTTCCTGATTCCGGCATAACTGATTTAGCAGCATTTTGAATAGAGTTTATCACGTATTTTTTGATGGTTTCCAGGGCTGTGTCTTGTAAAATCTTATATTGGTCAATGAAGTGTTCACTCTCTTTATAGTTTGATTTGCAGGCAAGAAAATTGATACATTCGTCGAGTCTAGTTAAGGTCGGCATTAAAGATTCATTGAGAATCAATACAGAAGATGAACCGAGTTTCTTGGTCATAACTTCCAGTTCTTTGAAATAATTAAGTTTCTCATTGATTGCCTCGACCGCCATGATTAAACTCCTTTCTTGTTGTAAAATATTTTCACACATAGAATGAACTGATGTTATTTTACTCGCCTTGGAGTCAAACATCTTCTTGAGATAGTAAAGATTATCCAATAAACATTCAATTTGCTTGGAAAGCGTCTGACATAGGTTAAGATTGTCCTGTAAACATTTAAATCTAATTTCATCTTCACTTTCCAAAGTTGTCTCTACAGAGTCAAACCAGCGTTCAATATCTCGTAAGGTGCTGAAATTATTGACAGCATCACCAATCATTGTTGAATCACTGTCATCTTTGATGATACCTTCACTAAGGTTTGACTGTTTCCTATCTCCTCCTGATTCAATATCATACGGTGATGATGATTCTTGAGTTGTCAATTTTTCCAACCTCTCTAGTAAAGCCAATTGTTTAGGTGACAATGGACACAGTCGTGAATCCTCCGCTTCCCAGAGGTCATAAACATTTGCTGTTAACTCAAACATAGCTGTCACATATATTTCGAGATGATATTTATTGCTTTAATTAAAATATCACATTGAAAATAATGCAGTAGAGGTGCGTTGTTTTCACTAATTTGGTTAACACAACCAGTAACTGCGTTTACTTCACCCCCAGTTACAAGTAACCGGTAACTCGGTGGTTACAGATACTCTGCCGCCAAATTCAAAAGTTGAAAACCTAAATTTTTCACCAATTTAATTTGTAATCAAAAATTGAATAAATATTATAAATTATAGAAAACAATAGTATCAACAAGTCAATTATTCAAGCAGATCATATCAGAAGATTGAAGAGTTTAAGCATTAAAATTAATAATATCAGTCCTCAATCAATGAAAATAAAAATAACTAATTCGGCAGCTGAACAAAAATGTATTTCGTGAATGTATGAACATGCATCAAAATAAGGTCTGTAAGATTATAAATGGTTTAATGGGCTACTCAATTACAATCAAGATGAATTGATTACAATCGATGAAAAAAATCGCATAGAATCCATAATGACATAAGAATTGAATTTAATCTTCGATCTTTTCTGGTGTTGGTTTACATGGTTGAACAAGTTTCTCTGTAAAATTGACAATTGTGAAAGTGATCCGGGCTTTTGATTCATTTATTATATCGAAATAACCCAAATACGATGCATATGTATCTCGCTGTTGATTAACCTGCTATGCATATTAATTTGAATCAGCATGACCAGTACCAATGTATTTAGATTGTAAATGTTATATCTTTCAGTAATCTTGGTTCACTTTACGGACAGTAAAGTGAACTCCTTGAATAAAATTATCTGTAATAAGCATAAACATAATTTCAGTTAATTAATAAAATACATGTTAACTTCGTATCTGTAGTCAAAATTAATTACTTATTTCTTTGCGCTCGACCATAAATTTATAAAATAAAAATTAAAAATTACGTTACGGTCATAGAATTTGTCTTTAAACTGATTTGCCTTATGTAAAATTTGAGGTTTCATCAGAAAATAGTGTTAATTTAAGGGTCAAAAGCAAGAGAGGCAATAGTATTGTATTAGGTACTTTTTCTGGTAAACATCTTCTGGTTTCTGGTTTGCAATTGTGAAAGTGCAAATACTTGTGTTTTCTTTGATAGTAGGTTATTTATTAGGTTATAAATGTATCGCCCAAGGCAATAATGATATATTCATGCAACTCTAAAATTTCTATGATCTATAGTTTTCGTTCGAACCGCGTTCGAAGATTAAATTTCAATTGCATTTTGTACAGTTATGGTTATTTATTTTCACTCCATACTGATGTTAGAGATGCAGCTTTTAATGGTCAATAGGAAAATGCACTTATTATGGTAGATATAATTTTCTTTTTCTTGACAATTGGTCATTTCGATTTTCGATTCAAAGCTCTATTTTCGAGCAAAGGAAAATGCTAAAGAGCTGAAACTTGTTTTATATCAACAATTATTGTTAGTGAACATGAAGAACTGAAAACTTTTGTCAATTTAGCAATAGTAGGCTAGATTCTGACAATTGGATGCAAAACTTCGAGTCTCGATAATTAGAGAATGATAACACTTATAGTTGCCAATCTTTCGATAAATATGCCATTGGATTAGGTACTATGCTACACGGAAGTCTGAGGTCATGCAACATAATAAACGAAAAGTTATAGAATTTCTTAAGTTGCCAGATTATTGCTTGATTTATGTATGAAAATGTTTGCAGCTTCACCAGTTTGTGTCTGTTGGTGCAGTAGGTTGGGTCCATTGTTCTTTGTATTCATCCATATAGAATTGTAGCCAATAGCATAGCCAATAGAATGCCATAGCATATTACTCGAGAGAATGAAGAACATAAGTGACACTATTCTCGAAATATCGAGGCTCAAAGTTTTGGGCCCAATGTGCAAAATCTAGACAAATAGCGTCAAATTGACACAAATTTTTAGTCGTTGATGTTCCCCAACAATACTTGTCGAGCCATAATTAGTTTCAGCTCTTTGGTTATTTGCATTGTCCGCAAAAAGAACTTTCAATCGAAAATGAATATGACCGAATTTACATAGCCAAAAAGTTATATCCGCCAAAATATTTGCATTTTCAGGTTTGTAATTGAAAGTAGAATTCAGAGCTTCAATTAGATGCCAATATCTATAACCATAACTGTGAAAATGTTCACTGTTCTTCGTGCGAAAGCTAAGAAACAAATGCAGAAGAAGCAACAGTATTGTATTAGCATTGTAAGTATCTTTCTGGTTAACATCTTTTGATTTCTGGTTTACAAATGGAAAGAATGCAAATATTTGGACTTTTATTGCATCAACGTTATCCATTAGGCTGACGCTGCATTGAATGAGCTATTCGAAATTCATTTCTGCGACTTACAAGTTTCTACGATGCTTAGTTCTCGAGAAAACCGCGTTCGAAGCTGAAACTTCGATTGCATTTTGTGCAGTTATGATTATAGATATTGGACTCTTATTGAAGCCCAAAATTCTTCTTTTAATAACGAACCAATAAATGCACTTATTTTGGCTGATATAATTTTATTTTTTTGTAAAATCGGTCATTTCGAATTTTAATTTAAAGTTCTTTTTTCGAAAAACAAAGATAGCTATAGAGCTGAAACTAATTTCTGATGGACAAAAATTTCTGGTGAACAGCAACAATTAAAAATTTGAGTCAATTTGTCAATAGTTTTATAGATTTTGGACATCGATTGTGAGACTTTGAGCGCCGATATTTCGAGAATGATAATACTTATGATCACAAATCTTTCCTTAAATATGCTAATTTACAATTTGCTATAATATATGAAAGTTTAAGGTCACTCAAGAATACAAAATAGAAGTTATAGCATCTATTACTTTAGTTGTCTTATTATTGTTTGATTTATATACGAAAATGATTTTAATAGCTTCACCTGTTTGTGTTTGTTAATACACGAGGCAGGTACTAACATCTTTAGTATTTATGCATATTAAACTGTTGCGCATAATGCCGTAGCATATTTCTTCAAAGAATGATGGCCATGAGTGACACTATTCTCGAAATATCGAGGCTCAAAGTTTTGACACCAATGTCCAAAATCTAGAAAACTAACGAAAATTCGACACAAATTTTCAGTCTTTAGTGTTCTCCAAACAGTTCTTGACGATGCAAAACAAGTTTCAGCTCTTTAGCTATTTTCAATGTCCGAAAAAAGAACTTTAAATCGAATATCGAATTAACCGATTTTACAAAAAAATAAAATTATATCAGCCAAAATAAGTGCATTTATTGGTTTGTTATTAAAAGTAGAATTCTGGGCTTCAATAAGAGGCCAATATCTATAATCATAACTGCACAAAATGCAATCGAAGTTTCAGCTTCGAACGCGGTTTTCTCGAGAACTTAGCATCGTAGAAACTTGTAAGTCGCAGAAATGAATTTCGAATAGCTCATTCAATGCAGCGGCAGCCTAATGGATAACGTTGATGCAACATAAGTCAAAATATTGGCATTTATTATTTTAGCAGAAGAAGAAACCAGAAGATGTTTACCAGAAAAGAGACAATTACTTGATAATACAATTCTTTCGCTTCTCTCGCTTTTATCTCGAAAGTTTTCAGTCTTTTGGAGTCCTCTTGATTATTCTGACTTGGTTCTAATAACTTATAGTAATAAAAGCAAAAAAAGGTTTACCAAATAAGGACTAAACACGTACTTTTACTAGTAAATTTGACGAACTTTTAGGGGCATTCAAATGAGATTATGTGTGATTGGAACATTATTTCTGAATTGGGGCTTCGCTTTTCAAGTCATTATGAATTAAGAGAAGTTAAGACTTGCGTTGGAACATAGAAATTACGTTTATTTGTAAGTTTCTTCGTGCGAAAACTGAGAAACAAAAGCAGAAGAAGCAACAGTATTGTATAAACATTGTAAGTATCTATCTAGTAAACATCTTCTGGTTTCTGGTTTACAAATGAAAGAATGCAAATATTTGGACTTTTGTTAATTTAAGGATATTCATTAGACTGCGATTACATTAAATGAGCTTTTGGAAATTTATTCTTGCGACTTACAAGTTTCTCCGATGCTTAGTTCTCGAGAAAACCGTGTTCGAAGTTGAAACTTCAATTGCGTTTTGTGCAGTAATGGTTATAGATATTGGCATCTTATTGAAGCTCAGAGTTTAACTTTTAATATTAAACCAGAAAATGCACTTGTTTCTGCAGATATAACTTTGAAGTTCTGTAAATTCAGTCATTTCGATTTTTGATTTAAAGTTCTTTTTTCGGACAATGAAAAACGCTAAAGAGCTGAAACTAATTCTTAACTGAGCAAAAATTGTTGGTGAACATCAACGAATAAAAATTAGTGTCAATTTGTCACTATTTTTCTAGATTTTGGATATTTGTCCCAAAACTTTGAGGTCCGATATTTCGAGAATAGTGTCACTTATGGTCATCATTCTTTCGAGGCATGTGCTACGGCATTATGCGCAATAATTTAATATGGATGAATACTAAAGATGTTAGTACCTGCCTCGTCTACCAACATAAATAAACTGGTGATGCTGCAAAAGCATTTGTCTTCATAAATTAAACAATTCTCTGACAGCTTAAGTAACAAAATGCTATAGCTTTTCGTTCATACTCTTACCTGACCTTAGACTTCCGTATATTGTAGCGCCTAATAAAATAGCACATTTACTGAAAGATTGAATATCGTAAGTGTCATCATTCTCTAACTATCGAGAGTCGAACTTTTGCTGTTAATGACCGAAAACTAGGAAACTAAAGATAAATTGACAAAAGTTTTTATTTGCTCATATCAATCAACAATGTTTGTCGATTCAAAACAAGTTTCAGCTCTTTAGCTATTTTCGTTTCTCGAAATTAGAGCGTTGAATCGAAAATCGAAATAACCAGTTATCCATAAACAGAAAACTTTTTGTTTCAAAATAAGTACATTTTCCGATTGACCATTAAAAGCTGCATCTCTAACATAAGTAAAGTGGGAAAATACATGAACATAACTGTACAAAATGCAATCGAAGTTTTAACTTCGATTGCAATTTTACCGAAAACTATAGATCTTAGAAATCTTTTAGTTAGACGAACAAGCTAAGACTACTTTGTTCAATGTATTCGCAACCAAATAAATAACCTAATATCAAGAGAAGTCCAAGGGTTTTCTTTTTACCAGAAACCAAAAGATGTTTACCAGAAAAGATGTTTAATAATGATTTACTATTGCTTCTCTTGCTTTTGCTTCTTAAATTAACACCAGTTTCGTTTAAAGGCAAAGCCCCAATGGTTTGTGAACATCAAAAACTGAAAACTGCTGTCAATTTATCGATAGTTTGCTAGAGTGTGGACATTGGCTGCAAAACTTTGAGCCTCGATATTTCGAGAATAGTTCACTCATGGCCATCATTCTTTCGAGAAATATGCTACGGCATTATGCGCAACAATTTAATATGGATGAATACTAAAAAGGTTAGTACCTGCCTTGTGTATTTACAAACACAAACAGGTGAAGCTGCAAAAAGCATTTTCGTTTATAAATCAAACAATAATAAGACAACTCAATTAATAAATGCTATAACTTCTCGTTCGTACTCTTGGGTGACTTTAAACTTCCATTTATTATAGCAAATTATAAAGTAGCATATTTAACGAAAGATTTGTGATCATAAGTATTATCATTCTCGAAATATCGGCGCTCAAAGTCTCACAATCGATGTCCAAAATCTATAAAACTACCGACAAATTGACTGAAATTTTTAATTGTTGCTGTTCACCAGCAATTTTCGTGCATCAAAAATTAGTTTCAGCTCTATAGCTATCTTAGTTTTTCGAAAAAAGAACTTTAAATTAAAATTCGTAATGACCGATTGTACAAAAATATAAAATTATATCAGCCGCAATAAAAGCATTTATTGGTTTGTTATTAAAAGTAGAATTCTGGGCTTCAATAAGAGGCCAATATCTATAACCATAACTGTACAAAACGCAATCGAAGTTTCAACTTCGAACGCTGTTTTCTCGAGAACTAAGCATCGGAGAAACTTTTTAATGGCAGAAACAAATTTCTAATAGCTTATTCAATGTAGTCTCACTCTAATGAATACCCTTAAAGCAATAAAAGTCCAAATATTTGCAAGATGTTAACCAGAAAGATGTTACTAACCTTACTAATACAATATTGTTGTTTCTTCTGCTTTTGTTTTTCAGCTTTCGCACGAAGAACAGTGAACATTTTCATAGTTATGGTTATAGATATTGGCATCTAATTGAAGCTCTGAATTCCACTTTCAATTACAAACCTGAAAATGCAAATATTTTGTCAGATATAAATTTCTGGCTATGTAAATTCGGTCATTTCCATTTTCGATTCAAAGTTCTTTTTGCGGACAATGCAAATAACCAAAGAGCTGAAACTAATTTTTGCTCGACAAGTATTGTTGGTGACCATCAACGACTAAAAATTTGTGTCAATTTGACGCTATTTGTCTAGATTTTGCACATTGGACCCAAAACTTTGAGCCTCGATGTTTCGAGAATAGTGTCATTATGTTCTGCATTCTCTCGAGTAATATGCTATGGCATTATGCGCTACAACTTAATATGGATGAATACAAGAAACAATGAGTCTAGCCTGCTGTACCAACAGATAAAAACTGGCGAAGCTGCAAACGTTTTCGTAAATAAATCAATCAATAATCTGGCAAAGTTTCAACTTCGAACGCTGTTTTCTCGAGAACTAAACATCGGAGAAACCTCTAAGTCGCAGGAATCAATGATAAATAGCCTTTTCGATGTAATCGCATCCTAATAAATAACCTTAAAACAAGAAAAGTCCAAATATTTTGCATTCTCCATTTGCAAACCAGAAACCAGAAAATGTTAACCAGAAAGATACTTAATACAATATTGTTGCTTCTTCTGCTTTCATTTGTCTATTTTCGGACGGAGAAACTTCGCAATTGCACAAATGACCATTTCCATGACGCACCAAGTCCAAAAAGTCCTAGCTCGTACTAACTCGAAAAGAGAGAGCTTCTGTTCCTTACTTCTTCTTGTCAATACGTTTTTTGTCAAATGAAAATGTTTGAGCTCTCCTCTACGATTCACAAATAAATTGGCATAAATTGTAGTTACTTTAGCTATATATAAACATTGGATTGGTCAGGCTGAAGATGGAAATTATTAATATAAATAAGACACTTGAAATGTATCAAAATAAGATCTGAAGTGTTTCATTGAAGTTTTAAGTTTTATTGTAAAATTATTCAAAAGTGTACAAAAATATATATTGAAACTTTAAATATACAATCTATGTTAGTATTTTTATACAAGATTTTAAATGGTTAATGGGTTAATCAACTACAATCGTGATGATTAAGTTACAATCGATGAAATCGCACGGAATTTATAATAAAATAATAATTTAATTTAATCTTCGATCTTTTCTGGTGGTGGTCCACATATAAAGTAATCCAAAGTAATCACTTATCTCTTAGCACTCAATGATAAGTTTATAAAATATAATAGCAACATTTATTTGGCATTTGGTTTAATCTAGAGAATCAAGCGTTTTCGTTTAACAATGGGTTTAACATGGTTTAAAATTGACGTCAAATCTGAAAGTCATAGCCATGGGCTAAAAAGCTGACAAGCCAAAAGCTTAATAGTTAATCAATTCAAAGGAACTTGCAAACGGAGTGATTTATTGGATTGATCAAGAAAGCTGCTAATGCTCGATGATATGGTTTCATGAATTTTGATTTTCAGTTATTGTTTACCCATAGCTTCAGATATTTTTTTGTATCTCTAACAAACTGTCATGTTCCATGTTTTCGAGTTCCTATTGACATTGGATTCTCTATTCACGGACTGGCATTTTGTAAACGGCTTCATAGTCAGTGTCTACACCTTGTTGAAAAAGCTCAACCATTGATTCACCTTCAATGAAAAATGGACTTGTTAATAATTGTTTAACAACGTCTTTCAAAGTTTCAATCTTTTCTCCGACATCAGTAACAAAAAACATTGGTACTGACAATGGCACTCAATATTATGTTCAGCCTTTTTTGTTGTTTACTCACTTTGATTTAAATAGTTGAATAATGAACATTTTATCATTTATGTGATCCGTTAGTGTTTTGTTTTATATGGAGTTTGAATTTTATTATTTCAGCATTTAGCTTCGTAAAACCAATTTTGATAAATTGATTAAATCATCTCTAAAGTTATGATTGAATTTAAGCTTAAATTTTGAAAAATTTGTATTTAAATGCAAATTATAATAGTAGATAAATTTATTTTATTGCTTTGTGTTTTTGTCTCTCATTTCAGCAATCATAATCATTGTAGCAAGATATTAACAAAATAATTTGTTCATTGCAACATTTAACCTTGTTTCTGATTTTTTCAACTTTGAATGTTGAAAAATAGCTATTTGATGCCTTTTCATGGTCTTTCATTTCAAGATCATGGATGAGTGAAAAATACAACTCAATAAGTGCGAAAAATTATAAAAATAAGAATTACATTTATAGTCAATATTGTTTAAATTGTGTGTTTCAAACATGCGACTTTCAACTCTTGAAGTGAAATCATTTAATTTGTGATAAAATAATGCCATCCTGTTGATTTTGATTATTTCAAGCAATATTTTTTGCTTTCCATGATAAACGGAACTAGAATTATTGATTTGACTTTCAAAGCCAAATAATTTGACTTTATGGTCTGACTTTTTTTACATTTTTTTGAAAAATTTATCAATTCTATGGTTATTTCCTTATATCATTTGATTTTAGCTTCATTCGTCGGGACTTCTGCAATGGATGCTTGAAATGTGTAACATAAGTATAATTTTGGTGGTTCCTGAAGGCAGATCACATTGACAAAGCTCTAAATCAAGCTCCAATTCAGCCAGTTGCTCATCTTAAAGAGCTTTAATCAAAGAGATTATGGCTTCATCATAAGCTGATGCTATTATGAAAATCGTCTCACACAGCAGGCTGAGTTTAACCATCAGCTTCAATCGATGTTACATTCAATTTGAACAACACTTCTGGTCCTGGTAAAAGGGGTCCTCTAGCCGTGAATAAAGCCAGTTTACCAGAAGACGGAATCAAGACCTCAGTAGGAAATGAAATATAACAAGTTAACTTTTCTTGTAAATCTCGTAGCATTGATCACCAACACATTGAATGGCTTTCCGTGGCTTCTGAATGGTGGGATAAAATAGTGCAAAAAACAAATTTAATTAGTCACATTGAAACAATTGAAATTGTAAAATTTACTATTAGAGAGAGAAAGAATAGTTTAATGGCAGCATTGAAAAAAATTGGTAATGAGAAAATGCTTGAAAGAAATTGTTCAAACTAATCAACCAATACTCAAGGTCTATTTATAAATTGAAATAGATCAATTGGGATAAAGGGAATCAGATAAACTGTTAATGGCAATGGTAATCGATGAGTGGAGATCAATAAATGGTTATTAATTTTCTAAGATTGAATATGTTCTGGGGAAAGTAGCTCAAGGCTAGGAATAATCTTACAAGTGTTATTAATAAAATTATTTAAATAATTAACATTTGCCAATGAGTAAATGTATTGAATAATGTCTTTGATGAAATTTACCAAACAGCATCGATAATTTTTTTAGTTAGTCAACATGATGGTTGAAATAAATTATAATTTTATAACCATATAGCCATTTGATTTTGAATAATTTCCTTCAAGTTTGTTTAAAGTTCATTTTCACAATGAAATACTCACTGAGTATGAGCTGAATCTCTGATAAAACCTTCTGGACAGTCTTGATTGAAACATTTGTAACCTCCAATTGTATTTAAACAAATTGATTCCCCACAAGGTTTATTGCGTTCGCACTCATTGATATCATCACAGAATCTATTATCTCGAACTTGAAATCCTTCTGAACATGAACAAACGTATGAACCTTCAGTATTATTACATCAACCTTCACAGAAGAGTGCCAAATTGGCAATGTTTTCAGCGCACTCATCAATATCAATGCATGTCTTTTCATCGCCAGCTGATTTGTAACCTTAAAGTCAGGAAAAAAGGAGAGAAAGTTATTAGTCAATTTTAAAAAAAAATGGTCACAAGATTTAATTTAAAATCACTGTTGGACGTACCAAGTGGACAAGAGCAAATAAATGAGCCTTGAGTGTTGATGCATTTAAGTGGACAAACCCTAAGTCTCTTCACATCCATCAATATCGTCACAGCCTTTTGAATATGTCGATTGACGGTAACGGCAGATACAACCAAACGATCCTTGTGTGGTCACACAAATTGAATTCACTGGACAAACTTCAGGACCATTTTGAACATTCATCGATATCTAATCGAACAGTCCAATTGGACATTAATATGAAAATGATTTACCTTAAAACCTTGATTAAAACATAAAAATGTGGGTTAAGCTTCCAGGAAAAATTCCAGGAAAAATCAGCAAGATGGCGTTGTTTTTATTAAATTTACACTGAAAATTAAACTAACAATGATTAATTAACAGTAGATGGAGCTTTTTATGCATTAATCAAGGTTTCACAGATCATTGACAATTACACAATTAACTAATGATTGTAAAAGGGTAAAATCACAATGGTAATGATTATGACCAAGACTTGAGTGCGTCACATTATGCTATTTTATCTTTGCTTGATGTTATGTTTACAGCTATTTTTAGACACTTTGAGATATTGAAACAAAGTTCAATGTTAAAATGGTCAAATTAAAAGCTGATTAAATCAAGATAATTAAAAAATCCCTTGAAAAATGATCAATATTTGCTTCTTCAGGAACATTTCAAGTTGGTGAAAGTTATAAAGAAACCAAAGCTCTTAACCCAATTGACTTGAACCAAGCAAATCAGTACAAGGTAAAGGTAAAGGCGAAAAATAGATTTCAAGCTTTAATTGTTCAATAATTGCAAAGGATAAATTGTTGGAAACCCTTTTCATGTTCAATCCTTTCAGGGAACAATCATTATAAATTTTATCCATTAATATTGATGTATAATTTGTGTGTTGAAACGCAAGTCAGGAAGACAATTCAAGACCCAAAATGGGATTGTAAATGGTTGAAAGATAATTAGTTAAATGCGTTAATTTTAATTTTATGATGTAGTTCAATGGTTAAAACCTGATAACGTGTCATTTTTAATCAGCATACATTTAAATTCAAATATGAATACAAAAAGTGAATATTTGTAATCGAGCCTGAGGATTGATTCCCAATTAACCCAAACTGTTAACGGCTGTAAGGTAAATGAAAGTAATACAAATTGACTTCAAAATTGAGTGAAGATGTTCCAAGACAATATTCAAGTCCTAGCATGGTGTAACATGCCTGAATATTGGGAATACCCGACCTCAGATTAAATTTTTGTTTTCATTTCAATTAAACTTTAACCTCAGGCTTAGCTAATTTATTGATCATTTTGGGATAACATTAAAAGCCTATTGACAAGGTAAGGAAGAAGGCGAAGGATCAGGAAAAAGGAAAATCAACTTTTCGCTTTATTCCTATTTGGTCCTGTCATCAGTCAATTGTCCAACCCAAACTGATTAATAGTAAACATTAAAAGGCCATTAAATGCAGGCTTAAATAATCCGTCCATCAATTGTATTACAATTAGTATACACACTTTAAATACACTCTACTGTGTTGATAAAAAGACACTTGTCAGTCATTTCAACAGTTTAAGCTGTTTCTTTGTGCCAACTTTGGGTTTTGCTTCACGTTTTATTTGGCTTTTGTGCTTGGCTTTTAGCTTATAATTTGATTCCGTCATTGATGACTATTAAATGATGATATATTTGCTAATTAACTCATGTTTATTTATACAATTATATGGTAATACAATCGATAGATGGTCATATCAGATCTCAAAGTGATCAAAGATTATCATTGGACTCATCATCAAACTGGTGTTCATTTTTATTTACCATTTCTTCATCATCATCCTTCTTCTTTTTGTCTTCCTTTTCTTTCTTCTTCTTCTTCTTTGTTTAACTAAAGATTTCAATCTCTTTCTTTATCATCTTCTCTATCATCTTCTCTATCATCTTCTCTATCATCTTCATCCATTCATCCTCCATTTTCTTTGTCTTTTTCTTCCTCTTCCATCTTTTTTGTTCGTTTATTTGACTTTTTTTTCACCTAAACATGGGTTACACCTGAAAATGGTTACACTTTGTATGGACTGGACACTCTTGCACATTAGTTAGACCTTCACTGGACTTTATTTGGCGATAATTCACATTTCTAAATGAGCTTTAGTTAAATAGCTTTAATTAAAAAGCTTATTTATTAACAACTTTTGTTTAAAATCAATCATTAGATGGCGTTTGAAACATTTCATTAGAGGTTGCTTTTTAGTTTGTCCGCAAGGTGGAGACTAGCGTACTGGAGGAGGTTGAGAATGATTCTGTTTTGTTCAGCGATGCTGATGAATTGCAATTCTTGAAACATTTTGACAATAAGATTCACCATTTAGCACCTTCCAATTTTTTTCATACCGTGTTGTGTAGATAATATATACTATTATGGCTAGTTTGATGACCTCCACCCAGCCAGAAGCTCATACTACTGAAAAACCTGTAACAGATTTACCAAAATTACCCAAGAAAAAAAAGACCCGATGTACTCAATGTAAAATTAGTGTAGGAGTCATAGGTATGTTTATTCAAAAAAAAGCAAAAATTTCCTTCTAATTGTTCTTGTGATTTCTATCTATTTTTCATGTAACTAATCAACCTTTTTTCTTCTTTTGTTTTGGTTTTATGCTTTGGCTAACCTTTGTGCTCATCTTTAACCACCAATTGTGACCAATTTGGATAATTTATTGTGCTTTATTTTGCTGCTTACTTATTGATGTTTCCCTTCTTCAATGAAACATTATTTGTTACAAGGTTTTCCATGTCGTTGTGGAGGAATATTTTGTTCAATTCATCGTTATGCTAACGAACATAGCTGTAGTTTTAACTACAAGGAACACGGAGCCGAGGAAATTCGCAAAAATAATCCACAAGTGGTTGGAGAAAAAATTCAAAAAATTTAATCCATTATCTTTTTTTTTCATTATTAAACGTGAATTTGACGCATTTTTTCTGATCAAATTAATTATGCTTCGATGAGACAACAAATGTATACATTAAATGCTAGCATTTGAAATTAAAATCAGAATGCGTTGGTAATATTTCGATAACATTTGATCATGATGACATAAATGTAATCATATGACTATTTAAAGTCAATTGCATTTGAAAATGTTAATTTTTGTGTCAACATTCTACATAAGATGGCGCTATCATTGAAGTTACCGTATGTAATGTAAAGCTATGAGGTGGAGTTTTCATGTGCTAGCTCATTGATTTGATTAGTAAATTGTTTTTTTATATTTAATTTATCTTGCAATTTAATTTCTTCTTATTTGTGATTATAAGTGATTTTATCAATTGGGAAGTGTTTATAATTTATTCTCTCTCAATCGTACCAGCCACTGTGATTCATAGATGGAAAATTTGCAAGAGAATTTAATTGAAGATCTCAATAATGTTGATGTGTGTGACTCGCTAGGATTAGCTGCCAAGCTGGGCGTTAATCATCAACATATTGTTGGTGTGCTCAAAAGCTTTGAAAATATTCCTGGTTTCATTGAAACTACAATTATCAAAGAGACAAAATGGCAGCTAACAGAAGAAGGACAGATGATTACTGAGAAAGGCTCCCATGAAGCTTTAGTTTGGTTCAATACTCCGGATGATGATGATGGCATCGAGATGACATTGTTAATGAACAAATTGGACAAAAATACTGGTAAAGTAGGCCTCAGTAAAGCTTTGGCATTGAAATGGGTAGCCTTGACGAAGAAAGAAGGTAAACAATATGTTCAAAGGAAGGTTAAGCAGATTGATGATAAGGTTAAAACATACCTATTGGCTATCAATGAGGGTAAACTTAACGAAGTAAGCATTCAGCGATTCATCGAAAAAGCTTTATCCACTAATTGATTGATTTCTTTCTATGGCAGATTCCGGATTCCGTCAAAGCTGATCTCAAGAAAAGAAAACTAATCTCTGAGATTCCTTTCTCTCGATATCAAGTGAAAAAAGGACCGAATTTTTCCTGTAAAATTGAGAAACCAGAAACAGATATCACAGCTGAAATGATATTGAAAGACACCTGGAAGACCAAAAATTTTAAAAGCTACAACTTCAAAGCTTTAGGTATCGCACCAGATCGAGGACATTTACATCCTTTGTTGAAAGTTCGTGAGCAATTTTGTCAAATCTTCTTGGAAATGGGATTCCAGGAAATGCCCACTAATAATTTTGTTGAAAGCTCTTTCTGGAACTTCGATGCTCTCTTCCAGCCTCAACAACATCCAGCCCGAGATGCTCATGATACCTTTTTCATTTCTGATCCGCAATTCTCTGACAATTTTCCTAAAGATTATCTCGAGAAAGTTAAAAGCGTTCACTCTACTGGAGGATTCGGTTCTCAAGGGTACAAATATGAATGGAAAATTGAGGAAGCTCAAAAAAACTTACTACGAACTCATACTACAGCTGTTAGTGCTCGAATGCTGTACAAAGCAGCTGAAAAATACAGAGAAAACCCAGACGCACCTTTCACTCCTTTGAAATATTTCAGCATAGATAGAGTATTCCGAAACGAAACTCTTGACGCGACTCATTTAGCTGAATTTCATCAAATTGAAGGTGTTGTTGCCGATGTTGGATTAACATTGGGCGATTTAATGGGCATTTTACAACAATTTTTCCATAAACTAGGAATCAAAAAATTGAAATTCAAACCCGCCTACAATCCATACACTGAGCCTAGTATGGAAATATTTAGTTATCACGAAGGACTGAAGAAATGGGTTGAAGTTGGCAATTCTGGTGTTTTTAGACCTGAAATGTTATTGCCTATGGGAATACCAGAAGATGTGACTGTTATTGCTTGGGGGTTATCTTTAGAAAGGCCAACTATGATTAAATACGCTATTAGTAACATAAGAGATTTAGTTGGTCATAAAGTCGATCTGCAAATGGTTTACGATAATCCTATTTGTATCCTGGGAGAAAATTAATTTTTATAGTAAATACTGGTTTATTTAATATCAATTCAATATCATTTATTTTTTTCCAAGAGCAATGACTAGTACTTTGTGACGGGTAATTGAGCTTTTCTTCACCACTCTCCTCATTGTAGAGTGCATTTATCTAATGAGGAACACTACTTCATATTCAGACAAGTTATCATTATAGATTCAATTAAATAATCTACTCTATAGATTAAAAACTCTTTCTAATTGAAATCTACAACGTAATATTTTTATTCTTTATTGTATTTTTCAGACCTCCTCAACTTATAATAGATAACTTGGGAAACTAGATTGTTCTATGACTTATCACACAATTCCGTATCCTTTGCACCAGTAAACCTGAATCAGGAAAGACCATGAAACTTTTATCACACAAATAATGAGTAAGGGTTGTTGATTTGTTATCACCATATCGATTTATTACACAGTCACAAACATGGCTTATAAATCGACTAGTCTTCATTTCCACTTTGAGCTGAAATGAATTAACCAAGAATAAATGAATCATGCAAAAATGAAAATAAACTTTTGCACCAGAGCTTTTAGGTTACTCATAAAAAATTGAAACTAGAGTTGATTCTGATGTTATCGCGTCTTCATTGAATATCTATTGAACAGCAAATTGGCGCTCAGTTTCCACAGTTTACAGTAAAACCGTAAGATGGAAGCTCAACACTTTACGAGTCAATTTTTGCTTTCATGAATATCAACATTTAACTGTTGCACTAAATTGTTTATATCACTACATAAAGTAAATGAGCTGTTTGTCGGTTAATTTAAGTGTTGTAAATAAATTTACCGTTGTTATTGAAAGGCACAGGGAAAGTAATCAATACTGTTGATCAAATTAGAGCTTGAAATCGTTTCATGACAACTACTAACTTATGATAGCAACTTTACTTTCCAATCCCAAGTTGAAATGTGCGACTTAAGTGTGTTCCAAATGCATTCAGTAAAACCTCATGTTGATTAAATGATTCATTAGGACAACATTATTTTAAATCAGTGAGAAAAATCGACCTTTTTCAACGATAATTGTGATTGAACTCAATGATAAGTACAACTAAAGATCACCGTCATACTGATACTCATATCGGTTAGAAAGGAGTCCCAGATCCGAATCTTGTGTACGTTTAGTTGGTTTAGGCTAACCTTTTTTTGAAGTTACTAAAGCTACTCAAACTATGTTTTGATTATTTGAAATTGTGTCACAAATTTAATTTATTTTGTTATTCGATTTCTTCCTAAGTGTGATTTCTATTTAAACCACCATGGGCTTGTTGCCAATAGAGTTTACGGATTGCCTCACGGATTCACCATATTTTCGGGAAAATTTACATGCCCATGAAAAAGAATTGGACTTGACCTCACAACAAATCAAAGGTTTAATCAGAGATGTCAACTATCTTCTTCAAGCTGCATCAGGTACAGATAACTATCTTTTCACCCTTACTCTTGACACATATGTTTCCAACCATGTTGGCAACAAAAAGAAACATCGTTTGCTCACATTTGAATCTAATTTTAATTTTTCTTTCTATCTTCTTAACTCTTTCCACTTTAGCTTTATCCTCTGCTCAAAGGAAACTGGCTAATAGTCTTAGCCATTTTAAATTCGAGTGCATTGGAGGCTCACAAACAGATGATGAAATCGTCATTGGTAATTTGTTCTTTTTTTCATACTCCTAAAAAGTTTATCACATCTACCATTCTTGCTAGAAGAATATCCAACCATACATGTCTAAATTTAAAACCATCAGATTATGTTGCCTCTAATATTGTTTTAGGGTAACTATTGAAACAATATCTTTCATCGATAATCAATAATTAACATCTTTAATGTATTGTCTTTTTGACTTTCATTGTTTACAAAAAGTTTCTCCATCCGTTTACTGTATCTATTCAGCTGTACAAGTTTCAACTCACCGAAAAAAGATACATTGAAAGTCAACCAGAATTTATATTTTCAAGTTTTCTGTCACTCTGTTGACTGTTACCAGTCCAGTTGAAAGTTACATCTGAATAGCCGGGCAAAAAAATTTACCTCTCAACCAACACTAAAACCAACCCAAAATCTATTATTCCTATTTTGTTTATTCTGTGTGTTTTGGGTAAAATGATATTATCTTTTATCCTTCCTCTATTTTATAGCTTTTCATCCTTTCACTTTCACTAATATATTTACAGTTTGCCATTTCTCTCTCATTTTTTTCTCTTCCTGCCAACCTTCCTCTTTCATCAGGTATTATCATTTTCACATAAGAATGGCAATTATACATATGAGTGTAGTTAATTTAGCTTTTCTCTTTCCTCCTGTTAACTTTTTGTGGTTAAATTTTGTAACACCTTACACCATCAATAACCAGTGAATCTATTGTAAAGCTAATCCCATGTTTTATCGCACCTTTTTTTAAATACATTCCTTCCTCATTTTGTTCATCATTGATATTCACCATTCACAAATCATCCTGCAATATTCTTGCACCAAAATTACATTCACAATTCTTTTGTTTCCAGTGAAATTAATACTGGTAAAACTTATCAATCAGACCATTATTTCAACTTTGCTGAGAAACATATCTTATCACCATTTAAATTGCAAGAAAAGGCTAAAGTGCAAAACTATTCATTTTTTCTCATGAAGATCTTTCTCAAAACTTAGTTTCTTGAATCTACAATCTTTACCAAAATCTTGAAATGATCACCCTTGATCAAGTTAATGCCCCAAGGTTTGTTTTAACGGTAACAAGACCAAATAAACAACTATTACAAACAAAAATAATAAAGATCAGTATTTAATAGTTGGATAAAACCAGTAGGTAGCTTTTTATCAGACAAATCATTATTGTTGGTTTACCCTTTAGCAACTTGTTTATCTCATTACTTTTGTCCAGTTATTGTTTTTATGCATATTTCATCGTAATCATGATTCCAAGTTTCTCATAACTTATCCGTTTTCTCTTTGATTTACTACTACTTTAGCTCGATCCTTAAAGGAATTTGGCCGTTATCTGAATTCCATCGAAGATGAAAGAGATCGCATGGTTAGTAATTCATGGTTCACTTACGCTTCAACCTTATCCTTCTGCTTCTCTCTTTTTTTCTGATTTTTTCTTCATTGTGATAACTTCTCAATTATTTTCTCAATTTTAATCTTTCCTTTGTTTTCTTTCTCTTATTTTTTTGCTTCTTCTTCAAGCTTGATAGAGCTTCTGCAACTTTTATCAAACCCATCGAGAATTTCCGTCGTGACCACATTGGTAGCGTCAAGGTAAATACCTATCTTTAAACTAGATCTCAATAACTCTTAGGACAATCTTTCATGCAATTTGACCATTTATTTCGTTAATTTACTTATTTTTACGTTTTTTTCTGTTATTCTCTGCATTTTTTTAGGAAGGAAAGAAAAAATTTGACAAAGAAACTGCAAAATTTTGCCAAAGCTTGGAAAGGCATTTGAACCTATCTACAAAAAAAAGTGAAAATCATCTTCAAGAGGTATGTGTGCTGATGATTAAATGATACTTTTGGAGAAAGGTAGAAAAAAAGTGACAAAAAAACTAAAAAAAACCAACGAGCAACTTGACATTAAGGATAGCTGGATGAAGCAAAAAATGACGGAATCGGTGAAAATTTGCAAAATACAAAACAACTATAAATATCTCTAAATTATCCTAATTTTCTTACCTGTTCCTCCTCTTCCTAGTCATTACTAACACAATAAGCTGAAGTATGCATGCACTTTTAAGAAAAGGTCGGAGGTAAATGTCAAGACCTGTAAAACGTTTTCGTCTTGAACTAATGACATTTCCTTCAAGGATCAATCCTCTCCTCGTGGTCTCTCTCCCATTCATACATAATTTCCTGTCTCGCGATTCTGCGTAACCTGTTTTAACCATAAAAAAGTAGACCCAACAAAAAGAAAGTGTCCAAAAATGATGTCATCCGCGAAAAGCCCTGTCTTCCTGATTTCCTTTCTCTCACTCTTTCGCTATACTTTTCCAAGCCAATACATCCATCTCTTTGCCTCATCTTTTTCATCCTCTTTCTCTTTATCTCTCCTTCTCTCTCTCATCCTCTCTCATCCTCTTTCATCTTTTTTCAACCATTTCTCCTCCATGATCAATAATTTGTTTCTTTTTGAGTCATCCTCTCCATCTTAGCTCTTAGCATCCATTGTTTTCCCAATCATTTTCACCTCTAATATTTTAACACTCTTCATTGAAAACTTGATTTTGTTTTCCGTACAAATCTTGTTCCAAGCTTCAGGGTTTCATCTCACTTTACCTTTTTCCTTTCATCTTTCATTATATAAACTAATTTTCATCGTAATCATCATCATCACCATCTCCATACATGTTGATCAAAATGTTATTACGCGCTACTCGTCATGCTTCATCATCTTTCAATTACTTACTATTTAAACCTTCATTTATTCACTTTCTTTCTCATTCCCTGTAGTGACCTCCAATCAAATGTAACTATTTTTATTATTCAAATTTACATTTCCCTCTTTTTTTGTATCATCAACATAAAAACACACAATTTTGTTAAATTGAAACAAATTGATCAGACCTTCTTCACTCTTTCATCCTCCTTTTTCTTTCAGGTTTTTCATGCCTTTCTCAACCGTTATTAACCCAATCATCCCAATTAGTAACTCCTTTGTCCTACTGTTGAGTCATTTTTCACTTACATGATTTTCTTGTTGCAAAAATAATTTCAAGTTTTGTTTCACTTTTTTTCTCAACTCCATGAGAACTTATTATTATCATTTTTACTAATAATTGTTTTTGATCTTCTCTATAGGCTGATGCTACCCTGTTAATGGAGCAACGTCATTTCATTTCAGCATCATTGGAATATGTCTGTAAATTACAAGAAGTCCAAGAGAGGAAGAAATTTGAATTTGTCGAAACTGTGAGAATCATTTTTAACACATTCATCGTATGAACACCTTTTTATCATGTCATCAAAATGTATGCTCAAGTGTAATGGGAGTTATATTTACATTGTTCAACATTTCATTTGTTGCACTCACGCATCTTGATCAATTTGTGTAATTTTCAGTGCTAGTGTTGATATTGGTGTTCATTTTGATGTGACAACAGTGAAAAGTGACTCAAATGGAAACATTTTACCTATTTCTTGGTTTATCTTTTTCATTCTAGATATTGAGCTTTATGTACGGTTGGTTAACATTTTATCACCAAGGTAATTATTTAATTTAACACTAATTTGGTAACATTCATTTATCATTAAATTTCTGGTTTCTTTTAATACTCAGGCCACGAAGTAGCCCAAGATTTCAAATCATTCATGAGGGATCTTCAAATACGTCTTCAAAGAGTAAGTTGATTATTTGTATTATTTGTCTGTTCAAGAAGAGGAAAGTCAATTTCATCTAAAAACAATCAACAAAATGGATTGTCTTATAATCAAGATTGTTCATTTTGATTGTAGCAATTATCTTGTTAGCCATTCTTTTTTGGATTGGAAATTTTTTACTCATAAAACAAATATATCAATAATTAAATTGGAAATTGAAATGAAAAAACAATCTTAAAATTAATGAGATCTCAAGTTTAGGTTTGAAGCTACTATTTATAACAAATTATATTCAATCGTGAATTCATAATTAGATATTTCATGATTGTATTTTTAGTGAAAATAATGGCGGGAACATGAAAAACACCCGAAAACATGTTTTTTTTATCAGACGGTTTATGCTGATCAATTTCAGTTATTATCTTTCAACATTTGAATCAACATTGATAATAAACAATAATTTGATGAGAATGTCAGAATAGGAATGAAACTATCCATTAAAGATAAAGTATCTTCTAACATTTGAATGCTATTAAAGGTGAGAATTAGAAAATTTCAAGGAAAATTGATTGAAAAAAAGGAAATTTTCGCATTTATTATAGACATTAGATTTTATATTAAACTAATTCATGAGCAATTGAAAATGTAGTTCTGCTTTTATTAGTCATAGCTTGAGATTAAATTTGTATAATCATGTATTTCCTAAATTAGGAACTCAATTTGCTGTTTAATCAATATCAATTGTACAATTGTAAAACATTAAATTCACGATTGATATTAACATAAAAAATCACTCAAATGATCATTCACCTAATAACTGAAATTTTTATCACAACAATCATATTAATTTTAAATGTTATTTCAAGTCAACATTTAACTATACTTTGTAATATTTTTGATTAATATATTGAATTTAAATTGCTTTTATAGTGACCTAATCTTTTCTCATTAATCTTCTGTAAAATGATAATACATTTTCAATTGCAACTCACCCTTAATCTCAAGTTTCACTTGCACTTTTCATCTTCTTCTTCCTCACTTGTTATTTCAACTCATCCCTGACTATTTCATGTAACTTTGATTTAATATGTTTATTGTTTTCTTTCCTAATCTTTCCATGTTTTTACACCAACAGACCAGGGAAAACTATGAAGCCACTCAAAATGAAACTCAAAATTTAATGAAAAAGATGCTTGAAGTCAGAAAAAATGTAAGTCCTGAATCAATGATGTGATTATCTTAATTGACTACGACTCCTGAATGAAAAAGCAACCCTGAAATGTTGCTTATCATGATGAGCGAAAAATAATCTTAATCTTTTAACCTGCAACTTGACCAATTTCACTCAACTTTACTACCTTACCTTATCCACCATCAACACCTCTTCCTCCTCCTCTGATACTTACCCGTTTGCATCTCTCCCTTAAAATATATTTTTTTACTGTTTTCTGCCATTTTCCTCTCACAATTTATTTTTTATTTTTGACTTGAGTTGTATTTTTTTTCTTCTTTTCCTTCCTCTTATTTATTTGTTTATCACCTGAACGACATTCCAGAAACCTCAAGATCCCGGTTCTTTAAATAAAATGTACACTAGAGAAGGCTATTTATTTCTTATGGAGAAGAGTAAGTTATCATATTAACCTTTCCTTTCCTTTAATCTCCATTCATTTGATGAAAAAAACGGATCTCATGATGATTATCATGAATAATTTAATCTTTGAAAATATTTGATTCTAATTTTTGTCTTTTTCTTTTTCTCCTGATTTTCCAAATACCTTGCAGAGGCTTTCGGTACAACTTGGATTAAAACTTTTTGTCAGTATCAAAAGGAATGTCGTCGATTCACAATGACTCCTTATAATCAAGTGGTTGGTAAAATTGTAAGTCATTTAAATTCAATTCCGGTTACCCTTTCTTAACCCTTAATCCAGACTTTCATGTTTCCTCATTAAATGTACTCATCTTATGAATAATTTGTAAATCTGATTTTGTTTCTTTTCAACTTTTTTTCAGGGCAACAAAGAGACTATAACTCTGAAAGAGTGTATTAGACGGATGTCCGATTCCATTGATAAAAGATTTTGTTTTGATATAACACCGGTTGATAAACCTGCAACCTATACATTCCAAGCATTATCCGAAGAAGATAGGAAGTTATGGCTTGATGCCATGGATGGCAAAGATCCAATACAATTGAATAGCGTTACAAGTACACAAGGAGGAAAAGGTCAAAATAATGCACAACAGGAGCAGTATCAATTGGATGATTTAGGATTTGCTTTTGTTCGAAAATGTATTCAAGTCATTGAATCTCGTGGCCTGGAAGATCAAGGATTATACCGTGTTGGTGGTGTAAGCTCCAAAGTTACTAAATTGATGCAACTGGCGTTGGATCGCAGAAAATTGGCCAGTGACGGGGAGTTGATGCTTGAAGTGGACAATTCAGATGAATGGGAAATTAGGACTGTGACTAGTGCATTGAAAAATTATTTTCGTAACTTGCCCGAACCATTGATGAGTTTTAAATTTCACAATTTTTTTATTGCTGCAGCAAGTGAGTTTCCATTGTTACAGTCAACATCAGCAAAAACAATTTCAAACGCAAAAGGATTCATATTTCCATACTTCTGTCTACATTCAAGCTCTACAGCAAACAATGATATCTTTGCCTGTGATTCATCGTATTTCTATTTAATTTGTTCTCTGATCTTCTTATTAGATTCCAACTTAGCTCTTAGATTGATTGATCAATCAGGTTTATTGTGTTTATTTTAATAATCCTAACAACTTTTCAATGTTGACATTACTTTTTTGAATACCGATTTTTATGCTTCTTCAATATTAATCCAGATTAATCCAGTAGATTCTTGGTAGATATCAAATTCTGATATTGATTTAGCAATTTGAATTTGAATTTGAATTTACTTTATTTATTTAAGTAATTATCGTTTATCTAACCTGGATCTTTTTAGTTTGATTCTGCAATTCATTTATTCTTGAGCGACATATAGCTGATAATATGGCTCAATAATGTGGCCTTCTAGTATTCGCCTGGACAGTTTAATATCTTTAAAATTTTAACTGAATTTTCAGATTAATTTAAAACTTACATGCATTATTTGATTGCTGCAACGAAGATATTTTGCGTTAGCCTACGTTTTTGTTGTCTAAGTTATCAAAGATTTTATTCTAATATGAACTTTTGTGTTTTCTTTCAGAACAAGAAAATAAGGAAAAAAGGACCGACGATATCCATGATCTAGTGCACCGTTTGCCTAAGCTTAACTTTGATATGTTACATCTACTAATGATACATTTAGCTAAGTATGTTTTTGATGTAAAATTAACCAAAACAGTCGTACTTAAATTGTTTTCTTTCTCATTTCAGGGTTGCTAATAATTCACAAAAGAATCTTATGAATGTGTGCAATTTAGGTGTTTGTTTTGGACCTACTCTTTTAAGGCCAGAAGAAGAAACCGTTGCAGCTATCATGGATATAAAATTTGGTAATGTTGTCGTAGAAATTCTCATTGAAAACTGTGATAAGGTAAGGCAATGTATTCAAGTTATAAATTTATTGGCATTTTTACTGCCTTTCAATTAGCTTGATGGTTGATGAATGTTTTAATAATTCATTTTTTTTGTCTTTTTCCCTTTGTTTTCTTGATCAACATTAATCATAATGTGTTTGATCTTTGTGAAAAATGAAAAAAATACAGATTTTTACCACTAAACCTGATTTAAACAAAGACCAAGGAATTTATCAACAATCTCATTATTCAATTGCATCTGTGCCTCCCAGTATTAGTTACCCATCAATGCCAGAGATGATTGATTCAACCAACAATAGAGGAAACGATAATTTATACATGAGAGTAAATGTCGCTCCTTATCATGATCCAACCTCGGTTAATCTTTCCGGAACTTATGCCACTGTACCTTCAAGAGGTGGATTAATTTCCAGTTCAGTTCATCGAAGTAGTAGTCATGACCAATTGTCCCAACAAGTACAATATAGACCAATTGTTCGACCAACAATGTTCAATTCAAATTCAACTTCTCATCCTCCATCTGCGATCACATCATATCCATCTCATCCAAATGTGTACCAACAAACACCTCATCGATTACCCACCATTTCAAATCCTAATGGACCTCAAGTCAATCGATCTGCCCGTCCTTTAGCAGTTTTCAATCCTTGGAATAGTCAACCAAATATAATTCAACATAATTTGGATAACAATCCAATAAAACCAAGACTTTCATCAGCGTCGGAAGGTAAACTCACAAGCCATGCTCTGAAATAAATTGAAACTCTTTTCCTGGTTGAATCTCTATAGCTTGCCTGAAATTTGAGACGTTCAGTACTCTAGTGAACAATTCATATTTGCAAATTTATTTACTTTCTCCAGGCAATCAACTAAAAGATTTTGCTTATTATATCTAATCAATGACAACTTCCTTTCAGAATAAGCTCTTCTGAGTAGTTAACAATTTCCGATTCTCATTAACAAAATGAATTGAATACAATGAATTTTTTCAGTTTAGTTTGTGATTTATATCCTCTTTGCTGATAATTTTCATTGAGATTTTTAGGTTTAATCTTTCCTACTTGAATTAGTCATTTTTTATGTTTTCAGTCTCTTGATTATTCATCGAGTTAATAATTGAAACATTTTTAGTTTGTATTTATTTCTATTTACGTATTTCTGGCACTTTATGGTCGCTAACTACCTGAATAATAGCTTACTTTTGATCTTCAAAACTGTCATCGTCAGTATTTTAAGTATGCGTTTTGTTTTCTTAGGCCAATGATCATGTAGTGCAGATACACTTTAAACTTAATGTTTGTTTCTAAAATTGATCTAAATTTTAACCCACAATTGACTTGTCAATCAATTAGTGTCATGATTACATTATTTTCTTTGTATAGTTCATTATTGTCCAACAATCAAAGTCTAATTTATCCTTTTTTTTTCTTTTTGTCTTCTCATGAAATTAAGGTCAACACAACATTTCGCTGGTAGGACCACAACCTCAATCTAATAGTCCACGTTCATCACCTTCATCTAATACATTGATATCATCATCTTTTAATGCCTGTGGAAGTGGCGGTGGTAGTATCAGTAGTAGTGTTGGTGGGGAGTTGAAACAATCTGCGTCTCAACACTCATTTAACAGCAACAATTATCCATCCAATTGTGGTTCATCTCCTCATAGCAATAATGAAACTCCAACTGGTCGTAAAGTTAGAACACTTTATGCGTGTGTTGGGGAAAATGCTTCCGAGTTAACCTTTGAACCAAACACTTTTATATTTAATGGTGAGTCTAATAAAAATGAATTGCTTATTCTAATTTGATTTATTAATTTACCTTTTTTTGTTTCTTTTATAGTTCGTCCTTCTAGAGAACCAGGCTGGCTAGAAGGAACTTATAATGGTAAAGTTGGCCTGATACCCGAAAACTATGTTCAGTATATTGATTAACTTTTTTGGCCACACAAGCTGTGTTACAATTGTCCCGTTTCTTCCATGGCCTCAACCAAAGAATCGATTGTAACCTAGCGAAGTTGTGGTTGACTCTGGTTTCATCTCATTCCTAGTTTATTGCAATTTAAGCCAATTTTAATGTTTGGAATGATTCGTCAAAAAATGGTGAATTATCAAACAAAAGAAACATCAATCAATCAACAATTTATTTCGCTAAAGAAATTAAATATTGCAACTAAAAAAGACCAGATCATGAAAAATTTAATCAATTTCATTCCCTACGTTAAAAAAGGCTAATTTGGATGCCATTTTTTTATTTTTGCTATATGTAAAAGACCAAAATTATAGATTTATATTTTGATTTGATTGTAAAAAACCATTGTATTCAATCAAATGGAAAAGAAGACAAGAGAACAAACGATGAACAATGGAGAGCCCAAAGGGAACTGCAATTAAGTTTCACTGTTAATGTCATCACTTACAAATTGTATAGTTGATCATTTAATCGAGCATATCGATGCATCTTCCATCTCGATCTCATCTCTGTTTCCTGTTCATATTCAAATCTACGGATCATCCTCATTCCTCAATTATGAATCAAAAAGTAACAAATAATAAAGATACAATACAATCACAAAATTGTCAAAGCAACAGCGAACCAACAAATGATTCATATAAATATTACTTGTTCATGTTCCCGCTTTAAAACCAAACAACTCTGTATAAATGTACTTTATTAATAGCAAACTTTAAATTTACATAAACGAAAATATCAACAACTTCAAAACAAGGTTCATTTCAATCATTTAATGTGAATAATCACCATTATTCTAAGTATTACAAGAAAGTACAAATTTGTACATGAGACTTTTCTAATATTTGATAAACATTTATGGACAACAGCAAAAGTCAGATGACCATTTTTCTAGAAAATGTTTTAATAAAATTTGTCAATTCTTAACCCTTAGCATCATTTTGTTGAACTTGCGTGTAAATTTGTGGATTAATATTTACTACCACTTTCTTTCATCTACTTTTAATTTAAGTTGATTTGCACATTCAGCGATCTTTTTATCCATACATTGACACAACTCTTTGGTCATTTCGTACTTGGGAGGCTTACATTCTGTTCCATTCGATGGCCTTCTACCTCCATCGCTTGGACTCCATGGCCTTCCAGTTCCTTTCTCTGGTCTTTCTTGTGTTTCACCTCCTGGTCTTTCTGGTCTTCCTCCTGGCCTCCCACCAGGTCTTCCACCAGGTCTTCCTGGATTATGTCCATGTGGCAGTCCGTATGGTGGACCCCGTGATGGGTTTCGCTCTGGTTTAGAAGGGTTAGTTTCTTCATTTGAATCCTCCATGGAATCTTCTGAGGAATCTTCACAATCAGGATCTCCGAGAATTCCTGCAACTAGAAGTAACAAACATAATAGAACTGAATAATTTGAACGTGAGAACATTTTGTCAACTTTCAGGGTGAAAATCAAAAACACAAATCATTGCCAAGTTGAAACCTTTTTATATTTCTTATTAAAATTTCATCAAAACCGCCTGGTTAAACAGAGAGTTTGCGGTTTAATTTGTGTCAATGGTAAATATTTGATTAAAATTTCTGAAAATATCAAAAATTATTATGAAATTGACTATACTAAAGCTCAATTAGAACTGATTATTGATTGAATAAGAATGATGACAGCCATGGAAAAAAAGTATCTAAATTATCAAATTGACTTGGTTTCAAATTGTATCAAGGGTAAGTTAATTTCACAGCGTCATTAGGCTGCTACAATAAATCAGTAAATACATAATTATATACAGGGCGTAACAGCTAATTAAACACTCTTGCTTTGCGAATTTCCAGAAAAACGAAAAACAGAAACTCTTAGATACTTAAATTGTAGTCCGAAAAATCTGCAAATTAAAACTGTCTAATTAGCTATTAGGCTCTGTATATTATAATTAGATAATCTGATGTTCATTGACTTTAATTGTTATTGAAGCTCGACTCTTTTACAAAATCCTTCTTAGCATCCCAATAAATGTTTAGCAAACCAATTTAACAATAAGCTAAACTGTTTCACTTTTGTTGAATTGTATCTTAATCTCAAAATTGTAATTGAAATTGATTATCATTATCATGGTTTTTAAATTTGAAAAAATGGTCTTTTCCGTCGTCGTCTCTTACCTCTCATATTTTTCAACATTTCATTTAATTAATGCAAGTAATTCGTGTAATGAAGATTGCATGAGTAAGACTTATTGTATTTCAGCTTCTGGTTCTGGGGATTGTGCTAAAAATAATCTGGTCACTGCTAAGTTCACTGTAATTCAAAAAAATGACCCAAATGAATACATTCAGCTGACTTTGACTGGATACAGTATTGAACCCAAAGCGACCAAAACAATTGCAATTGATCTCCAAGATCCATCAGGACTTGCGACGGCCTATTCCTGTTATAAACCCTCTTCTGGATCGACCAGTTGCAAAGTCGTTAAAGATGCTGTTGAACATGTTACCGGAACATCATCCTATTCAAATGATGTTTTATCCTGTACTTGGGTTTTCAATGCTGATGACGATATTTGGCCAACAATTCACAAGAAACCAGTCGATTTGATTAATGACAATTCCCTGGCAATCGTCCTTAAATATGGAGAAAAAAAAGTAACAGTTGCTGAAGATACGAGTGAACTTCCCATTTATAAAGTCAAGTTTCTCAAGTGTTGCTACAAAGTCCATGGTAATGAAAACTTCGTACTCACCTTTAAACAAAGTGACCACGTTGAGTACTTTTTACAAGTCACTAAAGACACTGCACCTCCGAGTCAGGCCTCAGTTATTTTGATCGATCCATCTGGAATAGAAATCATGTTTACCTGTTACTTTGGTGAAGATGGATACTTGTCTGCCAACATATTAGCTCATGGTAATGGGACCTCTTCTGTTTCGAAACAATTGTACCGTCAACAGCTTGGCGAATCAAGGTGTACTTGGGCATCACCTTTGGCCTTTACATCGGAAACTGGCGTAATCAATACAACTAACACCAAGTTTGATCTTCAAGTTCTAACAGATGATACTGTCGTCTATTCTGAAGAAGGAGTTTACTTAGGCAATAATGCTTCTTCTTTGAGAATCAATTTTACTATCATAATGACTTTAATTATGACAATTTTGTGTAAAATTTACCATTTCAATGAAATTTAATTTTATTAAAGCATTCAGTTTTAAATATTAACTGTCTATTTCAAATCCAAAATTTAAATCAAAACAAAACGTTCGCGCCCAGTCTTAATTTCAGTCTTTTAACTATGAAAATGGCTCAACAGTGGATATGCTATTAATAACATAGTGTTGGTAATATTTTAATTCAAACAAGTGTAACAGCTCAGTGTGACAAGCCATATATTTTAGATGAAGTAACGAGATATCAAATTTACATTAGTCTAATGTGATTTGAGTACGAAATACAACTAATTGACGCTAGAAGTAATAATAATTGAGTATTTTCACTTTTGAATGAAACATCTATGTAAATTATAGATGAATCGATAAAAACTTGATCTAACCGTAAGAACAAATGATTTATTTTTGTTTCAATAAAATGTTTATTTAAACTGATCGAATGATGAAGTTATGATAATTTTGAACACTTGAGAGATATTGTTGTTGTTGAGATGAAAATTGTTGTCGAAATATTTCATTGCTGAATTTAAACCAACTTTTGTTTCTCCAATTCGCTTCTAAAAAAAGAAAGGAAACAAATCAATTGATCTATTGGCACCGATATTATCATAGTCAATAAGTGTATGATTTTCATCATTTATACTTACTTTAATTGCATGGAAAAATCATCTTTCATGTCATCATCATCCCAATTGTCATCCCAAATGGTGAATTCCTGATCCGAATCTTTCTCATTCCATTCTGTCAAAAAAAATGAAAAATAAGTAAATAGGAAGAAGTATTCGAATATTAGGTACAAAGGTACATGAAAGATACAAACCTTCAGCTGGAAATTCTTCAAATTCATCATCCTCTTCAAATCCGAGATCAATTTTAGATTTGTTCGTAGTATCCTTTTTAAAATTTTGTGGTTGTTGATTGTTAGACATGTTTTGTCGAAGATTGATATTCAAATTAAACAAACGATAGCAATTGAAACAAATGACGCAAATTTGAAACTTGAACAGATGATTCCACTTACGCCTTTTTTGTAATAAGGCTAACACCATCTCGTGGTGTTCGTAGAACCTAATCTAGATCCAATATCAGAGGATTGAACAATGGCTTTATTTTGGCAACAACTCATAATTTACAAATTTATTGCAAATTATTTGTGATAAATAACAATTAAATTATGAAAATTTTCTTTAATTTCTAACACAAAAGCAACGAAACCGAAGTTTCAAAGTAGTTTAGTATTATTATATAATAAATCTGGTTTCTTTTATCCAACCTAATAGATTGTTATCCCTTTCGTTAAAATGAAAAATTTGCAATTAGTTTTAATAAACTGTAGACAAAAATAAAAATCTTTGACAAATAAATTTATTCTGTTTGAAAATCGCAGTTTTTGACCTTTTGGGACTTAAATGAAGACTTTGGGCTGCATTTAGGCTGCAGGCCAGATAGATGAATTATGAATACACAAGTCCGAAGTCACTATTTCTCATAAATTAACCAAACCTTATCCTCTGATCAAAAAAGACTTGTAGAGTAACTTAACAATGTTTTTATCCGTTCCAGGCCAAGTTAACTGCTAGTTTGACCATCAATAGATCGCCCTAATAACCCACAGTCTCAAGCTTCAAGATTCAAAGAAATCTTCAACTAAATCAAATGAAAATAGCACAATAGCTCTTTGAGTTTGACTCTTTACGTTAAAAAGTCTGAGTGATTTGTTTCAATTCAGTCGATTTATTAATAAAGCTTGAGAAATATTTAAATAAGCTTGGTGTTTAATGCGTATATTAAAAACGTCTATGAATGTGGTCAAGTGAAAACGTTTTTAGTTGGCGTAAGCGTTTGCGGTAGCTCCACAGTTTTCAGATATGGGAACAAAAGGAGGTGAATAAAGTGATCGGTACATCTAGGGAATGATGAGTGGAATGATTTACAAATTAAAGGAGTTGTACACATTAATGTTGGTCGAATCATCAAGTATTAATGATTGAGTGTTGTATGCCCAAGTAGATTCAATGTTGTTTCCATTGAGACTTGAGTAACTTTTGTTAATTTTATGCTATTTATAAGCTTTTAATTGCATCAATTAAACTAAATTCAAATTAATACACAAATCTTTATAATTTGATCAACTTTACTTTCATTACGCTATGGAAAGTTCAAGCAAAGTTTCACGCAAAAGGGTTACAAAAAAGTACTAAACATAATATACTCACTAGCAAATTAAACGAGCTTTTAGGGACATAAAAATGAGACAATTGTAACATTGACAGTTTTTGCATAAAATCACGTTCAAAGTTTAAACTTCGGTTGCTTTTTGTACAGTCATGGTCATATAATTTGTCGTCAAACTAATTATGCCAATGTAACTTGCGATGGTTTAACCCAAAATAATGTTGATTTGAGAAATGAAAAGGAAGAAAGCAATAGTATTGCATTATTAGCTGCTTTTCTGGTAAACCTATTCTGGTTTCTGGTTTACAAATGTATAAATGCGGATACTTTGACTTCTCTTGATTTTAGGTTATTTATTAGGTTGCAAATACATAGAACAAGAAAATCTTGATTTATTCGTGCTACTCAAAAATTTCTATGATCTATAGTTTTGACGAAATTTGCGTTCAGAGTTAAAACTTCGATTGCATTTTGTACAGTTATGGTTATAGATTTTCACACCTTACTGATGCTCAAAATGTAACTTATAGTTATCAATCAGAAAATGCACTTATTTTGGTAGATATGATTTTCTGTATTCGTATGATCGGTCATTTCGATTTTCGTTTTAAAGTTCTTTTTTCGAGAAACGGGGATAGCTAAAGAGCTTAAACTTATTTTTCATCGACAAAAATTGTCTGTTAACATCATCAATCACAAAACTCTGTCAATTTATCGATAGTTTACTAGATTTTAGACATTTGTCTTAAAACTTTGAGGCTCGATATTTCGAGAATTATAACATTTATGATCATCATTCCTTCCTTTAATATGCCACTGAATTATGCGCCATAATAAAATATGAATAAATACTAAAGATGTTGGTACCCGCCTCGTTTACCAACATAAACAAACTGGCGATGCTACAAAGAGCATAAGAAATAATAAAACAAAAGCAGAAGAAGCAAAAGTATTGTATTAAGTATCTTTCTAGCAAACATCTTCTGGTTTCTTCTTTTGGTTGAAATATAAATGCCAATATTTGGGCTTTTGTTGCTTTAAGGCAATTTATTAGGCTGCGGCTACATTGAATGAGCTATTCGCAATTCAATTCTGCGACTTCCAAGTTTCTACGATGCTTAGTTCTCGAGAAAATCGTGTTCGAAGTTGAAACTTCGATTGCATTTTGTACAGTTATGGATATAGATATTGGAATCTTATTGAAGCTCAGAGTTTAACTTTTTCATATTAAATGGGAAAATAAACTTATTTTGGCGGATATAACTTTCTAGCTCTGTAAATTCGGTCATTTCGATTTATGGTTTAAAGTTCTTTTTTCGAACAATGGAAATAACTAAAGAGCTGAAACTAATTTCTGCTCGACAAGTATGGTTGGTGAACATCAACGACTAAAAATTTGCGTCAATTTGTCGCTAGTTGTCTAGATTTTGGACATTGGCTGCAAAACTTTGAGCCTCGATATTCCGAAAATGGTATCACTTATGATCACCACTCTTTCATTGAATATATTGCCTTACTATCCTCTATAACATACGGCAGTCTAAGGTCACTAAAGAGTATAATCGAAAAGTTATAGCACTTATTATTACCGTTGTCAGTGATACTTATGCTAGTTAGTAACATAGTAAATGCTTTTTGCAGCTTCATCCGTTTGTGTGTGTTGGTTCAGTAGGTTGGTACTAAAGTCTCTAGCATTCAGACTTATTTTATCATCGCGCATAAGGAAATGGCATATTTAACGAAAGATTGATGATAATAAATGATACCATTTTCGAAATATCGAGGCTCAAAGTTTTAAGACAAATGCCCAAAATCTAGTAAATTATCGATAAATTGACAGAGTTTTGTGATTGATGGAGTTAACATACAATTTTTGTCGATGAAAAATAAGTTTTAGTTCTTTAGCTATTCCCGTTGCTGGACGAAAGAACTTTAAAACGAAAATCGAAATGATGATTCGTATAAAAACAGAAAATTATATTCACCAAAATTAGTGCATTTTATGATTGACCATTATAATTTACATGCTAAGCATAAGTAAGGTTCAAAAATCTATGACCATAACTGTACAAAATGCAATCGAAGTTTTAACTTTGGACGCGATTCTCTCGAGTTATTTCGATCGGAGAAACACCGCAATTGCACAAATGAACGTACTTTCTACGTCCCTACAAGCCAACAAAGTCTTTAGTCTTATCAGCTCTTAATAACTCGAAAATCGAAGTCTTTTTCTTCTTCCTTTGCATCGACACTTTTTTGTCAAATAAAATGCTTCAGCTCTCCACAACGATTAACAATTAATTCAGTAATGACTTGTGATTTAAATTTCAATCACCTTATAAAGCTCAAGCACACACACATTGTATTAACAGTTAATATTTACAGTCCAAGTATTTTGCATTTATTATTATAATTTAAACATAAACCAGAAAACGTTTACCAGAACAGATACTTAACATTGCAATTGAATTGTTTCTCTCATCTTCAATTGCCTGAACATTGAACTCGTCTTCGTCTATGGTGGCGCCTTAATGGATCATACAATCTGAGTGAGTTTTATCAATTCTGACCGTGTAATTAATAAAAGTTGGAAAATATTTCAATAAGCTTCATGTTTATTATGCATATTATAAAAGACGTCTATGACTGTGATTAAGTCAGCGTCTGTGTTTTAGTTGGCGTGAGCGTTTGCAGCAGCTCCACAATTTTCAGAAATGGGAACAAAAGGAGGTGAAGCGTGAGGATTGGTACATCTAGGTGGTGATGAGTCGAACGATTTACAAACCAAAGGAGGGGTACACATGGATGTTGGTGGAGATCCTCGGAATAGATTAGCACAAAGATCACCTTCTTTTAATGGTGTAACACAGGAATTGCAGCATCCACAGAATCCACCATTGGCCACAAAAACTTTACCGTCATCGCAATCTGTTTCTGTTTTTGGGCCAGTACAACTGGTTCTGATACAAATATCAGGAGTACATACAATGGCAATGGATTTACCAATGGTTACAGTTAATATAACACAAATTAAAAATGTTTTCATGATGATTGTTTTAACTTTAATAGACTGAAAGCAAATAACTACAAATTTTCCTTATACTTTCTTAACTGCTTGCTGATTGTTTAGAAACTAATTTTTTGACTCTTCCAACATGTAACATGTACAAGTATTTATAATGACGATGAAACTAGTCACCAAAGCTTTCAAAGGCGGTACCAAAATTTACTTGATTAAGATGTTACGGGTTAAATTAATAGGTTTCATGTTAGTCATCGATTCTGTTGTTTACTTGCTTGGTTGACAATACATTTTGTATGAAAATGTTTTTCTGCTTGTTATTTGCACATTGATGTATTGAACCGTGTTGAAATAAATCGTCAAATTATTTGACAACAACGCAATTTATTTGATTAATCTAAGTAAATGATACATATTATACAACTAAACAACTATCTAACCGATCATTACCAGTTTTTTAGTGATTAATATGACTAAATTAATTTGTTCATGCTTCAGTTTTATCACCTTGAATGTTTGCTTTCTGTTTAATACAAAATCTGGTGGAGAATCATGAAGTATACTGGCCATTCTATAGCCTCAATCTCAACTCATGCGATTTCTTCCTGTGGCGTGCTATGAATGTCTATGTTTTAACAGAACACAAAAAATCTGAAGTTCGCAATCTGTTTATAAATTACATGGAAAATATTTAAACAAGAAATACACATGAAATTGTTGCGACTCGAAAGAAGAAAGAGCATTTAGGTAACTTTGGGCAAGTAAAAAATTTCAATATATTACAAGAACTATGATGTATGTACCGCCAAAATTGATTTTTAACAAGATAATATTGAAAGGAAATAGGATAGGACATAGGATTGGTCAGACTGAAGATGGAAATCATTTATATAAATATGGCATTTAACAATTATCAAAATAAGATTTGTGAGATTGTAAATGATTTATTGGATTAATCAATTACAATTATGATGGATTGATTACAATTGGTGGAAAAAGTGCATGGAATCCAAAATAAAAATAAGAATTTAATTCAGTCTTCGATCTTTTCTGGTGGTGGTCCACATGGTTGAACAAGTTTCTCTGTAAGATTGAAGGTGATCCGGGCTTTGGATTCATTTTCTGCGATTGCAAAGTAATTTATAATATCGAAATGTCCCAAATACGATGCATATGTATCTCGGTGTTGATTAACAAGCCATTCATATTTACTTGAATCAGCATGACCAGTACCAATATATTTAGACTGTAAATGTTCCAGTTGAGAATGAATGTTATACCTTTCAGTCATCTTGATTTACTTTCCTGTCCCGCTCTTTGAGTAATATTATCTGTAATAAGTATAAACATAATTTCAGTTAATTATTACAATATAGATATGTTAACTTCGTATCTGTACGCCAAAGTAATCACTTATTTCTTTGCGCTCAATCATAAGTTTATCAAATAGCAACATTTATTGCAAATTTGGTTTAATCTAGGGAATCAAGTGTTTTCGTTTAACAGTGACTTTAACATGGTTAAAGATGGCGTCTATTCCCAAATCAAAACATAATAAAGATTAAATTATTACTCACCTTAAATAGAGAAACAGAAAATATCCGCCACAATAATAAGATCACTTTTTGTTTACAAGTTAGAAATTATTTTACAATGAATAACCAGAAAAGACACCTTTTGAAAATAAACAACAACTTTCAATGGTAAAGAAGGGCGCGCAATATCAAATGCTAAACTTCGTCATTTTTCAAATTCTGTCTTCTACACGTACTAATCGACTGTTTAACTGATTGGAGTTTTGCTCCTTTAATACTCATGAAATTTATCTATTTGAACTCAGATTAGTCTTTCAAATAAGTTAAGCTCATATTTTTTGAATAAATTTTTTGTTTGAAAACTCATCTGACACCGATTCTTAGTTAGTATGAGTTTTTTATGAAAAATCAAAAATAAACTTGAAAAACATTGTTTGGTAACTAGATTGAATTTTATTGTGCTGGTGACTAGAAAGTACAATGTGTCTATTTTTAACTCCACATTCAATTTTTGTTCATTTTTCATGCTTAACGTTCAATAAAAGGTTTGTCTTCCTTTTTTCCAGTAATTTTGTCTCGAAGTTGAATCATATTTCTTAGTAATCCAACTAATGGCACTTTCAAGAAATTGAACCAAGACTGTTATTGATATCAAGTAAGTCCAAATTCTGATGACATTTTTACACCCAAATAAACTCAAAGGGGAAAATGTGCGAGCGTCATCTCCTGATTTGGTCTTAGTAATAATCATTTTATGAGGACTGATTTTTAAATATGATTTCACCAGCAGTTCATTGATAATGTTTCTTACACTCTGAATGATCATTTGTCCCTGGATTTGCGAGATGGCTCTGTAATAACGAATTGTAAAGGATAAGAAAAATGAATCATGTAAACATAGCCATAGGCTAACCAATTCAAATCAACTTACAAATTATGTAGCCTCCTCTTAATTTCAATGGAATGATTTACTGGATTGATCAAGAAAGCTGTCAATGCTCGATGAAATGGTTTCATGGATTTGTATTGATTTTCAGGGACTGTTAAAGCCATTGCTTCGCATATTTTTGTAATTGCTCTGGCAATTTCATTTGAACAGAAGTAAGCAATGCCATGGTTCATGTTGTAGAAAAGGTCCAATGAACTGAGTGGAATTGGCTTTTGAGTCCCTTCACGAACTGCCATTTTGTAAACAGCTTTATAATCTGGGTTTACACCTTCTTGAAAAAGCTCAGCCATTGATTCACCTTCAATGAAGAATGGTTTCTTATTTTGCTTAACGACATCCTTCAAAGTTTCAATCTTTTCTTCATCATCACCAACAATAACATTGGTACTGAAAGCAGCGCTCAATACCATTGTAATCAACATAATACCAATTACTTGAGTTGATCGAATGATTGACCGACCAGGAAGATATTGGTTGAATAAAGTGGAACCAATGTTAGCCAATGTTTCATTTACATTAGAAATGAAATTACCGCATTTGACTTGCTTAGGCCTCTTGAAATGATTCAGATTTGGCAAGTATTGAAGGAACAGTTCAAGGAGAAAAGTGATTCCAATTATCGCAAACCAGATTGAGATATCAATCGACTCCAGGCTTTTCCCGATATTCTGAGTGATATTTGAGGACGTTTCAGGAAAGCTGTAGATGTAATAAGCATCGTCATGGATTACGGGACTGAAGTAACCAGGAGCATTCGGAATATCCAATGGCAATGGTAAGAAGCAAATGTCAATTTCCTAAATGAGAGGAAAAGCATCGACCATTTAAAGCCAAACAATCACAAAATATTAACCTTTATCTCGATAGCTTACATTAAGCTAAACTGTTTTAGCCCATCAGATGAAATCAATCATCAAAACATGATTAAATTGAGTCAAAACATATGTAATAACAACAGCAAAAAGCAACTGTAAGTCACTTTGTATTAAAGATCACATTAATCTTGACTGTTAATCTCCTCAATATCTTGTATTTACTCTTTTATTTACAAGGCAAAATGAACCCAAAACGCATAAAATGAGATGAATAATATTTTTCCTTTTATTACCTTATTGTCGTTGAATCATGATTGTTATTAAAGTTTTATGGTTGTTATCATTTCTTATCAACTGGTTACGAAGCAACAGCATCAGAATTACATAGTCTTGAATTAATCTTGAATGATTTGGAACAATTGATTCAAAAGCATTTTGACTGATTATTGAAATTTTGTGTCGCATATTCACATCATAATATGATCAAACAATGACTATAAGAATGGTTCATCACGCTTTCATAATCGCAATTCTAGGTATGTTAATTAGTGTTGAAAATATTAATTTGATGAAACAATTATCCAACATTAATCTGTAATCTTTTACTTCAATAGTTGCATCCTTAATTCACCAATCATACAGCCAAGGAGCTTATGATCCTTATACAAGTTTCGATGGTGAAAGGCGAGGTAAGTTGATTAATAATGACAATCAACGAAACAAACTAAAAACTGTTTTACCTCAAAGGTTCATTCAGCGCAAATCAAGTGGTTGGTATCATTTTTGGTTCAATAGCTGTTGTGATTGCTCTTGCATTGACACTCGGATTCTGTTATTATGTTTACCGAAAGGAAAGTCAAAGATCTAATGGCGGTCAATATACACCAACAGGTATTAACAGACATCTATTAATCATATTGTTGTAACTATAAGAGTAGTCAATGATCTTAATCAATCATTTGATCAAACAATGCTCGACTATAGCGCAATTGTTATGATATTTACCATTTTTTGCAAGTTTTATTTTAACCACTTTAATGTTCACTATTGTTAATTTGATTTTTCTGTCTTTTCTAGCTGATCAAGAATTGTGATTCTTCATCAACCAAATATTAAGCTTACTAAGGACTGCCATTGATTAAATAACGCTAATTTTTTGGATCGTAAATGCAAAAATTATAAACTCAAGATAAAGAAACATTTGTTTATTCCTATGTATCAACTACTTTGATCAAAAAACCATGCTATGTATTATATCAGATCTTAATGTGCAAGTTGATTGCAAGCAAATTGGTCTGAATTAAAAAAGTCTTCCTCTTTTCAATTAAATTGCAGTTAAACTATTATATGCTGATACAGATTGATATTTGAAAAGATTTATGTCAGCCTAAACATGATTTAAACAGAGTTCAATCGCTAGACTTCTGATTCTGATTTCACCAATTCTGCTTTTAAATATTTCTGGTTCGGAAGATCGAAATGAAATATATTATCATGGATTTATATTTAGCCCAATTGAGTCGAAACAACTCACCCTTCGTTGTAACATACCAAGAACTCCTGTCTGGTAATCATTTCCATTTTCAGCCTGACCAATCCGATCTTCCTTAGCTGCTTTCAAGGTGATCCTATTAATTGAGATTAAATTTGACGGTGAATTCATCATAATATATTCAAATTTTTTTACTTACTCAAAGTTACCAAAATTACCAATTATTCCCAGTAGTTCCTTCAAGTTACGCAAATCAGGAATCACTTGACCATCTTCCTCGTGAAACATTTTTGAAAATTCAAACTGTAAATTCAAGAAAATCGGTTAATCCATTATTTAAACCCTGATTTGTATTACTAACATTAAATGCACCAATAGTAAGGTTTAACCTGTCTTTATAAGGCATCTTGAGCTCGTCTAACCAACAATCAAAAGAAATGAAAAGACTGGAACAATCATCAAGACAGTTATCATTACAAGCGAAGTGTATTTTCAAATTTATTTTTTTGCCATTTCTGATTGCTATTTTACAGATTTGTCAACAATCAATCTGGACCATAGAGCAATGTAGATCAACAATAAAATGTAACAATGAAATATTACAAATCATTAAGGTGAGTGTGAAATTGAAACTTAATAAAACTCTGTTTAAATACTTGAAATTGCTTGAAAAGAAACATTTCAATAAAAGAGTAAACAAAACACTTTGTTATTTATTCAAAGGGTTTTACTGATTTTTGTATCAAACAAACGTTATTATTTGATCGTTCAATGATATCATTGATAAGTGTAATAATACAATATTACAAAATCGATTATATAAATATAGAACTGTCAAGATCGATAGACAATATAATTAGAAATGAAAAATTTCTTACTAATTTGGAAACCAAAGAGACTGTTTGATTTTGTGCTCAACAACAAGAACACATTCTATAGCCATTAAGCTGAAGCATGAACAAACAGCAAAACAAATTAATTTAGTCAAATTAATCACTGAAAAACTGGTAACCATCAGTTAGATTGTTGCTTAACAGTGTAATTAGTATCTACCTTTGCTTAGATTAATTGCGTTGTTGTCAAATAATTTGACGATTAATTTCAAAAACGATTCAATACTTCAATGTGCAAATAACAAGTGGAAAACATTTTCATACAAAATGTATTGTCAGACAAGCAAGTAAACAGAATCAATGATTAAACATGAAACCTATTAATTTCACGCGTAACATCTTAATCAAGTAAATTTTGGTACCGCCTTTGAAAGCTTTGGTGACTAAATTAGTTTCATCGTTATTATAAAGCCATGTTGGAAGAGTAAAAAAACTAGTTTCTAAACAATCAGAAAACAATCAACAGAGTACAAGGAAAATTTGTAATTATTTGCTTTCAGTCTATTAAAGTTAAAACAATCATCATGAAAACATTTTTAGTTTGTGTTATATTAACTGTAACCATTGGTGTATCCACTGCAATCGTTTGTAGACCCAATGTTTGTGACACTGTTAGATGTATAAATCCAGGATCACAAGCAGATTGCGATAAAGACGGTAAAGTTTTTGTACCCAAAGGTGGATTCTGTGGTTGCTGCAATGCCTGTCTCGCTCCATTACAAGAAGGTGATCTTTGTGAGAATCGATTCCGAGGGAGTCCACCAACAGCCGTTTGTGCAAAGCCTTTAGTTTGTAAATCATTCGACTCATCACCACCTAGATGTACCGATCCTTTCGCTTCACCTCCTTTTGTCCCCCAAAGTGACGATTGTGAAGCTAACGCAAACTCTTACGCAAACGCTTACGCTAACTAAAAACATTTGACTTGATCACAGTCACAGACGTATTTTATAACATGCATAATAAACAAAAATCTTATTGAAATATTTTCCTACCTTTATTAAATACACGGTCAGAATTGATACAACTCACTCAGAATTTATGCTCTAACACTCTTGGCATAGTCTAACATTACTTGTATTAAGCCGTTACTTAAATTAAAAATTTGTAACAAATTTAATTAGATTAAGGATACCCATAGAGGAAACGTTCACGGTATGCATATAAAGAATCTTTAAAGTTTTGAATATGTCGTCCGAATGGATCCATATCATTGTAGCATCTTTCAAATACTTTATCGATAGTTTTATACGCTTCCGAGTGATCTAGCTCTGGGAGCGATGCTATTAGAGATAGAAAAGCCTTTTCTCGAACACATTCCTAGGATAAAAAAGTAATAGAAATCGATTGATTAGAAAAAGAATCAAAATTTTGAAGAAGGAAATCAATACAGTGATAAACCGATGTGAAATATATTAACCTTTTGTGTATCACTCCAACGATACAGAGGAGTTGTGCCTTTATAAATTGATCCAGGGATGGAACAATGCATCAGATTAGCTGCTCGAATCTGTTTGGAAATTTCAAAAGAATTAGTAATAAGCTAAATATGCAGATAAAATGTCCATTAACTTAAATACCTCAGTACAAGCAACATGTTCGGGATTAGTAAAATCCAGTTTAGCTCGGCATGCATCGTACATGTGAATCATCTCGTGACCGATTGTTCCCATAAATTGTCCTTTACTCATATATTTGTTGGAACAGACAACAATTTGATTGAAAAAAATATCATATCCTCCAGTCATTTTACCAACACATGGTTCACAGCTGAAATGACGCCGATAGTCAAGTTCACTAATGAGGAAGATTTCAACAAATTATTTCACTTGCAGATTTTCATAGATGACTAGCTTAACAAGATAATTACCACCCATGAGCCTTCATAGCCCGTTCCAAGAGTTTGATCAATGGATCTATTTAAAATAAATGACACAAAAAAAACACACATGAGAATAAACTTATTAAATATTTGGGTACATGACTTACAATTCTTGATTACAGACAGTACTTGGTATTCACACATTTCCCTTTGAGACTTATGATCGTTAAGTAAACTTGTATGGTATATCGAACCTCCACGACGTTCAGGAAAGTTTTTCAAATGCTCCTCAGTCACTGGATCTTTGGAGTTAGGTTCATTATTTGAATCGTTTTTTCCCTGACTATTTAGTCCTGGTTTGACGGACTCTTTCTGCTTTTGTTGGTTTCCATTTTTATCATTCGACATGATTACAACGGAGATGGTCACGTTTACTCAGCAGACACAGAATCACATAAAATTAAGTTCGGGTTGCACAGTTCATAATTTATTTACATAAAAGTTTACAATTAAATTCGAGTAAAAAACATAAACATGGAAACTCATGGAGAAAACCATATGCGAGTCAATGAGGATCGGATATCAGGATCGATACCTTTTCTAAATAGAAACCACTGGTTACTAATTACTTGCAACCAAAGCAGAAGTAATCATGATTAATGGTCATAATATTAATTTAACCAAGTATAAACTGCTTTTGATTTCAAATTTAATCATTTTAAATTTCCAAATGGCTCCAAGTAAACAGAGAAAGGAAACAATAAACTTTTACCGCAACTTATTCGGCTACTCAAAAGTAAATATCAAATTTGGTACCTGATCCAGAGCTCGGTCTTGAAAGTATCTGTATTTTTAATTCATGCTTCTAATAATCTGGAATAGACAAAATTACAAAGCAATTGCATAATTTAATTTCAAATTCAATAAAAGACTAAAGTAAGATTAGACCATAGGTAAGATTTACTGAAAATCTTATAACATTCTACATTTATTTACATTTGAAGAGCAACGCAATCAATCGAGTTTATTTCAACTGACATTGTAGACTAAATTTTTAATTTAATAATCTTATTTTTGAGTGTCATCCGTGCTTTTTACGTCTTTTGATTCTCCAGGAGAAAGCTTTTGTCTTGCTTCTTGTTCCAGCAGATTAGGGTTGTCTGGAAGATCAGCAATATAAAATCCTCTATTGAGCAAATATGTTTGACCTGGGTTTACTTCTAAATCACGGTACAATGGGAAAAAAGATTTTGGATGAAAATCTCGCTCAGCTTCGATAAGTTGCAATTTCGCATCTAGTTCAGGCCAATTCTTTCTCTCTTCCATCTCCAATTGAGCAGCTTTTTGTTTTTTAATCAAAGCAATAGCAGCATTTCTAATCATCTCCTCTTCCGTTGGTGGCTCCTCACGGGTTTTCCTGGTTTTCCAAATGAAGAAAAGTTAGTAAAATATACAATAAAATTGAATTCAAGATAAGCATACCTTAACCATCTTATCCACTCTGGTGAAATGTTAATTTCTGGTATCATAGGGATGTCAGAAGTTTTTAAATTTTTGGGCTCAACAAACCGAAATATTCGTCCTGACTTGTCCATGGTTTCGAAATAATAATTACCATTTAAATCTTCTCCTTTATACACCATTTGACCGGCAGATTTATCTGCCGACCTACTCAGATTCCACCATTGCCGAAAACGAGTCCAAAGCCCAGGCAAATACTTCACACTGGTCATTGAAACGAAGAAGAGTTAGCCCAATTCAAAAAGAATTGACCGATGACCCCACTTCAAATATTAATCAAACTTTGATGATATGAATATATCAACACATAAAATTTACACTTTCCATTATCTTTGTTTTTGTAAACACTACAGTTCACGTGATTCATCAGTTCATTAAAATTAGTAAACGGTCCCTAGAAATCATATCACAATACATGTACTGTAAAGACGTATAAAAGGCTAACTCATTTTGTTAAATTTTTCTAACCCGATTCAGTTATAATTAGTGAATTCAATAAAAATGTCTACTAATCAACAACAGCAAAATTCCAAAAAGGAGACTCAAGATAAATCTAAAATCGATCTTGGATTCGAAGAAGATGATGAATTTGAAGAGTTTCCAGCTGAAGGTATGTATTTTGACAATATTCATATTTGTGGAATCATTTTACATTGTTTTTAATCAATTTCATAATATTTTGTTTTCTTTGGCTGTTAATTTTCATTTTTCTTCTTTGACCATTCACTGTCTAATAGAGTGGAATGAGAAAGATGCTGATTCAGAATTTACCATCTGGGATGATAATTGGGATGATGATGAATTGAAAGATGACTTTTCATTACAATTGAAGTAAGTAAACTAGATGATTTGCTGTCACAATTTGGTGATGAATCTATTTATAATCTAATGGTTTATTTCATTTCAATTCTTTATCTACAGGGGAGAGTTGGAGAAACAAAAGCTAACATAAACGAAGGAAATTGGTTCTTGTTAAAACTCAATTTTCTACAATTAAGTGGTGTAATTTTTACTATGGTTTTGAGTATTATAGATTGGTAGAAACATTAAAAGCTTTACCAACGACAAAAAATATTAATGTTTGAATGTTGAAAGTCACAAAAATTTGAATTTAATAAAATGATGAAATTTAGCATTTGATATTGCGCGCCTTTCTTTACCATTAGAAGTTGTTGTTTAAATTCAAAAGATGTCTATGGTGATTCATAGCAAATGAAAAGTCATTTTTGACTAACTTGTAAAAGTGATCTTATTATTGTGGCGGATATTTTCTGTTTGTCTATTTAAGGTGAGTAATAATTTAATCTTTATTATGTTTTGATTTGGGAATGGACGCCATCTTTAACTATGTTAAAGTCACTGTTAAACGAAAACACTTGATTCCCTAGATTAAACCAAATTTGCAATAAATGTTGCTATTTCATAAACTTATGATTGAGCGCAAAGAAATAAGTGATTACTTTGGCGTACAGATACGAAGTTAACATATCTATATTGTAATAATTAACTTAAATTATGTTTATACTTATTACAGGTTATATTACTCAAAGAGTGGGACAGGAAAGTGAATCAAGATGACTGAAAGGTATAACATTCATTCTCAACTGGAACATTTACAATCTAAATACATTGGTACTGGTCATGCTGATTCAAGTAAATACGAATGGCTGGTTAATCAACATCGAGATACATATGCATCGTATTTGGGGCATTTCGATATTATAAATTACTTTGCAATCGCAGAAAATGAATCCAAAGCCCGGATCACCTTCAATCTTACAGAGAAACTTGTTCAACCATGTGGACCCCCACCAGAAAAGATCGAAGATTAAATTAAATTCTTATTTTATTATAAATTCCGTGCGACTGTTTCATCAATTGTAATTTAATCATCTTCATTGTGATTGATTAACCCAATAAACCATTTACAATCTTATATAAAAAATATCACGTAAATTGTCTATGTCAAAGTTTCAACGAGTACTTTTCAGAACTATAATAATAAAATTCAATGGCGCACGCCAGATCTTATTTTGATACATGTCAAAAGTCATATTTATTTATGTATTAATGATTTCCTTCTTCAGGCCGACCAATCCTATGTTAATCTATGGCTACTTCCAATACGATCTTATTAATCAAGATGAATTTTGGCGGTACATTTATCATAGGACATGTCCATACATTTTCAAATGATCTTAATATGACACAGCCAGGAATTGCTGCCAATTGAGCTTTTACCGGAACTTTTTCGTCCATTTTAAAGAAAATATCAGAATTTGTCCAAAGCTTGACCTTTATTGAATGAGCCTTTATATCCATCGTTTATTTTTGCACAATTTTTAAATTGCAGTAAATCCGTTATTTTCATGAACCAGAAATAAATTTAAATAGCAAAGCAATATATAATTTAATTTCAAATTTAATAAAAGATTTCAGTTAAGATTTACTGAAAATCTCATAACATTCTACATTTATTTACATTTGAAGAGCAATGCAATCAATCGAGTTTATTTCAATTGACATTGAGGACTAAATTTTTGAATTGAATAATCTTAATTTTGAGTGTCTTACTCAACGTTAGAATTTCCAGAAGAAAGCTTTTGTCTTTCGTCTTTCGTCTTGTTCTAGTAGATTAGGGTTGTCTGGAAGATCAGCAATATAAAAACCTCTGTTGAGCAATTATGTTTGACCTGGCGTTACTTCTAAATCACGATTCAATGGGGGAAAAAGATTTTGGATGAAAATCTCGCTCAGCTTCGATAAGTTGCGATTTCGCATCTAGTTCAGGCCAATTCTTTCTCTCTTCCATCTCCAATTGAGCAGCTCGTTGTTTTTATTACAATCGTAGCAGCATTTCTAATAATTTCTTCTTTGGTGGATCAACATGGGTTTCCTAATTTTCAAAATAAAGGAAAAGTTAGAAAGTTACACAAAAAAAATTGTAAATAAATATGTGAACATACCTAAATCATGTTATCCACTTTGGTGTAATGTTGAGGTATGATGGAGATGTAACAAGTTTTTAAATTTTGTAGCACAAAAATCGCACTGACTTGTCCGTGGTTACGAAATAAGAGTTATTATTCAAATCCTCTCTTTTATATACCATTTGGCGATTGATTTATCCGTTGACTCACTCAGGTTCCACCATTGCCGAAAACGAGTCCAAAGGCCAGGCAAATACTTGACACTGGTCATTGGAACGAAGAAGAGGTATCTCAATTCAGAAAGAAATTGATCGATAACCTCACTTCTAATATTAATCAAACTTTGATGATGTAAGTATATTCACAACATCCAATTTGCATTTTGAAACAATAAATAACCATTTAAATCTACACCTTGATAGTCCATATTGTCATTTCGTTCATGTATTCTCATGACCTCTCCTTTCTTTATCTCTTTGCGATTTGATGATTAAAATGGATAAATAAACAAAAAGAATCATAGTCAAGGTAAAAAAGCCAGCAATATTGGCCATTTTGATGGTAAATTTTTCCCTCGAAGGCATATACGATCCATCTAGATCTTTAAATTCACACCTTTGCCCCATATATCCGTGAGCACATTCACAATTGTACAAAATAGATTCACCTATTCGAACAGAGAAGCACGTTGCTCCATTAAGACAGTACCATTTAGCATATGCTTCAGGACACGCATACGTTTGAAAGGTAATATTTGGTCTAGTTGTAGTGGAAGGTTGCAAAGTTGAAGGTATCCTTGGTTTCGGTGTAGACCTAGATGAACACGATTCAGTAAATCGCAGCAACAATTGAAGAATAAAAAATGGTAACATTTTGCTCATTTGATAATGATGATGGTAATAATTCCAACTGAGAAAACCAAAAAGAGAGTGAACACAAGAGGAAGAGGAGAAGAAGAGAAATAGAGGTGAAAAATACACAAGAGGGAGAGAGAGAGAGAGAGAAGAAGAAGAAGAGAATAAGAAGAAAAAAAATTAACAAAATGAGTTAAACAGTTGAAACAAAAATTGAAAACAGAAATGAAGTTAACTAGAAAGCCATTCGACTTATACTAACCTGAAATCTTTTTTTGCTCGCCTTACCCTGTCAACATTAAATTTACTCTCAACGCCATCTATCTTTTCTTCCTTCCTTTTTTTTCTGCAGCTTTTTATGACTCGCCCTCTTCCTCTTCATTCATCCCTCTCTTCATCTCTCTTCATCTCTCATCATCTTTCTCTTTCTCTCATCCTTGGCTCGCCCTCTTCCTTTACCGTATATCCAGCAAGCAAAAAAAGTGTATATAAAAAAAAGTGAAAAAAGGTATAAAAATCTGATCAACAAAACATAAACTCACACAGAACTTTTTACAGGGTTGAAAGCCTTTTTTGCCAACTATTACGGCAACAATAACAATAACAAGAAGAGGAATCAACAATTTACTGAGAAAGTGAACAAAATGATGATGATGTTTGAACACTAATCAGTGTCTGTGAAAATAGACTAATAAAAGTGTGTAAAAGTAAATGATTAACTATGAATTGGTTTTGAGCTTCAGCTTCAGCTACAAAAAAAAAGGTCAAACAACAAAAGTATATTTGTTATAATGATGAAGATGATTCTAAACATTTTAAGGCCGCCATTGAAGTTAATATTTAGTTTGTGTAGCTAATACACTGCTACTACCGATGAGAGCGGCCTAAGGATGATGTTGATGTTGATGATGATGATCAACAATTGGCTCTGTAAACCGATGAGCATGATCAGTCAGTTGAAACTGAACAATCAAAAGGTAGAAGAGAGGTAAAAAAAAAGGTAAAGTTGAGTAAAAAAAAGAGCATCATTGAATGAGATTAAATTTCTATGAACAAAAAGCTGGATGAGAGAGAAACAACAAGTTTACAAGTAACAATAATAAGAGTTAGCAATGATGATGATGAGGATAGGGATGAAGTGATGATAATGATGAGAGAAAGAGATGGAAAGGGAATAAGTGAAAGAATGGATTGAACAACCAGATAAGATGATGTAGCTAATGTAGCATCACTGTCTATTTACCCAAACAAGCTCAACAGTTTTGTTGGTAATTGTCATCCATCAATCAAAAGGTAAAACCCATAAATTTCATGGAATCAAATGATTTGAAGAAGAAGAAAAAAGAAAACATTTTTATCAACATTCTCTTTTTCATCCTCATCACTCGTCTCACTTCGGATAATCTTCTTTGCCTTTCGCCGATATCCTTATTCATCTTCTTCCTCCTCCAAATACAACAAAAAAAGGTAACAACAGAAATACCACTTTTCTTGTCCAAAAATGCGTTCTCAGCCTCAAAGACTAAAGGTACCTTTTTTACTGTCTTTTGTGTTGTTTCTACTAATAAACACATCATCATCACCACCATCATCACCACCAACACCATCATTTTCATCTGGCAGCTAGCAAAATCATCTCAATCAACTATTACTTAACAGTCCACTTTTAAGCTCCACTTATGAGTTTTTTTTGCAGAAACATTTTTTGACGGGTTTACACCATTTTTACAGACTTCAAGCTGGAAACGATGTTGAGATCGTTTCAACGTCCAAACATGTATTCAGGTTGATTCCATGTTTATGTTGACTGTGGCCAGTCATCTGAATAATTGCGTGTAACAGCAGGATGAAAATGGAGGGTGAAGAAATGGATTGCAAGGTGAAAAATTGATGCAATTAAAGGCAAATTGTCGATCAAAAGCTGTTTCAATTTGTGTTTCATTTTCATGTCGCACCGGCACCAATTTAACCTTAAACTTGTCATCATTGATTATTGCCTTTTTTTGCACTTGCATTTCAATTGTCCATTAATCTGGACAACCATGTCTTTTTGTTGCGACTATTAACTTGACTGTTGTAATTATTGTCTGGTGTAACCGTAAACTTGAATGCATCTTGACATGATAATGAACATTAAAATAAGAGTTTACGTTTTCATCTCAATGTAAAGGTTAATGGGAAACAATTTTTGTTTCGTTTCTCCTTTGATCATTACAGTTTAATTAATATAATAATGTTGATAATAATTAACGAATTGGTTAATATAATTAAGGAATAATATTGAATTAACTGGAATGGTTAGATGGGAAGCAGACTGCAAAAAATAACAAAACCATAGTAAAGTTGGGAAAAAAATGAAGCAAGAAAAAAAAACAGATTAGTATAAAAGGAAAAATATAATTAGTCTATTATTATTATTATTAATATTTTTTGTATTATTATCATCATTTTTTTGGTTAAATTGTTGGCTCATGTTGTTCATTAACTTTGATATAACAGTCAATCAACCCTCAAAGGTAAACAACCCACACTCTTTAATACTATAAATCTCAATGAAAAACCACCCACCTCATTTTACCTTTTCATTTTTACTATTAATCCATTTCATTAATCAAATGGCCTACTATTGTCTTTCATATAGCATAACCAACTTCATCATTATCATCATTATCATCATATATTTCGTACTTTAATCAAGTCAAGAGCCACGAGACAGCAACTCTCCAACCTAACAAAGTCACTCTCGTCCCATGAAAGATAACACAGAGATAGGCCTTTCCACATGGAAACATTTCCACTTCAATTTTTCTCATCAATTTCTTGATAATCATCAGTTTTACCATTTTGATCATCGTCTTGATGATCGTCTTCACAATCATCTTCATCATCTTCATAATCAACTTAATATTTTGACTAGTTTGATCGCGTCTAATCAAGCCACAAGACCTAAAATTTACAACCTAAGAGAGTCACTCTTGTCCCATCAGAGACAGTATATGAAGGGGTATTTTTCACGTAAAAAAATCGCTTATTGTGACTGACTATTTTATATGTGAATATTATAAATGATTGAAGTGGATATTGAACACTTTTTGACCTAATTTTTTGCGTTGTTACCTTTTTATTTTGATATGATTATCTTTATCCTTTCATCATTAATTTGGATGTTAATCAAATACCAATCAAATGCAATTTCATTGTAATGCATCATTTGTTTGACTACAACTTGAAACGGAAAAACTTGAAAAGATGCTCTTTGATTGTCAGATTATAAATTAATCAACTAACTGGCTCTTCATTAAAACATTAATTGTATAGTAAATTATCTCATGATAATTAACATGAACTCGTATTGTTTCTCATGTTATCTTCAGCCATCCATTATTTCAACAATCATATACACTTTTGAGATTTCAATGAATTCATTAGAGATGTTAAACTTAGAGTTAATTTAAGCTGCCTCATTATTCAATTTTGTTTTTTACCGTAATACCATTTCAATGATTGAAATTGTTCTGGAAACTGTTTCAACCAACAAAGGATGTTAATAAAAATAACTTTCATTGTTGACAATCTTGTTTAACCATTCAAATTTGGTAGCTGCCTTAAAGATGTCCATCTTCATTGGTCATCTGATTGAGCCACAAATTGTGCCAGCCGTTGAGCAAATTCAGCATTTGCATTTGAACAAACAGCAATCACTTTTGATTGTATATCGGGTGAAACTTTAATCAAATCCATTCCCATATTGTAAACCAAACTGTCCTGGTCTTGCGGGGTTAACATGCTCCAGAATTGGCTTGGCTGTTGATTGAGATAAAACAACAAATTGAAAATATTTATACATAATTGTCTTAATGTAATTAAATAATCGTTCATCATCTCAACAGTACAATTAAAATGATAAAAAATGTTAATATTTTCTCATTACAATCATTAACATCACTTTATATTGTATTGTTATTCAGCAAAAAAAAGGCAAAAGGTTTTCACTTACAAGCTTCAAGAACTAGAAATGATTTATCCTTAAAATAGTTGTATATTTATATAAATGCATACAACAGTTAAATGTTAATATCGTTGTTATATATGATTGCGGTCAACGTAACGTTACCTTAACTTCAGACTTACCTTCTCTCGATGATAATTAAAAACTGAAAAAAATGAGACTGGCAACAATACAACAAGCAATCTCCACTGTCCGTTGACCATGCTTAACAATAATAATGTTAATGTTAACAACAGTTACAATCTCATGAGAATCAAGGTTAACCGGTAAAAAACAAACTGGTCAATATGTGAATACATGAAAAGGTTGTTACCATAAAAGGTACATTTGTGTGTACAGAAATGCAAAGATGGCTACTCTTTTTGTTTCTCTCTTTCTTCCCTTTCTGTCTATCAAAACCTTGGTAACGGTTCACTTTCTTTTCACCACGTGATTTGCGCCTTTCTTTTGCGTCTTATGTAATCATGTGTTTCTATTGTCATCAATATTTATTCGGTTCAATGGCCTTTCACTGGTTAACTCAACTATTAATTTGATTGATCAAGGTTTTGAATATGACCAACTTTGACATGTCCTGCAAGGTGAGTTGAATTTTTTCTCAAATCTCAATTGTGTCTGTACTGTTAATATCTTTGCTTTTGCGTTTGCTTTTTCAGTCAACTGTGGTCAAGTTGATTGTTGGTACTCATCTAATTACCTGGCGATAGTTGTCATTATCCAAGCTGTTGTATCTGTTTACGATTGCGGGTTCAGCTGGTGTCCATGGTTCAGTGTAATAGGAAGAATCAACCCGATATTGTGGACTGTATGTATTGGGTAGGAAATTTGGTCTTGATCCAAAGTTGGAATCACAAACCGAAGCACCATCACGAGCTGTTGGGTTAATTATTGGACGAATTGGTTGATTAACTGGTAGTTTATAATTATTGGCTCCTAATCTGATAATGTAAAGAAACATTCCAACATTTCAACATGACATACACAAAAGGAGCAAGAATTAACTTTTAGTGTATTGATTTTTTTGTTTAACAAAAAAGTCTTTTATTGTTGAAAGTTATTACCTGTAGTTTTGTGTATCTATGTAAGCCAGAATACGTCCTTGGATTAGTTTATCTGGAGCCGGATATATTCCAGGAATTAAACTAGAAGGTTTGAAAGCTAATTGTTCAATTTCGGCAAACTCATTTTCTGGATTACGATTTAATGTTATTTTACCAATTTCAGTTGATGGATAAAGATGTTCCCACCAAGTCTTTTAAAAGTGAATGATAAAAAAAAAGATAAACCAGATGATTCTATTATCTATTCGATGATTGATAAATTGATTGAAGATAATTTACCTTTGTTGAGTCAAGTATATTAAAGTCAGCTTTAGAGGCTTCTTCAAAATCCATTATCTGAACTCGTAGAGACCAAGAAGGAAACTTGCCTGACTTAATTGCATTATACAAATCTTTGGATGAATATGCTGGATCTAAACTACAAATTTGCATGGATTGATGTCGAGTTAAATTACGTATTCCAAGATCAGGAACCAAGTTGAATCGAGCAAAAACCATTCCACCAGTAGCATTGGTTAAACGGAACGTGTTTACACTGAAACCAGGTAAATAACGGAATCCATCAGGTGTCCCAGCATCAGAATAAACACGCATGAAAGCATGAAGAGATTCAGGGTTGGCTGCAAGGAAGCTAAAAATGTTATCAAGATTAGGCCAGTTACCAACAGGATCAGACTTCTGCGAGTGGACAAAGTAAATGAAGCGAAATGGATCTCGAACGAAAAAGATTGGTATGGATAAAGTGAGAAGATCAAAGTTTCCTTGATCCGAATAGAAGCGAATCGCGAAACCTCTAGGATCACGAGTGGCATCAGGTGAACCTCTTGAACCCATTGTAGTTGAAAATCGAATGGCCACTTTGGTGTCAACATTTGGTGTTGTAAAAAGTGGAGCTTTAGTGTACCGTGAAATAACCTGTGTATTTGTGGGCCTGAAGACACCAAAAGCCCCATAACCACGTGCATGAACAACCCTTTCAGGTATCCGTTCACGGGTAAAATGGGTCAACTCTTCAATAAATTGGCCATCCTCCATAAGAATGGGACCCGAAGGACCAACAGTCAATGTATTGTATTTATCGGAAATGGGACATCCGTTTAAGCGAGTCATAATGTTACTTTCAGATGAAGCAGGCGAAGATGAACCTTGTAAATTTAACCATGAAAATTGTCCAGCATTTTCATGGAAACAAGTTACTAAAATCTTTGAAAGGAAGAAGAAGAAAAAGACATTTTGCCATTAAAAAAGCTACCCTTTTAGCATCCAAGGCTATTATAATTTTGATTAATTATCCTACTAAATCACAAAGGCCAATTGGATCATCAAGCCACTTAAACTACCTTTGACATGGTCTTTCAATTTCAAGCCAAACAATCTCTCCTTCATTCAGTTCAATTGCAAATGATAACAATACAATGGCAAAGTTAAGCCATACTAAACAATGTCTAAACAATAAGACTAAAAAAGTAAAATGAAATAAAAAGTCTTTTCAGATGAAAGGAAAAACTCTGAAAATGATGATTATTCTCTTCTCTTCTGCAAAGTAAATGAAAAGTGAATTTAAATAAAAGCAATTAACTGAATTATCCAAAGGGATCAATGAAGATCAGAGGAACCAAGAGAAAGCAAAAACCAAAGAAAAGACACAAGAAGAAGCAAGATGATGAAGAAGCAAAAGGAGAAAAGTAATAGAATGAAAAAGATGCAAAATATACTATTTTTTCCTCACTCTTAGACAGCCTTTTAAATATATTTCCGTTTCCCGCCCATGGTGAAATGACCTTTACAGTGGGTCTTCATCCCTCATTCAGCAACTCTCTTTCCCTGTCTGTCTCTCTGTCTTTCCATCTTGCACTCTCTTCAACTCTCTTCCTAACTTCTTGCAATGTAACAGCCTATTGAATGAGTATTAATAAACAAGAAACACACGAGACTCTCGACACGGTTTCGCTAGCTCAGTTGGCCTTAATTGCCATTACCAAATACACAGAGAAAGAGTGAGTGGATGAAGATGATGATGATAGAGGAAGGGAGGGTTGAGGCTATTTTTCATTCTCACTCTGTAACAAGCCTTGGGTGAATTATCAGCCTACGCCCAATAGGAAACGCGTTTTTTTCACAAAAAAAAAGTCAATCGTTAGTCACCTTAAGGAAAATGAGTTTGATGATGATGATGAGAATTAAAATGATGATGATGATGACTGACTGACTGACTGATTTAAGGTGAACCTTACCTTGCTATTAAACGGTATAAAACTAGCTTGTCTCTAGACTTTTATTATTTGAGTTGATCATTTTAGTTGATCAAGATCGTTGCATCCGTAATGATACCATTATACTAATAGTTGAATGTTACTGCTGCTGTTGAATCGCGTTTATTATTATCATATTATTATCAGTGTAAAATGAGACTAAATAAAGGTTTTAAACTCCCTCTTATAATGATATTAATGACAATCACACAAGATAGTAACTACTTCATCTCATTAAATTACCTTGTTCATTAATTCAACATTTTCATCCTCTTTTCATCTGTTGTCTCATTACCTTTCCTTACAATTAAACTTTCACTCTTTCCAGGACAAAGCTTCAACTATTTTATGCTCATTTTTCATTTTAAACACTTTTTGATCAACATTGAAATCAGAGCTGAATTAGTTTGATATTATCATTTATTCAAATTGAAAAGATGTAAAAGGCCTAATTTGTTTCATTGAAAACAAAAGCAAAAGTGAAACTGAAAAGGTTAATTTTTCCCATTTCCTATTATATCTCGAGTTTATTTTCATATTTTGTGAAACAATCAATTTGATTGGATTCACTCGTTTTGATAATTATGCTCAAAGAATCGTAGAAACTATGAGAAAATTTCCTTTTGAATGGTTACTTTAACTAACCTAGTCCAACCTAATGAAACCTAATTGTTTTCATCAGATGAAACACGTTTCAATGACGGTTGACGGTATTAATGTTAAATTGTACGTTTCATTGAACTTACATTTGCAATCAATAGCCATTAACTCTCAACTGATATCCCAAACTATCGATTAAAAATATTCAAATGAAAGGCGAAAAAAATTATCCAAAGTTTCAGACCAACCATTAATTTTGGTCAAATTTTATCCAAAAGTTGACATTACGATTGGCTGAAATTGAGTCGATTTGATTATCAATATCAATGAGTTTGACAAATTGGATCAAATTTCAGTTCAAGTATTGAGTGAGAAAAAAAAGACAAATATTGAATAAATTAAAATGCTTGGCTAAGTTTGATTGAAAGATGAAAAAGAGTCTGATCAAACTAGTAATTTATCAGATCTTTGGACAAATTTTGTCAAATGAAATACAAACGAAACTGAATTAAACCTTTTCAACCCATCAACTAGACTTGTTAACCAAAGAAAAGGTAAGTGAATGAAAAAAAAGTTAACTTAAGCGGTTCAGAAAAAAAAGGTTAAACATTTGCTGAATCATTTCAAGAACAATCAACGGACCATTTAAAACATTTTGCCAAATTTTTGCTCTCCTTCACAAAAATGAGGTGAAAAAAGAGGCAAAGAAACAAACAAAAACATCGATGCTGTTTCGGTGAAGTAAAAGTAGCAGTAGAAGGTGAAGAATAAGAAGATAAAGATGATGAAGATGGTGAAGATGGTGATGAAGATGATGGTAAAAATGGGAAAGTAGAAGAAGAAGAAGGAAAAAAAGGAGAGAAAAGCAAAAGAAAAGTTTACATTTGATAAAATTTGACAATATGTCAAACTCATTTTACCTCTCTCTCTCAGCATACACATGTTTAGCTATTTCACTGTTCCTAAGAAGAAGAAGAAGAAGAAAGATGAAGAAAAAAAAGAGCCACGGGCCACAAGACACGAGCCACGCGCGTTCCTTTAACCTCCCCTTTAGCCTGGCAGCTGTCATAAAAACTATCCGATTCGACCCCCTTACACATGCCGATTCCTTTTCTCTTAGTTTACTCTCTTTTTGGAAGTAAAATTTTTCTACTTTTGTATTGAAAAGAAGAAGAAAAAGAAAGGTTAAAAGAGACTTGAAAGGCCACGGACCACGAGTCACGCGCGTTCAACGGCCTGTCAGCTGTCGTAAGGCTACCTAACTAATGCAATCCTAAAGGTCTCTCTCTCTCTTCTCTCACTTTTCTCTCACTTTTCTTTCTCTTTTTTTTCAAAATATCTTTTCAATCTTCCATACTCACTCCGTTAAGGTTTCTCTCTCTCTCTCTTAACTCATCCTTATCCGGCTTCTCACTCTTCATCTCCTTTTCATCATCTTCTTGTTTCTTTCTTTTGCTTCCACCTTGCTTCCTGTGGACCTTTTACAAAGAGGTTGACTTGCAGAGGATGTCTTAAGAGGTACGTGGCACGTGGTTATAACACACAAAACAAGTATACCTCATGCCCAGTGTGTTTACGGTTCACCGTGTTATTTACAGAGTTTAGGCTTTTTTTGCTCCCAAATTGAGAGGGGTCCCAAATTGAGAGGGGAAGGTTAGTGAATGAGCAAAGGTAAATGTGGTTTAGGTAAAAGTATACTCTGTCTGTTTAGTGTCTGGGTACTGAGGGAGGTTGAGAGAGAGGCAGAGAGAAGGATAAGTGCTGATTCAATGAATATCAATGAATCAATATCAGGATCATTTGTTGGCCTTAACAGACGAAGACTTGAAAAGGAGCCAAAATCTGGTTGCAAGATGATGACGATCATTATTATTATTGTTATTGTATTGACTATTGTATATTTTGGTCGTGGGTCAAGCTTGTTGTTTATCATTTTAACAAACATCATCTACAAACCAATGGACTTAACAAAAACTGAACCCAATTGACCTTTCCATTTTACTCTTTACTTTCACAACTGTTTTTACCTGTAAAAACCTATTATTAAGGGTCAATAGCACAGTTTTTTTTTTCAGTAAAAACCATGAAAAAAGGCAAAGATGAAACTGAAATAAAGAAACAAAAATTAAACGTTTCGCCATTCTTCCTCCTTCAATAGTCAATTAGAAACATTGAAATGATAATTCAATTCAGTTTAGGTTTTTACGTTAATTAGCCTTGATTCAGTTTCATTTTTACCGATCAATTTGATTGTTAAATTTTCACTTACCAGGATTGAAGCAACATAAAAATGGCTTTCCATATTCAGATGATTAGATTGAAATTGATGGGAACAATGGCAATTAGTCCAATAACTTAATTGTGATCAAAGTTGAAGCAATTTAGATTTCGATTAAATTGAAGCTTTCACAGCTAGAAATGATCAACTAAAATTGCAATTTACTAATCATCACCAGAGAGCAATATTATTGTTTTCAAGTGTCGTCTTTAACAAATAATTATCTAATTGTTTTCAATCATTTTCATTAACATTGATTCAATGACAGGTTGAATAGGAAGTTAAAGTTGTCTGCAATTAAGTCAATCAATATGTTTCAACATGAAAAGGTTTCAATGAAAAAAATGGTTTAATAATCATGAAAGCAAATCAAATGAGAGTAATGAAAAGATTCATTAATCACATTTTAAGCTAATAATTGTGACGAAAAGACATTAAATCAATTGGAATCCAAATAATACAAATTAAATGCTTTTTCACTTTCACTTTCTTCTTTTATTAACAATCAGTTAATCAGATTTAATAGCAAAAGACTAAACAAAAATTAAACCTTTTTCTCGCTTCTTCATCATTCGGCCCTTTACAGCCACAGTTATTAATTACAAATACAATTGATTTATTAAAGGTTGAAACAAAAGCCACTTTTGATTGAACATGAAAACAATCAACTAATCATTTGATCAAAATTAAAATAAATAAATGATGAATTGCACTTTTCAAGGTACAGAGACGGTAATCTTAATTAATGATTAAGACTTGAGTTAAATTGTTGCAAATGGGTTAACTAAATAGACTCTTAACCAGTGATTTTAACCAAGAAATGTCTGGTCTTAAGTTATTGTTCGGAGTCAATTTCTGGTTACAGTAAAATTGTAAAATTTGATGAATTCATTTGAAGTGTTTAAACAGAATCAATTTCAGAATAAAGTGTTTATTGGAATCAAATTAACTCTTAAAATAATCACAATTATATCAAGTGTTGGTAATTGATCAATAAAAATGCAAATAACATTGAGCTTCAGCTATTGAATGTTGTTTGGCAGAAAAAGGTATTTCAAGTTTCTCTTTATTTCATAATTTTATTGCTCGCTTCACCAATTGGATCAAATCTCGTGTAGAATAGCAATTTACACAATTAACTGTTAATGTCTATCATAAATAAATATCAATACGGATACATAATTAACGATTAATTGTATTTTGACAGAAAAAAGGTCTTTTTTTGCTTCTAAACATTGATTAAGTGCCCAATGTGAATGGTTAAGTATACAATAACAATCACTAATCAAGTGAAAATGTGAAGCCAAACAGTTAACTTTCAATAATCAATTTAGCTTGTTCACCTTTTTTTTCATCTTTTCATCTCTCTTTTCATGTCTCACTCTTTGTGGTTCCTCTTCTTCCTTCCTCTCTCTCTATCTTCACCTTCATCTTCCTTGAGAGGTTGAAAAATGTTGCCTTTCATTTGAAATAAAAAAGAGCCTCAGAAGTAACGTTAAAGTCACAAATCACGGTCCAATGTTTCTCTTGCAAACTCGAACTTCTTCCTGTGTAAATCTCTTTCCTTCACCTTCACCATCATCCTCAACCTCATCCTCATCCTCATCACTCTCATCTTCTTTCAACTCAATTTCCGAAGCGTCCCTTTTCCCCTTTTCATCTCTTCCTTAACTGTTAGGTATAAATGTTTGCATCGGTATTTTGATGATTTGTTTCGCCTTCTTCCAGTGAAAATCTTTTCTTTTTCCTTCATAACTTTCCATTTTCATCTCTTCATCTTCTTCTGATCATCTCTTCTGGCCATCATCTTTTCTGGCCCTCGTCTTAACGTTTCAACTTGAGCCTCTTTACCGCGTCTCAATTGTTACTGACTGTTGTTGTCTTGATCCATTTATTGGGCAAACAAAAGCGTCTGTTAACCAGCTTGTCCAACAGCATCCAGTTTGAAGGACAATCAATAATCAACTTTAACTAGTATCAGTTATCACACAATAAAACATATAACAGTAACAATTTACACACCATTCGTCTTTCAATTGAACACACAAAAGCAAGGTAGAGCAACAAAAACAGTGAAAAGAGGAGGAAAGATGAAAAACTGAACAACGCAATGGATGAAGAAGAAAAAAAAAGATTGTCAAAACCAAAGTTATAAATAAAAAGCTAATTCAATGCTCATTCAACCTGGAAATCCAATAAAATACAATATTTATTATTATTATTATTTCATTTCTACTTCAGTCACTAACTCAACCAACTCGCATAAATGACAATTAATCAAACAGTCAAAGGTAAAGTTTCCATTGACAACAATGAATGCAAAACAAAAATGTAAAAACTTGAAACAAAATGCTTCACTAACAATGAAAAGGCAAAGAGGTGAAAAGTAATTGTAAAATGATAGCAAAATGTTCAACAATTAACGGCAATATTTTATCATTAAACACTTGTAGGTTGAAGATTAGATTGAAATTTACTGTAAATTAAAAAATAAACGTTAAACCAAAGCTGACTTTTTGGGTTTACATCTAATTTTGAATGTAAAAAAACAAATTATGGATTGGGTTGGAGGAAAAGGGAAGACATAAAATATTGAAACATTGATCATGATGATGACCTACCCAAAGGGCGTTGAATTTACCGTTGAAATGATCATCTTTACAATCGGCCACAATCTATTGATTTGTAAACAGTTTGATTAATCGAAATGTAATCTGTAAAGTCGATCAACTTGATTAAAGTTCATTATAATGGAAGCGGCTTGATTTATTTTTTACCTTACAATAATTTGCTATTGACATTGTAATGTTTATATGACAAACCCGTTAATCATGTTTATTCACCTTCTTTTTTTGTCTTGATTTTCACTCTTTCATTGTATTATTAGACTAGCCAATGTAAACAATTAAGTTAACCTTCAATGTTTTTAATATGATTAATCGATTATTACAATTGATAACTGTAATAAATTTGCTTGGCCCATTGAGTTGTTCACTTTGTTTTCAGATTTGCTTGTTATGTTGTTTTATGTCAATGTTGATGTTTACCTGTTTTTTGTATGCACACAAAAGATGATTAATATATTAGTCAATAACAGGTACAAACAAATGTTAATTGTTTTACAATTAAATGAGCAAATAGAAATGAATGATTAATCGGAATCAACAAGGAAAATAAAGGTAAATTAAAAGTGATTGAGTTAAGTCAACAAGAAAAGGTTGTAACTGTCAATTGGAAAGTTGAATATAAGAGTTGAAGAGTTGTCCGGTTGGAGTGAAAATTAACATTGAAAAACTGTCAACGATCATAATGATTTGGAGATTATTAAGATGATGATTAAGATGATGATTAGGAGGATGATTAGGAGGATGATTAGGATGGTAAATCCAAAAATAAACCTTCTGACCGGGCGACCTCGAAGTGAGGTGATTGAGCTTTAGCAACATATGAAAACATTATCATAGCATTGTAAGTCTTTTAGTTTTCCCTTTTTTTCCTCTCGTTCACTTCATCTTCATCATTTTTGCAATAAATTCAACTCGGTTTCCGGCCATTTATGAAACAATTCAGTTAACAGGCAAACCTCATTTTTGGTTAACTTTTCTGTCAAAGTCTTTGCTCTTTCTAATACATATTAGTCTGCTTTTCATCACATTTCTCTCCATTTATGTGCATCTTTTTGCGTTGATCCACTTTCACCGAAAAACTGGCTCCTTGGACTCGATCCAAATTGACTGTCAACTGTCTCCCCTTTAAGCTGACCATTGGTATCGATTGCCATTAAAAAGATTAGCTTCCGTTATTACATTTGCAATGGTAATCCAATGTTTTCCCAATGTTGACCAATAAATCAATGTTTTACCTGCAAAAAGAAAAGGAAAATAAAGTTATTAGTAGAAAAATCAAAATAGGTCGATATGCTTTGGTTACTGTTGTTGGTATCATTATTATGTTATTAGTATTTAGTAGTTGATAATGATGACAGCTGACTCTAGGAATCCCAGTGATTAAAGCATAACCAGAGTTATAATTTTTAGGGTTTCATTGAAGATGATTTGAAACACATATACAAAAAAAAGGAACACAAAAACAAGTAGAAAATGAAAAGAGAGAAAAGGCAAAGTTTCAAATTGATTTGTAAGTTAAACACTCATGATAAACAATGTAATAAAGGAAAGGTAAGAAAGTTAAAGGTATAGTTTAAGGGACCGCACAAGATCAATTTTGGACTTTTAAATGTAACTAATATGGTTTAGGATGATGAAGAGATGATGAGGATAAGGATGAAGAGGAAAGGTAAGAGAGAAAAAAAGAAAGGTAAAAAGACGGAGAAAGGAAGAAAAGGAAGGAAGCAAGAAACTGATGATAATAATAAAACGAATTCTTTACAAAATAATAAAAGGTAAAATATTGAAAATCATGGAATATCATCAGTTCTCTTTATTATCACCTTTCTTCTTCAAAATTCTCATCTTATCCTCATTTTCCTTCTTCTTTCCTTCCTTTCCTTTCTTCTCCATCTTCTGGGTCCAAGTGTGTTTTTTTCAGTCATTCAATATTATGAAAAGGTAACATTTTTGTGTTGCAACAAAAATGTTACCTTTGATTGTAAGAATTTTTTTTCTTCAAATTTTCTCTGGCACTTCATTTGTTATGAAAGATTGAAATTTGCTTGATCATGTTACAGAATTAATTAGCTAAATGGAAACGCAAAAAGCTGCAAAATATCAATGAAAATATGAGTTATGGGAATCGCTCGACATCAAGGTAAAACAAGGTCAAAAGTGACCTAAAAATGATCAAGAGTAGTACAACCTTGTTACAACTGAATAGTATTTTGTTAGCATTTTTTTGCTAACATTTTGTTCTCAATTAAATTTTACCTTTTACCTCAATATGGATTGATATCTTGTCAAGTTGACAGGTTTGTGCAAAGGTAAAGAGTGTAAGATGAAAATGAAATGAGGAAAGGGAAGGAAACTTGGGATAAGATGGTTAAGGATGGAAAATGGGAAGAAGATGAAGAAAAAGATGAAAAGATAAACTTTTTCTGTTGTTATATAATATCACTATTCTGAGTGGGTGGGTGAGGGTGTGTTTCATTTAATGGGGTTTGTTATTATTAGTGATTTTCAACATTATGATATGTATTAGTGTTATTAAACAAGGATAAGGAGGTTAGGTAAGTGCATAAGCAAGTCACTAGGTTTTCATGACTAAATCAAACATTAATATTACTTTTTTTTTATATTGTGTTTTGTTAGCTTCTTTTTGCCTTTACTTTATCCATTTTTTTGTCCGATTTAACGAGAGGCTTTTCAAGTTGAAGGTCACTACAGGTCATTTGGATATTGAACCATGGCAATATATATGATATAATGATAGGAATGATTCGGTTAACTTGATAAAGAGAGAGAGAAAGGCATAAAGGTAGAGAGATGATACCAGGTAGTTTCAGTGTCATCTTTGAGACTGTGTCAACTCAAGCGTTTTGTATTGAGAGGTTACCTAAAAGATGATGAGGAGAAGAGAAAAAGAAGAAGAAGAAGAAGAAGACAAAAAAGAATATAAATGAATGAATATAATAAAAGAAAGAGAAGAGAGAGATTTTGGTTGCATAGCAATTGTGTAAAACCGTGCAAACATCAACACAACTTGCGATGTTGAAGTAAAAAAGTAAATAATCTTCATTACATTGGAACAATTTCTTTTGGTTACTGTTGATGATAATGATGATTGTCTTTCTTTCCTTTCCTTTTTTTTGGGCTCTTTTCTTCCTCTTTAATTGTTCTTTTATTAGTGTTGTGATTAATGTGTAATCGGGTATTGAAAATAATTAATGTACCCATTGCCAAGGAATTGATTAAAATGCCCGGGAATTGATAATGATAATGATGATGATGGAAGTGGTGGCGTTAAGGATGATGAGTAAACTGGTCGGGCCCTTGGTCGTTTCGGTTCAGGTCACACAATTTGGGATTCAGTCAAGAATCAGCGAAAGAACCAACGAAATACATAATAAAAAAGGAGAAGATAATAGCAAAAAAATGGGTTTACGCTTCTTTTTTTTGTGCTTGAAACACTCATGCAATACTTACAATAAAAAAAAGTCTATTTGTTAATTACAAGTTTCAAATCACGAATCACAGTTTATCAACAAAGATCAAATTGAATAATATTGGTTTGCAAGTAGATTTAAATTGTCAATTGAATCTTTGCCTCTATTGAATCCATTGCTTTATCCTGCAAAAAAAAGGAATACAAAAAAAAAAGATTAGATCAGGAAAAATTAACGCTCAATGTAGAGGTGGCAAAAAATGCATTTAAATGGTTAACTGGCAAAAGGCCTGATTCAGTTGATCAATGCATTTATGGTCAATATTTTCATTTGCATTTTGTTTATCTGTTGATTTATCTATCATTACTGTGCCATTAACTTGTGAGGTGTTTTTTGTCACCATATTTCAATGCAATAGTTGACATTGTTTATGAAAATCCGTTATAATGTTGAGAAGGGTTTGTTGTTTTTTATGACTGGCTGTGTTACTGCAAATATTGAAAAGGTGATTCGGGGAAAAAAAGTTGAACCAAAAAAAGGTGCTACAGTAAAGTGTTGAACTACTAAAGGGTTGGACTTAAAGTACATGCAGAAAAAAGGTTAGACCCGCAAAAGATCAACATCTTGAAGCCATGTCACTTGAGTAAAGTATATACAATACCTGAGTGAAAAAATATAAGAAAATGCGAAAACAAGAAGAAGAAGAAGAAGAAAAAGAAGAATAAGAATAAGAAGGAAAAGTCAAGCAAATGGAGACATGAGGTTAGATTAAGACGGTGAAACCATCCGAAACATTAGTGTAGAGGGAGAGATGGAAGAAGAGGAGGAAAGAGAGAAGGAGAAAAGTAGAAGAGCCAATGTTTTTCTTAAGGTGTCTTAAGATACATTCACTTGGAATATACTTCAAGTCTGCCAAATGTTGTCTTTCATCATCATCTTGATCATCCTTTTTCTGTATATTGATTCCAGTGTTGTTGAAGCAAGGGAAAAGCCTCTGAAAAAGTACATCATTTTCATCATCATCATCGCCATGATTGTCATCTGAAAGAAGAAAAAAGAAGAAGAAAATGAGTGTAAGTCAGGGAGTCAAAAATAAAAGGGCAAATTGGTATGAATAGAGAGATGAGGATGATGGTGATAGTGGAGAGGAAACAAGATGCTGATACAGATGTTGATGAGGAGAGGAGGCAAGGAAGATGAATTAGTGTTGAGCGCGTGGCTAACTTAATATTGTTTAGGTTAACAAGAATCACATTTATCTCGTTTAGCTTTAAATTTTGGTCATTATTTTGGTGAAAGAAATTAAATAATTAAATCAAGATCTAATCGATGCAAATTTTTCACTATTTAGCTATTTTTTAGAGCCTTTTTGCGTCTTGTTGAACGTTGATTGTTTTGATTGTTTGATAAAATGAAACGATCAAATTTCGTGTTCAACTTTTCAACAATTTGATAAACATTGTGATACAGTCAAGTTTGACAAAATGATTAATATGAATATTTAATCGTCTTGTGTTAGTGTCAAGTTTTTGTTTTGAGATGGGGAATGGTAATTGCGGTTGGTAATGACAATCAGCCTTGAGATGGACCGAGTCATTACTCTGAAAGAGTTGAGTAAATTAAATTTATTGGGGTTTCCTTCGTTGACTGTTTGATTTTGTTGCACTCAATGTGAGCTAAATTATGTAAAATGGTGATTAGATTGATTATTTGGCATGAAATATTGACTGTGATTGTGAACAATCAAATATTTAAAACAATATTGTCACTTCAATAATCATGTTATCAACTGTTGGAAGGTCAATTTCTTGTTTTTTGTCTAACAATGCTTTCTGATGCTATCCATTAGGCATTGGAAACTGATGAAGCTCAATTATGATTATAAAAAACAACAAGGTAAATAGCAATTTAGAGGGAATTAAATTGTGAAGAAAATGGAAAACCGTTTCACAATTAATAAGTAATACGAAAAAATATTGAAATAAGTAAAGATGGGTGTTAACTTTATCACACTTGGTTGCAAACAAAATTAACATTAATCAGCTTTACAGTTGAATGATTGTTAATTTGAGTACGACAATCTAGAAACACAAAAAAAGCAAAAGAAAACAAGAAAAATTAAAATTAATTTAATTCAACGCCATTGGTGCCATCTATTAAATTTTGAGGCAATCAAAGTTGACAATTGACTAAAATGGAAAGGAAAACTTTCAAGTGATTCAATGGTAAATTGATTGGATCAACTGTTTTCATATTTTAAATGAAATTTATGGGTGAATCAATTTGACAATTGTTTTTGATAGTTTTTCAAGGTTAGTTAATATTTGTCGCTTTGTTTTGATGATTTTGGTTTGTGTGAAAAAAAAGGTATGGATCATTAAATAAAATTAAGACGCATCAAAAAGTATAGGAAGCATGTAATAACATTATGATGTCTGTATTGTAGACGAGATGAGGTGACACTTACAATTGGACAATCAGTTCTTTGTTTTTGCAGGCGAAGAAGAAAAGGAAGAAAAAAAACAACAACTGGATTCAAAGTTGAATCAGTGATGCTTTTTGGGCAAAATAAAGGAAAGGTTCCTGTTTATTAACTGACTGTAACTGTTCATTGGATCGTGTTGGGGTCATACGAATGGGACAAAAAGTTTCCTTTAGGGTCACCCAAAATCATCTGGCTCTTGGAACACTGGTTATAACAGGAATGCCTGTTGAGATAGTAAAAGTTGATTATATTATTAGTAAAATGGATGAAAAGAAAGATTATGTTTGAAAGTCATCTTGTCTGTTACTTACAATTATAATTTCCATATACACTTTTATATCCTTACTTCCTTTCTCTTTTCGCGTGTGTATCTAGTTAAATGTACGAAGGAGAGGGTGTGATGATGTTGAGGAGGAGGAAGAAGAAGAAGAAGATGAAGTAAATGAAGACGAAATTTGTCAATTGTAGAGTGAAAACTTTACACAGTGCAGTAGGTTTATGAGATCTTTACGGGTCGAGGTCAAGTGATGTGACGCGTTGAGACACGAGCCTAGTGCCTATGCATGATTCATTGATAAAAAGGGAAGAAAAAGATGAAGAAAAAAATACTTTCAAAGGGAAGTAAAAGTTAAAGTATCGTCTTACTTCACAACTTCCGTTCTCTTCCCTTCACCTTTTAACTTATCCTCCTTGCTTGTTCATTTATGCTTTCGCCATCATCTTTATCCTCCCTATTGGATATTTTTTCCGCCCTCAATTCTAAGGCAAAAAAAAGTAATGTAAAGTTAACTTTTGGTGATGATAGAGCATGATGATGATTACCTTGAAATGAAAATGGTGGAGTAAATATACAAATTGACTTTAGTTTGGATGCAGAAAAAAAAGCTAAACTTCCTTTGTTTCTTGATGCACATCCAGGATGATATTAATTGATCCTGATTACTATTAAAAGGTGAATCCAATTAGCTGTATTGATTGAGTTTGATTAGATTTCAGTGAAGCAGGTTGTTTGCAAACAAAAGTGGTAAATGTTGCCAAGGTTTTAATATCGTAACCATTTCATCATTTCCATTCAATGGGATGGAACCAAACATTATCGTCTTATCATAGATTTACCTGGGAAGTGAATGAGGAAGAAAAAATACATTAGTTGGTAAAGAACGGATAGTAATCAATCAAAAGAGCTAAACATTGCTAATAGAGTAACCTAATCTCACCGAAAACCTAGTAATTATTCTTCACAGGTAACATTTTCCAAAATTTCTATAGCACATTGTAGCTTCAGTTTGTATCGCCACGGCCAGTAAATCTAACAACAACAAAAAAAACAATATTTAATAAAATTTGAAAATTGAGAACTAGCTCAACTAATCAGTTAAATTGTTGCAATTTAATTGGATGAGATACTTAAAGATCTGACCAGGCAATCAACGTCAAAAAAGGGTTACCATTACAAAAGGACGCAAATCCAATTCATTCAAAGGTAACAATTACTTTGTCCCTAATCAGCATTCTCGCAAGCCTTTGAAACATTCGCTAAGCCATCCACAAATTCCCATGTGGTTAGATACGGACCTCTTGACATTTAACATGACCTTGCCGGCAATTTGAACCTTCTTCTTTAACCTTGACAAAGAATAAAAAAAGCATAAGATTATTCATCTTGTAAAAAGATTGAGTTTTCGCTTTCAAGTTTAACAGATTAACAACATTTCTCGGGGAATAATTACCAAACAATAAAAAATCAAAGGAAAGCTTATATCCATGTTGAGGTGAAATTTGACAAAAAATAGGTTGTAATTGAGTTTTTCAGCTTCCTCTAACTTTAATAAAGTTAAATGCGTTAAACTGGTCATCTTGGGTATTATAAAAGGTTTGATAATGATGGATCAATACAACAAAGACAAGTTTGCCTCTTTCCTTATCTTTTTGACAATCAAGGATCACCAATTGACAAAGTCTCATTAGCGAATGAGCAAAAATTCATTGACAACAACTACCATTGAATACTATGGGATTGTAACAACGGATTACCAAAACAAAAGGGTGAAATCACACAAGCAATAAATAACCAAGCTAACAGATTAAGCGTTTGAACACCAAAAATTGAGGATTTACTCTTTAACTAGAAAACTGTACTGTCGTCCTGTAAAAGAAATACAACTTAATTAAAATTTGTCACCAGGTAATTATAATAATTTCACATATAAACATAGCAATAGCTGGACCTTTCGAGACCGCCAAAACTGTGAAAAGATAGAGATAACAATGCCATCTAGGAGACAAAAAATAAACGACTGGAAAAATAGACGTTTTGAAGGGTTAAAAATATTTAGATTGTTATTGTGACCATTTCTTACATTGTTAATTGTTTGATTTAGTCATGAGATTCTAATAGGTTTGTGCGACTTAAGACAACATTTTGACCTACTTTTCAACCTCAAAAATTACGGAAAAGTCAAAGTGATCTTCAATGGTTTGTTCAATTGAAATGGAAACCGACTCTTGATACCAACAAGGTAAGTCAAAATTATGAGTCTAGTGAAAAAATTTTCGGCATTTTAGCTGATTTTTCTTGGTGTTTTCTTGCTCTATTGATTTGCATTTTCATCAATTATTTGAGCGAGAAAATGTTTCAATTGTAAAATTATAATTCACTTGAATTTACCATCAATTCAACTATAGTTATTAGATAAGAGGAGTTACCAAGAAAAGAGGGAAATCATCGATGATACATCAATGGATAATATCAAGCTGTGATTAATTAATAATAAATGAAATCAACACTACAAACTTGTGACTACTGAAATTGATCATTTCCATCTTTAATAAAGTTAACTTTATCAGCAACCAGAGCAAGTTGAAAGGTTACTTCAAGCTGTTAATCATCATCCTGTAAACCATTTGAATAAATCAATTGAATAAGAAAGAAAAAGAGAAAGAAAGAAACCATTAAACCTGACAACAATCAACATATCATTCACCATTGATTAGAGAGCAATCACAGTTGGAATCACCAGGTAAGACTACCTAAAATTTAAACCAAGAAAGCAAAAAAGAAACAATTCAATAAAATTTTGCTCCGTCATTTGTAAAGGTACATTTGTACTGGTACTATTTAATACATAATGATTATTGTTTTTTTTTACCTCATAATTGATCAATAAAATACAATCAAATTTTCAACTGTTAACTTGATTTTGTTGAGGCTGGAAAAGGACTCTCAAATTAACAAAATTTTGAGTTATAAGTTGAATAAGTCACTCTTTTGATCATGATTTACTTGATGATAATGATCGCCATTTCCGTTTCTCATCATTATTTTTCAATATTTTTGATTTAATGTTGCATTATTTGATTAAATTTTGGCCAATGCACTTTCATTTATGATTAATAAACCCTAATAACCGTAACCTTTATTTTGCAGGTTCAGTTGGAAACCAAAATTGAACTACAGTTACATGGCGACTGGAAAGGCGAAGCAAAAGCCTCTTATTGCTCCAAATAAGACCGAAAAATTATCTCCAAATGAATGCCTATTGTTAAAGGGTTTTGGGTTTTGTGTCAACTGGTCTTTTCCTGGTTAATGTTTGCTTCTTCTGTTTGTTTAATACCAAAGGAAAAATAACAAGGATTAGGTAAAAGGTAAGCAAAGCAACTATCATCAAGTTGAAAGTAAAAATTATGTACGAAAAATGGAAAAGTCTTAATTGAAAGTCAACCGGATTTACCTTTTCCATTTAACCTTGTAAACCGGTAACAGGTAAAGATACTTTCAGTCTTCTCATTCTTTGAGGATTAAAAATAAAGATGATGGTGGGAGGCAAGTGATGACCTATCCCTTTTTATCCCTGTATTAAATGTACTCTTCCTTTCTCTCTATCACCATCATCCTAGTAATCATCATTATCATTCTCTTTGCAAATTAAATAAAGGAATATTGGTTAAACTTCCTATTAATTTATTTATTTGCTTTTCTTACCTTTGACCTTCGTTTACCTACAAACTACCTATTAATCACCATTAATGTTATACATAGACTAATTAAATAGGAGTTTCGGTTTCTTTATGTGTGTCTTTACAGTGTATAATTGTTACCCGTAATGATTTTAAGGCTAATTAATGAACTCAATCCATAGAATCGATAATTTTGATCCATTTCAACCATACTTTATCAAACCAAGCATACTTACATGATGAAAGATGAACAAAATATTTGTTTCAACTTATTGGTATCCAGTAATTGGCTGAATTTTAAAAACTGATTGATTGAGAAGTGAGATGAGTCAATTTTCCATCTCGGCCATTGTGAATAAATCCAAGAGCAAACAGTAATTTCAATTTTTTATGGTTACTTCAACAGTTATCTCTTGAAACACAGTTAATGGCAGTATTTTTGAAAGAAACTGTTGACAGTCCGATTACAATTGAAATAAAAATGAACATTTTGGCAATTAATTTTAAAACATTTTTAGTTTAACATTGTAACAGTAACAAGGAACGAAGAGAAAAGGCATAAACAGTGGAGAAATCAAGTGATTGGATGGAAGAAAAAGGAAAAGGAGGGAAAAGAATGGTAAGAGTTAAGTTGATAAGAATAAACTTTTCGGTCATCGCTTTGTTCAGTGTTATTTTTAGACTCCTTTTTGCATCGGCAACAGTTAAAATGGTTTAAGATTAATAATTTAGTTTGATCGCTGAAGTCACCATCTTAATCTTTCATCTTTAACTCCATATTAGTTTTTATATTTTGGTTTGTATCCTTTTTGCTCTGGTTTCAATCTTTTTAGTTTGTTAATTTTGTGATTGTTCAATTCTTCTTCTCCTTCTTTTTGCTCATTGTAAGTTATATTTTAATTTCATTTTTATGTTTCATTTTTGTTATCTTTAGGTAACTTTAATTTGGAACGGAGAACCGGGAACATGAATCTCTTGGAACTTGAGGTGAAGCTTGTAGTTACCGGGTTGGGTTGGTTTGTATTGGAGAATCAGTATACCACCTGAAGTGTTTTTAAAATTGATTTCCGGTTTAGCAGGACCCTCCATGGAAACATTGAGTCCACCAATGATTCCTGATTCCTTTGTGTCTACTACAATCTCGTTGGTAACATGGGTTTTACCTTCTTTCAGAGCAGCGCCGGAACACTTTATCTTACCAACTTGTTGCTTAGCCAACTCTTCACCGCCAGTAATTTTACAGAGGAAAGGTGATCCTGCAATCTCTTTATCCTCATAACGAACATAAATCTTATAATTTCCTGGTAGCTTTGGAGTCCAGGTACACTCAACGGTTCCATCTTTGTTTGTCACAAATTTTATTTCTGGCTTGGAGGGACCCTCAAAAGCGACAGAACAAGATGCAGGATTGAATTTAGATGAACCAGGAGGGGAAAGGATAGTGAATTTACAAGGTTCACCGGCTTTTCCTGAAGAAAGACCAGGTCCGTTGGCGAGGATTGAAGACATGATGAACTATTGAAATATATAATCCAATTCAAAGATTGAATAACAAAGATGATGATTTCACGACAGAGGAACGAAGTTTAATAGAGAACGAGTGAAAAAGATCCTGGCGAAAAATGGAAACGACTGAGCTTCGAGAAAGATAGAAAGAAAAATGATGATAAGAAAGATGAAACTTATCTTCAAGAGTTCAAAATAAGTGATGATTTCATCTTAAGGCTGGCAATAAGTATTCTAATTTTTACATGGAAAGTGCGTACAAACGGTGGCTCATATTTTGGAAGTGAGGGTGGGAAGGATAAAGAAGAGGTAACGAGTCTTTGGATACATGGATATAAGGATATAAGTTGGAGATGGCGGATAAGGTGTAGGGGGATTTGTTTCCAGTTGCATTGAAAGTGGCAAAGTTTGGCGCAATGATGTAATGTATGTCACAGCATCCAATTCAGTAGATGAAATTTCTCAACTCAATCTTCTCTTTAATTTTTCTTTTTACCATGTTACGTTGAAATGGTGAACAAAGATGCTGATGAAAATGGAATCAGGGAGATTCTTCAGGGGTATAAACTGAGGGATAGCAAGAGAAGCTGTTTCAGATTCGATGAAGATTATTTTAAGATCATTTGAACTTCTTCCCATGTCTATTTATTGACATGAGTGGGAATTGGTTGTAAATAAGGAATCGTTCCAAGAAGAGAAAGACGAATATTAAAATGATGTTGATGAAACAAGTGAGCAAACGAAAGATGAAAAGTGTTTTTTCTTGTTTACGTAGAAAGGTACAGAGAAAGACGAATGATGATGAGGGGGAGGACATTTGGGAAAATAGTTTGAATTTGATTGAAATTTGTGAATTTTACTATTAATGTAAGTTTAAGTAATATTTTAACATTTTTTTACCGCAACTTTTCCCGAAAATACTTGCTAATCTTTCCTTCTGATTTCATTTTTTTTACAGTTTATCGTTTTTTGGTCGAACTTTGATCAGCATCTTTTAAACTTGGCCCAGACTGCTAAATAATCTTGGATAATGAGCAATGAAATAAACTGAAAGAGCACACAGAAGACGAAGTGAAAATTATGTGAAGATGAGAGATGAGTAGAGGTAAAAAAGCTTTTGGTTTGATTAATTGGGACCTAAAAAAGCACTTTCGCCTGTAATCAGTGAACAGAATGGAAGCTTGGAAGCAATTTAACTTTTTTTCTCAACTTTGCTCGTGTTTACCATCATTTATGTAAATATATAACTCTCGAGTATGTGCCGTTGGTTGGTTGAACTGGCAAAACCAAAAATACAATTTCTCACCAGATTACATGATAACAACAAATTTATCAATACCAAGCTGACAATAACTATATTCATTTCAACTGAACAATATATTGCTGACTATTTGTTAACCATTCAATGGTAATCTAATTGAAACAAATCATTCAGTCTAATAATAGTTGCCACAAGTTGACACACATAATCCAAAGAAGCGCGTTCAGTGTGTATTGATACACAATTGGAAGACAAACTGATTTACTAAAGATGTCTAACATGCAAGATAAAATGCTTGTATCAATTTGATCAATCAGTTTGATATTTTCCTCCCTTCAAGTAAAAACTAAATTTGAATATTTACATTTAGAAACAAGATAACCCTAGACTCACTAAATTAACTAATTACCCATGTAATTTGAATGATTCTTGTTTTATTAATAACAGTAACAACGCGTTGGCATATTGATCCTAACCAGTCTAATTGTTTTGCGAGTTGAAGCCAACAAATTCACGTTGATCGGTTTCAAGAAAGGATGGAAAGATGAAAAACAATATCAGTTAAAATTTGTGTCTTTAATCTTCTTTCATTCACTTTCACCTTGCTTTTCCAAAAATTTCAATCAGATTGAGTTACCATGAAAACGTTAGTTGCATGAAAAAACTAATACTTGAAATAGATGCTGAAGATGAAAGGAAAAGCATGAAACAGATTATTTAGAGCAATGAATATAATTATAAATAATCAAATGAATGCTTTCCAGTTTTTATAAAAGTTGCCATAAAAAAGAGCAAATGTTGATATTTTCAGAGACAAAGCTATTTAACCTAAATTGTGACCAATTATTCAATAATTGATTAGATAAAATAGAGATTGAAAACAAATTAACTGATCTGATTAATAAAGACAATTAACAATAAAGACTCAAGTTGGAGGCTTTGGATGTAATTGCACTCGTTTATCTCTTGCAAACCTGATGATTTACTTTCTCTTAGTGTTTCCCCGATACCTTTTTTTTGAGTAAAAGTATCGATACTTTGCCTGTCGATATTACTCGATACTTTAAAAAAAATACTCGATACCAAATAAAGCTCTTGATTTGATGAAATTATCTGGCAAAGTATTACAGAATTGAGAAAAAATCAGCTTTCAATTATTTCTGGAGACCATGAGGATGACTCACTGCATAAACTCACGCTTTAATTGTACTCATTAAATACTCGATACCTTTCCGATTGATACCGATACTTTTCAACGATACTTTTTTTCAATATCGGGAAACACTACTTTCTCTCAGTGAATTTAATTTTGGATGAAAATTTGTTGATCTTTTAACTAATTATTTACTAATTTTTGTCTAAAATTACAATTTGAAGTAATAAATTAAACCATAAATATGTTGATAAACCACTAAATTCAATTCCAACTAACAATATTTCATTGATAGTGATGAGTGTTTTAGTTTCCTTGCATTTCTTTCAGTAAAAAATTTACCATAAAACAGACAGTGATTTTAATTCAACTGAATTTGCAGAAATATTAGATGTTGATCAAAGTATTTTCATGATTGGGATGACTTTTCATGGACTGTAACTGAGCTTTGTTATTCTCTGTCCACAGTTATTTGATTGTTTACTTGTCTGATTAATTATGCAATTTCCTTTCATAGGTTTCCACAAAAATTTTGAATGGTGAGAAACTCTTTGAAACCATTAACTTCATCCGTTGACCATTTTAAGTCATAAAGTAAATCTGTGAATCCTTCAATCATCTACAGATTGAATTCAGTCAGTTCTTGTTCAATCATTTAATAACCAGCAGCTTTACTAGATAATTGTCCATTAGTGTCCAAAATATCTTTGAATTTTTTACAATTTCATTTTGTTTGTGAAACAGTTTTTTGAAATCAGTTATTGATTGGAAGTCAATTGGGTCATTGATCAAAAACTCAACCACAATAAAGGTAAACCTAATTTTTTCCTATCAACCTCTAACTTTCCATCAACTCCTTTCTTATAGAGAAAATTAACAATACTTTACTAATCGTTACAATCAATAATCCTTTTCAATAAATGTAACCAGTTCCCGAAGTTCAAACAAATTCAGTTTAACATTACAAAAGTGAAAGAGAATCAAAATTAACATCAAAATTGAGATTGAAATGCATAGACTGAAATCAAATTGAAAGACCGATATGTTTAGGAGCTTTCCTGAATTAACTAAATCAGTACAGTAATGTGTAAATAGATATTTAATAAATAGGTAAAAACTATTAAACATTAATCATAAACAAAAGCTCTATTAGTCAACAGTCACAGTTAATTGAACAGTTATGACTATATTGAGATGACATTAGACTTTCTGAGATTGTCTATAAGTTTGTAAATTGACAATTAAGTTATTGATAGTCAACTTTAAAATGAACAATTAATCTGAAAAATTGCTTGAAAATTATCCATTTTTGTTGTTGATGTTCCATTATTTTACTCCTTCGGATTGATCCCAAACGTTGCTTATTACAAGATTGTATTCAATTCGATTCGATTTGCTTGATTTTTCCATTGAAACAATTGTCTGTTGATTTAAAATGAGCATCTACGAGAACAAAAAGTAACCATAATTAGAATCAGTTGAAAGAAAACAAAAATCCAAATCGTTTGTACAAACCTTGAATTTTGGACTAAAATATCTTGACAGTTAAAATGATAATCGGGTGCTTCAATTGTACCAATAGTTTTGAATTATTGGATCAATAATGTTCAACCAATGATAGAGTTGTGAACAAAATGAAAATGATTTTGAAAGTGGTTAACTTACAATTGGTTTGAATAGATAAGAGTAAGAAGAGTAAATTGTTGACTTTGGATTATTGAATTATTATCATGATTCAGATAAAATTAGTTTTTATATAATAGTTGATAAAAAGGAGCAAGTCAATCAAGAAGTGAAGATAATTGAATGATAATTGAACACATGAAAAATGATGATGTTTGTTGAGGTTTTTGTTGTAGTCGATGAAGATGATGAAGATGATGATGGATTTTTCATTCATTTTTATCCTCAACAATTAACTAATTAGCAATATTAACAGTTTTTTCATTTCTTTCTATCAATGATGATGAAGATGGTGTCAGTTGATGATCAGGTTGGTCAATTTACAATAAACTATTTAAAGATGTTTTCATAATTATTATTGTTATTGAAAGTAAAGGCTTGTGATGAACGCGATAAAATTATGATTAAGAGAAACAGAAAATGTGTTTTTTTGTAAACAAATGAGTAATCAATGTATCAATTAATGAATAAAATGAAATTCAAAAATGAAAATTGAAAGATTGGACTTTTTTTAGTGAAATGATTTATGTGAAATCGGAATAACTAAAAACATGATGACAATTCATTGTTTTCAGAATGAGGAAAGAATTGAGAGAGAAAAAAATGAAGATAAAGTAAAAGACAGAAGGGAAAGAAAGAGAGGGAAAAAGATGATGATGATGGAGAGCAAAAGTAAATTAAGAGTCGAAGTGGACTGGCTAAGTACTGTATAAATTAATTGGAACCATTGCTCTCTCTTTCTCGCTCCCTTTTGTCCCGAAATTGGTGTTGATATAAACATCGGTTGATCTCATCCAAGCTTGTAAAAATTGGAAATAAATGGTGAAATTCATCTGGACTGGGAGTGATTTTCATTGACTTTTTTTTGTATTTTTCAGCTTCTTTTGTTTTCTTTATGAGTGCATTGATTGGAAAAGTTGATTTTCTTTTGTTGATTTGATTTTTCTATTAAGATTGAAAAGCAATGAAATTGTAAAGAAAAGAGGACAAAGGCTGATGATTATATGAATAATGATGGGTTTGTTCACGGAGGAAAGAAAAAAATGGAATCCGTAACCACAAAATGTCAGTGTAACGCCGAGTGTGTACTTTTTTCATTTCTTTCTTCGTCTTTATGTCTCATGGTTTTTATCGAGTCTCTTTTTGATGTTTCAAAAGGAAACGGATGTACAATTAAGTTAATTATAACTTAGAGGCATACAAATGACCAGAAAACGAGGAGGGAAGCGGTGGTCTGATTAAAGATCAGGGAAAAATAATTGTTAATAAAAGTAAGATTGCTTTTTTTAAAAAAACAATAAAAGAGTGAGCTAACGAACGAGCTTAGAGATGGGATTTTACTACATTTAGGTAGTAGAGCAGCTAATCTGGTAGTAGTGTAGCAGTAATTGATTTGTTTTTGTGTGAGCGAACTGATGCCTACATTGGGATTTAGCAAGGAAATCGATCATTATTTTAAATTTTATCAAGCAATCCTTCGAAGGGTCTTAAATAATGCTCACATTATAGTTGAAAGGTGGATGTAGAAGGGAAGAGATAGAGATAGAGAGAGAGAGGAGTCTGCAAGATGTAAGAAATAGTAAGAGGAAGAGTGAAAGAGAAGCGTAAAAGAGATAGATGATACGAGAAAAAAAGGGTAAATGTGAAAGTGGTGGTTGAGTTGGTGGAGGTGTGATGGAGTTTTGTTTTGTAGTTGATTTGCTTTAGTGAATTGTGTATGTTTTAAGTTGGTGTCTAAGCTGGATGATTAATTTATTCAATCGTCTTCGTCATCCTCATCGTCCTCATCCCCATCATCGTTTCCATCAGCACCACCCTGGTTACTCTCATTGGCGTCGTCTTCTGCATCATCTGCATCACCAGGTCCGAAGTCATCTTCGCTACCCTCATCGTCTTCGTCGTCTTCATCGTCATCTAAGACATCATTGGAGACTAGAAACAAAAACAAAACAATTAGACAATGTTCAAGATATAATGAAAAAAAGTTTTTATTCAGCATCAGTCAATTGAGCTAAAGGTTTAAAAGAGGTTTGAGGTTTGCATATTAGAAGTTCAATGAAATCAAAGTGTTCAAAATTGATAGTAGGAGTTTAATTTAGCATTGGACTAGTGAATTCTTGCCCTAATTAATGCAGTAAAAGAAAAGAAAATTCATGAACCAAATTGAAAAGATGAAAGATAGAGGTTTTATCAATGCTTTCGGTAATGAAATTGGCAATGCATTGGATCAGTAAAGCACTAACTGGCCTTGCTAATGATAGATGACATTTATTTGAGAAATGATTGAGTATGATATTAAGGTCCTAGGTAAGTAAACATTCAAGACGACAAAAAGCCTTAACCCAAAAAGAAAAGTTAATTAATAGATTAACAAATTGCTTGGTAAAATCATTAAGACAGAAAATATAAAGAGAGCTCACACATTGTTATTTTCTGACTAATTAAATACTGATGTAGGAATTGAATAATAGATAAGCAAGCTTTGGGATGAGCTTGGTGACACGTAAAATGATCCTAAGTGTAGGTGAAGGCTTTTCTAGGTAAGATTACAAGTTACCGCGATTGGAAACAAATTTTCAAACAAACTATATTTGTTATAAAATAATTTTAAGTAAATTAACTTGATAACTAAATTAGACAGACAACTGAGGTTTTTTCCTTCATGAGTATAAGAGCAAACTTAATGATCCCTAAATTGATCATATCTCGTAATTATAGACGGAGACGAAAGTAATTAAATGAATAATTGTGACAAATTGCATAAACAGTAGTGAGAGGAATTGTTACTTCTTTACAAATGTTAATAACTTGATATAATTTTCAATGGTCATACAGAACAGTGAATTTAATAGCAACAAGTTTTCCTAAAGTCAAATTCACCTGATTGGAATCTCTTATATCATTAGGGAAAACTGAAACATAGGATAGACAGAAATGGATGAAAAAGTTATTCATTACTTAGCTGTTAAGGTAGCTAAGATACAATAATTAAGGGATTATTAACAAATTATCACATTATAAAGATTATTGATAAACAATGATAATAAGATTAAGTCTATAACAAAAACTACAGAATTGAGCAAAAATGCTCAAAAATGCTCAACAAAAATTCAACAGCAATGTATTTTTGATGCGAGTCAGAATAACGCTAAAGAGACAAAATGTGCAGAGCGACAAAAAATATCAAGGGAGGAACAACCAAAGGCGAGAAGCTAAATTTGATTAATTGGAGTGAAAATTTTAAATGAGATGTCGATTATTAATTTTTTAATTACGTCAAAATACAAAGAAAATAAGGAAGTAACCAAGAATGATGAACTTTTTGAGGAAAAGAAAAAGAATCGAAAAATGATGAATGAAAAAAGTTCCTTGTTCCATGTGCGACAAAAGCTTAACTATGTATCACAATCACACAGTAAGCAACGATAACAAAATTAAGATGAAAGATCTCCGCCTGTTTGACGTAACTCAAAGCTGCTTTACTTCATGTGCCCTAGATTCATTTTCACACAATGTTAACACTTGAAGACAAAGAAAAAAACACCAAATTAACACCAAGAGAGAGAGAGAGAGAAAGAAATTAAAGAGAATGATTGAGGCAATGAAGTTATCAATAAGGAGGACGGAGTCATTCTGATTTTAATAAGCGATGGAGCAGGGAAGATCAGAATGAGCTCATTTTTGTTTTTGCCTTTCCTTGCCTTTTGTTACTTAAAATGTGACTCAATAGGATCTAATTGATAGCGGGTCCACTAATTGATTGGTAGCCTTTAATTGATTCCCTTTCAATATTTAACCAATCTTTCAACGCCAAGTTATCTAATGAACGAAAAATTGATACCACATCAACCTTAAACATAGAGACAACTCTCTCATTCCCCTTTACCATGCCTTGAACGTATTCTCACTCGTCTACGATTTTCTCTCTCAGAATAGACAATAAAAAAGCAGATTCATGGCAGTTATTTAAAGGCTTATTATGCCTATTAAGGTAACCAACTTTATATTCAATCGCAAATCTCATCAGTATAAAAACGTTAACATTATTTGTGCAAAAAAGTTTCAAGTTATGCGTTGCAATAATTCAAAAGCCATAGCAGTTGATGAATTAGTTTAAGGATTGATTCAGTGATTGTTGGACTTAGCATAACATTTCATCAAATATTTACTTATATTCAACAAATCATCAATAAGTTTGTGTTTCATTTAGTGTTGATTCAAATTACTCAGAAAAAATGGTCCGACTTCGGTCGATTATATACAAAAAATCATCATACGAACAAGCAAATGTTTTTTCAAAGTTTGCTTTCTGGTAAGTGTCGATAGTTGCTTGTGTTTCAAGTTGATTTCCAGTTAAACTGACTGATGATTGTTTCATTCAAACAGGTGGTTGGTTAAATTTTTCGTCGAGTTTCAGGATAAAAAGTTGAAAACAAGTGATCTTGAAAAGTGTCCAAAAAATGAGGAATCTGAAAGGATTGGTGATACTCTTGAAAGGTGAGTTGATCAATCGATCATTTTTATTTGAATCTTCCAATCAAACAAACAAGAAAGTTGTCGGTTTGATTTGCGCCATTATTCAATATTATATTTATCCTCGCGTTCCATGAGATTAGGAAGTGGAACGAAGAACTTCGCCGAGCCAAAGAAAGTGGACGCCAACCAAGGCTTGGTTTAGCAATTACAAGAACTTTCGGTCTTCGTTACTCTTTTACCTTCATACTTCTGGCTCTATCGGTAAGTCTTCTCATTTCCAAACAATCTTTAATCATTAAAAGTTTGATCAAAGATTAAATCAGTAAAAAAAGCACATGAAAAAATAACAATAACTGCATGTCTATGATACATGATATGTCAATCAATAACCAAACAATAGACCAATTTGAAACAGATCATTGAGCTGTCTGAATTTCAAATCATTTGTTACATTGTATTGACTCCAAGTTTTTATCGTAAAACTGAAAATCTTTAACTTGATATTCAATGACCAAACACGTAAAATGGTGCAACCTTTTCATGATAATCATGGATTAAAATTATCATTTATCAATTGTTCACAAGAACAAGATTCAATAAACTGATTCATCAAATAATCGACACTGAACATGTTAATTCATTTACTAAAAATATCCAATTGTCTAGTGCAATAAGATTGCTGATATCCGATAAACTGATGAAATTTGATGAATTTAAATGATGATAAATGATAATGATATCAAGGGAAATCAAAATTATGAAAAAATTGAAAAGATGCAAAAAACGTTCACTGAAATTAAATTTTTCAGCAAATCATTTGACTAATTCATCAATTGAAGCAAAACTTATGTTTCAAAAAATACTTGAAATTAATTTTTCAACTAATTCATTGCTCTAATTAATTGATACTAACCTTACTTTTAATTAAAATCCCTTTCACTAGATGCATGTTCTAATGAGATTCGTTATCATTAGAAATTGAAAATTCAAGCTAACAATTAATTGATTATTTCTCTATTTATACAGACGGCATGCAGCATAATACAAACGCTGTGCATGGGAAGTTTAATTAATGATGTATACACATTGACGTTGCATGATGTTAAACCAGAAATAGTGAAGAGGCGAATTTATCTGGCTGGAATCGGAGTAATAGTAACACAATTTTTGGGTTCTTTTGTACAAAATTTGTATCTATTTTTGGCCCGAAAATTTGGAATTGCAGCTCGAGTAGCTTGTTCTGTCTTAATCTACCGTAAATCACTTCGATTGTCCCAGAAAGCATTAGGTCAAACAACAGTCGGTCAGATTGTTAACTTGTTGACTAACGATATAACTCGTTTTGATTTTGCTTCTGAATACCCATTCTATCTGATAGTAGCTCCAATTCAAGCACTGGTTTGCATCTACATAATGTGGCCTCTTCTGGGCATTTCAACCGTTGTCGGTCTAGCAGTTTTCCTATTCTATGTGCCCTTTCAATCAATCATGGGACACGCATTTGCTAAGCTTCGTCTTTGGGGTGCTCTTCGTATGGATGAACGTATTCGTTTGATGAATGAATTCATACCAGCCATGAGAGTTATCAAAATGTATGCTTGGGAAAAGTCGTTTGCAGGTCTAGTTGACAGAGCACGACGTCGTGAGATCAACTGTGTTCGATGCGCTGCCTTTTTAAGAGGTCTCAACTTAGGACTTGGAACTGTCGCTGAAAAACTTATCATGTTTGTCACCCTGGTAACATTCGTTCTTTTGGGTAATCGTTTGACCGCTGAAACTGTGTTTGTATCGATGGCACTAATCAGACAACTTCAACAGTCAATTACCGTTTTCATACCAGCTGCTATTACAATGGGATGTGAGTCTTGGATTACAATTGGAAGAATTGCAAAATTTTTACTTCTCCCTGAACGGGAATCATCTGAACCAATTGGAAGGTCAATTAGTTCGTCAAAAGAGACTAAAGTAGTTTTTGAAAAAGTATCTGCAAGTTGGAAAGATTCACCCGACGAGTTATGTTTACAAAACATATCTTTTGATATTTCACGAGGCCAATTAATGGCCATTGTTGGAACAGTCGGTTCTGGTAAATCTTCACTACTTATGGCTATTCTAGGAGAGATTGGAATTGTTACTGGCAAATCAGAAGTACGAGGTAATTTATCATTTGCTTGTCAACAATCATGGATTTTTGAAGGTAAGTTGTAACTCAACGATTAATAACTAAGACTAATAAATTACATTTCCCTGAAAAGGTTCTGTTCGAGAAAATATCTTATTTGGCAGATCATACGAGGAAGAACGGTACAAAAGAGTAATCGAAGTGTCTGCATTGGAACGAGACTTGTCTATACTTCCAATGGGCGATGAAACATTGGTGGGTGACAAAGGGACATCATTGAGTGGTGGTCAACGAGCAAGAGTCAACTTGGCTCGATGTCTCTATGCTAAAGCTGATATCTATCTACTTGACGATCCACTTTCAGCTGTTGATGCTCCAGTGGCCAAACATATATTTGAAAAAAGCATAAAAAACTATTTAGGAGATAAGATAACCATTCTTGTTACCCATCAATTACAATTTGTTAAATCGGCTGATAAAGTGTTGCTATTGAAGGGAGGTAAACAAATATGTTTTGGTGATTATAATTCATTTTTGAAGGAAGGATCTGAATTCACAAGCAGCAACAAAATCTTACAATTGGAATCTCAAGATGATTCCAACATTGCACGTCCACCTATTCCTCTTCTTAGACGATTGAGTCGTCAATCATCTCGACTTAGCGACATTACAGCAGGTTCTGTAATGACTTTACCTGAAATGCCAGATGAACCTCCAGTAGCACCAGATGATGATTCAGATGAGATTCCTCTTGCTGACCAGACTATTCAAGAACTGGCTGGAGTTAGAGGCAGTGAACATCCTCTTTGGACTTACTTTAAAGCCGGAATTCATCCACTTTTATTTCCTCTATTAGCATTTTATGTTATTGGTGCTCAAGCACTGATTGGTTTTGTTGAATATTACTTTTCGCTTTGGTCAGATTCGGAAGAACGAAAAGCACGAGCTGCTGATGAAGCTGCTGAATTGGGACTCAATGATACTGATGCAACATTTAAACCAATCAACTTTGTGGACAGATTCACTCAGGATGATAATATCTACTTCTTTACTGTTTTAACAATCGGTATATTTATTTGGTGTTTAACCAGAAACATTGCCTTTTTTGCAGTTTGCATGAAAGCCTCAGTGAAACTTCATGATCGACTTTTCAAGGCAATTGTTAGAGCACCCATTGGATTTTTTGATACAAACCCTATTGGAATAGTGCTCAATCGAATCTCTCGTGACATGGGATTCATTGACGATTTCCTTCCTTCATCCCTTTTTGATACTATTTACATCTTCTCTAATAATTTAGCATCAATAGTACTTATGGCTGTGGTCAACCCTTGGCTACTTTTGCCTGCTTTCTTATTATTAATTGCTTGCGTTTTTGTCAGGTCTCGCTATGTTAATATTGCTTTAGATACTAAACGACTTGAAGGTGTAACCAAATCCCCAGTTTTTTCACATTTATCTACATCTGTTTATGGCTTAAGCACCATTCGTGCCTTCAGAGCTCAGGAAAAATTCAAAATGATATTTGATATGTATCAAGATGAACATACATCTGCTTACTTTACTTGGTTGGCATCGACAAGATTTTTTGTTGCCGCCATTAATGGTTTATTGGTTATTTTCACTGGGCTTATCGTGTTTACCGTACTAATTGCTCTTGATTCCCTAACTGGAAGCTCAGTGGGACTAATTATCACTTCAACCTTTGGAATTGCTAGTTTAACTCAATGGGGTAAGTAATGCCTACTTTGATAAGTTAACACATTTTAATCTTTGCGTTTGATTACTTAGGAATGCGACAGTTAACTGAAGTAGAGACATTATTGACTTCAGTTGAAAGAATAGATGAGCTGCAATATGTCCGACCAGAAGCCGAATTGGAAGCAACCTTTGATAAGAAACCACCACCGAACTGGCCTCAACAAGGACAAATTACATTTAGACATGTCTTTTTACGTTATGACCCTGCAAAACCTCCTGTCCTCAATGATCTAACCTTCAGAATTGAACCTGGTGAAAAGATTGGAATTGTTGGTAGAACTGGTGCTGGAAAAAGTTCAATCATGTCAGCATTGTTTAGATTGAATGAACCAGAAGGACATATTTACATTGATGGCATTGATATATCGACTATTGGTCTTCATGATTTAAGACGAAAAATATCTATCATTCCTCAAGAACCCGTTATTTTCACAGGAACAATGAGATATAATTTGGATCCATTCAGTTTGAGAAAAGATGCTGAATTATGGGATTCACTTGAACAAGTGCAACTACGAAAACCGGTTAATGATATGGGCGGTTTGGATGCTATGATTACGGATGGAGGTTCGAATCTTTCGGTCGGTCAAAGACAACTAGTTTGCCTGGCTCGTGCAATTTTAGCTGGAAACAAAATACTTGTGCTTGATGAAGCAACAGCCAACATTGACCCAACAACAGATGAATTGATTCAACAGACAATTCGGGAAAAATTCACTAATTGCACCGTTTTAACAATCGCACATCGCTTACACACAATTATGGATTCAGATAAAATTTTGGTCATGGATGCGGGGCAAGTGGTTCAATTTGGTGAACCTGCTGATCTGATTGAGGACAAATTGGGCCATCTTTACCCAATGGTTCAAGCTACAGGAGGTAGAACAGCTGAAAGTTTGGTTCAAATTGCAATGAAAAACCGAAGAAGACGTGAATCGATAACAGAATCTGCGGGTCACAATGATTGCTGTGGAATCGATTCATGATTAAGTGCCATACATTATAAAAGCAATCATTGTAAATCAATTATAAATCATAACGAAAAGTATACAAAAATTTGATATACAGGTAAACTTAAACTTCACTATAATGAAACATTTCTCAAAATGTTGCAGTTTGAATCTTGAGAGCGAGTAATTGTACATTAAGATAGTCTCAGAAACAAGTTGAAGTTTCGAGAAAACGATTAACTTAAACAAAACTGCTTACACAAAAAGCTATCTCTGTGCATATAACAAACAGACTTGGGCTCATTGAATAAACAACGAAAAAATGAACTCGGTTGAAATGTAATATCTTGATTCCTCGAAATACATTTGACTCGATAGTGAATTCAATTATCAACAGGATATTTGATCTCGAGTTTTTAAAAAACGCAAAGAAAATTGTTGAATGGTTAAAAATCAAGTGAAATGAAGAAAAATTAAATTCAAAGTTATCTAATTCCTGATAAACATGTAAAGAACCTATTAGAAGTGAAAGCTGAATCCATTGATAAACTTCAACCTTTTGACTTAATTAAAATCAAATACGATTATATTAGATTATAATTAGCTTTAGTAAACAGCAGACGGGGATAAATTGAAAAAAAACTTCAACCGCCCACAAAATTTAAACCAAGGTTGAAATGCAAATTTGAAAATTGAAAATTATAAGGAGGTAAATAAGGCGCGTAAATCGTATAATGGCGGGAACTCAAGACTGATGCTGAGTTACAATTAGAAAGATTAGGAAAAATACCTGAATCTTCTCCATTCTCTTCATGTTCCTTAGTCTTCTGTTTTTTGCTCTTTGAATTATTGAGTTTACCCTGAGCTACATTGGAGTTAGAATCATCGTCAAGACCATCCAATACAGAATTAGAGTCTTCTGAAGTAACCTAGAAAAGGTGAAAGAAAAAGTTATAAAAAGATAATTAGTACATGATAATAGTTGTAGCGGAAGTTGAGGGAAAGGTGAACAAAACAAATAATGAATAATGAAGAGAGAAAAGCTAAAGGTGGTAAAAGAATGCAAAGAAAAAAAACTGAAGAGATGATGAAAAGTGAATAGAAATGCTAATTTCAATCATTTCAGTTGTTATTAACCATTTAACCGTAAAGAAAAATAAGTGATTGTGCAAATGTTTAAAGTGAAATTCAATTTGAAATTCATACAGTGTCAAGAAATCTCCTAATGGGAAGGGAAAAAAACATCTCCTTTCAACAGTCAGTTAACTAGCACAAGTCAAACTTATTTTTACTTTCCAGATTAAGTTATTTAATCAAATTGAGCGCCATGTCTTTGCGCAATTAGTCTCCACCTATCCTCAGAAGCATTTTCAACAACCTGTATAACAGAACCAGAATACAGTGAACTTTATCTCAATTGACATCAAAGGGACTACTGCGCCACCTTTACATTAATTACAGGATTGATTCTTAAATATGAATCATGAGAAGGTCTCAAAAAAATCTGAGGAACCACTGAATTTGTGTTAGACTGTGACTTGCAAACAAGGCTGAACATGCTCAATCAGAATGAATTTTTCATGGAAAAAATACCTTCAATTATCAGATAGAGCAATGGTTTTTGGCTTATCTCACTATCGCCATCTATTGTTTCAACCTTTTGCGTTAAAGGGAGTTAAAAGAAGAGACTGGGAAAGTCTGGAAGCGGGATGAAAAGAGGGGAAAAAATGCTCTAACTGTGACTACCTCTGTACTTCACTTGTTTGTGCGATTGCTCAGCTGCGATAATCAATGGAGTAAAGATGGAGGGTAACAAACGGAAAGGGGGGAAGAGTAGATCGTAACAAGCATCATGAAAGGGAAAGACAACGAGGGAAAAAGAAAGAGAAATAGAGTAGAGATGGACGGTATTCAATTTTTTCTACTCGATATTGAAATGAAAAGTTAACATTAACTTCGATAATGTCGATAAAGAATAGCATTTTCTCCTGGTCGAGTCAATAATTGTACAACTAATAAAGCAAAGCATAAAACAAGTCACAAATAATGATAACAATTGAATCAATTATCTAAATCATTCAAATCTATGATTAAGATAGAAAGACACTGTTGATATAATAGTGAATAATAATGGCAATAATAATAAGGTGAAATGTAATGAATGCGTAACAAGGAAAAAGAAAAATAGAAGAAATGCAACAACAAAGCAAAAATAAGAGGAGAAACATTAAGAATTTAGAGAAAATTAAAGAATTGAATAGATTTACTTACTTCATTGATACTTCGTTTTTGAGATGTTACATCTTTGGTTTCAGTCTCTTTATTGTCATTCTTAGCGATCACTTCTTTCTCAGACATTTTGTATGACATGACAAGACGGATAAATTTGTAAAATGAAAATTTAACTTGGAAAGTTGGACAAAATTGATTGAAAGGTTATTTTATCCGGTATATTTAACCACCGTTGGTTGTTGTTGACAAACAAAAGTGAAAGTTTACTGTTTATAGAGTGTTGTCGCTAGAGTTGAACTTTAAAGATGATTTGTAGAGTTTAACTCAAGACAGAATATCCCAACAAATTTAAAAGTTGACTGCTTTTAGTCTGAATTGGAGTTAATTTTTTTTAATCGCAATGAACAAAGACTTAAAGGAATACCACGTTTTCGCTGTAACTTAAAGACTTGTAGACAAAGACAAAGTAACAAAGATGAAGAACCGAGTCTGCGTTTGTAAACTAGCCCCATCTAGCGTAATTATCTTTTGCTTTTTAGACATTTGGGAAGACTTTTGTTGTCTCTTTACCCAGAGAAGTAAAGACTCTTTTCTTCCGTCTGTCTATTTTTCCTTTTCAACAAGTTTTGTTGCTTTTATTTCACTCCATTTTCCTCGTTTTGTAGACAGAGAAACTCCATTCTTCTTATCCAACTTTCCATTCACTGTTCATCCCCATAATCATCTCTCCTTATCTAAATCTTTTATTCATCTTCATCCCTCCTCTTCTCCTCTCTTCTCTACCCTCCCGGTGGATTCCGAATATCAACCTCCCCACTCCTTCAGTCTCCACCTTTCTGTTGTCTTCACCTCTGCCTTCTTCTCCTCATCACTTCCGGCGGGGTATGTATGCTACGCACACGCAGATGTATAAGCCATACACTGTAGGCATACAGACTGACAATGATTATGCCTCAAAGAGCATAATGAGAGGTAGCCTGGGATAGGGAAAAGGAGCACAACGCGATGGCGCCACTAGCAACTAGAGATGTTCCGATTTTAAGATCGATCTCATCGATTGTCGCTCCAAAATTGATCGATCTCAACCCAAGAATATCGATCACTTTGAAAACACGTGCTTTCGAGTCAGGACACAATTTTGTTGATTAGATGATACTTTTGATTTGAAGAAATAAAAAATAAGTGTTTTGTCGACAATTTTTGGTGTGATTGTGTTTTTTAAAAATCGAAAATCGATCAATTGCTGAATTGACCGAAAAATCGATGAAGTGAAGTTGATGTCAACAAAAATGGTCAAGTTGAATTGGGCGAATATTTATGGCTGATTAGCGCATTGAAGAGCGGAGATGTTGCCACCAGCGTTTTCGCTGCAGCAGTTGAACTTGAACATCAAAGAGAGACTGGCTATAAGCAAATATCGGTCGAAAGAAGTGGCGGAGGAGTGTAAATTTACTTATTTAACAATTGTTTTTTCGTTTATTCACACCTTTTAGAACAGATGAAGATTGAAATTCTTCGAAAGTTATGAGGCTAAATAATGAAATCAGAGTTTAAAACAAATTACGAGAAAGTTGCCTTTGGTAATCATTATCGAAGCTATTTCTGATAGCTGAATTTAAGCTGAATTTCAATTGACACACTAATTACTCTTTACTTTGGTTTTTGTTTCAATTATTTCAATTATTTTATTAATTTAAAGTTTTAATCTTCAAGTCTAACCTTAATTTCTAGGACTTAACATCTAGTCTTCATTTGCAACTTCGGAATTTATTGGCTAGCGTACAACAATGGAGTCACGAATGACCTTTCTACTAACGATCCTTTTAATTTTCTTTAATTTTTTGAACTTTTTCTCATCAAAAAATAGGTTTACATATTTAGCATTGAGATACTAAGCTTGAGCACAGAAATAGACGGAAAAAGGTCATATTTGACCGTTGAATTGTTGAAAAGCTAGTTAATATTATATTTTTATATTATATATGTTGTTATATTATTAATATTTTCATAGTAGTAATAAACTTATTTAAATCTCTTTAATGCGCAATTAGACCAATGGATAACTGGCTGAAGAAGCAATTCCACATTGATTTTGCTTGTTTCGAGTCATTTTAATGTATCCTTTTTCACCCCAAGTTTCACTCCAACTGTTTTTAACGATCCAGTAGTCACCGCCTTTATCTGAGCCATAACCAACGACAAGAACACCGTGGTCAAGCTCTTCAGAGCTACATTCAGGTTCATCATAAATTCCGTGGGAATAAAATTGGAAGGACTCATGACTTGCATCAATGGCAACTGAAACAGGTCCAACAGTTGCAACAGCTTCCATCAACTTTTGTTCACTTCCAGCTTCAATGTCAACAAATCCAGTGTCGGTGGCACCAATGTCTTTACGAGTAAATCGACATCTTTCATCCTGAATAGATAAAAATATTTAAAAAAACAATAAAATTAATAATAAGTACAACAAAATACTAGTTATTATTGGTGGTATCAGATACAGATATCGGATAGTATCTTTGTGTACATTTAATCTCAACCGTATGTAACATTAGTGGAGCTCGTGATCAAAGAGTAGTATATATTACTCTTTGCTCGTGAACCTTTCGACCTCTAGATTTTATATTAAACCTGTTTGTTATTGTTATACATTCAAAATGACTTTTTGGACACTACGAAAGATAGTATTATGTTCTGGAGGCTTTGGTTTGGCCACCTACAACCTGGTTTGGTCCGATCATCAATTATTAACAACAGAGGTAAGTGCATGATGCATGATTCAATATATAGCCTCTAGCTGACAAGTGAGTGTGACTTATATTGAGTTTACCTAACAGGTTAGCCTTGCATAAGTACATAATTAATTAATTTTCTTATTTCAATTAGAAACTATCTGCAGAAGCCAAGCGACCTGCTCATTTGAAAATGATCTCAAAAAAAGGTCTACCATCACGGGCAGATCACATAAAAGCGCTTAAAGAAACTCCTGAATATGATGTACTAGTTGTTGGTGGAGGTGCAACCGGTTCTGGAGTCGCTTTAGATGCAGTTACAAGAGGATTGAAGACAGCTCTAGTCGAAATGGATGACTTCTCATCGGGAACCAGTAGTCGATCAACCAAACTAATCCACGGAGGTGTTCGATATCTCCAAAAGGCTATTCTTAAACTTGATTATGATCAATACAGAATGGTTAAAGAAGCTCTCCATGAGCGGGCAAATCTACTTGAGATTGCACCTCATCTTTCTTATCCATTTCCAATCATGTTACCAGTTTATCATTGGTGGCAAATCCCTTATTTTTGGGTTGGAATAAAGGCTTACGATTTCGTTGCTGGTAGTAAAAATGTCAAATCGAGTTATTATCTTTCAAAGAAAAAGGCACTCGAACATTTCCCAATGTTAAAGAAAGAGAAACTTTGTGGAGCGATTGTCTACTATGATGGTCAACACAACGACGCTAGAATGAACTTGGCATTGATTTTAACTGCTGTTCGTTATGGGGCAAACTGTGCTAACCATGTAGGAGTAACAGAATTGATTAAAGATGAAAATGGCCAGCTCTGTGGGGCTAAACTTAAAGATAACTTAACTGGAGAAGAATGGCCAGTAAAAGCTAAAGTCATCATTAATGCAACTGGTCCTTTCACTGATTCAATCAGAAGAATGGATAATCCAGACCAAAGATTAATTTGTCAACCATCAGCCGGTGTACATATTACTTTACCAGGTTACTATTCACCTGATAGTATGGGTCTATTGGATCCAGCAACTTCAGATGGGCGAGTTATCTTCTTCCTTCCTTGGCAAAAGTTTACAATCGCTGGAACAACTGATACTCCATGTGAAGTGAGTACGAATCCATCGCCATCAGAAGCCGATATCCAATTCATTCTTCAAGAAATAAAAAAGTATCTCAACAGCGATGTCAATGTTAGACGAGGAGACGTCATGTCAGCTTGGTCAGGAATTCGTCCTTTAGTTTTAGATCCATCTAAAGGTAATACTGAGTCCATTGCTCGTAACCATATTATTGATATCAGTGAAAGTGGTTTAATCACAATTGCTGGCGGTAAATGGACAACATACCGATCCATGGCAGCGGAAACAATTGATGCAGCAGTCAAAAAATTCCCTGATCGACTGAAACCATTATCCGAGTCTCAAACTGATGGTCTTTTGTTAGAAGGAGGCGATGAATGGACACCAACCATGTTCATCAGACTTGTCCAAGATTATGGTATAGAGCCAGAGGTTGCCAACCATTTGGCCAACACTTATGGAGACAGAGCTTTCGCTGTCGCTAAATTGGCTGAGTTGACAGGCAGAAGATGGCCAGTTGTTGGAAATCGATTACATCCAGAGTTTCCATATATTGCTGCTGAAGTTCGGTTCGCTATTAGAGAATATGCTTGCAATGCTGTTGATGTTATTGCTCGTCGACTTCGACTTTCTTTTCTTAATGTAGAAGCCGCTGAAGAAGTGCTTCCCAAAATTATTGAGATCATGTCTCAAGAACTTAAATGGAGCAAGAAAGAAGCTCAAGCTCAATATGACAAAGCTATTGAATTTCTTCATACAGAAATGGGCAAAAATGCTAACAAACAAGTTAAAATGGTTTCACCGTTGTCCTTGTCAGCTACTGAGATCAATAAATACACTTCTCAATTCCATTCAATGGATAAAGAAAAGAAAGGTTACATTACTATTAACGATTTAAGACGTAGTTTCAAAGTAAGTGATTGTGATCTATTCTCATTTAAACACACTTCAAAACTTTTCAGTTGTTGATCAAAACAGTATGTTTACACAGGAAAATATGCAATTTTCCTTAGATAAGTACTCATTAATCAACAAATATTAAGAGTACCTCTATCAACTTTAACCAACAATTATTACAGTCATCAATGATCATCAACAGATTAGTTATCGGAAATCAATCAATATCTAATTTATTCCATTAAAATTTTCTTCACAGGCTCTAGGACAGAAAGTTTCGGACGAAGAGTTACACGTATTGTTAAGTGAAGTTGATGTCAACAAAAATGGTCAAGTTGAATTGGGCGAATATTTATGGCTGATTAGCGCATTGAAGAGCGGAGATGTTGCCACCAGCGTTTTCGCTGCAGCAGTTGAACTTGAACATCAAAGAGAGACTGGCTATAAGCAAATATCGGTCGAAAGAAGTGGCGGAGGAGTGTAAATTTACTTATTTAACAATTGTTTTTTCGTTTATTCACACCTTTTAGAACTGATGAAGATTGAAATTCTTCGAAAGTTATGAGGCTAAATAATGAAACCGGAGTTATAAAACAAATTACGAGAAAGTTGCCTATGGTTAGCATTATCGAAGCTACCTGTCCACAAAAATTAATTTAATTTCATCATTGCTTCATATTCATTCATGGAAAACTGGAAGAGCCTGAATTTCAATCGACACACTAATTACTCTTTACTTTGGTTTTTGTTGCAATTATTTCAATTATTTTATTAATTTAAAATTTTAATCTTCAAGTCTAATGCACTCTAGAGATCATCGAATAAATTTCATTTTAGAAATTGAAGTCACACAATGTTGATTAATTGCTCCAATCAATTGAACATAAAAAGGGGCTGAAAATAAATTCTTAGCTTGAATATGACTCTTTCACCAGAAAATATTTCAACTCAAACGTTAATTGTCTTGTGGAAAAATGTTACCAATAAGAAAACAAACTTGGTAAACAGTCAATAAGCATCTTGTGACAATTTTCTCAAGAGGGCAAAAACTGGTTCTAACATGAGATGAAATTAAACATTTGATACAACTGATACCCTCATTACCCTCAAATTTTATAATAAGAATCATTCTCCAATTATTAAGAGATCGTATGATCACACTTAAATGAACCTGATAATAATCATATATACTCGAGAGAATCTAACCTCTTGAGAAACTCTTTTGCAGAGTCAACAAAGTTGATAAATTAGTGAACCACTTAGTGAACCTAAAAGTCAAATGACTGATTTGGTAATAAAAAAAGGTACCAATAATAAAATGTAAACAACTAATAGTTGAAATCATTTTACACTCTTGAATAGTTGATGAACTCTTAATAAATTGCCATTTCTTAATCAACTAAATCAAAAGTCAACTTACTTTTCCGTCATATGGATAAGCAGATTCTGTGTCAATACCATGATTATGGCGAATATAAGAGAAAGCATTGTCCATGAGTCCACCTTCACAGCCATTATTACCAAACTTTTTGGAGCAATCGACAAGGTTTTGTTCGCTCAGAGAAACAAGTTTTCCACTCTTTCTATAGTTTTGTCCTTCAAGAGCTCCAGTCTGAAAATAGAAACAAATAAGACGTAAATAAAATTACCTATGTAAATATGAGAAATGGGAAACAAAGAAATGAACGAACCGTGCTGAAAGCCCAACATGATCCACATTGTCCTTGGTTCTTAACCTCAGTGACATAACCCTTTTCTCTCCAATCTACTGATTTGGGAAGAGCAACGTTGTGTGGTGTGAGGAAAGTTGAAGCATTGTATGTATGAAGTCGCAAATGAGCCTTAAATCCGTTCATTAGTTTGACAAATTCATGATGAAGTAGATCACCAAAGTGGTTCATTGTCAGGTGATAAGTATGGAATCCATTGGCAGCACGAATATTGTGGCGAGCAATTTTCCTTTTGTTTTCCATGAAAATTTTCATACGGAAATATTCCTCCGTTTCATTTGAATATTGTTTTCCGTACATTGATTTGAAAGCTTCCCATTCATCTTGAAGTAAATCTTTGACATTACCAGTATTGATGCTGTTATAGTTTGAGGTAAACTTGGATCCAAACTCATCAAAACAAAGAGAAAGTCCAATGAAAGAAAGTAAAAATAGTACAAGAGTAATCTTCATCTTGAAGTGAAAGTTGTATTAAGTTGAACAAGAGAACACAAAAAAATAATAAATGATAGATTAACTGTTGATCAACCAAATTTAAATCAAAACTTTTTGCTAAATCAATAAAGGTTCCTTAGAAACGGTTTCTCATCTCTGTGCAACCACAGAGGGCCGCCCATAAATACTTTCCCATTCAACGCCATCTATTGAATAAATGATACGAAAATAAAACCTACTAGCAATAATGATAAACCTTTTTTTGATGATTTTGATAATTAATGCAATGTAAAAATGTTACGAATAAAAATAATTTTATTAATTCACTTTGATTGTGATTTATTTCTAACTTTGAATTAACCTGTTTTACCGTTATCCAGGTTTACAAAAAAGATTAATTTAATGTTGACTTTAATGAAAGTTTTTTGAAAGAATGATGACCATAAGTGACACTATTACTATGATAGTTTTGGCACTAATGTCCAATATCTAGACAAATAGCGACAAATTGACACAAATTTTCAGTCGTTACTGTTCACCAAACAATTCTTGACGATGCAAAACAAGTTTCAGCAATTTAGTTATTTTCATTTTTCGAAAAAAAGAACTTTGTATCGACAATCGAAATGACCGCTTTTACAGAGCAACAAAATTATATTCGCCAAAATAAGTTTATTTTCTGGTTTTTTATTAAAAGTTTAATCCAGGGCTTCAATTGGATACGAATATCTATAACCATAACTGCACAAAACGCAATCGAAGTTTTAACTTCGAACGCGATTTTCTCGAGAACTAAGCATCAGAGAAACTTCTAAGTCGCAGGAATAAATTGAAAATCGCTTATTCAATGTATCAGAAGCCTAATGAATAGCCTTAAAGCAATAAAAGTCCAAATATTGGCATTTATTATTTTAACCAGAAGAAGAAACCAGAAGATGTTAACCAGAAAGATGCAATAACTTGATAATACGATTCTTTTTGCATTTGTGCTTTCATCTCTCAAGTTTCCAGTCTATTAAAGTCCTCTTAATCTTCCTGAATTGGTTCTAATAACTTATAGTAATAAAAGCAAAAAAAGTCTTACGAAAAAGGACTAAACACGTACTTTTACTAGTAAATTCGACGAACTTTTAGGAACATTAAAATAAGGTTATGTGTGATTGGAACATTGCTTCTGAATTGGGGCTTCGCTTTTCAAGTCATCATGAATTAAGAGAAGTTAAGACTTGAGTTGGAGCATAGAAATTACGTTCATTTGTAAGTTTCTTCGAAAACTAAGAAACAAAAGCAAAGAAGCAACAGTATTGTATTAGTAATATTCACATTGTAAGTATCTTTCTGGTAAACATCTTCTGGTTTCTGGTTAGCAAAATAAAAGAATGCCAATATTTTGAATTTTGTTGCTTTAAGGCTATTCATTAGGCTTCGCCTACATTGAATAAGCTATTTGAAAATATCGGCGCTCTAAGTCTCACAATCGATCTTTAAAAGCTATAAAACTACCGACTAACTACTGCCAGCAATTTTTTGTGCATCAAAAATTAGTTTCAGCTCTTTAGCTATCTTTGTTTTTGGAAAAAAGAACTTCAAATTAAAATTCGAAATGACCGATTTTACAAAAAAATAAAACTATATCAGGCATAATAAGTGCATTTATTGGTTTGTTATTAAAAGTAGAATTCTGGGCTTCAATAAGAGGCCAATATCTATAACCCTAACTGTACAAAATGCATCCGAAGTTGCAACTTCGAACACTGTTTTCTCGAGAACTAAGCATCGGAGAGCCTTTTTAAACGCAGAAATAAATTTCTAATAGCTTATTTAATGTATTCCTAGCCTAATAAATTGCCTTAAAGCAAGAAAAGTCCAAATATTTGTATTCTCCCATTTGCTAACCAGAAACCAGAAGATGTTAACCAGAAAGATACTTACAATGTTAATACAATACTGTTTCTTCTTCTGCTTTTGTTTCTTAGCTTTCGCACGAAGAACAGTGAACATTTGTTCAGTTATGGTTATAGATATTGGCATCTTATTGAAGCTCAGAATTCCTCTTTCAATAACAAACCCGAAAATGCAAGTATTTCGGCGGATATAACTTTTTAGTTATGTGAAATGGCGCGGTCATTCCGATTTCGATTTAAAGTTCTTTTTGCGGACAATGGAAATAACCAAAGAGCTGAAACTAATTTTTGCTCGACAGAAATCGTTGGTGAACATCAACGACTAAAAATTTGTGTCAATTTGACGCTATTTGTCTAGATTTTGCACATTTGTCCCAAAACTTTGAGCCTGGATATTTCGAGAATAATGTCACTTATGTTCTTCATTCTCTCGAATAATATACTATGGCATTATGCGCTACAATTTAATATGGATAAACACAAGAAACAATGGGTCCAGCCTGCTGTACCAACAGATAAAAACTGGCGAAGCTGCAAACATTTTCGTAAATGAATCAATCAAGTAACTTGAGAAATAAAATTCTATAACTTTTCGTCTATTGTGTTGCATGAACTCAGACTTCCGTGTAGCATAGTACCTAAATCAATAGCATATTTATCGAAAGATTGACAACTATAAGTGTTATCATTCTCTAGCTATCGAGACTCGAAGTTTTGCATCCAATTGTCAGAATCTAGCAAACTATTGCTTAAAGTGCCAAAAGTTTGCAGTTCTTCATGTTATTGACACTATTCTCACAATATCGAGGCTCAAAGTTTTGGGACCAATGTCAAAAATCTAGAAAACTAACGACAATCCGACACAAATTTTCAGTCTTTGATGTTCACAAACCATTGATGTTTTGCCTTATAAAACTAAACTTAAACTAAACTAAGCTAACTTTGGTAGTTTAACGAAACTGTTGTTAATTTAAGAAGCAAAAGCAAGAGAAGCAATAGTATTAGAAGCAATAATAATAAATCATTATTAGGTATCTTTTCTGGTAAACATCTTTTGGTTTCTGGCAAACGCTTGGCCTTTTCTTGATATTAGGCTATTTATTAGGCTGTGAATACATCGAACAAATCACTCTTAGTTTGTTCGTCCAACTAAAAGATTTCTAAGATTTATAGTTCTCGGTAAAATTGCATTCGAAGTTTAAACTGATGTTAGAGATGCAGCTTTTAATAGTCGATCGGAACATGTACTTATTTTGAAACGAAAAGTTTTCTGTTTATGGACAACTGGTTATTTCGATTTTCGATTCAACGCTCTATTTTCGAGAAATGGAAATAGCTAAAGAGCTTAAATTTGTTTCACATCGAAAAACATTGTTGATTGATATGAGCAAATAAAAACTTTTGTCAATTTATCGTTAGTAGCCAAGTTTTCGGTCATTAACTGCAAAAGTTCGAGTCTCGATAGTTAGAGAATAATAACACTTATGATCTCCAATCTTTCAGTAAATGTACCATTTTATTAGGAACTACAATATACCTAAGTCTAAGGTCACGTAAGAGTATGAATGCAAAGTTATAGCATTTTGTTACATAAGTTGTCAGAGAATTGTTCAATTTGTGAAGACAAATGCTTTTTGCAGCATCACCAGTTTATTTATGTTGATTAACGAGGCAGGTACTAACATCTTCAGTATTTATCCATATTAAGTAATTTCGCATAATGCCGTAGCATATAACTCGAAAGAATGGTGATCATAAGTGACACTATTCTCGAAATATCGGCGCTCAAAGTTTTGGGACAAATATTCAAAATCTACACAAATAGTGACAAATTGACACTAATTTTTATTAATTGATGTTCACAAACAATTTTTGCTCAGTTGTAAATTAGTTCCAGCTCTTTAGCGTTTTTCATTGTCCAAAAAAAGAACTTTAAATCAAATTCGAAATGACTGAATTTACAGAGCTTCAAAGTTATATGTGCAGAAACAAGTGCATTTTCTAATTAAATATTAAAAGTTAAACTCTGAGTTTCAATGAGAGGCCAATATCTATAACCATAACTGTACAAAATGCAATCGAAGTTTCAACTTCGAACGCGGTTCTCTCGAGAACTTAGCATCGTAGAAACTTGTAAGTCGCAGAAATGGATTTTCAATAGCTCTTTCAATGAAGCAGCAGCCTGATGGATAACGTTGAAGCAACAAAATTCAAAATATTGGCATTTATTAATTCAACAGAAGAAGAAACCAGAAGATGTTTACCAGAAAGATACTTTAATACAATACTGTTGCTTCTTCTGCTTTTGTTTCTCAGTTTTCGCACGAAGGTAAACCTTTTTTGCTTTTATTACTATAAGTTATTAGAACCAAGTCAGGATAATCAAGAGGACTCCAAAAGACTGAAAACTTTCGAGATAAAAGCGAGAGAAGCGAAAGAATTGTATTATAAAGTTATTGTCTCTTTTCTAGTAAACATCTTCTGGTTTCTTCTTTTGTTTAAATAATAAATGCCAATATTTTGACTTTTGCTACTTTAACGTTATCCATTAGGCCGAGGCTACATTGAATGAGCTATTTGCAATTCATTTCTGCGACTTACAAGTTTCTACGATGCTAAGTTCTCGAGAGAACCGCGTTCGAAGTTGAAACTTCGATTGCATTTTGTGCAGTTATGATTATAGATATTGGCCTCTTATTGAAGCTAAGAGTTTAACTTGTAATATTGGACCAGAAAATAGACTTATTTTGGGAGATATAACTTTATTTTTTTGTACAGTCGGTTAATTCGATATTCGATTTGAAGTTCTTTTTTCGGACAATGGAAATAGCTAAAGAGTTGAAACTAGTTTTGCATCGTCAAGAACTGTTTGGTGAACACTAAAGACTGAAGATTTGTGTCGAATTGTCGTTAGTTTTCTAGATTTTGTACATTGGTCCCAAAAACTTTCAGGTCCGATATTTCGAGAATAGTGTCACTTATGGTCATCATTCTTTCGAGAAATATGCTACGGCATACTGCGCAACTATTTAATATGGATGAATAATAAAGATGTTAGTACCAGCCTTGTGTATTAACAAACACAAACAGGTGAAGCTACAAAAATCTTTTCGTTTATGAATCAAGCAATAATAAGTAGTAATAGATGCTTTAACTTTTTGTTTGTACTCTTGGGTCACTTTGAACTTACAGTTTAAAGTTTGAATATTATAGCAAATTTTGTAGTAGCATATTTAACGAAAGATTTGTGATCATGAGTATCATCATTCTCGAAATATCGGCGCTCAAAGTCTTACGATCGAAGTCCAAAATCTATAAAACTAACGACAAATTGAATCAAATTTTCAAGTGTGGCTTTTCACCAGCAATTTCCGTCCATCATAAATTAGTTTCAGCTCATTAACTATTTCCATTGTTCGGGAAAAGAACTTTAAATCAAAAGTCGAAATGACCGAATTTACAGCGCTAGAAAGTTATATCCGCCAGAATCATAGTATTTTCTGGTTTGTCATTAAAAGCTAAATTGTGAGCTTCAATAAGATACCAATATCTATAATCATAACTGTACAAAATGCAATCGAAGTTTCAACTTCGAACGCGATTTTCTCACGAACTTAGAATCGTAGAAACTTGTAAGTCGCAGAAATGGATTTCGAATAGCTCATTCAATGAAGCGACAGGCTAATAAACAACCTTAAACCAAGAAAAGTCCAAATATTTGCATTCTTTTATTTTGCTAACCAGAAACCAGAAGATGTTTACCAGAAAGATACTTTAATACAAAACTGTTGCTTCTTCTGCTTTTGTTTCTATGCTTTCGCACGAAAAAATGGCAATTTTCACAGTTATGGTCATAAATATTGGCATCTTATTTATGCTTAGAATTTAACTTTTACTAACAGACCAGAAAATGCTATTATTATGGCGGATATAATTTTGTGGCCTTGTAAAAGTGGTCATTCCGATTTTCGATTTAAAGTTCTTTTTTCGATCAATGGAAATAACTAAAGAGCTGAAACTAATTTTTGCGTGACAAGTATTGTTGGTGAACAATAAAGACTAAAAATTTGTGTCAATTCGTCTCTAGTTGTCTAGATTTTGGACTTTGGTCCCAAAACTTTGACTTTCGATATTTCGAGAATAGCACCACGTGTGGCCATTATTCCTTCGAGTAATATGCTACGGCATCATGAGCAACAAGTTGCTATGGAAAACACAAGAAACATTAGGTCCAGCCTACTGTACCAACAAACACAAATCGATGAAGCTGCTAATGCATTTCGTTTATAAATCAAGCAGTTTTCTGTCAACTTAAGAAATGCTGTATCTTTTCGTACATTTTGTTGCGTGACCTCAGGGTTCGATATATCAATATAGTAATTAATGTATAGTAATAAATATAATAGCATATTTAATGAAAGATTGGCGACTATAAGTGTTATCATTCTCTTACTATTCAGATCCGAAGTTTAACGGCCAATGGCCAAAATCTAGCGAACTATTGCTAAATGGGCAAAAGTTTTTAGTTCTTCATGTTCACCAACAATTTTCGTCGATGTAAAACAAGTTCCAGCTCTTTAGCATTTTCCTTTGCTCGGAAACAGAGCTTTGAATCGAAAATTGAAATGACCGATTTTCCAGTAAAAAAAATCATATCCACAATAAGAAGTGCAGTTTCCAATTGACCATTGAAAGCTGCATCTCCAACACCAGTAAAGTGTGAAAATACATAATAATAACAGTACAAAACGTAATTCAAATTTTGACTTCGATCACAATTTTAACGAAAACTATAGATCATAGAAATTTTTATGACCTGATAAATAACATAATATCAACGAAAGCACACAAATTTGCATTTTTACATCTGCAAACCAGAAACCAAAAGATGTTAACCAGAAAAGATACACAACAATACATAACTAATGCTTTTCTTGCTTTTACATTGATTTTCTTCTCCTTCTAAACTGATTATCACCCAAAGTAATGCTATTTCACTCAAACTATCGAAATTTATTTAAAACAAATGTGTTTTTCTTTAAATCCTTTCACCACAACTGTACAGAAACACTCGAAGTTATAAAAACTGTAGTTTCGCTTTCCAAATCAAGCTGATTTTAAGTCTCTAAATCCTCGTGAACTCCAAAGTATTATGCTTACACTGTTAGTCCTTTTGGTCAACACTTTTTTGTGAAACAGCTACAACTTAATGTAATCCCAATCTACAATAAAATTGATCAAATCGTAATGATTTGTATTATAAATTTCAATTAGCTCAACCGCTTCAAACCTCAAATAGCTTAACATTAACAAAAGTTACTCACGTTTCAATGGTAACAACATTGAATCTGCTTCGGCATACAACACTCAACCCTTAATACTTGATGATTTAACCAACAACGTAAAGACGTGAATATTGTAAATGTGCTATAAATGTAAAGTGTAGTGATTAGTGTAAATTATATTAACAACTGGCCCACTCTCAACTCCCACGAAAATCTTAATCACAATTGAAAGTGCAAAAAATGAGGAAGAAATTAACTCTTTTGTTGATCTAAAATCAAAACCAATGCCCATCATCATCTAAACCGCTTGCTTTTGACTGTTGAACAGATTAAAGGAATCATCTTTTCTCAGACCAAAGATACCAAAAATATTCATAAACTTTATCATGAACAGAAATTTCCTCTCAACGCATCAATTGGCCAGGTCAAGAATGAAATCGTCTTGTCAACAATCACGATTAAAACAGATACACAAACATGATAATGACTTGCATGAGAATGAAAAACAAAATCGCAAAATGATGTTTCTCGTTTCACTGTTTTAATTGGAAATGAAATTTAGCTCATCATCATCAATTGTAATTAATCTTGTTGAACACATATAATTATATCAATTATCACTTGCCAATAATTATCCACTTAACAAGACGAATTGAAATAGACTCAATTTGGTCCATTTTTCAACAAAAGCAACTCTAAATTGTCAGTGGAAATTGATTTAGAGAAAAATTGCAATTTAAATGTTGATTTACTTTCAATCGGATTAACAATGAAATAGCAGGAGATCAATTTGATTGTTAGCTTCTCCGAATAAAACAATCCCAATTAACTTTATGCTATTTTATTGGCTGTAATTTAGTTTAAATATTCTCGATTTAGAATTTAATTGTTCGATTTTTCTAATTTTATTAAACTCTTAATTGACATTTTCGAGTCTAATTGTATTCGTATTTAGTATTGAAATTTCAACACTTGTTTTCTGTATAAGTGTGCTACTCTTTAATGGTCAACTTTTGCAGCGGTTGACCGTTCATTACCATGATCATCATCATTATGGTAATCAAATTAATTAAGTTGTTTCTATGTCTGCTTGTCTTTTTTGTTTAATAAATAAATTCATATTTAATGGTAATCCAACCTTGTTACATTCATTTTTCATACATTCTGGTCTTACTGGTTAGCTGGTTAGCATTTGAACCCGAAAGTTGCTGCAAATGAATATTATTGCAGGCAAACTTTTGAAGTTTGAAATCTTGAAAGTTTAGACAGTTTCGATGAACTGTTTAATGTTGAATATTTTCATCCAACAATTATGAATGTAAATGTAAAGACGAAACTGGATCAACATTAAAGATGTTACTTTCGATATTTTGACACGATAATTATAATAATTTTGTTGAAATATTTTAATCACTGGTTAACTATACAAATTGGATTCACGATTCAAAATCATGATGATGGTGAGATTAATCAATCAAAAGTAAATCAACATTCGAACCTTTTCAATGGTAAAAATTTACGTGAAATTAGCCTAACATCGTTCAATATTTAGTGCTAGAAGTATCGCCTTTTCCCATCAAAAAAGATGCTTCACTCGCTTCTCAATTTTTAACGGTAAAGTAACATTCGTTGCTTTTTGTTTTAACGAGTATTGAGTCCATTCCTTTATGATTGACGGACAATTAAACGAAACTGAAGTTTTATCATTTTATAAAGAGTACCAAAAATATCCTGAATCAATCATTCACTGATCTAACTATGAGTTTCAAACAAAGTGACGGCAAAATAAGGCAGAAAATGAATAAATGCAAGAAATCAATTTTTATTTACTGATTGAATTACATCTGAAAATGCCAATTAATTGAATTTAAATATAGTGAAAGTTATCGAGTGAAGATGGGAAACAAGGTAAATGGTGAAATTGAAATTGAAACGGCGGAATAAGATGAACGGAAGCAGATGCGAAACGAAATTTTCTCTCATCGTGATTATTCTGATGAGTTTTATGAATACTTTGATGAGTATTCTAATTAAAGTTGAATAAATAAAGCCAACCCTTTGACTTGTATCATCCTTATTCCCTGACGATCACTTGAACCTTGTTTCATTGTAAATTTCATTCTTTTCGTTCAACCTTTTCCTTCCTTCCTTCCTTCCTCCAGGTTAACATTATACTCAAGTTAACCAGGCAAGAAGCATCACTCACTAACCTGATGATATTCACAGTTATGGACAACCTCAATCTCCACCCAACGAAAAAAAACGAAAGTGAATACATTTCTCACTTTCATATTCAATATTAACTTCACTCTTCATCAAGTCCATCTCATCAGTTTATCGAGTTGAATTTCACCTTAAATTTTCCAACATTCATTTATTCAGTTAATATTGAACAAAATATGATCATCTCATTGCCATCACACTAAGCCATTTGGATTTAACAACTAAAGTCAAGTTTACTAATCGCTCAACGACCAACAATCAAAATGAAATTTATATTCACCATCTTGGGTATGTTTGCTTCATATTTGACCACAACTTCGATTGCTGTGTAATTGTGTCTTAATTGTCCACTAATTGCAATTTTCATCCATTTCTAGTTCTGCTTTCATGTACAGCATTCACACTAACCAAACCAAGAGTAAGTCAATTTTCATTAATCAATTAACTTTCACATTTCCATTGATCTTTATTGTGAGAAGCTTTTTACCGATTCAATTGTGATCGATTCATTTGACATAATTGACAGGTTTCAAATGTTTCAATGATATTATTTCATTTGTTGATTGACAGTTAAATATCTTGTATCGATTGATAATGATCAGGTGTAGTTGTTGCATGAAAGGTTACATGAGAAAAAAAAGAAGAAGAAATTGGTAGTAAAACGAAAGTGAAAACAAGAGTTAAATTTGATTAGAATCATGGTAATTGAAATTGGTTTTCATGTAATAAGGAAGATACAAGAAGATGATAATAAAGTTACTTGTTATTCAAGTGAATTTACAATGTTTTCGGAGTCTTCCTTTCTTACCGTTTTCATTATGCTTCTGTTTGGTCAGCTCAACTGGTCAACAACAATTAAGGTTAATTGAGGTCAGCAGTGATGTGCAATGTGTACATTAAATGTTTGTAAAAGCCAAAAATTGAATTAACAATAAGGTTTTTAATTGTTAAAAAATGCAAATTGATTTTACAAAATTTTCGGTAAACTTAAATAATAATTGAAAAGCTTTCCCAAACTCGGAGTTTCTCAAATTTTAAAAGCTTGAAAAACCTTTACAAGAACTTTGTTAGAACTTTTAAAATTTAACCTTTTGGAACTTAAAGTTTCGAAGTGTTGAACGTCTTTTCATCTTACAGAGCTTATCGATACTTATTGAAATTTTGTGAGGATTTTACTGAAATAAATCGATATAAAGTTTTGATGAATTTTTCGTTTTGGAGCAAAAATGTGATTCAAAGTTTTCGATCCATTTTACAATGAAATCGTTTAAGATTTTTTACGAGAATGTTTCTAAGTTATCATCAGAATTCAAAGTATTGAAAGCGCTTTTAAGATTCGAAACCTGCAAACCAACATTGAAACATTTTTGGCTCTTTTCGAGCTTATGAGAGTTCGCAAAGTTAAAAGCTATTTCAGTTACAGAATTTATCGAAAAATCAGGCATTTTTGGAAAAATTAGGAAAACTTATTGAACTGTCATGAAGGCTTTTTTTAGAACAAAAATTATCGATTGTTTTGAAAAGAAATGGTTTTTATTTATGAATCGAAAAATGTTTTTTTGGAAAGTTATTGATGTGCTTTTACAGTGAAATTAATGAAGATTTTACAAATGGTAATGATTTACATAAAATTTTAAGACTTTAAGATTTTAAAATTTTAGTTATTTAAAAGTTCTTTTAAGATCACTTTCGAGTTTCACTTTTGAAGTTCATTTTTTGAAATGTTTGATTTTCTTGCTTTAGATGAAGCGATCGCCATACGAGTTAGCAATGGATGCTGACTTGTTGTTAACTGAACCAATCAAGGAAACTTTCTCATGTGAAGGACTCAAGTATGGTTATTATGCTGATGTTGACAATGAATGTAAAATATTTCACATTTGCTATCCTCGACAATTGGCTGATGGAAGTGCCATCATGGAGCATTACAGTTTCATTTGTGGAAACCAAACCATCTTCAACCAATACTCGCAAACCTGTTCACATCCAGACGACGCTGTTCCTTGTGAACAATCAAGGTAATTATTATATCAACTGATATTCAGCCATCCAATACAATCTTGACATTAACAGTTTAATTGAAATTGAAAGCTCAACAACAAAAATAAGCAATCTTTTTACCTTTAAATGTTCAATTCAATAACAAACATTGAACATCTTTAAGGTAACTCTTTGCATGATTGATTAAATAATCAGCGGGTGATTTAGCATTTTAAGTGATTTCATTTTAATCAACTAACATTGTCTACCTTAAGGGTAAACTGTTTGATTACAATTTTCAATTTTTCGTTCTTTTTCATTTTTTCCAATTCCAGGGAATTTTACTATCTAAATGAACGTTATGGTGTTGCAGAGGAAAACTTTCACCGCGATGAAGACGTAAATGCATACAATAACATTGTAAGTGAATATGGTTCAAGAAGACGAACATCAAATTAAATTTGATTAACAATACAAAGTATCAATGGTCAACTCTGTTTTCATTTGTTCAAATGATGACCGTTTTTGTACACATCAAAAGTGATTATTGTTTCAATAAAAATGAAAAGTGTTTTTGAAATTTCAAGGCTTAATGTTTAACTTTTAATACAATCGTATAATCGTAAGATTAAAAAAGGTTTATTCATTAATCAATTGTAAATCGCCCTTTTACCCGATTCGTTGTCCAACCATCGCTTTCAAAAACAGGAATCTGTACAAATTGTTGTGATAGACACTCATGGACTTTCATTAATCATCATTCACACAGTTGCTAATAATAATCCAACAGACTATTGTTTAATCTTTTTGATGATAAAAGCTTTTTTCTGGTTACTTTGCCTCCGACAGATCGGTAGATACCAAGGTTGACTCCAGTAGAGTTGTCTGGTGTAGTGTCAAGCCTAGCATGAGGTTTAACATCAAACATTGTACCAAGTCTGGTCCGTGACTTGGCTTTAGATGTTGGTTTAATACCAGTCTTGGCATCAGATTTAAGTCTCAACTTTACTGCTAATGAGTTGCTGGTTTGCGTGAGTTTGATACAAACTTGCTCATAACATGAATAGGCTGACAGCAAGAATGAGCTGATAATTTTGTTGAGAGATAGTTCAGTCCACAGGACGACTGTTGATAATAAAAAGATTAGATACTCGATCAGTGATTGAGTGAGACCATATTGTATTATTACATCAATTGTTTCTGGATACAAGATTGAGATTTGAAAAACATTGGCGTTTCTGTAGGGTGAAAGGTACTGACTTGTAAGTAAGGGTGTATACCGATGATATACACAAGGAGTTGGATGGTACCTGGCCATGCATTTGCGCTGAAACTCGGAATCATTCATGAGGGAAAATCGAGCATCGGAATATTGGTCCTTAATCTTGATAAAACGTCTATAGTGAGTTGAACCGGTTTGATTGTAAGTCGCTTCAAAGAGGCATTGGTTGAGGCAAGCTGAGATTGAACCACAACCATACTTTTGATAGCCTTCACTTACGTAAGGGAAACAATTGCTATAAAACCTGGACTGAAACTGGTAGATAAAGATGGATTCAAATGTAACTGTTGCTTGATTACTATCGATTGCATCAAATTGTATAAATGACGGGTTGCTAATCGACTCGTCCAGTTCTTCGTAAGGTGACAAAATGTATAAACCAAGACGTTTACCTAGACTCAAGTTGAAAGTGTTTAGGCGTATATCCATCAACGGTGAATCTCCGACCTTGTCTCGATCATAACTAATTGTGTCATTGAATCCACTAAATAGTGTGAAACATTTTAAATAATGAGATAACTGTTCCAATATAATTGGATGTTGATTGGTGTTGTTGATATTTTCAGGTTGAACCATAAGAGATTCACAATCGACTTGATTGTAATTGACATCAAGCACCTTGCAAAATATTATCAAGTCTTCCCATTTTAATAAACCATCGTTGATCTCTTTGACAGTCAGTGTTGATACTTTGATTGGATGGACTGGATGATCGATATATCTGAAACCTTTCCTTAGATAATCAAAGCAAATTGAAACCGAAGGCAATGCAAAGTTATTGATTGTTTTCATCTCAAGATTGGCTCCAATTGGATGCAGTAAATAATTCAAACTTATTATGCCTGTGTGAACAACAGCACCGACTATGCAAACCAAAGAGGCCCAAAAGCGCGCTGATTTACGAAATTTTGCGACTATCTTTTGACTGTATTCAAGTTTTGGTTTTATACGAACCATAATTTCAGGAAAAAACAATTTGTTTTTGTTGCTCAAAAATATTGATATAAATGAGTTGAGTTTTGATTCCGAATCACATTAAGAAACAAAATAGAGTTGAATTATTTCGTACTTATTAAATGACAATTAGATTTGGTTCCTTCAATCTCTAAACAATAGCATCTATTGGTTCGATTAAAAAACCAAACAATGCGAGGTTAAGCACCATTTTGTATTACTGTGACAAACTAAAAGTTAATAACAAGATATAAAAGGAGTGAATAAGGTTGACTCAAAACATTAAACAAAGGATTGACTCGATGATGTTTTTGGTGACAATTTGATTCAAAGGTCAACTGACTCACTTGGTCGATTTGAGGTTTGAAGGTTATTTTTGAAGACAAATGGCAATGAAAACAGGGTTGATTTGATTCTGATGAACATTTCATGAACGTTTAAACTATGAGCTTGAAATTCAAAGTGAGAGTTAAATAATGGAGTGAAATTTATTGAACAAATGAAGAGACACTTTTGGGAAAATGTTTTGATTTGATTTTTAAGAATCAATCAGTGGTGACACTTTAATTATATTCAAATAATCAACTTTCCAGAACAAGATTTAGTCATTGTTGTCTAGCTGTTGATTACAATTGGCTTTGATCTTGACTAGATAAAAATTGACATAAATTACAATTAAGACACAATAATTCACAACCAAAGAGGGTAACTCAACAAAGAAACATCATGCTGTTAACTGTAATGATTTTACATTCAAAAGTTGATTACAATAAATCTTGGAAAGTATTCAGAGCAAAAAAAAAGAGATTGATTAGACAATTATATTGATAGAAATTTGAAATTAAATTTGACCAAAAATTTAAATTTGTTGATATTTCAGTGTTACTTGAATGTAAATGAGACAAAATGAACAGTTGAGTAGCAAATGAGTTTGATTCAATTAACTGATGATTTGAATTGAATCTTCAATTTTCGCATGACTTGCAATACTAACTGTAATTGCAATTTGATTAAACAATTTAAAGTCAAATTAATTATTTAAAGCGCCATCTATTGACGCTTTGGTTCACAACCTTGATTAACGGTTTTTTTAGAGCAAAAGATATTTTTTCATGTTTACAAATTTGATTTAAAATTTACAATTTTCAGTCGATTTGATTATTGATATGTTTGTTTTGTTATATTTTGTTTTGTTTTTTGATTGCTGCTTACAATCGTTAATGGATTGTTACACCAATATTGAAATGTGAAAATCATCAAGTGTAAAGTAATTTTTTTTAAGAGTAAATTGCATTTACATATACAAATGGAAACCATGCTTGTTTTACCCTTACAAGCGATGCTTATTTACTTTTCTCACAACCTTTAGTTAATAATTTTCTTTTAATTTTGTTTTCTTGTTTGTTTAATTGTTAAACAACAGTCTGATTAACTTGTCGTTCAACATTGTTAACTTGATTGAAATTCACAACCTTCAAGTTTCTATGAGTAACTTTCTTGTTTCTCTGTTTTTTAGGTTTCCCAATATCCATGGTAAATTTTATGCAAGTAAAACGAGAAGGAAAAAAAATAACTCAAAATAAAATAACAATTGGTAACAATAGTTATTTTGGCCTCTCAAATGGCTCATTTTTCACAACCTTAAAGTTTCATGTTTTGTAAAAGCATTGATATCTCTGACAAAACTGACAAAGACATCATGTCAATCTTATTGGTTTTGGTTTGTCCGTTATTTTGTTTGATGATTTACGCTGTTTCGTTGTAACCTGTTTTTGGAATCTACTGTCATCATCATCAGCATTAATACCATCTATTTTCATCATTAGGCTGGACTTTGGTCATACTTCAGGCCAATCAAAGTTTCTTCCCGTCATCTTGTAAAATTGGTAATTGTAAGGCCGATAGAAGCGTCTAAGAATCCGAATCACTTGAGGATTAACTTGAGGATGAGGACGTCCTTTTGATTCGTTGAGGCACTTTTCAAGGGTTCCATTGATTCGGACACAATAAAAGCCTTTAGTTGCATTGTAAATGAAATTATCACGACTTATCTTGTGCTCTAATCCTAAGAAAGTTTCAGCCTTTTGAACTTCAGGAAATGGATCATAAACCAAACGATCTCCATCAACAACATGTAACTGATGAGCTGGAAAAAGCTGTTTGATGCGAAACAAAAAAGAAGCAAAAAGTTAGATGTGGTTAAAAATGGTGAATTTTCAATGATAATTGAAACATTGGGACTGAATCAAATTCATGGCAATATTGGAAACAATTATGGACCCAAAAGGCTCAAACAGTTCATGAAAAATTGATGAAAAAAGGCTACAAAATGTGCTTGGATCAACAGAACTGCTTGGATCATCAAAATGCATTTGAAAAGCTGTACACACAAAAAAACTGATGCAATATTTTTATGCCAACGTTATTAATTTATATTGACCCTTAAGGTAAAAATAATTCATTATAAACTTAACCTGAAAAGGAGCCCAGCGAGGAAACAATCCTGATAAATATCGTTTATCATTATTTTTATTCTGATAATAATGTAAAATGTGGTTAAAAGGTACGTGACTTTGCTGTTAACCTTTTCTTTTTTATTTAATTTTCTTTTTTTTTCTCTCGTCAGATTATGTTAATTGCTGATGGTACAAAACAATATTAATAATAATCATCAATGCTGACTTGGCGAATATTCAATGAAATTTTATCATTAATCAATCAGACAATTGGAGTAATACAGGGATCCAGATTTATCGGATTGAGTGGAAACAAAAAGGAAGCGTAAAATTTGTTTACTTGGTTTTCATCAATTTAAAGGTAAAGAATGAAACATTGATTGTTTGCTTTTTCAAATTACAATTGAAATGATACATGATTAGTTTAATAATACAAAAAGTTTACCAATCTAATGATAATATTTTTTCTTCTTTTTATTTCTAGTTTATTTTGCACTCCCTTCATCAAGTTCAATGGTAATCGTCAGTTATTAACAAAACAAGGACTAAAGTGAATCAAGTGAAAAAAAACAACATGAAAATAACATGAAAAAATGGCTCATTATGCTGTATTATTATTGTTTAGGAGAGAAGAGAAAAAAGAGAAAATATTTTTTTTCTCTTTTCATTCCATATTCAACTTGTTCATGTTCATGTTGATTATCTGAGATATAAAGTAAAGGTGATAAAAAGAAAGTGCAATATTATTCTGAGTGTTTCTTCACTTAACTTTACTTGCGTGATTGGTAGGGTTGAATAATGCGAAAGAGTTGAAGACTTTAAGATGCTATTATTATGGTGATTTAAAGGGAAAGACTGAAAATGAAAATAAAAATAAAAATAAAATTCCAGGTTCCAGGTTCCAAGTTTCTCAGAGTTCTTACATGTAAGGCATGAAAAGTATGAAGATAGACTGGAAGATGAAAAAGTGAAAATTGATTAGTCAATTATTTGAGAATCAATTTTTCTTCTTCAGCAGCAACAAAAATTTCAAGTTAATCATTATTATTATGATAATGATAATCATTATAAAAGATTAACCGTTCAATTGATGTTTTAATGTTTCATATTCATTATGGTTGAGCAGATCAAAATTGAATAGAAAGATTATGAATCCTACAAAATATCATGATTATTCCCCTGAAAATGACCATAATAATCTTCATCTTTTAATAACCATTTCAAACTATTTCACTGCAAGATTAGTTAACTTCTCATATTCATCATTTGAAGTCTTCAACCTCAACATTTCCACCAACAGATAGATCATGAAATTTTCAACCAGCAGTTAATTGAGATGAATGAATTGAATGACAATTAAACAACCGAAATCGATATTCTATCTTTAATTAAATGTTGAAAATTTGATTAAAAGTAACTCTAAAAAAACGGAAAGCCTCAAGGAAATGTTTGCCTTTTGTGTAAATGCCAGTCAATACAAAAGCATCTGTTTACTCTTGTCTTTTTATTTTTACAGTTAACTAATTAACGGAAACATTTTTTAAACACAATTTACATTCATTCATTACATTAATTCAGAAAATGTAAATATGAAATAAATGAGCTGCAAAAAGATGATTAACAGTAAATCAATAAACAATCAGTTAGAGTACGACTCGTTAAAGATGTAGATGACTTAAATGATTATTTTCATAAAATATTCAAATGACTGTAAAATCGATTGAAATTAAAATGAGATTGTCTAAAACTAACGATTTATTGAATTTCACCAATTTTTCATGATATATTTCATAATAATATTGAAACCAGAAAGCAGGTAAAGCCATCAGTTGAATTGAAAAAAGCATCGAATTTTAAACCTTAAAGATTTCACGATTTCAATTTTTCGAGTTGAACTTGGGAAGCAATTTCACTTTTGATTAATCAAATCAATCAACAGCAAAATCCTCATCAATACTTGAACAAGATCAGACATTTTGACCTTTTCTCAGTGTTTTGCTTCGGCCAAAAGAAATGCTCTTTTCTCTCATTCACCTTTTGTCCAAATGATTTATAAAGACCTTTTGAAGATGATTGTCATTCTTGATAAGCTGAGCGATAAGAATGGAAGTAATCTGATTATTGAACATTGATATTCTGAATAGACCAGGAAACCATTTAGAAATATAAACTATTTTCCATTGAATTTAAACAATGGTTCAATGTTTTACTGTTGATGGATTCTCGATGAAAGTTATGGTGAAAATGATTGTTATTCTGAGCTGGAAATTTGAGAAAATGTTTCAAGACTATTTATCTTGTTTCTTCACGATAAATATTGAATTAAAGGAGAGCGAAAATTTGCAAATAATAATCGTAATGATAATGGGTGATAAATAATTTATAGTGAAACAACACTTAGAGCTGTCATTGATTACAATAATATTGATGGATCATGATCTTTTTTGCGAATCGATTGAAAGTTTATTGTAATCATTTTTGTTGCCAGCAAAGTTATCAATAATGTAATTGTAATATTTGATTTTGTATCATGTTCACTAGTTTTATAAATGAATTTTTTCACTTTTCCAGTCTTCATGTGAATCAATTTTTCAACTTCAATTGTAACTTTGATTGTACTTATAACCTTAGGCATAAGGCAAAGTAAACCTTTTCTGATCTGATTCTTTTCTGATATTTTTTGTCCAACCAAATATTGAATTAAGCTTTGGTTTGCAATCCTGTTGATTCAAACAATTCAACCAATTGAAATGTTCACCCAATTTACTGTCAACATCAAAGTCTTTTCTAGACTCGAGACGTTTTTAGAGTGACAAAAGTAGGATCTTGGTAAAGGTAATCTGATGAAAACTGTCCCTTGCAAAAAGGGACAATCAGTCATTTTAAGTATTTTTTATGGCTCTTTGTGTAAAAGTAAAGACCCAGAGGTCAGAAGGGTTTCATTGGTGGTCGAAAATGCTAAATCTAAAACAATTAGAAGGCATTTTGGGTACCAAAACAGGATTAGTCTGACTGTCATACTTTCTGGTTTTGAAAATCTGGTAATTTTGAAATTTTGTTATTCTTGGATTTTTGAAAATGAAAGCACTGTGACCTTTGTGTCATCATTATATTAACAGTTTTGACGTTATTCCATGAAGGAAATTCACAAATTTTTGAATAGCTTAATACTAATATAATAATGGTTGATTTGTGGCTACCAGCATAATGAGCTAGCTTTGACAAGTTGCCAACATATGATTTGATTTTGATTGAATTTTGTTTGAAAACAAATCAAAATTTACTCTATTGGTCAGTTTCATGACCTTAGGTATCAATTCACGTAGGGATGGCTCATCACTGATGAGTAATTAGTCCTCGAAAGATGATATCATTTACTGAGATCGCATATCAAAATGCATTGGTAAAGTAAAAGGCTGCAATTTCAATTCATTTTACCTTCAATTTTTCTCAAATGCTTGAAAAACTAAAATTGCTTTAAATCCATCATAAACTAATCATTCAAGTTTGACAATTTATTATTAAATGGAGATAAAATTAAATTCAGAAGGGCTCATTCAATATGGAACTCAAACTATTCAAGAAAAAACAGAGACAATCATAGCATCTTTCAATGGTTACACAAAATTAAAGCAAAATTTCATTAAATATTCAACTCAGTTTTTTCATATTGTCACCTCGATATACGATAAATTACATGGTAAAATGGATCATCTAGATATCCTGAGATAATTCAACAGTTTACCTAAAAGGACATTCCTTGTGAATCAAACTACCTTTTCAGTCGAGTTGATTGAACCTAAATATCAAGTTTCATCTTTTTCATCGCTTCTAATCAAAACACAATTAAGGTTGTTCTCACATTTAAATTGTACAAATTATGAAGCTACAAAACAATTAATGTTTAACAATTTTGATGAACCTGAAAACAGTAATCAAGTAATCTTGTAATCATTTTGTTTACCACTTTTAATGCAGCTTCACTGAGAGAAACGGAAAGCAAGAAAAAATGGTGAAAAAAGGGATGAAAAGATGAAGATGAAACATCTCATCCATCTTTTCATCTGTCAACACCACTTTTCATCTTTCTGTTCCTGAATCCACGCAATCAATTAATACTGACAATAGCAACCCTTAAACATGAGTACTTCTGAATAAGGATAAACAAAGGATAACAAAAAAAGGACCAAAAATGAATCGAGAAAAAATTGTCTGAAAATGCTTTTTTTTCATCTCTTTTTTGTTTCCACTTTTCTGTCCTAACATTAAGTTTGTTGATCGTTTCTTTCCTGTTTGTCTCTTGAACATTCACGATATTTTTCATAACTCTTTCAACTTCACATGATAATTAATCATGTTGATGAAGTTTATCGGCTACAGTTGAAACTAATTGTCAGTAAACTTGATTCATTGAAACAGTTTTGTTTTTGTTCCTTGCGTTTTGATCATCACTTGATTACAACAATTTATCATTTCTCATCGTCTACAGCAATTAATCATTGCTCTTTTTGATATTCATATTTTTTTACCATGAAAATGGTTTAATCATGAAAATGGTGAGATAATTACTTGAATCCATTTTGAATAGAAGATTGAATAAAGGCTTGTTCGCACTGGCTTGTATGCAACGTTTACGGCTCCATTGGGCTGTAAGGCCATCCGTTCGAATGAGGCCATTTTACGATCTCTTTTAGCCTTGTTCTCAGCCAGTTGGGCATAATCGGATATTAAACGGGTTACTGGATCACGAACAATGAGAATCAGTTTAATTGAGGAATTCATTGAGTGAATTCGATGAGGAACTGAATCGGTAATGAAATAGGCTGGTGTCTTTTCAATGGTAACTTGATCAGGGAACGAATAAGGCATTTGTTTACGGTACCAGGTAAGACCATAGCCGTACTTGTTGTTGTCATCAAAAAAGTGAACCTCATCGGAGGCCTTTTGTATTGACGGGTGAAGGTTAAGAAATTCAAGTAAAGCTCGGGTTCCACCTTTACGAACTCCAATTATAATGCAACCGGGAAGTCGACGTCGAGTCCGAGGAAAGTGTAACGATGAGTCAACTAATTCAACGGATGATGAAGATGATGAATAATAAGATAAGGTTGAAGTGGAAGATGCCTGATTCTCGTCATTCTGTGATTCAATATCATCTCCAATGTGTCTGTTAGAAGATACAAAAAAATGTTATTGATTCTCAGGTTTCACCTCTTTTTAAAACATTATTGTCATTAACTGTCAACACAATTTAAAAGAGCTTAATTTTTTACACTAAATTCCAGATTCAATCACATACAGAGATTAATTAAACGAATCCAAAACATTTTAACAGAAACTGAATAGATAATATCCAGCTGATTATGAATGTGCAAGGGATATTGAAGCTGAGACCATTTGTTTACTGTACAATTGTGTGGCAGATGAAATATGTGAAAAGTTCTAGAAATCGCCTTTTCTTTTATTCAATATTAGACTTCGGTTCACAATATCCGTCCATCAGTCCACAATAATTGTAGCTAAGAAAGACAATTAATTTGACCTTACGTTTGAAACCAAAATTAAATTACAGTCATATAGTGGCTACAATTAGGTAACAACCCCTTCCACTTGCGCGCTCTTTTCTTGCTTAACATGCAATTTTGATAACATGGCTTGTAATTATTTTATTTGATCATTTTCTTATACATTGTATTTTACTGTCTTTTTTAGATTTTAATTAATGGCCGTTCATTCGTGCAATTAACAGGTCCACATGGATTAGTAAATGGTTTCTTTGTTTAGAGTTGGTTTAACATTCAAGATGGTTGGGTAAGTAATAGTGAAAACAGTATTTTGCTAGAATGGTTTTCGTTTAACCTAAAATTTGTATTTTACTGATCAAATTTAGGTTTATCAATCTCCAACTGGATATAACATTATATAATAGTAATGAAGAAAATCCTAATCTCAATTTGTGTGAACGGACAACTGAATCTCTTCTTGTGTTTCTCGATGAAATTTATAAAAATCGTGTTATATTGAGTTCCATGTGAAGCAACTTCAGAGGCTAATCAATTGCCAACTCTTACAGATAATCTGAAGATTTGGTTTTGGTGCTTCTTGATTCATTTATTCTCCTTAAAGATGATTAATACGTCTGCCATTGTGTTCAGTGGGAAATTTTCTTCGATGACCATCCTGATTCCTATCCAATTTAATGTCTCAATTGGTAAGTAACATAAATACTCATCTTTCAAGTTAATTTTTACCTCAACAATATAAATTATACTTTACTAATCATTTGATGTTTTTCCATTTAGGTAATACTTGGCAATAGAGCGATTCTAATAACCAGATTGAATTAATGGTCAATGAACAGGGATGAGGAGCAATAATGACCAAAGCAAGAAATGAAAGTGGAAAAAGCCAAACAAAGAAAGCAAAGTAAAGCAATCTGAATTGGTATTTTGGATTCTCATGGTTATGAGATAATTATGAGAATGCTCAGAGTGGTTGTTGATGGTTAACAAACAGAAGGGTGAAAGCAAAAGAGGTAACTGATTACAACTATCTGATTACATATTTCAGTTATGTTATCAATGAACAAAAAAGTGAATAAAGGAACACACAAACAGGGAAAAAATTAATCAAGAACTTGAATGGCAAAGAGTTAACTGTATAAAAAAGGAAATGATAGTTAACATTTGATTTTGTTGGTTAGCGTTTGCTTTTTTGTATTCACTCTAATGTAATCATTGGAATGAATGGTTAACCTTAATAAATTATTTTAGTGTCACAATAAGATGATTAGCTAGATTGATGGAGAGAATGTGAAAGGTTTTGAATGGAAAGGTAAGAAAATTGGAAGATGGAAAGAAGACAATTATTCCAATGAGAGATTCAGTTGTTTCTACTTGAAGATCAAAAACTGAAGCCAAGAAAATAATAGTTTCTGGGTAAAAAGGGGAAACAAAGTGATGAGAGTTACAAAGGTACAAAACTGTATTATTGTCTGATTGTATTTCTGATTCAACAACCATTCTGAATATTCTGAGTCTCCTGAGAATTGTGAATATCGATCGATAACAAGCCAACCTAAGAAGGAACCAGCAAAAAAACACAAAATTGAATCTTAACATTGTACTTGTAAACCTTTTTCATGATTATTATTTTGAAAAAGGAGCACAAAGTTGATCTTATTTTTTTTCATTTATTGAATTGCCTCTCCATTGTTAATAATAATTTACAAGTTCAGTTTAATGATTGTAAAAATATCTCTAACAAGGTGAAGTAAGCAGAAAAAAATAGTTTCAATTTCATGTTAGATTAATTGTTAATGTGAACATTTTCCTGGCCAATTGCTGTTTCTGATAACGATTTCAATTATAAATGTTTCAAATGGCAAAACAATAGATAACTGATTTTGATCATTTCAATATTAATAATGGAAGAAGTGTATTAAGAATATTGAGGCAAAAAATGTTACATTTTCTTGTTGAATTGAACAAAAAGGATTACAAGTTTATTTATGACAAGATAAACGGATAAACTGAACTTGAGTTGAATAAATGAATATGAAAGCTGCTAAACAAAATGTAAAACTGAATTAATGAAATGATTTAGAGGGAAAAAGATTGGAAAATTGAGAGTAAAATTACAAATGTAAACCTTGGATATTCATTTCTTATACATTTATGTACAAACTGATATTGAATTTGTGTAAATAGTCAACCGTAATAAGATGTAAAACTTGAGATAATTTACTGAGTAAATTACATATTTTCAAGAGCAGACTTGAATACAATTGAAATTGAATAGCTAATTTCACAGACGGTTGATTTCAATAAAATTCAAGTTGAAACCTTTTTTTGCTTGTCGCTAAGATTTACCTTTTTCAAACATGAAATTATTAGATTAATATGATCATTTGAGATTGAATATTGAATGAAATGTGCAAGGAATTGTAATAAATGTGATTAAATGTTAACATTTATTCACAATCATATTCCAATAGCATATTTATTTATTTATTTTGGGCTTCACTTTTTTCTTCGTCTTCTTCCTATTTGAACCAAGTAAATATTATTTAGTTGATTCAAGGGATTCCATGGGCCAGTCAAGTCAGTCAAGTGATAAAAAATATTATCTGCTTGTTGATGATAAGGATGATGAAGATGGGAAAAGATGATGAAGCAAATGTAAAGGTCTAAGGATGTAAACAGAAACTTGCAGGAATCAATTTAGGTCTTGATTCGGATGAGATTCTCATGAGAATACAAATAAAGTTCAATGAAAGCACATGATTTACGGAAAAGTAAAGAAACACTTAAACACCAAGTTGATTGCCATTTTGTGATGTTAATAATTTGCTCATCAAAATATTCGCCATTTGGCTGGAAAAACAGGGAAAACATTCATTTCAAACGTATCTTCACTCAGCTTCACTCAGCTAAACCATTTAATCAAGTTAACTGTTGGTCAAAAGTCTCGGAAGGTTATTAAAAAGACTCGGAAATTGGGATCAGTTACAAGTTAACGGTTAAACACTTACATTAGTGTTAAAAGACTGTTCAAAATAGTTTCCTAAATAGAGTCTACATTGAAGCAAACCTTCAGAAACCTTTATCCAGACAAACCCTTCCAGCCTTTTATCCTGATCAATCCAATTGGATGATTTTTCATGCAAAAACATATTTTACTCAAAATTTTGTTTTCAAAGCAACAGATTTTATATTAACAAAGATTGGAGTTTCACAAAAATCATAGAAACATCGTTTTTGTAATCAAAGCTAATATGGTCAATAAGATTGGATAACCAAATGGTTTGATTGTTGAGCGATCAAATTTGGATTGAGTCTTTGATTATCAACTCAGTTTAGCTAAAGAAACATAGATTTACAAAAATTTAATAAATGTTAACTTTTCTTGGCTAGAGAAGAGGCTGACAGTGAATATGAATAATCTTGAGCTGCAATTAGTATTCCCAGATATGCTGGACTTGTATTGAATTAATATCCAAGCTGAGCTAACATTTGTCTTCAACAATTTAGACAACAATAAAGGTAAATGTTTATTTAAATGCTATAAAATGGTTTGCTGGTGAATAAATTTGAGTTGCTTTTAACTTTGTAATTTTTTGATTCCTAAATTTTGAAGCTCAACAAAATTCAATGCAAAAGAAAGCTTTTCCCGAGATCTTTATTATACTTGAATTATATGCTCTTGATCTTGCTTTTGAATAGTGAAATTAAATTAAAAAAAACATTTCTCATTCAAAGGTTGACTAAAAAGGTTTGTTAGAGCTTGAAGACTTAAAAATCAGTGAAATATAAAAACTGCCAGAATGTCTGGAAATAATTCAATTTCAAGTCTTTCACTATTCAATGCATGTGTTTTGGTAAAATGAATTGTTAAAGACAATAAAATGGGAAACATTTGAAAGATATTTTCATTTTTTCCCCAAAAATGTAATTGAAAGATATTTTGAAGAAGAAGAGAAAAAACTCTTTTAAATCGGTTGAACCTGAAATAATGCCTTCTTACCTGAACCCATAAGTGTTATCAATGTTATCTTCAATCCCATGATTAACCTGATTATTTGCATGGAAGCTTTTCGATCTTGTTGCACCTTCCAAGCAAGTAGCCAAAGATTTGAAGCCATAGTTATTGAATGAAATGAGGTGAAACAAAATACAAAAAGATGCCAGAAAAGCCAACAGAATAGCGATGAAATTACGATTCCTCAACTTGGAACGTGATTTATATCTGAAATGTGAAACAAAATAGGGAACAAAAAGGTCAGAATTAAAGTCAACAGACGAAGAAGAAGAAGAAGAAGAAAAGTGAAAAATAAAAAACAGATTAACACTCTTGTATTATATCCAAAATAACTTAATTTAATGTAATAATAGTTCTTACAAAATGCCTCTTTTTTACCTTCCCTGCTAATAACATGTATAACAGCAAGAAATGGTTAAAATATTGTAGCAAAAACATGATAATAATGTCTTAATGATGATAATGATAAGTTGAGAAGACATTTTTTACTCCCTTTTTCCTCATTATTATCTAGTTGATTACTTTTCTGTGTTCATTTTTCAGTCTGAAAAACAGTTGATGGAATGAAATGAAAAAAATTTTCCCAACAATTTTTTCTCTTCTTGTTGCTGCTCATTTCAACCTCTTGTTAGTTTCAGATCGTTACATTTATTGGATTATGTATGGACAAAATTGTATTTATACTTGAGTTACAAATGATTCTCATTTTGTTTCTCTTCCATCATTTCCATCATTTTGATGATCATGAAAAGATTATTTCATCTCTTGTTGTCTTTTTTTCTTGTTGATCAACTTGTCAACCGAAAGTATCACGGAATGGATTGAAAATGTAATTTAATAAGATATCACAATGTAGTAAGCTCAACAATTAAGGTTACAATTGAACCTCTTCTCTTCTCTATTCTCTAGCCTTTCCACTTATCAAGCTTATTCAGTTGTTTTTTACAGATTTTCTTCAGATTTGCTCAGATTTACTGCAATTTAATGTAAAAATCAGTTCTTTTTGTCCTTCTTTTTACCTTATTTCTCAGTTAATCCCACCAAAGCTTTACAAATGAACAACCAAATCTATATAATATATTTAGAGTAACATTTGTTTTGCTGTAAATTGCATTCGATTGTTGATAAAGTCATTGATTCAACTTTCACCAGTTTCAATGATAGGTTCAAAAAAGTACCATTGATTGGACAGATTGAGCTTAAAAGTATAACATTGTATGCCAATCGACACCAACATTCATCTATTTGATTGAAATTGAAATTGACATTTTAAAGATGAGGATAAGATGGTGAAGCTTTGAGAAAATAATGGAAAAGTTAAACTCAGAGTTTCAATTGTTTTTATTGAAATTTTTGCTCCTTTTCTTGCCTTTTCATTTTGCTTTTTTTCCTATGAGACTTTCAGAGTAAAGGTAAGAATAATACTGAAAACTCAGTCGATAATGATGATTATCATGATGATGAGTGTGTGCCTTTAGGTTATAAGCTAACAAGCTAGGTTTGACTTGAGCCTGGAGTGTTGAAGCTAAAAGTTGAGCATGTTATTGGGTTGAAAGTATTAAAATATGAATCAATTGTTAATCAATAGAAACATTAATATTACGCCAACCAATGAATTACAATTAATTTCTGGTTTCTCTTTGTTGACCAACAATCTAAATAATTTTACAATTAGTCTTTTCTCTCTTCGCAGGTTAAAGTGGCTTCATATATTGACTCTTCAATCTTATTTTAATGGTCATTTTCAATGTTTTTGTTTTTTACATTTTCAATCTTAATATTCAATTTGGTTTTAAGGTTAACTTTGATTTACCTTTTGCTCTTTTTTTATTTCTTAATTCATTAATATTTCAATCTTAATTGTGTATTTTATTAGTGTACATTATCACTATTGGCGTAGCTTTGCTGGTTGGTTTCATGTTTGCTATCATTCCCTTGATGGTTCAGTGTAAATATTGTATTAAAAATACAGTTTTGATTTATTTACGTGATTCACTTTATGTACAAAAATGACCAAGAATCACTTATCATGATTAAAGTTAACCCTTGAGAGGTTGAAAATGAAAGCTAAAAATTAATTTTAAATATTTATATTGAACAGACTCAATGGTGGACTCAATGTTACGTGCCTTTTCATTGGACAATTAACCGAGACAATTGACTGTCTGGTTGCAAATTTGAAAAGACAATCAATTGAGTTGTGGTTATTAAATTAAAGGGTACAAAAAAAAGGTATAATCATGTTATCAACATTATTGTTGATGACATTATTTGAAGGATGATAAAATGGTTTATAATGAGAGTGGTAGGTGAGAGGTAAAATTATGATGATGATCAATGGAGGTGAGGAAAGAAGGACAATTAACTTACCTTGATCGATATAAACCAATCGAAGGCATATTCATAATGATCATATTGACCCTGTATGAGTATGCCAATTGATGTATTATCACAAGTTAATCGGGGAAACATCAATATTAATAACTATTGGTGTTGGTTGAAATAAAGGGATGTTGACAATTTGATTTGAAAGGATAGAGACATAATTGATTTTCTCATGTTTACTTCTATCATTATTATTATTATAATAATGAAATTTTTTTCATATAATATAACAATTGAAATTAAGATGTATTTTGTAAATTGGGTTTTCGACAGGATTGAATCTTGAACAAAAATCACTTTATGGGAATGGATGTTGATATCAATACAGACACGGTAATACTCGGAGTTAGCCTTTGGATTGTAAACACAGATGATGATGGTGATGTTGTTTAACCAGGATTGCAATTTGTGTTGATGTTGTTGTAATTATTGTTGTTGGTATTTTTGATCTTTTAAATGGTCTTCATTTGGATGATAACGAGGGTAAAAAATCTGGTTTCGCCAGTAGATCCAATTGATTTTGGTATCATGGATGGTTACAACAGGAGTTGAACAAAAGAGAAATATTACGAACGATTACAATTAGGAATGGAGTGAAGCTAATGGTTAAACTAATGGAAATGTCTAAATAAAAAGGGTTCATACACAGTTTTGGTTTCAACTGTATATTTACAGGTTTAGGAAAGGTCCTAATACCTACGAGATTGGACCCATGGCTTAAAAGACAAGTTAAGCCTTGGAGGTAAAAAACGAATCGCATATCAAAACCATCAATCCATGTTTATACGCATTCTCAGCATTCAATTTTTTCATCCAAAATCAGGCGCCCTCTCTTGAGATTGTTCATGATATTTTTGTATTAACATGGTATTCAGGGTATAACAAAATAACAATGTCAGTGATATTTTTCACCATCTAAATTGCTTGGAGAGAATCTAAGGTGTCAGAGTCGTAAATAGCCACTTGCATTTGTCTCAATAAATAATATTATCAGGAAAGTCTTCAGTATTTCTATCAATAAGATTTTTCTTTCGATAAAATATGAAAATTTAAGAGTTAAACTTCCAAAGCTTCCAAAAATTAAACAGATAATGTAGAAATAATTTTAAATTAGATCAGCGATCAACTAAATTACAATCTCTAAACTGGATGGTAGAATTGAAGTTTCCTTTTGGTCAATATTATTGCCCGTGACATCTAGGATTTGTAAAAGTGGACAATTTTTGACAGGTTCAATGAGATTGAAGTTTTTGATACCTAATAGAGAGAAAGAAAATTTAAAATTAGATTAAATTATTGGATTTAGGTGAATACAGTCAATATTTCCCAAAATTTCCCATTGTAATAGTTGCTGAGTAAACAGATTTACTATTCATATTTGTCATTATAATTTATAAATTTAGACTTATAAATTATCAGAAAATATTGTTAGTTAAATAATGATAAAAAACAGGAAGGAAAAATATGGAAATATTGATTGTAATAGAAATTTTTATACTTACAATTGTTTTTAATCGACAACTTTTTAAGGGACAACATCTCGAAGTCTTTATCAACCATCGATATCTTATTTTTGTCCATAATTAAAGTTTCCAATAAGATAAGAGTATTGAAAGATTTGCTAATTTTGAGAAAATCATTATTAGAAAGATCCAAATATCGAAGATGTGTCAGATTATTCGTGAAGTAGAGGCAAGTCAAATGGCGGTCGTTCAATGTTAGTCGAGGATTTAATTGGTTATCCTTTACGTGGCTCTCCCAAATCTGTTTGCTTTCTGTAAAATGAATGTAATTTAAGAGCATAAGTATGATTTAAAATAAAACAATTTTCACACACTTACTCTGGTCATTATAATAATTGCATCGTAAATTGTCAACAGCGATTAGCTTATTGAAAGCAGTTTCATCAGGTCCACCTTTAATTAATGCCAATGTTAAATTAATCCCTGGTTATTTAAATAAATGAATGATTAATAAATAATGTTATCGTAAACTCTTAAGTTTAAAATACTAACATTTGTTGTCTGGTTCCAATTCGAGCAATAGATTCAAATTTCTCAACTTATTTTCATCTAATTTTGACTCTGGATTTGAAGTATTGGTCCTAGGCATTTCTGATACTATACTAATTTTCAAATTTGATTCACTGTCGAGGTTATTTAAATTTATAGCAAAATCTTTTCCCTCAAAATTAAAGTTGACTTGTTTAATTGAATAGTTTCCAATTTGATGATACCAGATATAAGATGAAAGGGGTTCGATTTTTTTCCATTCAATATTTGTAAGAGTCACATTTTGGTCATCATCTGTCGTGAACGAGCTCTCGATGAAAGGGGGTCGTCTTAAAGGTTTGTGGAATTGATAAATCATTCTTCCATTGGACTTGTCGAACACAATTTTATGTATGAATGAGTCCGGTTTACTATGCTGATAGTTGATCAACTGATCAACTGCAAGTAGCCATTTATGATAAAACCAAGGTGACTGGTCATTGGGATCAACGAAAATGGCATTTGAAACAGTTTCATATTCAGAGTTCCATACATCATTGATATTCAAAATCTTTTCTTGATGGGCCATTGTTAATAAAGAGCTTCGATAATAAAATGAAGAAAAATTGGAAAAATTTTGAGCAATTTTTCGCTGTGTGAATTGTAACTCATTTTGGGGATCGATTTTTCCACAATTACAGATGAATCTACGATAATCCCAACAATGAACTGTAAAAAGAAGCCAAATAAAAAGTTTTGATTAAAATGCATTAATTTTTAAAAAATATCAACTAACAGTTTCTTTCATCAAGATCTAAAAAGTGATCACAAGCTTGAATTTCCTCTTTGAAGGGTGGGTTTTGCATTAAAAGTATAATATAACGACGATGATACCATGTACCATATGATTTTGGATGTTTGATAAGGCAAGACGAAGTAAATTTTAGTTCTTCCATGTATACTTTTTCCATCTCAAGTATACTAGCACCAGATACTCCATCGTTATTTTGATTATTATCACCAATTGCATCTCCACTGATCACTAAATCTTGCTTTTGATCATCACAGTCTGTTAACTTAGAACCATTGTCTTGATCATCACATTTGCCTAAAGTAACATTGCTATCGAGTTTGACAGGTTCAGGAACTTTTTTCGGCAAACCATGATCCTTCCAGTGTAAAATTATCTCTCGCCTGAAGTTCCAAATTGTTTGATAATCAGCATTTTGAAGCAATATTCTTCCAGTCAATTTGAGTGCTTCTTCATCAAAACATTGGTTTGATCTCTGAATACAGGAAAAAAATGGTATCGGTTAACATACATGAAACGCTAGTCCGTCAAATTTTTTGTCACCTTAGACCAAGCTTTGTCCAAATCTGCTGTAAATTTTGCTGCCAAAGCTCTTTCTTCACGGGCTCTCTCAGCCTGTATCTCCGCTGGAGCCTTAACCTTAACACGACCATGCTATAAAGAGAAGAAAATGTCACAAATTGTTGGTTTATGAATTTAATCAGAAAGATAGAAAATTACCATTTTTATGTGTGTAACAATTTACATGCAAAAATCTTACAAAAAAGATAAATTAGACTTCAAGTCGGGTCCTGTCAAACAAAATGAGAAACTGGAAAAATATCCTTGTAAACAAATGTAAATCTTACAGCGAGAGTTTATTGTTTATCTTTTCACAAGATGCATACACGTTACCATAGGAACAAATAGTCAAGGTTCGCAATTTGAAAAGTTAATACAATATTTTATAGCAATTCTAGATACAGTAATGGAGTTAATGATTATGTACTTGGTTAATTTAATAGGATTCATTCATTAATCATTCATGTCTATAGTTACTTATATTTACTGATCAGAACCTCATCCAGTCTTAAAAACTTGACCTATTCGATGCCTTATTCAAGTTGTGATGTCCAATAGTTTTTGTATCTCTGGTGTGAAAAAATATGAGTTTTAACAACAACTTTTATGAATTTAAAAGAATCAATTTTTTAATTTTTATATGATTTTCACAAATTTATACACGGATATATTTTAAAATTTTTACATATATTATACACTATTCTAAAATTTAAATTACAAATTTACAAGAGCATAAGAATGAACATAAAAATTGCAGCCAGCTTAGCAAGTTTAAACACAATTAATATGTGATTATAAGGGAAGTTGGGCTTGAGCAAATGAAAATGTAAAATGGAAGATCAGTGCTCTAATTTAACCGGGAAGCTTATGAATTTCGTTACAAGAATAAAATTATAATAAATTTCATAATAGGCAAAGGTGTTTTACATTCTATAAATAAGAAGGTGTTAATCGACTGAATCTAAGTTCTGAGATAGTTATTTAGCTGCATTTTTTATTTAGTTTCTCAGTGGTTCACTTGGTGATGCAGACAAAAAAAATTACGATGACAATGATTTGGTACGATTGTTGAGGTCTGTCCGAACATTTGATCCAGCACTGGCAGAGAGTGAGTGCAAACTGTTTAAATAAGGATTTGGAGGAAACATTAAAACAGATGATGAAGATGGCGTTGATTGACCCGGTGAAGTTTGATTAAGGTGATGCTGTTGTAGCTGATGATGGTAAGAGGAAGATGCATGTGAATGTGGATGAGATTGCGATAAAGGTGGTAGAGGTGGTGGTGGCAGTGCATGTCCTAAGCCTAAATTACCTGGTCCATGACTTAATGAGCTTGGACCACCGTAAGGTGAAGCCAGTGAAGGTGCATTCGGCGGAGGAATTAAATTAGGAAGCGGATATTGAGCACATCTATCAAATCCAGGAGGGAATGCAGCCATTTCTTTGCCTCGTGCTTCTTTGTCTAACATAGATTGGAATGGTCCTTCTTTGGCAAGCTTCTCCGTCAATGGCGCCCCTCCGCCTGACGAATTGAGAATATTGTATCGTTGAAATATACGTTCTTGTTCAGCAAAGTGACTGGGAAAAGGTTGACTAAGTGGATCCCAAAGAGCATTTTGATATTCCCTTGGCAATGATACTGGATATGGCATCATACCGGCGACCATAGGCTCAGTAAGCCCAGCTAACTGGCATCTGTATTCCCAATCTCGTTCCGCATTCAAAAAATCTGCAGGTAAATTAGATACACTGGAAGAGCTTGTAGTTTGACGATCAGAATTTGATGAATGTTTATGACTTCGATCAAAATATTTGTTATAATTATTCATTGATTCTTTACGATCATCTTTAGCCTTTGATTCGTTTATGTGAGATGATCTATTATCATTAAAGGCACTACTACTTGTTTTCATTATTTTATTACCACTTGATACACTGCTGACACTAGATGGTCGTGAATGTTCACGTTTTTGGCTGTTTGAACTTTTTTCTCGTTCACGACGGTGTGATGATTCATAATCACCATTATGATTCAATAATGATGATGAAGGTTTTGATCCAACAATTTTGCTATTATTATTGCTACTACTGCTATTACTATTGTTACTACTACTACGATGTTGATGATGATGATGTGAATCACTTCGTACCTCATCTTTTAAACGTGAAGGAATATTTCGACTTGTTCCATCTCTATGTTTAGCAAATTCCGATTTTTCAGCTTCAGCTTTAAGGCCTCCCCATGATGTCGATGTTGAGGATGAAGACGAAGAACCTGAGCCAGGAATAGAGCCACAACCAGAAGAATTTGATACTGGAGGATGATGTTCTTCTCTTCCTATTGGCGGAAAAATTGAACTACCAGGACGACCAGGTGTATTCATTAAAGAATCTATATTGGATGATGATATAGAAGATGCTGATGAATGTGACGGTTGTGGTGGTGCAAGATTTGCAAACAAATTATTAGACATTGAGGTTGGCACAGAACCTGGATATCCAAGATTATTGTGGGTTGCATGTGGATTAGAGTGAGGATGAGGAAAACCAGGGAAACCAGGTAAACTAGAACGGATAAAATTATGTGCAGCAATCGAAGACATTCCTGGTCCAGGAGCAAATGGTGAATTCCATGCTTCTAAATTCGGTCTATTGAGTCCATGTCCAGCAGCAGCAACTGCAGCATTGTAAAGAGATGTTGAAAAGGATGTCATTTCACCAGGACGAGGTGGAAGACCAAAAATTGAATTTCCATTTATTTTACCTAAAGACGATATCGGTGCAGTTATTGATGGTGTTGAAACTGAAGAGGTTGAACTCGAAGATGATAATGCTAAAGATTGTGGTATAGAAGAACCAGAGGCATATATAGATGAAGACGACAACGGTGCTTGAAAAGATGGATAGGGAAGATGACCACTAGCTGAAGATACTGGACCAAATTGTGATCTATGATCCCATGGATTTGAATCAAGAGGTAATCTTGTATTGAGTCCACCAGAAGCAGCATTCATTAATGATGCTGAAAATGATGAGATCTCTAGTGATCGTGAATGAGGTGTCGAGTGTTGAGGTCGATTCTGTTGATGATAGAGATGTAGAGGTGGCAGCTGCGAATGTGGATGTGGATGTGGATGTGATTGAGGTTGAAATTGGTTTTGATGTTGCTGCGATTGTGATTGCGGTGTTTGCATTCCAAAAATATTAGTAGCTGGCGGTCGAATCAGATCATAAGGTAAATGACTATTTTTATTCAAAGTGGGTAATGAAATAGATGATGCTGATGCTGGAGCTGATGAGGAACTTGGTGGTAAAATGGTTGGAGATTTTAAATTAAAAGATCTTGATGAAGGAGTAATTGTTAAAGGTGGAGGTGAATTTGTATTTGATTTATCACCTTGAGAGGCTTTTTGTTGTCTTAATATTTCCCATGATATTCTTACATGCATAGTATTCCATCGACCAGATTTCTAATAAATAAATGAGAGAAAAAATAGATTAATCGTTAATCAAGTACAATAAAATAATAAATGTGTTACAATTCAAATTATTCATGTATGTTATCCAAAATAAACACAAGAACAAGAAACATGCAAACAAAATAGTTTCAAAGAAACTCAAAAATGAAATACCTGTAATGGTAATGAATCCAGATCTTTTGGAGATGTAGACATGGTAATTATATCATTTTTAGTAGAAGTCGATTGTTGCGATGACATAGATGAACTCGGATTGAACCTGGAAACGGAATTTTCGATACATAAATTAGACTGCAGTGTTTTAGCTTTGCTTAAGATGTTATCCAGTCCAAAACTGATGCCTTCTACAGCTGGCTCCACTGTTGCGCTCAAGGTTGTCTTTGTTGTTTCTCCTTTAGTTATAGACATTATAGTTGATGTAGGTATTGCTGAACTTTTTTGTATTGGAATTGCTTCTGGATTAAATTGATGATCACCATAATCATTACTATTTTCATGATTAGTAGTGTTTTTATCATTATCTTTAGAAATATAGGAAGTTGAAAAATTGGACGTTTCTGTATTTTTTTGTACTGTTTTTGAAAGGTCATCAACAAGCAAAGGTGAAGTTTGTACTGGTTTTTGTATATTCACTGTTTCACCATTTGAAGATTCACTTGAACTTGATAATGCAATAATTGAATTACATTTTGTATCATTGATTGCAGTGGAATCGGTTGAATCTGATGAACATAATTCCTGCTTTTTCAAGTCATTAATATTATCATCATCATATTCATCCATTTGATTAGGTCGCATTTCTTCTTTAATAACAATTCTATTTACATTTTCATCATTTTTATTCTCATCTTCTTGTTTTAACTCACAGTGAACAGTTGTTGTCGTTTCTGTTTTGATGGAGCTTTCTGATGATAACAAGGATAATTTTGTAGTGGTCGTTGTTGTGGTTGCTGATGTGGTTGTTGATGTTGCTGTAGCTGATTTTGCTTTCACAATTACTGAAGTAGGAGATTTGGTTAACTCTGTAGTAATTGATTGACAAGGATTTACAGCTTCACTTGATGTAGCTGGCGAAGATAGCGAAGAAACGTTGTGTCCAGATTCCTCTTTACTTGAGTCCTTTGACATCATTTGTACTGGTGAAGTTGCCATACTTGATAATTTGGTTGCATATGAAGTTACTCTCGATGAATCAGCCTTTATTGGATCCGTTTTATCAACTGAAGATTCAGATTCACACAATGTCGAGTCAACTTTTAAACTGATTTGTTCATCATTGGATTCAACACGAGTTGTAATCTCATTATTCTGACAAACATCAGAGGAAACCTCATTAGCATTTATGCATTTTTTGTTATCATCACAGTTGCTTGTACCACGATTTTTACAGGTGTTTGTTTCTTCAAAATTTTCATCACTTGAATGACAATTAGACAACTCATTGTTCTTTTCCTGATCATTGATTGAAGAAGAGGTTCGACGTTTTTTTGTCAGTTTTTTTGTTTCTGGTGACAAACTTGATTGTGAACATCTTTCTGATTCGTCTTTTACTGTTGAAGTAGTAGACATTGTAACAGTTGGCGCTGTTATTGATGAAGTCTTTACTGTTTCTGGTGACGCTGTCTCACGATTTCCTGCTATCTTTTCACAGGATGATTCCATTTTGTAGCAATTTGAGTTTAACCAATAAAAATTATACAAAATGATAAGACGTTGCTTTAATGCTTCAAGGAATGCTTTTCCACTTTCGTTTAGCTTCTCGTCAATCTGAGCTTGTAAAGATACTTTCCACAATCTTTTATTGTAACATGGAAATTGTCCATTTCACAGGTCCAGAATTAATGATAGACTTGAGTTTGTTTCTGTAAGACAAGAAAGAAAGCATAATGAATAAATGATTCAACAATTGTTTCACATAAAATGTTATTCAGTTGATACATTTGAGTCAATACAATCAGTTTACACATTGAAATTTCATGATACTATTCACACAAAGATTCATGAATAAACATGCGTAAAACCTGAAATTAAACTCAAATGTATCAATCGAATAATTAGAAGCAAATAAAAAAACAAAGTCTAGACAAAATTGAAACTTAAAAATAACCCATTTATCAACTTGATAAACAAAACAGAGTCTCTCAACAATTTGAAAGACAATTAATTTTGCTATCAAATCGATTCAACATTCAACAACAAAATCTTCTTTTCATGACTTATTCCAACCAATGAATATTATATTCATTTGAACCTTTGAACCATTCCAACTACCACTGAATAAAATAACATTCATATCATTTACATTTAGTTATTGCTATGACTATCATAAAAAAAAGTGATCATGAAATAAGCATTTCTCTCAAATCAAATCCTGGCATAAAAAATGTATTATCAATGTAAACAAAATAGCTTTTGTTTGTTTGCTTCTGAAATTGCCACTTGAAAAGGTATCAAGCTGAAGCTGTATTACAATAGATAATCTTGATTTATTAAAATATCATGTTCTAAGATGTACTTTCACACAGTTTCGGCACACTTTGGGTATTTTAAGTGCTCCTTCTTAGTGCAAACAGCTGGCACCACGTGAAGGTGAGGAGCCTAGCCAGCCAGAGATGAGAGTAAAGACTCTCATCTCACTTACCTGAAAATCAACAGCAATCAGCAAATTACTAATCAATCCAACAAGTCATTCATCTGAATTTATTCCAATCCTTGGATCAATCTAATGATAAATTGTGGACAAAAAAAGGTTAAAATACAAAGACAATAAAGAGTCTAAAAATGGTATCAAACTAATGACATTTTTGTATTTGAAGAGTATTTTATATATTTATTGGTTTTAGATTTATATTTTTGTTTTTTTTCATCATCATATATATATATTTATATATTTATATTTAAATAGTAATATGTTCATATTTATAAGGTGATTATTTTAAGATGTCTTGATGATATATTAATAGTTGCCAACATTGTGTGAGAGTTTCAGTTTTTTGGGATAAAATTACAGTATCGGTTTGCAAATGCGAGGGTTAATATTGAACATACATGGGGATGAAAATCAAGTAATACAATGGCCAAAAAAAGGTGTTTTGGAGTGATTAAGGGAAAGGTTTAAATTACAATCACCGGGATCATTAAATAGGTAAATAGGGACTTGAAGGGGTCAAATGTTAATATACAGTAATAAATAGGTGGAAAGGATTTGTTCAATTGTGTGTGTGTGATGGGTTGAGTACAAAGTTGCAGTTGATAAATAGTAATCAAAAAGAGAAAGGATCTGAAAATGCCAAGCTTTTTTCATCCTTTCATGATACAATTTCAAGTTAATTTAAATACATTGTCTTTGAATTGCATTTTTTTACAACTCTTTGATTTCACAGTTAATTTGATTGCTTGTTTCTTTTTCCTCATCATTGGTTCCTAATCAATATCCAAACGATTTGTGTCTTTTGTCCTTACTTTGCCTTCATCTTTAGTTAAACATTTCATGCTTCTTCACATTTCAAGTTTACAAAGTTGCGCTTTTTTTATATTATTTACAATAACAATTAATAATAAATAAAAGTAATAATGTTAATAGTAATAGCAATAGTATTAGGCTTTTTTCAGAGCAATCCTGTGAGACTTAAAAAACGCACATTGTGATCAAACGGCTGTTTGCTAAAGCTATCATCTAAGTTGAAAGGTAATGTTTCAAGAAATCAATCAAAAGATTGTCAACTAGATTTTCATGGTACATTGTTGATTAATTGTTTAAAATTTAAGTTTTACTCTGAACGTAAAAATAATGAAATATGCTTTGTTCAATGGAATCTTTGATTGGACAAAAGCATTTTTGGTGTACAAAAAAAAGAGTCTAAAGTTAGGTCTGTGAGTGTTAGGTTTTTTTTTCAAAGGCTAATTACTATTATCTTGACAGTGTAAAAATTGATCATAAATAATTTATATTAATCATACCAATATGATACCATATGAAAAACTATAATCAGTATCACCACCGAGATTAAATTTGATTAACAAGTTCATCATCTTGATTTAGATTCTTTAAGGTCAGCTAAACTAATTCCACTTGCTGGTGTTGATGGATTAGACATTGATATTGTTGATCTATTAACACAATTTACTTCAAATGAGGTATCAAGTGTTGATAATTTACTATTAACTAATGGTGGTGGAATGAATCCATGTGGACCAGTTAGACCGTTTAACGGTGGTATAAACATTGGAGAGGGTGAATGTGATGCTCCATGATGAGGATACTGTTTAATTGATGGTGCAGATGAGGGTGAGGATGAAGATGACAATGATTTGGTACGACTGTTGAGGTCTGTTCGGACATTTGATCCAGCACTGGCAGAGAGTGAGTGCAAACTGTTTAAATAAGGATTTGGAGGAAACATTAAAACAGATGATGAAGATGGTGTCGATTGACCTGGTGAAGTTTGATTAAAGTGATGTTGTTGTAGCTGATGATGGTAAGAGGAAGATGCGTGTGAATGTGGATGAGATTGCGATAAAGGTGGTAGAGGTGGTGGTGGCAGTGCATGTCCTAAGCCTAAATTACCTGGTCCATGACTTAATGAGCTTGGACCACCGTAAGGTGAAGCTAGTGAAGGTGCATTTGGCGCAATTAAACCTGTATCTCCGGGTCTTAGATGTGGATGATGAGCATTAACTGAAGATGAGGTTGAGGATGAAGTTGAAGTTGAAACAGAAGAAGAAGCAAGTCGATTCTTATCAAATACAGAGGCAAATGCGGCTTCTTTATCTCGAGATTCTTTTTCCAATAGCGCATGAAGTGGCCCTTCTTTGGCAAGTTTTTCAGTCAATGGCGCTCCTCCACCGGAAGAGTTAAGTATATTATACTGTTGCAACAAATGTTCTCGCTCTAAAAAATCATTTCTAGGAGGGAATTCATGGAACCCTGGATGTGGCTGGAAAAATGGACTCCAAAAGGATTTTGGAAAATCATGGGAAAGTCCAGAAGGAATTCCTGATCCAGGATTGGGATGAGATAAGTGACCAGGTAAACCATGAGGTGAAGGTGGCATAGAGTGACATAATGATGGTGTTGATGGTGGAGGTGGTGGTCCATGTGAAAGACCAAAAAGGCCCATTAAACGAGCTCGATGGTCCATTGCATTGTTCACATGAAGATTCATAGATGCTAGAGAGGCTGCAGATGAATGATTGTTTCCTGATGTGATTGAAGGTGGCAGTCCAGGTGGTGTAGGAATGGACATAATACTATTATTAAAAGAGGCTGTAGAAGCGGTAGAAAACAGAATTGCTGAATTGGAATTGTTAAAGACACCAATAGAGCTTGATAGAAGGCTTGCAGATTTGAGGTCCCGATGTGAATGGTCAATTGAATTTGATGAATGTTTATGACTTCGATCAAAATATTTGTTATAATTATTCATTGATTCTTTACGATCATCTTTAGCCTTTGATTCATTTATGTGAGATGATCTATTATCATTAAAGGCACTACTACTTGTTTTCATCATTTTATTACCACTTGATACACTGCTAACACTGGATGGTCGTGAATGTTCACGTTTTTGGCTGTTTGAACTTTTTTCTCGTTCACGGCGATGAGATGATTCATAATCGCCATTATGATTCGATGATGATGATGAATGCTTTGATCCAACAATTTTGCTATTATTATTGCTACTACTGCTATTACTATTATTACTACTACTACGATGTTGATGATGGTAATGTTGTTGTTGATGATGGGCAGCACTTCGCATTTCATCTTTAGAACGTGAAGAAATATTTCGACTTGTCCCATCTTTATGTTTACCAGATTCTGATTTTTCAGCTTCAGCTTTAAGGCCTCCCCATGATGTTGAAGATGAAGAAGAAGAACCAGATCCAGGAACAGAGCCACAACCAGAAGAAGATGATATTGGAGGAAGATGTTCTATTGGCGGAAAAATTGAACTACCAGGACGACCAGGTGTATTCATTAAAGAATCTATATTGGATGATGATATAGAAGATGCTGATGAATGTGGTGTTTTTGGTGGTGCAAGGTTTGCAAATAAATTATTAGACATTGATGTTGGCACAGAACCTGGTAATCCAAGATTATTGTGAGATGAATGTGGATTAGGGTGAGGATGAGGAAAACCAGGGAAACCAGGTAAACTAGAACGAATAAAATTATGTGCAGCAATCGAAGACATTCCTGGTCCAGGAGCAAATGGTGAATTCCATGCTTCTAAATTTGGTCTATTGAGTCCATGTCCAGCAGCAGCAACTGCAGCATTATAAAGAGATGTTGAAAAGGATGTCATTTCACCAGGCCGAGGTGGAAGACCGAAAATTGAATTTGAAGATCTTAAAATATCATTATTTCCATTTATTTTACCTAAAGACGATATCGGTGCAGTTATTGATGGTGTTGAAACTGAAAATGTTGAAGAGGTCGACATTGAAGATGGCAATGAACACGCTAAAGATTGTGGTATAGAACTAGAAGTAGAGGAAGAAGCAGAAGAAGAAGGTGCTTGCAAAGATGGATAGGGAAGATGGCCACTAGCTAAAGATACTGGACCAAATGGTGACCTATGATTCCATGGAGTTGAATTGAGTCCACCAGAAGCAGCATTCATTAATGATGCTGAAAATGATGAGATCTCTAGTGATCGTGAATGAGGTGTTGACGGTTGTGATTGATTTTGTTGGTGATGTAAAGGTTGAGGTTGCGGATGTGGTTGAGGTTGGTTTTGTTGCTGTGATTGTGATTGCGGTGTTTGAAGACCTGGTCTAAGATCTCCAAAAATATTAGTAGCTGGCGGTCGAATCAGATCATAAGGTAAATGACTATTTTTACTCAAAGTGGGTAATGAAATAGATGATGCTGATGAGGAACTTGGTGGTAAAATGGTTGGAGATTTTAAATTAAAAGATCTTGATGAAGGTGTAATTGTTAAAGGTGAAGATGAATTTGTATTCGATTTATCTCCTTGAGAGGCTTTTTGTTGTCTTAATATTTCCCATGATATTCTTACATGCATTGTATTCCATCGACCAGGTTTCTAATGAAAAAGATCAAAGAAAAAAATACAATTAGAAGCTGTGATAATTTATTATTCATCTGAAAGTTAAAGGCAGTTAACTTTACCTGGAATGATGTTGAATTCATTTGCATTGGTGGTGTAAACATGCTAAAAACATTATTTGTCAAGGCTGAGGATGGTTGTGGTGTTGTAAAACTAGGCATTAGACTTGAATTAGGACTCCGTACACAAAACGGTGATTTTGAAGGTGGAACTCCACTCAAAAGATTATCCAATTTAAAGCTTATTGCTGCTTCAGCAGGTTTCATCTTTGGAGTAGAGGTTGATAATTTTGATGAACTTTTAGTCACACTAGTTGACATCAATGGATTAACATTACTAAATTGGTCTTTACTATTACTATTGGTATCACTAATACTATTACTAACATTAGTTGTGTCAATTGTTTTACTAATACTGCTAATACTGTTATCGCTACTATTGGAATTGGTGTTAGAACTGGCACAGTTTATGTTACAACTATTATTTACAGGATCACATTTTTTACTAGCAATGTTGGTTAAACCACGCTTGGACAAGTTTTCATCACTCATTGAAGGTGACGTTTGATAGACACATTTTTCATTGGATGACGATGAGGCTGATGATTCTGTGGTCGGTGGCTTTGAAGGTAAACTAGGCGACACTGGAACCGAGCAAGGTCCAAGTTTTTCAATATTCACTGAATCACCATTTGAAGATTCACTTGAACTTAATGCAATAATTGAATTACATTTTGTATCATTGATTGCAGTGGAATCGGTTGAATCTGATGAACATAATTCCTGCTTTTTCAAGTCATTAACATTATCATCATCACATTCATCCATTTGATTAGATCGCATCTCTTCTTTAATTACAATACTATTTACATTTTTATCAATTTTACTCTCATCTTCTTTAGACTCGCAGTGGACATTCATTGTTGTTGAATTTGTGGTTACAGTTTCCAGTGAACTTTCCGATGATAACACGGATGATTTTGTGGTGGTCGTTGTTGTTGTTGTTGTTGTCGTGGTTGTGATTACTACAGATTTTGTTGAATCTGTTACTGAAGGATCTACTGGTTTACTTGGTTTAACTGAAGAGAGTTGCGATTCTTCAGATGAATCGCATGCATTTAATACTTTGGTTGAGAATGTTGTTGATTCGGTTGAAACTGAATCACTCGTTGTTACAGGAGTAATGATTGCCAATGATTTACTTTCAACATTATCACTTTTAACCTTGTTATTTTGACGATTAGAAGAAACAGATTTATCATTATGTTTATCATAACTACTGGTATTGTTACTGTTAACAGTATTCTTATTGTTACTGATATTGTTGTTATTGATATTTTTACCAACACTTTTACCATTGTTGGTATTTATATTAATTGTTTCATCTAATTTTTGCTCTTGATTTAAATTGCTTTTAGCTGGTTTAGAATGGTCATTAGTCGAAGATGAGGTTCGCCGTCTTTTTGCTGGTGTTGCTGAAGGCGAGCTTAAATTTGACTGTGAATATCTTTCAGGTTGATTTTTTACTGTTGAAGTGGTTGTTGTAATTATTGTTGTTGTGGTTGTTGTTGTTGATGGCGATGAAGATGTTTTCTCACAATTTTCAGATCCTTTTTCACACGATATTTCCATCATGCATGGATTCAGAGTATTATCCATTGATAATTTAGATGAGAATAAAGATGAAGACGACAATTTAATACTTTTACTAACAGATGAAATTAAACTTTCCGCTTTTTCCTTCTTAACTGATTCTTTAACCGAATGATGTTTAGGCTTATTTTCACGATCATTGATAAATTTGCTTTCACATCCAATTGATTCACCATCAACCTGAATACTGATTGAGTTTGCTGTTGAAGTTACTTTGGATGTAGACAAAGCTGTTGGTGTACAAGTGATTGGTGTTGATTTTACTCCACTTAACGTTGAATTGGTTGAAGATAGTGAGGAAGAAGAGGAAGATAATGAGGACGATGAGAGAGAGGAAAGTGAAGACGAAGAAGAGGACGAAGATGAAGAAGATGGAGAAGCTTTAGAGGTATTGGATGAAGTCGTTTTGGAAAGTACAGCTTTAGATTGTTTCTGTTCAAAAAAAGGAGAAAAAGAAATGTTAAAATTAGATAATTTGAAATAAAAATCAAAGTCACGAAACAGAAATTCATTTACCTTTTGATTCTCTTGAGATTTTGGTGAAGATATTGATTTCTTTTTAATCTTTTTCGGTTGACAATCTGGTGATTTATCATTGAGATGACTATTACTGGCCTTTAATCCATGTTTACCTGTTAATTGTGATGAACATGATGAGTTACCTACTCTATGTGTTTTCATAGATTTACTGTGATAACTTTTGACAGACGATTTACCTTTATTAAGTGATATTGCTGTTGTTGTAGCAGTTAGTACAACGGTTGGATTAAGATTGTCGCTTGGTACAGAGGATGATTTACTGATTGAATAGTGATGGGTAAGAGCACCGTGTTTATCTTTGTGATTAGCGATTCCAGAATTTCCAGTGTTGCCGTTGCTTCCACTGTTTAATGCACAATCTTTAAGATATGAACTCTCAGACTTGATGTTATTACTACTTTTATCCCGTTCTTTCAGTTTCCTCTTTTTGGTACGCTTGGCGACAATAGTTACACTTTTGGTATCACAAATTTCATCGGATGAAGTGTTGATGGGAGATCGACCTCGACATGATGAAGAAGGAGTTGATAACCCTGTTGTCCCATTGTAACTTTTGGATTGACTTTCTTTCGATTGGTCGAAAAGTTTAGACTCCTTGAGATGTCCATTTGATTTGCATTGTCCACTTTTATCCTTGTCTTTTGAATGAGACGTTTTCCGACTTTTAACCTCTTTATGACTTTTCTTACTAGATTCAGTATTGTTTTGTTGTCCTCGATTGCTTTTTAATCCACCAGAAGATGGATTTTTTGAACTCTTTTTGAATCCATCAATGGAACGATTAGATTCACTTTCATCACCAATTGATTCAAGTTTCTTCTGAAGAGAGAAAAAGGAAAGAAGAAGAAATAAAATTTAGATATTTTTATCATTAAGAAGTCCGTTTTCAATCTTTTCCCAACCTAAATGAATGTATTTTATGTTAAAATATATACACTAATTAAAAGGTTCATTAGAGTCTGGAGCATTTTTATTCATCAGATTATCAATTGTTATTCAACAATTAATCAGGTTATAAAAAGGATGAGAACATGTTTTGCTTTCAAATTTCGTTTGCTGGAAATAAGTGTTCTGGAATAATCACTGAACAATAGTTGAAATGAACAAAAGCCTCTGAAAAAGTATACAAACAGTTCGATCGATATTGCGCAAAAAATGATAATCATTGTTGACCATACAAGAAAAGGTGGAAATGTTGGTTATTTCAAGTTTCAAAGGATGCAATTTCAGATATAATCAATTCATTCTGTTTCATTGAATTTGTTACACATTTACCAATATTATCGTTTTTTTTGTCTCTCGCATTTTCAGAGTGACTTTCATCCATTTTCCTTCTTCTTCTTGTTGTTCATTTTTCATGGAAAGCAAATTTTCCTTTTCTTGTTTCACTTGTTGTGAATAAAAGGCAAATTAATTGTTTCATGCTGTTACTATTTAATTGATCATACTATCTGACTTAGATGAATGAATGAAAAGGTTTCTTTTTTCTTCAGCTTCTTTTCATGAGCATTGAAATGCATGTTAAAGAAAATGATTTACAAATTGCTTCTTGTTTCTTTCCTTTATGCTTTTTGAAATTAGATATTATCATTTGTATCATCATTTTCATCTCCAACACCATGATAGCAGAATCTAATACCCACTTGAGTTTTCTTTGAGACACAACTCTAATCGTACCTTCACCATTTTTACAAGTGATTAGTTACTGAACAATCCAATTATCAGTTTAATTCACACTTCACCGAGAAATTGTTCAATAATAAGATAATAGTCTTAATTTGTTTTCCATAATTAGATAAATTTTGCAATTGAACAATTAGGTAAATTTGCATAAAAATGAATCAAAGAGAAATATTTTTTCATAAAATTCATGTTTACATACATAGCAATTGTTTGCAAGAGTTTATTTAAACAGCAACAATTGATGAAAAGGTTATTAATACTGTTATCAAATATTGATAAATTCAAAGACTATTAGAGTTTCTTTCCATGTAAAACATGGAAAAGAAACATGAAAAGCTATTAACTGAAAGTGTTGAAAAAAATCGACAAAACATTGATCCATCTGATTCAATTAGAATTGCTGTGAAAAGTTTCAATATTGTAATAGGTTTGAAGATAAAAAAAAGTGTCAATATAAATAAAATTTCACCTTAACTTGATAAAAACTATGCATGGTAACTGAAGCAATTTAATACCATGAAACTGAACACGTAAAATAATGTTACTTTCATTTTTAAAGTTAAATAAATCAACTCGACAACCAGTAAAAATACCTGAAAACCGGAATTGAAGTGAAAGGTAGACACAAAAAAAGTGTAGTAAACTTATTCAACTAAATTTTACCATTTAACTGAATTGAACAGCATCAAGTGTAAAGTGTGATCTTCAATTGTATGAAAATAATATTTATAAATGATAACAACAATGTGAATAATAATAATGATAATAATAGCAATAAATGAAATAAAGTAACAGTAATGAAAATGTATAGCAATTAATCAAAGGAGCAAAAATTATTGAATCAGTCAACAAGAGGATGAAAAGTGAATGAATGACAAACAAATAAACAAACAATAAAATAAAATCTTGAACTTGCTCCTAAATAATAATTCAATTGAGATTTATAATCATATGGTTATTGTAAAAGTTAACATTGAATGATTTTTCCTCTTCTCTCTCTCTCTGTCTTCTTGTCCTTCTTTTTACCTCTTCTTCAGTTTATCTTCCAATTCATTTCCATCTTCTTCTTCTCAGCTTATTCTTATTCTTCAGGCTTCCTGAAAAATCTTTACGAGAAAACCTTTCTTTTACTTTTCTTCAGCAATCTTGTTCGCATCTTTTTACTTGACTCTTCTTCCTCTATCTTTTTTTGCTCTTCCTCTTTCTCCATCTTCTTCATCATTTTCTTATTTTTCTTTCTTTTCAACTTTTTCTACTCAAATTTTGCCTCTTCTCCTGTTTTTTTGTTGATTTGCTTTTACTTCTGTCTCTGATTTCTTTTCTTTCAAATTTGTTTGCATGAGAGTGTCCTGATTCCAATGTTTCACTCATCTTCGATCACTCACTTTCAACTATTATACCTTTCAATTGATCTCTTTGCTTCTTGTTACTGCACATTTTGTTGTAACTACATTTATCTCATTCTGTCTTCAGATTTTGTTCAGTTTTAACATGATGATAAATGTTGCAAGGGAAAAAAAACTCTTAATCCACAAAGGTCGAATCAATATCTCAGGAGTTAACAATTGGTTTTTGTTTTGACAATGGAAACGTAAAGAGAGATGAAAATAATCATCAAACAAGAGGAGTAACAATATTGAAAGTTGAAATGAAACTCAAGTCAAAAGAGAGAAAAATCAAGATGTTAGAAAGAGGAAGAAAAAGGAAGAAAAAAGTTGCTTATTTTGCCCATTTCTTGCAGAATAAATGTTTTCATCACTAAAAGACCAATCCAACTTTCACTATCACTGTTTAATCTAGCATTGACTTTGCTTTGCAAAGTGAAAAGTGTCTCAATGAGAATCTCAATAAAGCTCAGGTAACGAAATAAATAACACATGAAAAAGATCAAGAAGAAACATTTCAAGAGGAAAAATGTTCTTGATCAATTTTCACAATATCTGAATGCTAATCAAGGCACACACACACAAGTATAAACATTGATGAAAACAATAGGCAATGTATTTGATTAAAAAAAGGTTGATATAAAGAAGTGTAAAGGAAAGTAAAACAGAAGTTAATAAGAATCAGATTTGGTTAACACTGAAGCTCAGGGGAACAATTAATCAGATTGTATTTATCAAAATCTACAATTTTATTAGCACGTTTGGACTGGAAAAAAGAGATTAATTCTGATGAAAATAGTTGCAGGATTAATGACTGATAAATGCTATTTATCTTGCTAAATACATTACAAGTCAATTGGTTATATTGATATTTGAATAATGAAAATGGAGTAACACTGATTAATGAAATAATGATAACTTTTTTTCCGCCAATTAACGTTAATTCCCAGTTAATGTGCTAAAAACATTGACTAACTTAATTGATAATTACATGGGCTTAAAATTGGTTTAAACATACGGGACAAAAGTAATGCTTTCAAGGGTAAAAATGGCAGATAATTGATATCGTGAACTTGTTTTCACAGTTTTTCAAGTGCTAAGCGCCATTGTCTCAGATAATAAAATAGTTGAAACGAGGATTCTTGTTATATAAAAAATATCAATAAAGATAAATGCTAGTTATCAATCATCAAGTTGAGTAAATTTTACACCATTTCTCATGATTGAGGAGCAAGAAACGGGAATCAATTGAACAAAAATAATAGTCATTTTCGGATGAAAAAATATGGCCACAATTTTGTTGGAAAAATGTTAAAGTTAGAAAAAAATGTTGACCATCTTCTTACCTTATGATTTTCATCGGTCATTGACTGTGATTTCTTTTTCATCTTTGATGGTGGACTAGCTTTACAACCTTTATCCACATGAGAACTTGATTTTAAGCTGTGCTTTACTGAACTCATTGTGCCAATTGGTGTAACAATATTGGTTGTTGTTGTTGTCGTGGCTGATGAAGATGAAGATGATAATGAAGATGATCCCGAGACTGGTGAAAGAGCATCATGAATTTTAGATGATTTGTCATGGCAAATTTTATTTGATGATTTACCCTTACCAGAAGGTGTTGATGATAAAATGGTTGAACTGTTATTACTGTTATTTGCGGTTGACGATGATTTGGACTTGTTAATTGAATGATTACCATGTTTCAAATTAACACTATTTTTGTTGATATTGTTGACATGGCAAGCTTTGGAAAGGTTCAATTTATCTTTATTATTAGTATTAGTGATAACATTTGTAGAGGCGGTTGAAGTGGCATTACTACCGGTTAGACAACTGCTTTCATCTCGTTCTCGACCTTGTTTACGTGCCTTTTCAGGTTCACTTTTATCATCTGAATGACCAGTGATGTTGCCTGGTCCATTAATCGAGGTAACCTCTGAGCTTCCATTACCAGGAGATGAGGTTAAAGATGTTACATGTTGCTTCTTTTTACCTTCTGATGAACTCATATTGTGTTTAACATTATTTGAATTGTTAAGGTGATGATGGTTATTTAAATTAACTTTATCTTTGCTCTCTTTATTTTTACCAATTGACTTGGAGTGATGATGATTTGTGTTGTTATGATGATTATGGTTAAGATGGTGATGAGTACTTGTTAAGCCAGACAATCCTTTACCGACAATTGATGACTTTTTGCTCTCTTTGTTATTACCATCTTTATGATTATTATTATTTGAATGATTCTTCTTTGAACGATTCCTTTGAACAGTTCCACCGGATGAGGCACTTTTACCAGTTATATTTGATGTCTTCTTGTTGTTACAACCATCAATCTCTTTACCTTTACTATTTGAATTATTATTTGTAACAATATTTTTATCTTCAAGAGCTTCTTCTTGTTCTTTAACAGTTTTCTGTGAATGAGGAAGAAGATAAAAATATGAAAAAATGTTAGATTAAACAGGTTGAAATAATAAAGATAATTATAAAACAATGGGAAAATTTTTTTACAAATAACCAAAAATCAAGGGTAAAATGAGCAACAAAGTAGCACATTAATTGAATAACAAGACAAAATAAAATGCCTCTCATTGTTGATGTGGGATTATCTGGTTTTTCATATTAAGTATCTTGTATATTGTGTCTACATTGAAGTTGAATAATGTTTATGGATATAATATTATCAAATATTATATACATTTAGTGAGTAAAAATGGATGAATATGAATAAGATGATAATATACACACATTTATATATATATTATGAGAGGAGAGATGAAATGTTATTTCATAATGGTTATTTGAAGATACAATCTTCACCTTAACTTAAGCCTTTAAGGATGAAGACGACGAGGAGGAAGAGTGGAAAGATAATGAAGAGAAGAAGAAAAGATTGAACAAAAAGAAATAAAAAAAGGAGTGAAACAAGATTTAAGATTAGTTTTAAGTTAAGATTTCAAGTTACAAGTTACCTTAAACAGTTATTACAATCAACATATGACTACAGTTTTGCGTGCAACTGAACATTCATTTAAATATGTTACAAAAAATGGGTTAATATTTGTACATTTTCAACTTTCAAGAATCCCTGTGCTTCATGATTCTCAGATGGTTGGCTTGAAATTTTGTATCAATTTAATAGACTTTGCATGATACAAAAAGTTATGTTGATAGATTTTTGACTTTGAGATACTTTTTGGGATAAATGTTAGACTTTGATATTGACTCTGTTAATAGACGACTGGTTTGGGTTGAGCGATTGGTTCATCTGAAGCAATTGTTCGGACACTTCCCAGTGATATTTCAGGATTTTTGAGACGCTTCAAATGCTCAGCAAATTCAGCTGCTGTAAGCTCATTCTTTAATTCAGAGGCTAATGAACTATTGGGACCCAATTTGATTGAACTTAAATCAGTGTTGGGTAAAGCTTCTGCTACCAATTTTTCACATTCACGTCTAATAACTTTGTTGGCTTTAACCAGTTTTTTAAAATTGATATAAATAATTGTCATTACTGAACAATTGTAAAATAATAAAATACAAGCCATTGCACCAGTCTTGAAACATTGTAAAAATGTTGTATCTTCATCTGGATCAGCACAGGGTATAGCTGTGTGAAGATTGAGAAGGAAAACAAAAAAAAGATGAAATAAAATGAAATTTTAAAAGAGCTCAGAACGAGTAAAAAAATGTTAAATATTTAGCATCTAAAAGTGATTGAATCATTGGTCAGTCTAAGGTTAAACATTTTTAAGCAGTTTATTTGGTTAGTGACTTGAACTATCTGAGTGAATAATTTGACTATCTTTTAATTGTACTGATGGTGAAGCACATGATAATCGTAACAATGAAATCGTCGATCTAGTGATCCAACATTTACTTAGATGACTAATGATTTATCACATTGAATAATAGAATGAATTTTACGAATGAATGCATCTGAGGAGGGACAGTATAATAACCATGATTGTTTTGTATTAAAATAACAGATTGAGTCAATTTAACGTAAAGCATTTCAACCACTTTTTTTCACTCTCTTCAAATTAATCTTCTCAACTTTGTTCAAGTAGTAGTAAAAATAATGATAACAAGAAATGCGTTTCTGATGATGATGTGTCAAAAGATAAACAGAAAATGATGGTTGGTGAGGAAAGGATTCATTTTTCTGTAAATACATTGTACGGTTAACTAAAAAAGTGATCATTTAGCTGGTTGTAGTTTGCTTGTGATTTTGCTTGCTGATATTGTTTTGGTGATGTTGATGTGAGAAAGCAGATACATTCATTAATAAAAATGGTAAATTGGGGAAAAGATGTGAATGACAAACCTAATGAGATTAAAAATAAAAGGTAAAAAAAGGATAACCAAGCCCAAGCAGTGTTGGTGTAAAAATAGAAAACAATGAACTTTGAATTAGATCGAAGTATACCAACGAAATTGGATAAGAGTCCACAAAGATTGACTGCGTTAATAACAAGATAATATAACTGGTAATCCAGTTTGTTTGCATTACCCTCTGGACTATTGGCGATATAATCAATGTTTTGTGTTGATATATATAGAACCCAAAGGATGTAAAATAGATTGAGCATAAGTGAAATAATATTGAAATAGGTGAACATGGTTATTAAGCGTAATTTTTTCTGAGCCTCTTTCCGATAAAAAGTGATCTTATCAAACGAAGCCATGGTTTTTTGTTGATGGTGATGGTGATTATGGTGATGTTGGTGAGTTGGTGTTGCAAGTGGTAACTGGCTATAGTTGTTTTTGTTGGATGGTCCAAGTAACAGTTTACAGTTGTACTTGGATTAAATAGGAAATTTGTGATGTAAGAGTACAACCTTTACCTTAAAAATATTACCTTTTTATTACTTCAACACACATCAACAATGAAAGGAAAGCAAAAAAGGAGAGGAAGAATAAGAGTAAAAACAAAAATATTTGACGACCTGAGGATGAGCACAATGATGGGGTGAACACAAAAGTTTAAGGTTGAGAAAGAGGTTGAAATATATATATAATGTGTGTGTATATATATTTTTATTAATTATTATTATAGAGCAAAAAATGGACTTACTTCTAAATCGGTGTAAGTAAGAAAGGAGAATATTGCAAATCCATCAACTATTTCTTCTTCACACAACCCAGTATATTTATCCTTATCCTTATCCTTATCCTTGTTGTCTTCCAGTGTCTTAGACATGGTATTGAAAGAAGGTATTAACAAACCATTGAAAGGTTTACAGAAGTTTTACTAATTGTATCAACAATCATGCGGTGGAGAGTTTCATGTTTAACTGATTTAGAAAATAAAAAACACAGGAAAATAAACAATGGTGATGATTATAATAAATTAAAAAGAGAAAGAGAAAAAAGAATGGGAAAGAGAAGTATTACAGATTAAAGCTAACGCCATAGTAATGAATGGCGTTTGGATCTGTCCTGAATCAACTCCATCTTTTGGTAATAATCTTAACCAATTTAAAGGACCATTTAAAATGTTTCCCAGTGCATAAGCCTACCTCTAGATGGAGACATTTCAACTCATCATATGTTTACCAGCCACGCCTTTTGATAAACTGTTTTATTTGAAAATTATTGATGTTTAATTGTTCAACTTTAAGGGTAAAAGATTATTTTTGATTTCATTAAATTGAAATTAATATGTTTTATCGACTATTAAGTTAATTCTTCAATGGTATTCAGTCTTTTAAGGTAATTAAATTTCTTTTTTCTCTTCTCTTGTTTACTTGTCTTTCAATGTTAATCAACTTCATTCTCATGTTTTTATTTGTCACTGACAAGTTGTCAGTCTCTTAGTTTTATCTTTCAGTTTTCTTGCGACTGTCTAACTTGTGATTCAGTTCATCTTTGAATTCTGTCAGGTGATTTTTCAATGAATTAGCGATGTCAATTTGTCTTTGGTTTGTAAATCGATGATTCAAATGTTGGTTTATCAATAAGAATGTACTTTTTTGTTTGCTTTTAAGTTTCAACCATTGATTCGATCTATTTTTGTGTTATTTTGTGCCCAAAAGACATGGAAAAAATTCGTCAAACTTTTAATCTTGGTGTGTTCAATGCGTTTAAAGATCTACATTTGACTTAAAATTTTAGCTTGAGTTTTCTGTGGTTAATTTGATCAATTTTTCTGAAAATTATTCTCAATTTATTTTCAACTTCATCTTTACTTGTCAAAAAGGAAGATAAATTGCTTTAATTTTTGGATAAACTTTGTATCAATATCATGGAAACACAAAAACAACCCAAATTAAACAAGCTCAAGACTTGTCTCATTCAATAGGAACCAACCACAAAGTTAATTACTTAAACTATTATTGTTAGCAAAGCGAGACAACAGCTAAAATCATCAATTACCAAATCTTGACAAAATTTAATTATGATTGACATTTCTGTGATTTCCAGCTAAACCAACCTTGTAATTTAAGTCAATTAATGAGATGAGAATTACCACATTATCAAAAGTAATTCAATCAACAAAGTTTCATTTCACAATTATAAAACTTAGTTAAAGATGCAAAGAAAGTTGACTAGATTTTGTGCCATATTAGTAAATAATTAGTTGATCAACGTCAAGGTGAGATTCACTCTCAGCCCAAGAAAAAAGTTATTGTGTTCAAGAAAAAAATTAACCATCAAGTTAACCGGAAGAAAACAAATAACAAGATGTTAATAGTAATATTAAACTTGAACTTTTGAATTGTTGCAAACAATCTTACCAAGTATCATCAATTATATCAACGAAAGGCAGCTAAAAACAAGAAATGACGGAAAATTGGAAGGAAAATTGATGATAAAGATTAGCATGGAAAAGATGTAAATAATCAAAAACAAGTAACTATCCAAGGCAAGATCTTCTGTCATCATCTCAAGAGTCATCTGAAGCTTTGAACGCTCCCAGACTTGATTGCTTTTAATTATTATAATATCTTTACATAACAAGATTATTCAATATGTTTTCCCAGCGATTTAACAGACTATTTCTCTGTACTTGTAACTGGTCAACATTTTTAAATAATGAAATTGACCAAAAAATAATTTGTTGAACAAAACTTCAAATCAATGACTAAATGCGAGTGAGTTTGATAGCAAAGCGACTGAAAAATATCGCTATCCAAGTCACTCATAATACATTTGATCTTATAATAAGCTTTTATTATCTTTAATTGTTGTTTTAATAATTAGTCTTATAGTATTCCGAAGATGTTGCTTTTTATCAAATGGCTGAAAATTTTTGATTTCATTTTATTATTACGATTTATCTTTGAAATTAAATATAAAATCATTTGTTACATTAGTTATAATAATCAATTGCTTTCTTCACACTTTACTGCTCAAAAATATTTTATTATTATTCGTTGTTTAGTACAATTTTTGGTAAAATGTCTCGATTCTTGAATTTTGACTCGTACAAACATTACGAATTGATTAATCATTACATATTATAGATTAATTTTATTTCAATTGAATGGACAGACAACTCAACAGATTGAACTAAACATTTGGTTAAATGAAACATAATGAAATGATTAGTCATAGGAAGCTGGACCAAAGTCACTGATAAATGTACCAAAGAGTTATCAAGCAAGTCAAACTGTTGTTGCTTCAATTTCACCAGCTTCAGCTTTTTTAAGTTCAGTCACATGTTCAATCATTTTTGCTATTGAACACTCCTGGAACCATTAAAAGTATAGTTGAAAGATTATTAGTTTCATGTCATTTGTCAAATTTAATGGTAAAACATTGAGATTAGCTCACAGCTGTCAACTTACAAAAGCACTTTTTATCCTTTCCAAAGGTGGTTCATTTTTCTCTCGACATTCTCGGAACTGTTACAAAAATAAATAATTTTAATTATTCTGTTTTTATTTATCCATTTAGCTTCGTCGACCAGGATAAAGATGGCCATATTTACCTTAAGATATGCATCCTTCTGCTCTTTACTTGGACTTTTACAAGCATTTTCAATTTCATCGCTGGTCTTGATTGTTAATATGTTGGCGCATTCAAAATTAGTGTACTCGTCTGGTGTCCATTTTTCCTTCTGTGATACAATAAAGTAAATTTGAGTGATTGGTAATTAACAAATGACCATTGACTTACCATGCATTGATCGACAAACCGATAATAAACTGGATTGAAGCCAAACCATCGGAAGTATATGTAATCACAAGATTCCTCCAAGCTATTGGGCATTTTAGGAACTCCTTTCCATTCAATTTGAGAGTCAGTTAGGCAAACCTGATGAAATTATAATTAAAATAACAAGGTGATTAAATTAGCTTTCATTAATGATAATGATTCAACTTACTTTAATGTTTTCCTCTTCTTCTTTTGTATATTCATTATTTGCCAAACAGGTCATCATCTGGTAATCAAAAGACAATCACGGAATACAATCAACTGGAATGAAGCATTTCTAACGGACTTACCTCTTTGAATTCGCCGTCTTGCTTTTCAATGCATTTTTCCACGGAATTTTGATCAAATATATCAAAGGTCTCGCAAACCCATCGAACCTCCGTTTTATTTGGATTAATTTTCATCTTTAATTGACAAAGAACATCAATTTAGCCCACAATTGACTCAACAAAGGCTTTACAATGTACTTACGGAACAAGCTTCAAATCTATCTTTATAGATTTCATCTTCATCATGCCAGTAATTTCTAGATTTAATGCAGAACTCATCGAGATCCTTGAATGGCTTGTAAATCAGAGCTAATATAGTCCGTAAATGATTTTAGTCAAATGGTTTGGTCACTTTATGAGCAGTTTAACTAACCTTGTGCAAGATACGCTTTGTCCAGTTTTCCCAAAGCTTCAAAAGTACATATCTGTTTCAAGAATTGCATTAAATTTGCATGAAAAACAATAATCGTCTAAGGATTGAATTAAATCAAATGCTCACCATTATGTCTTCTTTTTCTTGCTCACTTATTTTGTTCTGGTCAAAACACTCAGCCGCCTGTTGATGTAAATAACACCAATCGATATTGATACAATTGAATGTATAAAGCAAAGAGATGTGGATACAATATCAAACCGATGAATACTTACGGCCTCGAAATCTGCCTTATGTTCTTCAGGCTTTACACATTTATCTTTGAAATCATCGTAGCTTTTAATCGGATATTTGGAGTGACAAGACATACGTTTAGCAACACGTTCAGCACCAATGATTTCAACCTATTTATGAATATAAGTCATTAATATTATCAATGGACAAAGTAATAAACTTACTGTGCATGTATGATGAGCTTCATTGTGTGATGGATGGTTGAGATAATAATTAATCATTGTTAGACCACAAAGTTGAGTTAAATTGGCCATTTCGGTAGTTAACCAATGAAGATCTCGTTTTCTCTTCGACTTTTTCCCTCTGTATCCCATGCATTCCTAAAACCAAGCAATATTGTGAGCAATCTTGTCCACCAAGAAAAGATGAATTTACCTTCAATTGTTTGGATTCCTCCTCGTCAAGTTTAGTCTCATTAAGGCATTTCTTCAGCTGTACCAATGTAATTTGAAAAGGTGTTGAAAAATCTAAAAATTATTGTAATTTAATTCACTTACTTGATTAAAGTTGTCCTTATAATTTTCCGGAGCCAAACAATAGCCAATGTCTTTCGGATCCATAGCTTTATAACAGTCTTCTTCACGTTTCTTGTATTTATCCAGCGCTATCTGAGACTTGAGTACAAGTTAATTAATTGATTCTCAACAATTTATAACATTGATTGAAATTATCTTACCATACATGTTCGGTATTTCAACTCATATAAATGACGGATATGATTTGTTTCCAGAAACCATTGGTGTCTCTTGCAGAGTTCAGTCATATTTGCGGGCTTGGAATCTTTATTGTAAAGGTGGGGATGATGTGGATCACATTTTACTAATTGTAGGCAACTTGTGGTTAAGAAAAGCACTATTAATTGACACGAATTCATATTTGATTCTTGATTAGACCAATCTGTTCTTCCTATTGGCCTGACTTGTAGTAAAATAAGTGTCGTAAAGTCTTTGTTATAAAAACAAATCTATCATTCATCTAACCCTACATTTTCATTTTTTAATATTTGTTACATTATAATGTGGTTACTGTTTAAATATTTGATTGGATTAATGATAGATGGTTGGTAAATACATTGAAATTTTGAACTAATTAAGTATAAAAATACGATTTACTCTGGTTTATCGTCCTACCGTAACAATTTTTCACTAAATTTTATATTTACTTACCTTGGATCTGTTTGTCTAACTACTCCTTATAAATGGATTTACAGATATTATTTAATCAGACTTTCGATTTTAAACAATTATAGATTTTTTTACATTAGACTGATAATTAATTTAATATTTAAACAAGAAATGGTCGTGTATTGAGCTGATAATACACCATAAGGTATGCTTTGATTAAACACAGTGTTTCGCGCTAAATCATTGTAGATTTGTGACGAATGATGGAAATGATTTATTGGTTGACAATAAGGATTCAGCTAAATAATGAAGGTTCTCTTTTTTATTTGAATTAAAATTACAAAAGCTTCAGAATTATAATATTATAATTTTATAACAGTCATAGAGATTGGGTTGATTAAAGCTTATTATTACATTGTAAAAGAGAAATAAAATCTTTGCAATATTAATTTAACAATAATGTGATGATTAAATTTTTCGCGGAATCGTTTTAGATTGAGGAGAGGGTTGATGGCAGAATCTTATATTTGTACATGAATTTACTTTGTTAATAGTGCTGATTGGCATTTGATAATTGGCCAAACCAACATATTTTGCGATACCAGATTTAGTTTTGCTAAATCCAGGTCTTTGATTAATTTGCTTATAGTTGTTGTCACAGTTAAGAGTTATCGAATGGTTTGCTTGAATTTTGGAATGTAAATGGTGGAAATGGATAGTGTTTGGTGAGTTTAATTGTCCAGTGCTCAAATGATGTAGGCCGCCAGTTGAACTGCTTATTGAACTACGAGGACTAATTGAACTGCCAACAGTTGAAGATGAAGTTGAATCATCTGAATATTGAGATGATCGAGAGGGTTGACGGTCACTTCCTTCAGAGAATGAATTGAGTGAACAAGATGATTCAGTTAAACCAATTGAATCACGTCTTTTGAGATTAGGATACATCATCGAGTTAGAGTCACAGCGTAAATTGTCAAAGCTTGTGTATTGAGGTTCAGCTGGATAAGGCCTGGATAATTGAAAGAGGAAACACAACAGAGATTAGAATAAAAATAAACAGTTGATAAAGATATTAAGATGAACTTACCTATTGTAATTAACCCAAATTTGTTGTCCATTAGATGTATTTCTTGACAACAATGATGACTTAAGATTAGTGACAGTATTATTGGTATTATTGTTTTGGGTTGATTTGCTTCCAACTCGACACCGACAAGGATCATGTCGATCAAGGTAATGACCCAAAGTATCCCAGCCTCCACCAACACGTACCATTACATGATTACGAAGAATCTAATTTAAAATGAAATTATAATTAATCAATTATGATAAATTGAAAACAACAACAATGTTAAAGTTAAACAAAAGATCGTCCAAAACGATTATTAATGCCATCTAATGTCAACTAACGTATCTAATTGAGCCTGACCAATCAAAATTAAACAAATATTTTTTTGTTTCAATTTGCTTAAAAACCGTTAAATTTTGTATCGTAATTAAACGTAACAATATTAGATGGATTTTAATTTATTTAAACGATTAAACGATTATTATATCAACTATACTTATTAATTAAATACTTACCCTGACATAGATTAAAACTTTTGGATTACCAACTCGATATTTACCGTCAGCCACTTTAACCATTGGAAACTGTGATGGACAAGTACATCTGTTGAGTAAATCAACAACCTGTAACAAAAGAGAGGTAAGGTAATTAAATTTTGAGTTATTCAATGATTGTATAGTAAATTAAAAATGAGCAATAGACTTATTGAATGCCATCAACAGCTCTAATTTTGATCAATCGAAACTATCAACAATTAATCTTATTTTTATATGTGTCAGAATGAATATCAAGATTGATATCACTTTGCACTTATTTTAGTCGAAACTAGTATTCCTATAACTCAGCAAGTTCTGTATCATTTCCTGGTTGATTAAATATTGTCATTATCAATTTTTATCAATTAGAATAGAAATATTAACCATCCATTATCATTGAAATGGTTATTACCATTAGTTTTAATTTGTTTTGAATGTAAATCCTTTCTCGTTAACTTTTTTGGTCTCAGATTGTAGCTTGAAAAAATTTACATTAAACAGCCTTTTAACAATAGATTCTCATTGAGTTAAACGCATTATTGCGATATAATGGTAATAAAGATTTAGTTCGTTAGTCAAGCTAGGTTTCATGATTCATAATTATATTAAATAGTAATGAAATGATAACAACAATATCATCATTAATAGCAAAAAGTATAATAATAAATTGTGAAATATCTTCTTCTCTCCCTATTGTTAACAGATATTGTGTAAAGTGTAATGTGATGGTCAACAAAAAAATGACAGCAAATGATTGCGTTGGTTGAATTTGATGATGATTATGGTAAAATAGTTATTAATAAATAACTAATAAATATATATGTTGGATAAATATGAATGATTAAAGAGAAAAGATGAATTAATGATCGTTTCTACTACACAAGAAGAGTTAAAAATTATAGTAAGTATGAAAAATAATTACAATAATTTGTTGTTGCTGTTGCTTGGAATTAGATTTTCGTGGTTTACAGATGAAAATCAAGCTAATAGTAAAGTTATCATTAGATTGGGCTCATATTAAGGGACAGCAAAAGCAACAACAATCATTGATGTTAATTACTATGTTTACATTAATCAAATCTCTTCTCTCTTTACTAATCTATCAACAGACTATTAAATTGTGGACCAGAGATGATTAAACTGAACGTGGACAAAGCAAAATGCAAAAGGAACTTAAATTGTTGATCCTGGTAAAACTAGTTTAATCATGATGCTGATGGTGACGGTGATGAGGTTAATCAAGAAACCTGACTTTAAATATAAAACACAGAATCGGATGTTATTCGGATATGGTGGAAGTGATAAACTGAATTCACCCTAAAGGAAGAAGCAAAATCTGAAGAATCAAGTTAATAGTGAAATCAAGGAACGAAGAAGAAGAAGAAAAAGGAACCTCAAAAGAAGCTAAATTAACTGCTAATGGTAACACAGAATAATGATTATCGTCTTTTATCAACGGTCTTTTTGCGTCGTAATTACGTTGATGATGATAATACTGATTTTTGTTGGCTTTGATAGCAATGATGATGTTGCTGTTGCTGCTGATGATTAAGTAGGAAAGGCTCACGCAATCACAAGTAAAAGGATAAGATGGTATTATTTTAATTTTGGTGATTTACTGACCCAAACAAGGTAATAATTTTTATTTAGAAGTTGTTTAGAAAAGAAATTCAGCGCATAATTACATTATTTAAATTATTATTATCATTATTTTAGCAAACAGTAGCTTGAAAATAGGAATGGCAAAAAAGGAGCGAAAACAAATTAAAACTGAAAACTGAGTTTCGATCTTGGACTGTTTCAACCTCAATTTAGTTTCTGAAAAATTGTACAGAACTTCAACAAAATCTTTCGACTGAATAGATGAGCAAAGGTGACATAAAGAAGGCTCATATTGATCAATTTTACGCCAAAATTGGCAATATTAGCCTTTTGAAATGAAACTGCAATTCTTTTGACAAAGACAAAAAAGAGTTATAAAGGATCTCAAGATGATGAAAAACATGAAAAGCTTTTCTCTTTCACCTATTTTATCATCTCCATCAATTTATTTAAATAGCAAGAATTGAATTTGTGTTAAATCTAAAACAAAAAAGACCTTAAACTTTCACAATTGAAACAGAATTTACTTTGATTTTTGTAGCATAAAAAAAGGTTTATCTGGTTTCTTTCATTTTTGTAGTCATCAATCCATGAAAGATACTTTTCTTGGACTGAAATACTTTTACTTCAAGATATAAAAGGAGCAATTCAACGAAAGGAGATCAAAATACTGAACAATATAGCAACAATAAGGTGATTTTCGTGGCTTATCAATGAAAAACGAGCAAATATTTTAAAGCATTTCAGAGCTTTGAAGTGATGATAAAATATTGAAAAGAAACCCTTTTTTGTTGAAAAAGACATTAGGCGAGAATACAATTAAACTTAGCATCTTTGTAAGGACCACTTTTAATCACATCATCATTATCAGCCCATATAAACATCAGTATCAACACCAACAATGATGCCAATAAGGATGAGTTTATGTTAAGACAGTTAACATAATGATACACTTGACTCTTTACCTTTTGATCTTGTTGTTAACCTTTGCTCAACTAACAACAATAATTATCATTGTTCGAGAATGTGTTTGTCAATTGTAACTCTATTACACACACACACAACATTTAACAATGAAAAGCCAGTATCTTCTGCTTGATTTTCAACTGTTGTCAATGATTATTGGGAACGGGTTAATCAAAGTTAATTTATCTTCCTTTTACATCAATTGCAGCTAATTGTAGCAAATATTTCAAATTTGAAGACCATTGAGAAAGATAAAATTCAATGAGGAAGTAGGTAAATCAATCGAGTCATTATATCTACATGCAAATGATCAATTTAACACAATAACATTAACACTTGTAAAAATACAATTTACTAATAACAATTTTTATTCTTCCTTCTTCTTCTTCTTCAGATATTCCTTCCCAGAACACTCAATTGCAAAGTTAATTATCCAAAATCTGGTTGACTGGTTATTCAGATTAACGTTGTGAAGTTACCAACATTAACATTGATCCACTGAGAAACAAGATTCAATTGTAAACCAATTAATGTTGACTATAAACAAAATTGTCAAATCGCTGAAAACCGTTACAAATTTGGGCGAGCAATTTGGATCAGGACAAGAAACAGTCAGTGATTAACTTAACCATGAAAATATGCATTACGCAGGTTAATTATTTAACAGTGAAATTTCATTTTTGCTAATCTTTCATCTCTTATTATTTAAGGTTACTTGGATGTCTTAAAAGTCTCACTTGTGAAGCAGTTTCATACCAAGAAAAAAAACAACCCTTTTTGGGTATTTATGTTAATATCTAAGGTTAGAGTGCATTGAAATCATTATCTTGATTGTTACATGTTTTTGTTAACTTGAATCTTATTATAATAATAAAAAATATTATTATTATTACTATCAACATGACACTTAACCCCATTCAAGTTTTCATTATTAACATTTATTGTTTCTCTTCTTGTTTCAGATACCAACTCTTTCAATCATCTTTAACCCTGAAAAATTATCTCCCCGCTTAATCAATGTTTGATTAATTTAAAAGCCCAAGCCCCTCTGGTCATTGATTGTATACAGTTTCCCTAGTTAAATGAAGATTCCCGATGAAGATTAATCAAAATTGATCCAGGAGGATAACAATTACAGAAAACAACAAAACAGTTCAACCTAATTATGAATCTAAATCATGATCAAGACTAGATTTGGATAGATGCTGAAAGAGAGACGTTGAACAATAACCAAAAAAACCAAATCATCATCATTAACCAAGTCAAAACCAAGTGTGAGCTGATAATCATTTCAACGCCACATTCAAAAAAATTCAACCCAAAAAATGGTACAAATCCTTGGGAACAATCAACATAGAAACCACGCATTATTATGCACAATCTACTATGATATTCAAGACAATCAGGCCAAGGTTGGATACAACTGAATCAATTGTTTCTTTAATAGTTTGTTAAACTGTTAAAAGAAAGCAACCAAAATGGATGAAAATAATCATGTTAATGATTGTTTTTCAAACAACTAAACAGCAAGTCAAATTGTTCCTGATGATAATAAGTGAAAAAAGGCAACAAAAAGATATTCATGATCAACTGATTGAAATATATTCAGTAATAATGCACCAATAAATGAAACTCGAGACTACCTTAAATGGATGAAAATTAAAGGCAACATTTGATTACCTTGCAGTTTGGATAGAGCAAAGTCATGAAATTAAATTGCAAACCTGAAACAAGATGATCTAATTAACTTGATAATCCTGATACTCAACTCATCTCTTCCTGTCTCCAGTGACACAAGAAACTTGATATAAAGACCTAAACCTGATCAATCCAAATTCAATTCAATTGAAAATCTCCACGTTTCCCCAATTCATTATCATTCCAACCTATTGATGGTACCAAATTGTACACAAAAGCTCATTCCAAGACAATCAATAATCAAATATTTGTGAAGGTTATAAAGTAAACCTAAAAGCAATAGTCTAGTAATCAGTTTACCTGGAAAAGCCAATACAATCAACAATCATTAAATTGGAAATATTGATGATTAAAGTATTATAAATATTTGGATATCCGGTTATATTAACCTGGTGAAACTGGAATTAAATCATTTTCAAAGGTTACAGGTTACCAAATGGTTCTTAAATCACACAACAAAGTGGAAATGATCAACTCTAATTGAAGCTAAAGTTAAACCTGTGTTAAATTGTATACAATCAAGTAACATACAATTGTAAAGCATCTCGAATCCAGGTTTACCGGTTTATCATTGATTTGGTCAAAATTGTAAAGCAAACATGAACCTTTCACTTGATCCAACAAATATTGATATCAACAATCAATTGACTTGTAATATTTAATCATCCCAAGTTATTAATTATCAATTAACTAACTGTAAACATGTTCAGTAGACCTTGGCTAATTTAATTTGCCATCCAGTCCATAATCAACATTTGCGTGACACTCATAAATGTACAGTGTTGTTGGTTTTTGTTAACCAACCATGTTGTTATGGGCTTACCAACATCAACTAATTGTTGTTTAACATTTCATTTCATCCTTTACTAACCATAATGATAATATAATTAGTTAATTTGTAATCCTCATCAATTATAATAAAAGTTAACTCAATCATTACTAAATCATTTCATAAGCATTATACTATTAAAAATACCTTTTCAATGAATTAAGTTATAAGAGTGACTTTCCTCTTTTTTTGTTTCTTGATTAATTTTTAACTCATGAAATTAGGTAAATCAGCTTCTTTATAAAATTCAATAAAACCAAATGTTAGTCAAAGTCTAATCTGTTGTGGGTTAAAGTTAATCATTCAATGTGATTAAATTGTTCCGTTTCCACTACAATTGAAATAACAATTTTGTATTCATACTTTGTGATAAAAATGAAAATTGAAAACGGAACCGATTGTTGATTGTCAAGAAATTGGCGTAAAAAATCACCCAATAATTAAGTCAATTGACCTGAACCTGAAAAGTCAATTGATTGAGAGTATTAACAATAAACTCAATTCACATCAAATAGAGTTGATTTATAAAACAAATGTAAATCAAAAAGTCAAGATTAAATGATGAGATTATCAATGAAAAAATTGTAGTCCAACAATTTGTTAATTGTAAAGAAAGGAAACGCAAAAATGAATGTAAAAATGAAGGTGAAAATAAATGTGAAAATGAATGGATGAATGGATGAATCAATTGCATTGTATTTTCATCATTTAACTCCCAACCATTATGATCATAATCAACTTTCACCTCAAAAAATTTTCATACAAACAATCAGGGTTAAAGGGTTTTTAATGGGTCAAAAACATTTGAAAAAGGTTTATTTTGAGGGTCATTTGAACATCTCAATTTAAGACCAACCATGAAACTGTTAAATCATTTCATAAACTATTCAATTAAATATAAATTAAATCTCTGTTGATGTTTATAGCTTTTTGGGTTCAATTTAGAGCAAAACATCAAAAAATTAACTAGATTTTTTGGTTTGATTGGAAATGGAAATTTAATTGTAAAGAATTGACTTTTTGTTGAAATTGTTATTTACTTTCATCTTTTGTATTATTAAGTTGTTTTGATTGTGAGCAATTGGATGTTATTTGATGGACAAGTTTGGCTAATGATTAAGATGAGATTGAATCAGTTTGAATCATTTTTGATCCAAATGATGGTATTAACCAAGAATTAGTACAACAGTTTAATCTAATTTTGATCACACCTTAATTTGCTGTAATTGCTATTAAAATGTAATAATTGTTTACCTTAAATGTTCAATTTAACAGCATAAACAGGAATCAATCAATGATATTGACCTTTAAAAATGAGGATTCAATTAATCAACTAAATTGTTGTCTTTTTATTTACAATAGTCATTAACTAATCAAAGTAATATAAATGATAAGAAAAAGGCAAATTTAATTGTAAATCATTGGTATTCAGGAATGAGGGTTAAGCTATCTGAATATTGTTTAAATTTAAGAAGATTATCAATTCAAAGTAATTCAGAATCAACAATTAGTTAATTTCAAAGTTTCTATTATTGTGAGCTTTAATCAGATGAATGTGCATTAATATGTGGCTTTAAAATCATTTGTAGCAGTTAAATAGGGCAAAGGATTGTTAACCATAATTGTAAGCACAATTAGTTTGATTAGGATAAATTGCATTTAAGGTGAAATGAAATACAAATAAAGGCAAATAATTAGCAAACGATAGACTCAATGTAACCTTAAATTAACCAAACATTTAGGTTTGATTATAAAAATTGACGAAACCCAAATTTTACCAGATTAATGTACATTAACAGTTTACAACAAAAGTCAATTAATCAAATGAAATTAACCTTAAATGTGAAATGATTTTCACACTCAAAAAGGGTTTAGAAAGTGATTTTTGAAAGTAATATAAAAGGTTGGAAAAACTGAAATTAAAAAATCTAAGAGACAATCATGAAAATGATAAATCGAGTAAATTTCCTTAAATAGGATTTTGTATTAATTCAATAAGTTCAATTAATTAAATGTTATCCTGAGCAAAAAATTGTAAATTGTCATGAAAAGATGTTTGACAATTGAATGAGGCTTTTTTTGGTAAAGTTATATTTGTAATGTAAAAATGGTTTTCAACTTGTTCATTGAAAAAGGTAACCAAAAATGTAGCAATATTAATTGCATTTGATACTATTATTAATCATTTTTTGGTGCATTTAATTGGTTAAATTTTTTCTAAAACAATATAATAAGCTTGAAAACAGCCTGACGATGAAAGAGTTGATTAAACTGTTAAACTGGTTGAACTTAACCAACAACATCTTTGTAATTCAGTGTATTAATAGCTGATGCAAGTCTATTCAATAAACGAAAATGAAATTAAAATTATATCTGAAAGTGTGACTTACCCTTTCATGGAGACACTTCAAATTGTTGGTAATTATTTGAGATTCACTTTTAATTTCCTTGTCTTTTTTGGGTTGTACAGTCTTGTAAGAGCCCTCGGTACTGGTATCACTGTTGGTTGAAACATTTGATGTTAACGATCCCATGTAACCCGAATCAGGTGAAGTTGATAGGGTTGTCAGGTTGTCTTCATCAGTCTCTGGATCCAACTCCATTTGGACCCTTGATTGACCCAACCTTTCCTGGTCCAACTCTCGGTCAATCTCTTGCTCCATTTGAACAATCAATGGCGCAGCAAAGCCAAAAGCTGTACATTTCCGAGCCACTTCCAGTAAACAGAGGATAAAGCTTTTCTCATTTTTACCCAAAACCAAGTCATCTGTTTCAAACAACAGGCATTCATGGATTTTCAGGGATTTACACCAGGCAATGAAATTGGACACATTGTCTCTCGCCTGAAAGGTTTTGGGTTTTGCATTGGCTCGGTAACGTAACTCATCTCCTTTGTATATAATGTTACAATCCTTTGAATCAAATTTATGGCCACTTGAAATTGCTTTGCTAATAACATTGTTGGCATGCCTGTAAAATGATAGAGTAAAAAGATATTTAATATTTGTATCAGCGATTGATTTAAAGTCGTGAAAGGTAAAGTTGAATCCCGAGTAACGCTTATTTTTATATCATTTGATTGTTGTAAATACAATTGAAGTACAATTGTCATGTTGATATTGGGTTTCATTTGTTTACCTTCAAGATTAAATTGACACTTACCGACACAATATAACTCCAGTTTCCAGTACTTCAATGAAATTGTCTGCATTAATGTTTATGTCATACAAAATGTTTAACCATTCAGCAAGATCTTCCTTCATTGCCCAAAGATATTCCTCATTGGATCTAAAATTACGATAGGCTCTTGAATAGATTGACGGATTGTCATCGGCATAATTTTCACAGGAATTAATGTTCATCAATGAGACACTATTTTCAAATGTTGGTCGTTTCATCTCTGATGCTGGAGACATAATTTACAATAATTTCAATAGGAACACAATTTGATTTACCAAAACACTGGTTAAGACAGGGAAATGATAGTTGGTTTAAATGTTGGAAACGTTCAATGACTGGACCAAGAGTTTACTATGAGCTTGTTCAATTGTTTGAGAAGGTTAAAAGTGATTAACACTTGAGAGTTATAGTGATGATTAGGGCAAAATTTAATCAGTTTAAAAACTGGTTCTCATTTGTTTCCAAGCAATCAAAAGGATTCACAAAATTTTACGTATTGGATTCAATGAGTCGGATTAGTCTTTGCAGGATGAAAGTAACCTTTCAAGTAACTTTTCATTCACTAATATCCATTTGTTAAATCTTTTCAGGCTTTTGTCTAATCCTGTTAACGAATCCATTAGATTGTAGTGATTTCCAGGAGTATAATCATCAAATAAATGGATAAATATATTAATAACAATCTAATCCAGAGTGCATTTACACAGGAATTAACGAGGTGAATCTTGAGGGAAAAAAGAGACAAAAGGTAAAAGTGATTATTTAAGAGGAAAGGTAATAACAATAACAATAGAGTAAACAATTTAAGATGATTTAATAAAGTGTCTTTTCACTTTTCACTGTAACAATCATTTGATTAGCAATGAAAAAAGGTTTGACAAACAAAGCAAGACCAATGTTAACCCGAAAGGTAAAGGTTAAAATGGTTTTTTGGTTTTCTGGTTAAATATTGATTCTAATGATTAATTTTTTAATGTTGATTATCATTCATATTATGTTATTTATGTTTGATTAAGATTCCCAGTTAATTAAGGATGTTTATTATTGAAATACTTGATCAGGTCAACAACAGCCAGTAACCGGACTTGAACCAGTGAACCAGGTTTGGGTAAAAAGGCATTGAATTATTTGTTAAAAGGTTCATCATTTTTGTTTAATTTTTGACTTCAATTAATAGATTGTTGATTATTAATTGTTGGACGAAATTTAGCTTTTCTTTTATTGTTGTTGTTGTTCATCAATTAATTGTCCTTAAAGTGACTTGTAGGTTGATTGATTGTAAAAAGGCAATCTAAAGATTGACAATTTCTGCTGGTAACTAAGTGATCTTTCATTTGATTGTTGTGTGAGTGTTTTTGTGAAATGTAATCATGTTAGAGACTCTTTATTAATCAATCATTTCATTCTTATTTATCCCACTATTAATACCTGATCAGTGATCATAATAAACACACATACACACACACAATATACATACATGTACACAATCAAAGGCACAATCAACACTCACTCACAATAACCATTTACAATGATAATCAAGGTTAATTTAGCCAACAGTTTAGGCACACAATCACAATTGGAGGCCAATTTGTTAAATGTTTTGCCACAATTATTAAAATCGTCTACTTTTTTTGTTGATCAATTTCAAGTTAATCATTTCATTTCCATTCCCTTTTGTATCATCATTATACTTGTTCACATTGATTCACATTTATAAAAGGTTGACAGGTTTAACTTGTTTTTTTTCACATTCAATAATTTCATTCCTTTGTCATTTAATTGCTATTAATTTCCATCATTGTCTGATCATCATCATGTTTGATTAACCATAATCATCGCCAATTGATGATTGAACTTCCTTGTGACTTGGTTATTCCAATCAAACTGTTCATTTCACTTTTTTCCTTCCCTAAATTACAATAACAATTGCTCTAACAATGGTTGACAAATAGTTATGGTAATGGTGCTGGTAATTGTGATGATCAACCAAATACTCATTGGAAATATTACCAGCAATTCCCACTCAAATTGTAGCATAAAAATCATGTGTATTTGGTTAGATGATTGTGCGAAGGAAGATGTCACCTACCAATTTAATGAAACCAACATTTGGGTTCAATTTGCGTTTTACTTTCACTTTGTTCACCTTAACTTCAACAAACAACTGTCACAAATATTCATATTAATCAATTAATCCTTGAAAAGTTAAATGTGAACAAATCAAGCAAAGCAATTGAGTTAAAAGGGAAACAATCAAAACAAATTGATTTACTGATACAAAATTGAGTCAAGTAGGGCTAAAAGGTTAAAAAAGCTGCAAAACACTTACTGTAAATTGTAAATATCCAATGTAAATCCAGAGCAAGTTCAATATTAAATTTAATTTCCACCACAATTACAGTAAAACTAGATTCAACAAGCACTTGGGAAGAGTTGACAAAATTAAAAAGTCCAAATTTGATAACAATTTAAATTATATTGTAAAAATGGTGAAATATGAAAATAACAATCACAACAAAATGTCCATCTGTTTACATATGCAACAAGTTACCAGTGATGACAATAAATTTTGGCCTTTTCACCATAATTGTTTAACGATGTAGTTATTGTTGTCCTTTGATTTACACTGTGATGATGATTAAAGATGAGTTTAAGTTGAACAAATAAAATAAAATTAAATGTGAAACATTAACCTTAACACAATCAAGTTGTGAAAATGATTCTTACCTAACAGCAAGACACATTGTGAGAGTCTGTATAAGGATACTCAAGTATCAGTCAGGTTAAACCTTTTCCCACTTACTGACGCAATCTATTAGATAACCTCCTCTTTCCTTTCGTCTTTACTGTCTAATTTACTCTCTCATCACCACCATCATCATCATCATCATTAGATACAATCATCATCGCATCTTTAAAGTATCCAAAAATGTTCATCTTTTCATCTTTTCCTCGTTTTCAATCGTATTCAAAATGAGCGCTCCATGTCCAAGCTAACACTTTATTTACGTTGTCATGGTTTTCCTGGTTATGTAATTTTAATTTTTTGTCTTGTCATTAATTATTAACCAAGTTTGTTTTTTGCTTAAACCAACAAATTTTTTTTAGACAACAATTAACCTTTTTAACTGTTAATTTATTATTATTGATATTATCGTTACCTTCAAAAATGAATTATATTTATTGTTATATGTTAATCAATTGAAACTTGACACTGTTGGGTTGTATTTGAAAAAACCGTTTGCACCAGTTTTTAACCTTACAATCCTTTTTTTTGCACCAAAGCAATAATTGTTTCTATCTTGTTAATTATATTATTTCCGCTACTCTTTTTAATCAACCTTTCATCATTATTTGTTATGTTATTTCATCTGTCTGTGAATTATCGACCTCATCTCTTTAAACCAGTTTCATATCAATAACATCCATTTGATTTGCTTCATTGAACAACATGAAATTAACAGAAAAAAAGCAAAGGATCGACTTCAATAGATCAAAAGTAGCATCTTTATTAACCACTTTCATTGTTATTAAAGATGCTCTTTTTTGTCCTCATCATCGTTGCTTATTGTTGATATTATCAACTATCAATCTTAATTGACCGGTGCACTTAGCTTCATCATCATTTAATACAGTTCAAGATGACATTTTGATTTAACTTCATTATTGACTTTGACAGAATTGCTCTTATTTTTGATAACTTTTTCATCATGTTCGTCTCTCAAGCTAATTAAATGGACGTGTAAAACCTTTTATTGTTGACGTAATTAGGTTTTTGGTATTGAAATTTTTTTTGCCTTCCAAACGTTTAATTATTTACACAAATCGTCGTTTTACCAATCAATTAATTGCCTCTAATGATGTTTTCTAGCTTCACCAATTTCTTGTAAACATGTTTGTACACCTTTTGTTTGAATAATTTATTATTTAATTACGATGCTTCATACATTGCTACTGAATTTAATGTTAAAACAAATAATGGAGCTAACAAGAGGCTAATCAATTGATATTAATCTTTTCGATTCCAAATGGTTTGATACAATTGATGGTTCCAATTCTTGCTGTCTAATAGTTAAGACGTTTGATTGATTTGCGTTCAACTTTCATTGAAAGGTTAACTGTTGAAGCGCAAAAAAATGAAAGTGATTCTTCAAATTGATTGGATTAATTTATCCATGCACAAGGTTAAGATAACTTGTAAGTGATTCAACAAAATGATTTCTTAACTGTATTTAGTCTATCCTGAGGTATTAACAATTTCAATAACTGTAAAAGTTCTAGACAGTCTTAGAATGTCTTATGTATTTCAATGGCTGCTTTAAAGTTTAACAATAATCTAATTTAATTTCTAAATTGCTTAAAACAAAACAGTCTATTGATTATTTATTCACTTGATAAGTCATTTATTTTTGAAAGGACACTTTTGGTAAGCGCATCCCGATGGTGAGACTTATGGTTTACATTGGTTTTAAGAAGTGCTGATTTGATTAGTGATTAGAATCTGTGTTTTTCTGTAAATTGCCTGAATTATTTTGTCAGTTCGTGATTTTCAATCAGGGGCATCCCATGTGTTGTATGGATTTCGTTCATAAATTCATAGGATCTAGAAATATTGTTTTAAGGTGAAGTTAAAGATGTTTGACGGTTTTATTTGTCTTTCTGTTCATGTTTGAGCTTATAAAGCGCGTAAAGTGGTATGGCAACTAGCGTCATCTATTGATACCCATTCAAAGTAAAACAAGTTACTGCGAATCGATACTTTGTTAGTCAATTGATATTGCTATTAATTGTATGGATATTAATACGTAGTTGTTTAGGTTCATTATAAATTAATTTCTTGCAATGGTGGCGAGCTGTTGATGTTTTATATTTTAAAAGAATGGGATAAATTAAAAATTTATTGCAATCTAAACAGCTTTTTGAGTAAACTTGAAATTTTTATGTTTATGTGGCTTCTGATGGAGACCAAAGACGTTATTGAAGCCAATTTTTATTTTGTCGTTGATTTGTTTATTGTTGACTTGTATGACTTTTGGTTTTAATCAAATTTGATGATAATTTCTCTATTCTGATTATTATTTTATCCTCTTTCATGGTGGACTAACCTTCAATCAATGAGAAACCTTGAATAAGAAAGAGATTTGGTAGCAAATTTTGAGTCGTTTAAGATGTATTTTGACCTCACTCGTTCTGATTATGATTGAACCGCTAAATCCAATAACAGTAAAGCGTGAAGAGTGTAAATCTAATAGTTTGACCTCCATTTAATAAGTAAAATACATGACCCAAACCAATCTAAAAGTCTTCAATGATTGTGATAACAATTTCTCAAGTAAATGTAATTCCTCTTGTAATCATTGTAACAAAATGAAGTCAACTTAACGACCAATCCTAGATGAGATAGATTTGTTTTTTCCTCAATTGCTTGGTTCCTCAATTGATCAAGACTATCAATATATATTCAGTCAATTCACGTTATTGACTCAATCCCTCAATTCAACCATTTCTGATTAATTTCAAAGCATATGGATACAAAAATTTTCATGCATACAAAATCAGGGAAACTTAAAATCGCGCAATGATTATTTATTCAAGAAAAATGTTCAAGATTGAAGATGGAAAATCCAAGGCTAAATGATTATAGTTAATACCAGATTAAATCACAGTCGGTTCAAGATTTCGATTATGTTAATCACTTATGAAGTCACCAATATATATAAATGAATATAAACACCAACAGTTAATCAACTCAACTCTGGATGGGGTATTTTGTTTTCAGACAAACGAGTATCAACGTTAATCTGATTGTTAGACTTGCCCTTGAATAGTTGATTTCAATGATTAACTGGCAATAATCAAGGTAAAGATGGTTTGAAAAGTGAACAATTAATGGTGAATTTGATTGTTGCTTGAATAATAGCCATACATGACCAAGAAGTCGTCAATAGACTGGTAACCTAGAAATTGATTGTGAGCAAAACAAATAGCTGTGAAAGTGTTGATGAAAACATTGGGAAAGGAAATGGTTGTAAGATTGATCAAACAAAGTCGATATTTTTTATCTAATTGAATGCAAGGTATAATGTTTTGTGGTTTTTTTAATTGTAAGCCAACATTGAACTATTCATCAAATCTCTCATTGATTGTTTAGCTCCAATAATGTTGTTAAACTTAACCTTAACATTGCTTTATAATTTACTCGTACCAAACAATCTTGATTGTTGTGTTGGAAATAGCAAATAAATTCAATACAAATTCAATGTTTTCCTTTTAACTTTAATTTAATTACAAATTCAACGTTAAGAAAAAATACATTCATTAAGGTATGTAAAAAAACAATAGTATAAAACATACAAACAAGTTAAAGAAGTAGCCATCAAATAACTAGTTTTATCGAGTCAACTAATAATAAAAGGATTAGTTAATCGACTATTAGTGATGATGGTGTTGGTTAATGGTTAGATTTCAAGTTTTGTAGTTATCATGAGAATGCAAAACAGTAAGAAATTTGTGAAATAGCCAAGAATTTAAAATTGATGAAATTGCTGGAAGCAAACGCGGTCAGAATCATTGATCAGCAATACGGTGGACTTGTCTTGACTTTTTGTCCTGATTATTGAGGAGATGAGGCACCAACAATTGTTATACCACAGATTTGGGAAATATGATAGTCCATACAGGCTTGATATAGTTGAACTTGAGCGATTCCAGAAGGAAATTGTCCCTCAGCTTCTTTTCGGCACTCTCCATGTTGACGCAAAACTAGTGGCTATGGGTAGATAAAGGCAATGGAAAAAAAGAATTGTAATTAATAATTTGCAATGAAAATAGGATAGGATTGGCTCGAATTGCCTCAAGTTGTTTTTCTTCTTCTATTTGATCAAGTTCATGATAATTCTTAAATGCATGTAATACATGTAATTCATGTAATAAACAAGATTATTTAGCCGATTTACTAACCATAGATGGTATCAAGGTTAATGTGTAGGTTTGTCTAGTTATAACATGGCTATCAAGACTAGGATTATTTTGTTGTTTTGCTAAATAATATGGTTAATTGTGTTAATAATAATGATAATAATAGTCTTACCTCAACATCTGAAACCAGTTTTTTGGCTCTAATTTCACTCTCGGCTTTATCATATCGATATTTCATATCAGCAGAGAACCAGTTTTCAGCATTTAATGCACATATGGCTACTTCAGTACGATGTTTTTCAATCGATTCTTGGGTAACATTTTCGGGAAGAGGAATTGATTTAATACATGAACTAATGATATCGGCTTTAGCTTTTTTATCACTTTCCTTTGGCTCCAACTGCGGACATTTACCCCAGTTTATTTGAGGTGGTTGAGGTGGACCTTGTGGTTGACCAGGGAAACCTCCTTGTGGTGAGCCCTCTAGTTGATCAGAGGTTGGTTGCGGAGCAAGAAACCGTTGAGGTTGACCATAACTTGAGTTAATGGCTAGTACAACTAAACACAAAGTAATTAAGATCATAGTGAAATCAAAATTTTAAATTAAAACTAAGAAAAATAATGTAGAAAAGACAAAAAGATATAAATGGCTTCTTGCTAACTGGTGAGTTACTGTTGCCTTGGTTTTGACCGATGACTGATGTTAACCAGAAAACTGTTGAGATGTTATCACTAAACGAGACAACTTTAATTTGGCAAAATTGAACGAGAGTTTATTTGTTATAAATGAAAGTAAAAGTTTATTTTGTTTGCTTACAGGGTGAGATAGTGAGTTTGCATGGGAGAGTGAAATTCATGATGATGGACGATTGAAGAGGGAGGAGACTGAAGTACGAGGAGTGAGGAGGACAAAGATGAGAATGAAATTGATCGAGTGAAAAGCTGGAACCGGTCTAATTGAAATGCATTATGGCGAGGAAAATTTTCAAAATTTTCATTTCGCACTCATTTTAATGGACACAATTTGTATATTGGGACATCTTTTCTGACTCGGGATAAATGTTCATTTGATTGCTAATCATTCTTTGACTATTTCATTTGATTATTGTCATTATTATTCCTGCATTACTGTTATTATTGTTGATTTGGGCTTTAGCTTTGACTTTGGCTATTTGTTGTGCTTGTGATTGTTTGGGTTGTTGCTTTTGTTACTTTTTGGGTAAAAATGTTGTCAATTATGATGTTTCTTATTGTTTAGCTTGATGATTGTTTATTTGATTAAACAATAATTTCTCCTTGACATGATTAATGGTTGGCTTAATCGTATGGGTTTTCACTTTTCAAATTGTTTGACCCAAACAATTGGACCAGAATCACCAACAGCCAGTCGGACTAAAGCAATCACATTTACTAAATCTCTTACAATTGATTTCAATTTAACCAACTTCCTCATTATGATGCCCAAATATGATTTCAATAATTACAATTCACCAAAATGTTAATTCTCACCTTTCACATTGCCATTGGTTAATCTAATTGTACAATTAGATTTTAAGTTGCCTTGTTTTGGGTAAAATCTAGAATGGCTTTACAGATGAGATTCATTGCTACTAATAGCTTACATGGATATAAATACTCATAAATTGCTGGTATTTTTACCTAGAAACCAGATTTATCACTAAATAATTATAACTACCATTAGTTAATGAGTTTTGTCAAAAAACGGATTTCCCGGTGAATATTATCAAAGACTGAGCTTTTTCACAACAGTCGTTAGGTAATGCCGATAATTTAGAAATAATTGAATATATTGGTTTGATTTATTTCAATTTGAAACGAGGAAAGTAAATTAGCTAAATAAGATTGTGAACAAAATTTTAACATAAATTAGTCTGATTCACTTTTTGTATAATAGTTACTTTTCATGAGCTTTTTTCTTGCGGTTATTCAAAAACAGTTGTCATTAAACAAAGCTCACCTCACAGTTGGTTCTTCATCCTTGTTTTCATTTTTTGTTCCTTATTTTTCTCTTCTTAATTTTATTTTGTTTTCCTTGTTTTAATTGTTAACCTGTTTCCAGCTTTAATTCAATGACAATTGTATCATCTTGTTAACTGTTGAATTAAAATTAATATAAATATGGATAGAATAAAAGAAAAAGTGAAAGACATTGATATTACTTTAAGCTATCAATTGTTTAAGAGTTACCCAAAAGGTGTTAAGTACCGACGTATCTTGTCAACTCTGGAATGGTCCTGTCATGGTATACCTTGGTTTGCTGGTGTAATCATTGCGATTTACCTTTGGCCATCAAGTGAATTGTTGGCACAGTTATTGGCTGGTTTATTACTAGATGTAATCACTGTTGCTATCGTCAAAGCTTTAGCTAGAAGACGACGGCCTACATATGCTAATCAAGAGGATCAATTTATTGTTGCTTCAATAGACAAACATTCTATGCCTTCAGGTCATGCATCTAGAGCTGTCTATATTGCCCTGTTACTTAATAATGGTTCCTTTTGGTCACAATTAACTTGGATTTGGGCCATTTCTGTTGGTTTGTCAAGAATCTTTTTGGGAAGACATCATATTTTGGATGTTACAGCTGGTTTCTTATTTGCCTTTTTCAATTACTCATTACAGTTTAGCTTTGGTGGATTCCTCAACAAAATCATTGTCTGGATTCTTCTCCATCAATTCAGCAATACCAATGATTTGGCAGATACAGAGAATATCAATGTTGGAAATATTGTAGATGATGATTAATTAATTCTGTTCAATAAATGATTAATCAAACAAGTTTAAATTGACAATACTTTTTTAATAAATATTACAGCAGATGGAGATACCTAACATGTAATAATACATAACGTTACTTCAGTATTAATGGGTTTCAATAGATGTCAGTACCAACCACTTGTAAATCAAATTTTTTGGTAAATTTAATTTATAACAATTACGTTGAAATCAATTAAGCTTTCATTTATTTTAATCCACATTTGAAAACTCTAATAAACATGGGACGGATAAATCTTGGAATAATTTATCCAAACGAGAAAGCAATTCATTGGATCGACTCAATATTGAATCCAATTTAATTTAGTCAATAACGAGTCACAAAATCAGAATCAACATTCAATGGGAAACAATCAAAGTAGATCAATTGTTTCTGTGATTAAATCCTGTCATCACTCAACTCATCTTTCGGTAGTATTGAATATAAATATGCTTATCTCAACATGGAATCACAAAATTAAATACATTATTCAACGATCTTTCAACAATTTCTCAATCATTCAAATCATCTTATAGCTAATGATGAAGACTTTTCAATCAATAATGACCTCTCATCAGCTAATCTATCAATTGTTTTCAATTTAAACGATGGATGAATTTTGCAATAACATTATTTTTTGAGGCAAAATGTTGATTAATTTATTCAATTGAAATAACTAACAAAAGTGTATCACAGCAGTCTTTTATAGCTTTCAAAACAATGCAAAGTAATCTATTCAAATTGTTGTAGCTTTATCCAGTTTTAAACACAAAATTTTTGCCTCTTTTTCACAATTGTGATACATTTTGATTATTTCTGGTTCCTTCTGCATAAGTTACCTAAATAAAGGTAAAATAAAGGTCATCAGTAAAAAGCTCAAAAAAATCCTTTCCTCTTTCCGTTATTATTAACAATTACCAATCAAATTTTTTTTGCAAAACAAATCTATTTACGTATGATGATAGTTGAATTATTTAACCGTTAAAACTGTGATTTATGGGCCAATTTTCATTTTACTGCTAAAGCTTTTTTTTACCCAAACCTGAACTCAAATTTTCAATCATTGAGATGATTTGGTGAAAACAAAAAGACGGCACAACCAGCCTAATATACATTTCAATAGAAGAAGCAAATTCAAACAATAAAATTAAGCAAAATTTACAATCAAAATTGAAGTCTTCAATATCAAGTAGCTGAAAATTGAAAGATGGAGTCACAATGATTCAAAGCTGATTACAATTGTAATGCATTTAGGATTACGCATTACTCTGAATTAACCAGTAATTTGGCAAAAGCGGATACAAATTGACACAGAATTGGATTAACATGTGAAATGATAATAAAATTTGTTCATTTCCCTTTGGTTCAACTCTAATTATAACCTAAAAATTTGTTGATAGTATTTAATAAACAAAATTGAATGCACATCGAATACGAGGTTAAAACAAATCAATGCACTTAATTTGGATGGATGCATGGATTTATCACTAACTAATTAGATGAATGTAAGAGACATTTTTTATTCATATTTTGTTTTGTTTTCACAACTACGTCTTAAAATCTTACAATTAAGGTAATAACTGTTATTGGATCACAAACAATGCTACCTTAAATTAATTGTGAAGGTGACATCTTATCAACCATATCGATGTAATACAAAATAATTTAACCGTGATTCCTTCAATTTTCTTTGTTGTTTCTCAAGGGATAGCAATTTGCAATTTTTGTCTCCTTCATCCAACTTGCACCTATCTTTTACATTCATCTGTCTAAATTGTCCATCTTACAATTTCTTCTGTCTAATTTGGGCAACATCACCTTCTTTCTGCATTTTTTTTACAGCTAACTGTTTAACACTTTCCACCTTTAACTTCTTTTTATTCCTTTCTGTTGATGTCTACTCTTTTTCATCTTTATTTTGTTTGTTTCCACCTTCGCCATCAACTTGATCAATCAGTTTAACTTTCCCTTGCAACCATTGATCAACAAGGGTAGTCAGACACTTCAACAGTCAATCGAATCTTTAAACAGTGACAATTATCCTGGACTTTAACGTGTTTCCTCTGGACAAAGGCGATAGCTTTCAATTACGGACTCTATTCATCTCAAGTTGTGCCCATTACCAACCAACTGTTCAAAGTAGTGTCTTTTTGTTGAACGAAAAAATTATATCGAGAACAACGAGTCTGTGACAAATTAACCAATGTGTCGGAGTAAATCACTGTTAAGTAACAATTCTAATCATGGACCGGTGACTGCAATTGAGAAATCCCAATCTGATAAATCTGAAAAGCTACGAGAAACCGTTGACACTGGTCTTTATCTTTACATCAATAAAGATGCCTATGGAATTGTTTGGAGAAATGTTGCCATCTTTTTGGCCCTGCATTTGATAACGATCTATTCAACCATAGTTTTGTTCAGAGACCGATCCTGGAATACATGGATATTTGGTGAGTTTTTTCCTATTAAAAATGAATAAAAATCAGATAGAGAAATTAGAATTTCCTTGCATTTATTTTAAACTTGCAGCCATAAAATTCAAGCTAAAGTTGTTTTAAACCTAATTGCAATTTGGCAAACGTTATAAAACCTACTTTATTGTCAGGTTAAAAATATTTGACAATTCAAGTTGTCAATGATCATCTGATTGTTGTGCGATTAAAACAAAAGATGCAATTCATCACTTTTTTTCATCTACCATTCACAAATCAGATCAACAATTGACAGGGCAAATTAACACTAAACTAAATGCTTTTGAAAGGTTTAACGACATTTTCCAAATTATTTAGTACATTTGTGACATTTAGACATTTACAATTTTAAAAGTTGAGCCAATTTTTTCGATTAATTTCAATATTTACCTTTAACTTTTTAGCATATCTTTATGGCTTCCATGGTGGACTTGGAGTTACCGCTGGTGCTCATAGACTTTGGTCTCATCGATCCTATAAAGCTAGGCTTGGATTGAGAATATTTCTGGCTTGTTGCTTCTCAATTGCAGGTCAAGATGATTTATTGACATGGTGTCGAGATCATCGAGTTCACCATAAATATTCTGAAACTGATAGTGACCCTCATAATTCACGAAGAGGATTTTTCTTTGCCCATGTTGGCTGGTTGTTGACTCGTAAACATCCCCAAGTAATTGCCAAAGGAAAACAACTCGATCTATCTGATTTAATGGCTGATCCAGTGGTTAGATTCCATAAAAGGTAATTCTATCAGTTAATTTAAAGATGACAAAGTATCAAAAGACTAAAAGCTTTATAATTATTAATTAATCAACACAATCGACATTACAATTTGTAAACGAAAAACAATCTCAGGGTTAGAGTTAACGCCATCTATTAGAAAAATTATAGAAAAATTGAACGAAAGTTTAGCAAAACTTAAAAATTTAGTCAATTTCTTTAATAATGTTTCTAATAGATGGAGTTAATGTTTATCAAATCAAAATAAATCTTAATCTTTGTGTTTCAGTGGACAATAACAATAGACTTAAATTGTCAAAAATCCGTAAGAATTTATTGTTTAAGATTTCTAATTCATTTCCAATTCCTTTCCAGATTCTATCCACTTTGCTATGTAATCTTTATTGTGATTATTCCATGCCTGATACCAATCTATTTTTGGAATGAGAAACCTTTGAATGCTTTTTTAATTGCTGTCGTTTGGCGGTACGTACTTAGCCTTCATTGTACCTGGTTTGTGAATAGTGCTGCTCACATGTGGGGTGATCGTCCATATCGCCGGACAATTGGTGCAAGAGAGAATCCATTCGTTTCCTTTGCTGCTTTCGGTGAAGGTTTTCACAATTTTCATCACACATTTCCTTATGATTACTCGACCAGTGAACTTGGTTGGAAATTAAATCCAACCAAAGTATTTATCGATCTGATGGCAATTTTGGGTTTAGCTTATGACCTTAAAAAGGTCAAACCCGAGACGATTCACCGAAGCAAGGAGAATCAAAGTAACAACAATAACACAATGATGTTTAACCATCAAAGTAGAAATACTTTTGAACACAATAACCACTATTGAAACCCAAACCAAAAACAAATTGTCCTGATTTCTAGTTAAATTGATTTGTTAATCCTAATAACCACCTAAACCTTAACCTCTTAAACCTTTTACTCTCTATAAATTTACACTTATTAGAGTTTATAATTTAACATTTAAACTACTTGTTGTCTTCTCCCCTCCTCCACTGAATTCAACAAATTGTTTCACGTCTTTAGACTTGATAAATTAATGTATACACGTACAATTTGAATTAAAATTTTTACATAAAATAATTGATACTTGTTTAATAATTATAAGGAATAATAATATTTGTTGTTTATAAAATGCATTGTTGTAACACGGGTGAATGTATTTCACCTTTGTTATAATATTGTGTAAAAGTGTTAACAATTGTAATGGATGACAGTTTATTATCCTTTTCAATGATCAATGGTGATTTAAGCGTCTTTCCTTTGACATAAGGTTCAAGATTTTCACCTCCGTAACTGACAAGGGGAGAGATTTCACAGATAAAGGTTTGATTGTTATCACATTGGTCACCATCATCTACAGCAATTATACCACCAGCCTTTTGACAATACTTTTTATGCAAATTGTAAATTGATTCCCGAGCAGTCTTGGCATTATCAGTTGAAGCCGATTCATTGTTTTTTAAGGGCGAAAACTCTTCGTCCCTTATAACTTCCCAAATGGCTAAATCTCTGTGGAAACAAGAAAAAATTGAATGTCAATTATAATGTTTTGATTAGATTTTAATCACCTAAGGGGAGGGTGGACAATTAATTTCAAGGAATAATTCAGCTTATAATAAAAATTCAACAGTTAAGTATACAGCTGATTAGCAACAATTTATTAAGCATTTAATATTTTGATCTGGGAATAAAATATACTGCAAGTCTGGATTTTTCCTACCCTTTACTGCCAAGAAAAAGCTTAACTAAAATTATAAGATAAATTTACAATCTCAAGTAATTAAACCGGTTCAGTGGGTTACTTGGCTATCGGTTACAGTCAATCAGAAGCTAGAAAATGAATATTAAGGACAAGGTAATGTTGGGGAGATGTCCGAAAAATCATGTCCTTGTATTTACTTTCGTTTTCTGCACTTTTCTAGGATAAATCGCAAAGAAAAATTACCAAAATTTTCTTATAAGCCGAGACAATCTAATTAATTATGGTTACCCTTTCTCTCAAAGTGATTAGAAGATAAATTGTTGTATTATCAAAACATAAAACTTACTGAGTGAATTCGAATACATCGAAGACAAATTTTTCCAGTTTGATACCATTTGGCTTATCTGGTCTGATAACAACTCCTTCTGAATTTATGTAAGGAATCTTTTTACGAGCAACATGATGAGTAAGTTTTTTCCTAGAAAATGAAAAGAAAAAGAAACATTGATTAAGCAATGAATTGGATAATGAAGATATTACACCATAAAAGTTGTTACTTAGGATTATTCAGACTGTCTGATCTTGACAAAAAGTGAATTATGACAGATGCAGCCATTGATTATTTTCATTTGCATTGCTAAAAGATTTCCTTTTTATTATATTGCATAAAAGAGTTAATTATGTGGAAATAATTGGATAAGGTCTATAATTTATCTAATATATGGATCGTCAGAGTTGAAATTGAATTTGTTTCACGTGAAAAAAATTAATAATAGCAATTAAAACTTACCTGGAAACTTCTTTGAGAAACTCAACAGTGAAAAAGTGGTTACAAATGCTTCCACAACGGAAGGTTAATAATCCATCAGGGTTTCGTTTCTCGGCGATAGCAGAGGACACTTCACTATACTCGACAACCTTAAATTTTCCTTGGACCTTACAGATAATTCCGACAGCTTCAGTTGGAGAAGATTTTTCAACTACTTTAGCGCCGGCAGCTGCTTTCTTGGTTACACAGTATCCAATGAAAGTAGGATCAGCCAATTTAACAAGAATATTGTCTACACCGTAAACATGGGTATATTTTATACCGCGTTTATCCATATCCAGAAGAACGCCAGTTTCATCAAGGGATCGATATAGTCCACCATTACCATCAGGGGAACGAGCAATTTTGTAAGGCTTATCCATAATAATCTTACCATCAAAGGTAAAACAAGGCAGAGTCCCTTGTTCAAAGATAATCACATTATCGCGAGAAAGGCCAAAGTAATTATTGGAAGCAAAAAATTCTTCCGTTGCTGTTTTGGTATGTTCACTTGTCATTATGTACCAGGGTATGGATGATTTTTTACCCCATTTTTGAGAAGCTAATTCCTCTACTCGACGAATTCGTTCTCCTTGCAATTGATATAAGCTTTTTCCAGAAGGCAGGCCAACACTGTACATTCCTTTAGGATAATCAACTCCAAGTCTGGTTCCTTGACCACCGGCCATCAACAAGACAGCTACATTTCCTTCTGATATCTCTTGCAGACCTAAAATAGCATAAAACGATGTGAATAGAAATGAAGTTAGAGTTGTTGAAAAACAAAAATAAACATCAATTAAATATAGAAAATATTGAAAATGAACTATCAAGATAACGGAGACAAAAACGGTTTACCTCTCTCTCGAAGTTTTTCCAATTCGTCCGGGGAACATTTAGGAACACCTGAATGAATCGAATCTCCAGGTGGTTCCAACAAATCATCTTCAATTTGTTTGTTAGCTGATTTATCCTCAGTTGATTCACGGAATGTAGAAATGACATCATCAAAATCAATTGATTTTATGTCATCATAGAGCTGAATTTTTTGCTCATCTGTCAACTGGTCCCAAAACTGGAGTAAATGAGATTGTTCGTGTTTCTCCAATAAAGAAGCGATTTCTTTAACATTTAAGTCCGACATATTGTCATCTCCTGGTGAATTAGATCTAAGACAATTCTCGCTGTTCTCGCTTTTGACGACTACTTTTTCTAAGATGTTTACTTCTCCAAGATGATGATGTTGTAAAAGGAGCAGGGTAAAGATAGGGTTGCGCTGGTGATGTTGATATTGATGGCGGTTATGAGGGAATGAAATATCGAGAGCTGAATGATCAGGTAAGATGACGAATGATGATGTTGATGATTGGGCGGATTAAAATGAAAGAGAAAAGAAGCGGGAGATGGATAGTGAGTGAATAATCCAATTGTAGAATAATGAGAAATTAAAAAGTGTGAGTAATTGTGAGAGTAAGAGAGGGGAGGGAGAGAAAGATAAAGGGAAAACAAGAGCGAGAGTGATAAGAGAGAGAGAAAGAGAGCGAAGATAGAGAGTGGAACAGATTGTTACAGATAAAGATGATTTCTCGCTTTGGGCTTAACTTGACTAGTTGTTAGTTGTAATGACACTAACTTTAAAGGAGGCCAGTGGTTAGCATAAATAGAAATTTGAGTTTAAGGAGGTTTGCCACATCATCAGAAAGGGAGGAATGAAATGATGGGATGAAACGTCGTTAAAGAAAACAAAAAACATAATTAGTAGACGTTGATTTTATTGAAGGTGATGGCGATGATGAGATTGAAAAAAAGATACGAAACAACCAAACAATTGAGTAGAATAGAAGCTGTGATGTCCGGATAGTGTTGGCGGTACTGGTAGTTGTTGTGTTTGTACTTTTGAGCGTAATTGTGATGTTAATGGTAATAGAAGCGTAATACTAATACAAACTGGTTTACAATTGATTAGACAAAAACCAACACCTTTAAATCTTTCCTTTAAATGGACAATTATTTCATTCATAATGATCTCTTTTTTGTGTGTGTATTATAACCCTATTACCGGTTATCGACTTGACTATCTTCAACACATAACCAGGAAACACTGTAACTATTTTTCTTGATCCAGCCAAAGTTTACTGTAGGTTGAACGGTAAGGTTTACTTGTAAGGCCATCCAATTAATTTAGACTTGATTAACAATACAAAAGAAAAATAATTAAACTTATTAAATATTGGTTTCCATGCTGAAAATATACATAATGATTGCGACTGCATTGAAAAATGGTTGATTCACTCTCATTGTAAACATTGGGTTGCGCATTATCAATAACTACAACAGTAAACACACTTTTTTTGCCGGGTTTTTCGTCTTCTCGATTGTTGAATGATGAATGCATAAATAATTTACAGAGTGTTACTTAAATCATGAATAAAGATTTGTAATGAACTCGAAATGAATGACAACTAATAAATCAACTTGAATGTTATCCATGTTCCTACTTCTAAATGTTATTATATTTCTTTTCCTGATTTCGCATTGATTCATTATTCACTTGAGGTAAGCATTTGACAAATGTGTTTCAAAAATTGACCTATTAACTACTGAAGAGGTAAACATTGATGATTAAACTTACAATGATTATCTTACATAATCAATGTTAAAGAATCACTTCTTGAAAGGTTGTTAACGATATAATATTAAGTTTAATTGATAATGAAACGCTAAAAATAAAGCAATGATAATAATTGTTTTGTGTATTGGTTTAGCTTAGCTTTTCTCATCTTACATCTTTATATGTTACTTGTAATTTCATTTGACATAATTTCTTGTTGTAATACATGATACAATTTAAATTTATCAACCAATTTTCAGTGAATATATTAAATGATATAAAAAGACTAACCACATAATGAAGACTTACAATCAATCAATGATCAGATACTTTCAACATGAAATGGGATGAAGATGGGCGACAGAATGAATAGAGCTACAGAAAAGTTAATGACGCAAATGAATGCCAATAAAATGAGTGAAATGGAAAATAAGCGAAAGATGATGATCACCATTAAACATCAGTTAATTGTTAAAATTACCGATAGTTATCAATAATCATTTGCGTCATTAAAAATAACATTTCTTTAGTTTTGTTTTATTCTGTCGCTCATTTTCATCTAATTCTCCTGTGAAACATCAAGTATATGATCATTGGTCGATTGTGAGTGATCATGATATGATTATGATTGTGTGGTTAAGATTTTTGAAAAAAATGAGAAAAGCTAAACTAATAGACAATTATTATCATTGCTTTATTTTTAGCGTCTTGTTATCAATTAATAAAATACCATGTATTATATTGTTGACAGCATTTGAAGAAGTGATTCTGATTGATTATGTAAGATAATCATTTTAAGTTTAATCATCAATATTTACCTCGTCAGTAATTGTTCATTAATAGGTCAATTTTTGAAACATATTTGTCGTTGTTAGTCAATGCTTACCTCAAGTGAATAATGAATCAAAAGAAATCAGGAAAAGAAATTATAACAAAAATATAGAAATAGGAACGTGGATAACATTCAAGTTGATTTATTAGTTGTCATTCATTTCGAGTTCATTACAATCTTTATCCATGTTTGTACAATAATCAACATCAAGAAACAGCCAACTTTAAACTATTTATCTTTGAAAAGTGATTTTCTATTCAATTTTCAAAACTTCATTTTTTAGTTCCTTATAATTTTTCTTATAAATTAGTCTATGTGTATAATTAGTTCAGAAATATTCAGTTGATTGTTCAAGTTCTTGCCATATTTTTTTTTCATAAATGTCTATTAAAATGTGAAGATAAAAACCCGGATGCATCTCACTGTTGTTATTCATTGTCATTACGAGCAAAAATCAAAGAGTGATAATCGATATTTTTGCGACACATAAGTCTTGTTTAATTGTTATGAGAATATTTAACATGGAAACCAATATTTAATCAGTTGAAATATTCTACATCTTTTTTTGGGCAGTATGAAACAATTGGATAGTCTTACAATCAATTTCAATTGTTCGTTTTTGAGCAAAAATTTAGTTGGATGAAGAAATTAGTTACAATTTTTCCTGATTATGTTCTTGAGATAGTCGATTCGATAACCGGTAATACGGTTATACTGCAAAAAATTGTTATGATTGATATAATTGTCCATCAAAATGTGCGATTTAATAGAATTGATCTTCTGTAAACCAGTTGGTCTTAGCGTTAGTTGAGAATTTAATGAGCTCATGATACGAATCAGGATAAAAGGGGTTTTTGAGGTTTCTTGGTGGTTAGTGCTTTTGATGGAAGTTTGCTGAATAAATCGGCGGACACTTTAGATCGTCGAGCTCTAATCCTTTCCTCACTGTGGAAGTGGAATGGGACTGGCTTTGTAGTTGGTTTTGGATCGACTCTTTTTACGCCAACATTAAGAGTTGACAAGTATGTTTTTTTGTTAAATGGTGTAGCTTTGAAAGTGTTTTTCTTTATGCTTTGAGCAATATTTTCTTCTTGTTGTACTCTACTAACACAAGTTAGTGTTCGCTTTCGTTTACATGCTGTTAGTTTTGGTGAAACTGGTTTTGTTGGAGTCCAGTGTGGTTTGGTTGGCTTACGATTTGGAGCACTCGTAGTTATGGGAGACTTTTCATCACTACCAATAGAAGCTGAATCTTTGACTTCTTTTTCTTTAGCTTCTTCCCCTTCTTCAGTAGATTCTTTAGCTTCTCTGCTTTCTTCGACCGATACTGCAACTTCTTGACATTCTTCAGTTGATTCACTAGTTTCTTTTTGTTCTTCAACTGCTTCTTTGGCTTCCTCGTATTCTCCAGAGGAATCTTTAGCTTCCTCTTCGTCGGTTGAATACTTAGGTTCTTCTTCATCAGTTGATTCGAATTGATCTTCTCGAACTGATTTTTCAGGAGACGGCTCTGAGATGATAATTTTGGTATTTTCTTTATCCTCCGTCTCGGACGCTTTTTCATCACAATCACCATCACAATTATTGTCTTTACTTTCACCTTGGGCTTCCTCGACCATTTTTCCTTTATTAGCTGAAGGTTCTGCATCTTCATTGTCAATAAATAAAGCTTTTGCTAAATTCTTAACCAAAAGCTCTTCTTCTTCAATTTGTTTGGCATTTTCTTCAATCACTTTTGGCTGGAATGGTGTTCTGCGTGACTTTTTCTTGCTTGTAGTAGTTCCAGGAATCCTATAGGGTGAGGCGCCAGTTTGTGTTAATCTCCTACATTCGGTTTCTCGTAAAAAATATTTTCTAGTGGTGTAAAATACTTCATCTGTTTCAAGCTCCTCTCTGCTTTGTGGAGTTCTGTAATCTGAAGACGCGCTTTCAGGACGAGGTGTTTTAAGAGGGGAGGCCATTGTTTCAGCTTTAGCTAACAGTGACTCAACTTTGAGACAGTCACTTAGATTACGTGAAGAAAAGCTGAATTCATGTTCAGATTCTAAAAAAAAGACAAAGAAAGAAGATGGCAGTTGTTAACATAAATTACAGATTTATACAAAATGGTGCATAAAAGGTGAAATAGACAGTAAATTTTAAATGCAACTAGAGCTAACTCACTAACTAAAATTGCATTCTAGATAACAGGAATGTTAGAAAATTAGAAATTTCAGTTAAACAAAAGGAATACTTACCAAAATATTTATCAGCTTCTTCGGCATTCAAAGCTAATACTTTTGAATCGGTGAAATCAACAAACTTTGGACAAGCAAACTCCCATACGAAATTATTTTCATCGGTCATGCTGAATGATGCAGATGAATAATCACTAAGGAAATTTGAAAAGTGTAAAAAATGATGAAAATTAACAAGAAGAAAGTGATAATCTTAATCCAAATTAAAATTGAGGCTAAGAACGGGTAAAAAACGAGATAAACAGTTTGAATTTGTATTTACCATTTTCTGATTGGTCGACCGGTCGCTTTCCTAGCGACATCTCTTGTGAATTTGTATCTCTATGTATGTCATGTTTTTTTCTCGATTTTCATTTATTTGTGTTTATTTTTCAATGTTGTCACTTTTTTGTTAATTTCTAGTTAATTTATTAATTTATTTTTTTCTCAACAATTACATCATGATAACTGGTAAACCAAGTATCTCACAATTAAAGCTAGTCTACACGACATTGAGTGAATATGTGAGTATCAAATGTACCTGAAAATTGTTTCTCCGGTTCTAGATTATCCATTTTTTTCTCATGTGTCTCCTTATTTTATCCTTGTTAAAATTTGCTTTGATGAACTTTTTCTTTCAATTTTTCTCTATTATCTAGCTTTGCATGTTTCGGGAGTCATCTTCTAATCATGTATTTTCTTCATTCACCTTTTCTTCCGATTAGTTGCCTAATTTTTTCAGAGGTCCTCATTGTTTTGAAATTTACGCAGAAGATGTTGTTTTGGAGGACAACATTAGAAACATTAAGACTGTTGGTTTACCTGTTTATAAGCAGAATATTAGTCTCGTTAAATTTTATTCCCATCTTAAATACCGACATGTTGATTTGAATGTTCTTAAGATGACTGAACATATTGAAGAAAGCTGTGTCAAAGTTCGATGGAGAGTTGTTGGCTCACCTAATTGGACTATTTTGCTTAATTATTTGTCCTCGCTACCTTCAGTGAAAGGTAAAAACCTTGCTGATAATGATGTAGAAGTGTAAGTAATCCATTTTTTGCCCATTATTATTTACAAGCTTGTCCAGTTTACTTGAACTCAATTATCTATTTCATTCTTATTTGACTTTAACAGGTGGGTTGATGGTTTCTCAATTTTTTATGTTAATAAAGATGGAAAAATCTGTAGGCATATATGTGATAAGGTAAGAATCGATTTCAAGTATTATTAAGGAAAATTGTCCACTTTGCAAAATATGACCCACTTGAATTCCAGCAATAGTATTAAAATCTCAGCTGAATCAATCAACCTAAAAAATCACGATGAAAGCAAATCCATTTTTGTATGTTTTAGCAAATAGACAATTTTCTTTTTTGTATGATCCATTCTAATATTTTTCAATATAAATTTTCTTACAATTTACTCTATTATCTTTGTTTCAGTTGATTCCTGATGATAATTATGAAGATAATGGAGGACCGAAACGTTTATTTCCTAACTTGACTGGCAAACTTACAACATTTTCGACTCCTAATAGACCTAGATCCCTAACTCTTTGTTGTTGACCTTGTTAAATTAGCTTAAATTATTCTTCTGTACATTTAAGATTGAAAACTTTCAAAAAATATTTTGATTGTGACTAATAACTTAACTATTATTAATATTTAACCTATAGTCTAGATCGATTAGTTGAAGTTTGTCAATTGCAATATCTTCATACCCATATAATGAAACCATGATTTATTTTCCAATCTGTTTGGAAGCGAAAATCCGAAAATAAATATTTAACTGATAAAGTTCATCTTCATTCAGTTTGAAATATGTTTAAAACTATTGACATTTATTTGAAATTCAATAGCTTGAAACAAGCCATTTTCGGAATGGTCAATAGTACGCAATAAAAATTCGCAATTTAAATATAATCTTAATTCTTTTGTCAATTTTATTTGTTTTGACGAAATGCAGATTGAGAATGAAAACAATGATATACTTTGTAAATTAATTTGCACCAGACAATACAGTATAACCAGCATATTGATGCATATCTCTTGATTAGTCTGATAGATTTATTTTATGAATCTATCAAAAATTTAAAATTTGTAATCCCAAGCAGACAAACCAAAAGCAAATAACATCTTTTTAAAATATATTTAACAATTAACAATGCTTAATATAAAAATCAAGCTGGTGAATATGACTAGAAATGAAGTGAGAAATGAGATTCATCTCTACTGGCTCTTAATAGTGGATAATTTTTTGCTCAGGCCAATTCAAGGTAACTCTTGACTATTTCATCAAGAACTTCGGAGTCTCTTATCATTTGCATGTGAGTTTTGTTGAATGTGCGAAATTGGAAAGGATAATTCGTATTAGCGTTCCATTTGAGACAAACTCTTAAAGCTTGATAGTTGACAAACGTGTCTCCGTCCAGTTCTTTGACAACCGTTCGTCTAATATTATCGTATAAATTGCTACTCGTGGTACTCATAGATCGCAAAGTGGGCTGCCCCCCACCACCCCAACATTTAATCGGAACTCCAGGGTGGTCAAAGGAGCCTTGAATGTGAGCTACATCTTTCCACATTTCATATGCCCTTGGTTGTCCAATATCTCTGAAGAAGTCTTCATAATTACATGGCGTGTAAGTGCCATTTGCAGACGTAATGAAAGGTTCACAGCCCCAGGCTTCTGGTTTAGGTATTAGAAATGCTAAAGATGGGAAGGTTCTTTCAGCCCGACGAATGATACTTGATAAATAGCCGGGATAATCGTCTTCAAAAAGGTAATCATACATGTACTTAAAGTTTCCACCGAACGGAGTTGCCAAAGTCCACATTAATCGAACGTATTTATCTTTCCATTCTTGAGTTTGTTGACGAAGGAAAACGTATATAACACTTCCTCCCATCGAGTGACCGATCAAAATTACACTTTTGTTACCATTACGATAGTATGTTTCTTCTATCAATGTCTTGAATTTGGAAAACCATTCATCCATTTCATCTAATTGAAAACAAAGCAAAGACGGTAAGAAGTCGACAAAAATCGAGTATATCAAATAGCTTACTCATTGATTTCCTCCAATCGTATGGTGCTCCACGAATTTGAATCGCTGGTGTCAAGCCAACGTCCCGAAAGCGACTAACCATATTTGCATAATAAATAGCTAAGAGAATAAAAATATCAAATGATTAGAAAAGATTGAATATTTGAAAATTAAGACGACATTTGGTTGTAAAATTTGCATCCATTTGCATTCAACAATCCATCATTCAAACCTCACAGTTGAGTAACTACAGGTTATAAAAATCTATTATTACAAGTTAGTAGAAATAACAACTTCTGTAATACAATTTCAGAAGAGGAAAGTTGGATTAAATTCAACTTATGGAGCAAAAAAATCTATGGAGACAAGAAATTGAAGGACAATGTTCATCTACAATGTATTCAACTTACTTTGCTGAATAATTCCTTCGAACCACGGAGACAAATACTCAACCGACTCTAGACCACCAAATTGTGGAACAATAACAGTAACTCCTTTAGAATTGGTTGTTTTTCGAGTGGTAGGATCGTAATGAAGACGAGCAGCATAATACCAACACTGTCTAACCATAGGCATTAACTCTTTCAAACTGAACCACAAAGTCCAGGTTCCAGTCCTACGTAAACAGTAAACTGGAGCATCAGTAGCTTCTTGCAAAACCGCTTCCAATTTGGTGCCCATATAACCGGGAACTGAAAATAGTTGAAATTGAATATCATTTCAATTAAAAATTTAGCATAAAAAATACAACATTAACAATATCCAACAAAAATTATAAACAGAGATAAGTGTGATTTTTAAGAAATCAAGTCATAAGTTCATTTTCCGAATTAAAAACAATGGCGTCTTAAGCCAACGGTTATGTAAATGTTTTTATATTTTCATTTTATGGTGTTTATGTATTTAATAATTATTATTTCTTTTATTTCAATTTTATTTGTGATAAATTATTTGCCACTTACCCAGGATAATAGGATACATTTTTGCCGGTACAGCTTGACCAGTAACAGTACCCGTGTTTAAAAATATTGTCATAAGTGTGAGGAAAATCATTCCACCAAGATTGGCCAAAGAAACCATTTCGTTGAGTGATTATTGGTAATTTGTTTCAATCCACTCGAGAATCGTATAAATGATGATGTTCAGAAGTTGGACAACTGCAAGTCAGCTTTAATTTCAGTTTAATGTCGATACGAACTGTAAATCACAGAGATACACGGTGAAATTTACTTTAGTAAGGATGATTTTTGTTTTTTAAGACGAAGAGAAAATTTGTTTACGAACAATTTGTCTCTTTTTTTCAAGTCATTTCAATATTCACAGCACTTTTATATTAATGTATATTTTTTTCATTTTTACCTTTTGCTTTTCAGGAAAACCTTTCTATTGAAGTTTTTTTATGTTTCTTAGCAAACAATGATTGAGCTCGGCACTACGAAACCATCGACAGTCAGGTTAACAATAACCTTGAATTTCAATATTCCCCTGAACACCATTCATCACAATCAAAGTTTCCATTCTTTTGATGTCATCTAATTGTTTAAAATGAAATGAAAATTGTCAAACTCACGATTCCGCAACAAAAACCTGGCCAATTTTTGCTGGAGATGTTTACAATAAGATTTGCCTCAGTCTTTCCCGTGGATTTGCACTACAAAAATCTCTCATAAAATGGATATCAACAGATTGGAGACTTTTTGTCATTACTAATTAGTGTTAAAATTGGTATACAATTAACCAAAAAAAAACAATATCTGTACTGTCAAAAGCAAAACTACTGTTTGGACTAAAGAGGAAAAAAGGTTGATAATCTGATGCAAAATATCTCAAGAATAATGAAAAAATTCACCAACTCCTACTGAGCTCTTATTTTCCTGATTTCATTTCCATTGTTATGCCTTGGTTTTGTTTTTGGAAAGTCAAGATGATCGTAAAAATTTGCGCTTTACTGGCTCAATTTTCGTATAACTTTCAATTGAAAAGATACGTCCGAATACACTCTTAAAACCAGTCCATTCTCATTGGTTGTGTGGTTAATGATTACACTCTTTTTTTAATCGGATATTCATTGAATTCGCTATACCCGTCAAAGTTATGCTATTGTTCATTTTGAATTATGCTCAAGGATTTGGCAATTTGTTGATTTTCAGCTCATGTTGATACCCTCAACATTTTTTGACTATAACTCCATTTTTGACAATCATCACCATCATATTAACTCATGTTCTTGAACCACTTTCACTGCCAACAAATGATGCAATTTACCGGTTGATTAACTTGGAAATATTGATTGAAGCAAAAAAAAATCACTGGAAGTATCAACATTCAAGCTCCTTATTACCAGATTTTTCGCATCCATTATAAATGAAATTCAGAGTTTCCTGAAATTATTCAAGTCTCTACCAGTCAGTCTCTATGCAAACCAATATTTTTCAAGACAATTTTTAATCAAGCTTAACGGCGAATGATCATTGCTATCAAATGGGAAATCTGAGTGCACAGAAATATAAACCTTGAGCTCTATTTCAATCTCAATACCACTGATTGCCAATAATTAATTACGGATAGCCTTCACTTTCTTAATTGTGACGAGTGCCAATCATCAAGTCAATCAATATGCGCTAAATACATGTTTATGTGTATTACCGACACTCAACTGAAGACTTAAGTCTGTAAACTGTGTATCTTTAGATTTTTTTCAACAATTTTTTTTCACACAAAATCTTCTGATTGTCAACTGTTTTCAGATAAACAAAAGGTTGCCTGAAACAATCGACTGAATCAGATTAACAATAAAAAAATACAAGCTTCATGAAAGTTTATTTGTGCATCAAACACTGCAAAAAATATCTCAATTGTAAATCTTGTCCTGGATTTTATAATTTATGAACAAAGATTGTATTTTCCCCTTTTGTCTTATCAGAGTTAATTGTGTTCATAATGTTTCCTTCAAACTATCTGATTGTATTTTCCTGACAGACTTTCAAATGAATATTAATCTCATTGATTAAAAAAATATATCAAGAATGGTAAATCTTTTTTCCTCAATCATCATTATTCTCATCTCATCGGATGAACAATTGATTGCCTGGTGTAAAATTTACTCGATTTCATGCCCTAATAATGTATCTATTGTTACAAACCTTAAGTGAACGATAAAGCTTAACCAAACATCTCACACTAATAAACTTTCACCCCTTAATTGATTATACAATTATGTATCAATGTTTGTAACAATTATCATATATTAATTAAGCTATGTTTGAGTTGAAACCTTTTCAATCCAACACACAATAAAACATGTTTAACAATAGTTAGCAAAAATTCACTTGACACATGACAAATCAATTTGAGAAACGATTGAAGCAATTTATAGTGGAGACGCAAGTTGACTTGAGTCTAAAAATTGCTTTGGTCAAGACATCGGACAATGATATAAGATCTAAATTTAAATGACTAACCTTCACCTCTTGTAAGTGGTAAGATCTGTCGACTTTAGGGGCTCATAGCTCTTAATTAGACGGTTCAAGCCCTTCTCGAGGTATAAGGAGCCTATCAATCTAACAAGTTGTAAGTAACTTCAAAAAGTGCGAAATTAAAAAAACAACTTCGGTTGTTCGGGGTTCATCCTTGGATGAAACCCGATTTTTTGCCAATTTCATTCAATGCGTATAATCATTTATTGGATGCGATTTGAAAAATTATAAGAAATATTTTTTCAACCAAAAACCTTAGAAATGCATTGAAAGCCTAAATTAAAAGCTTGATTCAGTTTATAAATTAAGAGAGTCGGGTGGTAAAATCAAAACTAATACCTAATAAGATCAAAATTATTATTTATTTCATTGTGAGTCCATTGGATTAACATATTGTATTGAATATGATCAATATACAATGTTTCAAATGCTACCAAAACTTTTTTTCATGATAATTCAGTGAAAGTATTGAGTTGGCCAGCATGTAGCCCGGACTTAAACCCTATTGAAAATTTATGGGGTCTGATTGCGCGAAAAGTTTACGCAAATCAGAGGCAATTCAATAAAATTGATGAATTATGGGATGCAATTCAAAATGCATGGTATGGATTCGAACCTGAATATCTACAGAACCTTGTCTCATCTATGAGCAACAGAATCTTTGATGTGATCAAATTAAATGGGAGTCAAACTAAATATTAAATAGGATTTAATAGGTGGCCTTATACTTTTGACGAACCAAAATTTTTTATTTCTCCCCTATTTTTTTCCCCTTCGATTTTTTTCCAATTTTTTTTTCTTGGTTAGTCATGGCAATAAAAATTATTATCTTTTTGATAAGGTTCAGATTTTTTTACCTTTTATTTCAAAAATTATAAAGAAAAATCAAGTGGCCTTATACTTTTGACGAGCAGTGTAAAATAGCTAACCTTTGCCAATGGCAAGTGGCGAGATAAGTCAACTTTAGAGTCTAATCCCCTCTAATGAGACGGTTCAAACCCTTCCTGAGGTACAAAATAGCGGGCCGGATTTCACAGCGAAAGTTGTCGTAATCCGGATATATGATCATTAAGAGGAACAGATTTTGAGCTGTTCAGTCAATCGGCTGTCAGATATGGTGTTGATATGTTCAAGCTAACTAACCTAACGGCTAACTATCACATTACCATTGATGGCAACAACAGATTGGCTACAGACATCAGTTAATTCTGGTGTCAACAACTACAAAAAACAACAACAACACCATCAGACAGCTTCGGTTGTGGGGTTCATCCGCAAGGGTGAATCCCGTTTTTTTTAATTCAATACTTTGTAATCATTTATTCAATACAATATTAGTGAATTGACTTTACATCAAAAGTATGTTGGTTTGTAAACCAGTGATCTTGTGATTCGACGATTTTTCATACAACATCTTAACTTCAGCTGAAGATTATGATCGTAATTGGTAGAGATTATATAACTACCGGTACATGAGTTTAGAAGATTGTACAAAAACACTAAAATAAAACTGGGTTGAAAATACAGTGAGATTTAATCGGAAATTACTAAATAATCCAATGAGATTTTAATTTGACCAAATTTGATTGTGCGTCCATCTAATAATCATATGTGTTGAATAATCATTAAAATTGAATAACATTATAAATTGAATGTAAACCTTCAGTATTGGATGCACCGGTTAATAATCAGATTTGTTTTTCTAATTTCTGCTCAAATTGTTTCATGTAAAGTATGAGTTTAACAAAACAAAAGTAAGAAGCTTTTTCTTTATCCCTGACCAGTGGTAAGAAAAGCAAAGGCCAAGGGTGATGACCCTTAGGTCTCTGAAGATCGAACCCTGTCAGGGGGAAAAAAACAAACATTGAAAAATCCAAAGGAAGAGAATTAACAGATGACTGTATGTGCTTATTGAATAAACTTGAAAAAGTTTAGGGACTCATTCGAAAGGGTGAGTTCCATTTTTGTCCAATTTGCTCAAATGTGTATTGTATAAACCCTTTTATGTACAGTAATCCCTCTCAAAGTGCACGGAACGGTCCATTTATAAATCCTAAAAATAGTTTAAGTTAGCGTTTTCAAGGTGAAATTTAATTTAGCCCAAAAAACGCGCATTGCACATTAAAACAAACTTGATTGCTAAGAAATCTATGAAATCGCGAAAACGAACCTTCAAAAACAAACGAAATAGAGACTAAACAATTTTCCTTGAAAATAGACGAAGCTTTAACCGAAAGGTCGCATTTTGAGGGGATCACTGTAATACAATTTGTAAATTGACTACAATTGTAAGTTTTTGATTAGTTAACTATGGCTGACATGAAAGTGAACGGTCAAATATTTCAGGTCTTTCAGGTTGTAAGTACTGTTTTGTAAACCAGTGATTTTGAGACAATTTGATGTAACTTTGTGATTCAATGATTTCAAACATTGTAATCTTAATGTCAACTGCAAATGATGAAAATTGATAAACATTAAATAACAACCGGTTCATGAGTTTTGATGATTGTACAAGAACAGTAAATTCAAACTCGGTTAAACATTCAGTGAGATTTAATAGGGAATTAATAATCTAATGAGATTTAAAGTGAAATTATATAATATCAATATATTTTGGTTGCTGTCAATACATATGTATCAATAAATGTGTATGGTTAAGTTTTGTGTAATTAAAGAGTTAGACTTATGTTTACTCATCTGTTGACTTGATTATTAATTTTGTTAGATTATTAGGTTATTAAATTCGTGGTTGATTTCAATAGATTCAAGGAAATTATGCATTTCAGAGTTAACGAGCTCGTAAAATAAACTCAAAATACGGGTTTTATTGCACTGATTTATTAACAATTGTTACATCTAACTTATTATGCATATCGATTTCAAAGAGATTAAAGATCTTTTCGTGAATATAAAGTCACAGATTTATTGGATAGAAATTCATGATTTTTATAACAATTAAAGGTGTAAATCTGCTGATAAAAATATCAATTTGATCTTCTTGCCCAAGCCAAGAAGATAACGGTTGCAACGTTAAATTGATGTTGATACTTCCATAGATGACATTGGAATTGTATCACCGAGATCATCACAATAAGGGAATGCTCACAGGATAAAACACCCAAATTGTAACAGTGTTAAGACTAACTTATATCATTGAGATTCAATCAGTATCATGCACAAGATAGGGTTTATTTTGCAATAACCAATGTTGGAAAAAAACGAAAAAATTGATTAATTCCTAATATAAATGCAAACAACAATAAACTATCTTGGGGGTTACTTTGATCAAATATAAATGTAATTCAAACTTGATTGTGATTTTCATTGTAACTCAAGTATTATAAAATGACTAGTTCAACTTTAAAATTGCTGATTGTTTGTTCATTAATTGTCTGTTCATTGGCTATCGCCACTTTAGATGATATTGATCGATCTGATATTCCTCAAATAATTGAATCTCGTGGGTTCATATGTGAATCTCATTATATTGTAACAAGTGATGGTTACATTTTGGGTAATTATCGTATTGTGAATCCATTGGCTTCCAAACATTTCAAGGAACCATTAAAACCTGTAATAATTCAAAGTGGATTCCTTGGTTCAGCCACTGACTTTATCATTAACGCACCAACTGGTCAAATAAATGAACAAATCCTAGCTAATTATACAGATTTAGATTCAGTTGACTTTGAATCAGAAGGACAAAATTTGGGTTTCATTTTAGCCAATTTAGGTTATGATGTTTGGTTGACCAATCCAAGAGGTAACTATTACTCGACTAACCACACCACATTGGACCCAAAAGAAGGTAATGCAAAGCCACCAATAATAGTTGTCCATAAACTAACGCTGGTCTCTTGATCTCTCGTGGGTTTTAGATGGCAAACAATTTTGGTCTTTTTCACTCGATGAAATGGCACTGATTGACCTACCAGCCATGATTGATTACGTTCTCAATAATACTGGGCAAAGTAAGTGAAAGCAAATAAGCTAAGACCAGTCAAAGTACCAGAATCAATAGCCACATAAATCCTTCTTTGATCCAACAGGTTCTCTTGCTTACATCGGTTATTCACGAGGAAGTGCGATCATGTTTGCTTTACTTTCCGAGAAGCCAGAATACTCTGATAAAATATCACCTTTTATAGCCATGGCTCCACCAGTTTTCCTGAACAATGAAAAATCCTATTACAGAGCTCTTGCCAGTTCAAAGTTCATTCTCAACTTTATCCGTGACCATCCTGGTTCCTGCTTTGGTCGAGCTATAACAGATATCGCAGGAATATGTAATAATTTCCTTATTAAGCCTTTGTGTCACCAACTCGAGATGAGTTTATTAAGTATTGATAGAGAGACGAGCAACGCGACACGGATCAACATTTACCTTTCTCATCTGCCAGCTGGAGCACCATGTTGGGATCTCATCTATTTTTCTCAGCGAATCACCCAAGAAAATTTCACTCACATTGATTTAGGTCCTGATTTTAATATGAAGAGATACGGATCCAAGACACCACCTATGTATAATTTAAGAAACATTGTTAATCAAGATATTTACATATTACATTCAACTGGTGACAAAAGAGCCAGTCCAGTTGATGTTCAAAAATTGGTAGATGAACTAGAAGGTACTTACATTTAACTCCATGTTGTTTATTGTCTTTAGCCATTTCTTACCTTTGCTTTATTTTACAGTTTTTCCAGCTGATAGGATTACCATTGAAGATGAAAAATTCAGTCATCTTGATTTCTTCCTGGATAAAAATGTAGCCCAAAGAGTCAACAAACCAATCGCTAAAATACTTGATCGTTACAGATCCACATAAATGTAAATTCACACTTTGACATTAAATACTTTGATCACAATCTTTAAAAATGTTTATTTAGATTTTTCACTCAATAACTACATCGAGTTTCTATCGGCGGAATATTTAATTAAATTTCAGCTGACATTGTAAAGACAAAACAACCACAGATGATTACACTATTTGAATTAACTTCAAGACAAGGTTTCGCATTAAAACAGTTGAAAAACATAAAGATGTAGAGTTGACAAGCTAAAAACTAACATAATTCAATAATCATCAAAATTGAATGTAAGCTATCAGTAATAAAAGATTTGGATGCACCGGTTAATAATCAGATTTGTTTTATAATTTCTAGTCAAATTGTTTCATTTAAACGTATGAGTTTAACAAAATAAAAATGATTATCTGTTTAAATTTGATCCGATTTCATTATGACAAATCAATTTGAGAAACGATTAAAGCAATTTATAGTGGAGACCCAAGTTGACTTGAGTCTAAAAATTGCTTTGGTCAAGTATAAGACATCGGACATCGATATAACAGATGATGAAATGACTAACCTTCACCTCTTGTAAGTGGTAAGATCTGTCGACTTTAGGGGCTCATAGCTCTTAATTAGACGGTTCAAGCCCTTCTCGAGGTATAAGGAGCCTATCAATCTAACAAGTTGTAAGTAACTTCGAAATGTCTGAAATTAAAAAACAACTTCGGTTGTTCGGGGTTCATCCTTGGATGAAACCCGATTTTTGCTAATTTCATTCAATGCGTATAATCATTTATTGGATACGATTTGTAAAATTTTAAAACAGTATTTTGTCACCAAAAACCTTAGAAATGCATTGAATGATTAAATTAAAAGCTTGATTCAGTTTATAAATTAAAAGAGTCGATTATAACACCTAATAAGAGCAAAATAATTATTTATTTCATTGTGAGTCCAATGGATTAACATTTTGTATTGATATCATTAAAATAAAATAGCTAGGCTTTGCCAATGGCAAGTGGCGAGATAAGTCAACTTTAGAGTCTAATCCCCTCTAATGAGACGGTTCAAACCCTTCTTGAGGTACAAAAACAACAACAACAACACCATCAGACAACTTCGGTTGTGGGGTTCATCCGCAAGGGTGAATCCCGTTTTTTTTAATTCAATTCATTGTAATCATTTATTAAATGCAATATTTGTATTTATCATTCCAATCTCTTACATTGTAACTTATTCAGACTGGTTTATAAGCTACTGCTTTTGAGTCACTCCAAAACACAACTAAAATATAAAATTGAATTTTGATTAATTAAAATTTAATTTTTAAGCTCACTAGATGGAGTCGCTAATGATCAAAGGATTTACAGCGGCATTTGGCGCACATAACTGTTGTATAAAAATTGGTGTCTTTTATGGTGATTATTTTAAATTGTTGTCTTTGTATGTTTCTTGATTCATTTTTTAAATAATATGCCTGTCGTCAAGAAAAAGTTGCCTAAAGACTCTGGAATCATCATTTCGTTGATGAAAGAAATAGGAATCACGGAATTTGAACTTAAAGCTGTCAATCAATTGTTGGAATTTGCTTATCGATATGTTACCGATATCTTAGGTTAGTATTTTATTTATTATTATGTCAAAGGTAACATCTGTGCGAAAACATTCTTATTGTTCTAATATTATCTGTTTCGGTTCCCTTAATAGAAGATGCCCGTTTATATTCAGTACATGCTGAAAAGTCAGTGGTAACTGTTGCTGACATCAAATTGGCTATCCAATCTAGATCAGAAAAAATGTCACCTGAGCTTCCACCACGAAATTTGCTTATGGATATCGCTTATGATATAAATAGTGAACCCATGCCATTAATCAGGCAAAATAATGGATTGCGTCTTCCACCTGAGCGCTTTAGTTTAATAACTGCTAATCAACGCAATAAAAGGCGGAGACATTACTAGAAGTGGAATCAAACACTTTTTAATTCTATGAGTATAGAGATTTTATGTGTTGAAACCAAAATGTTATTCAAAATCATAATTAGTTAAATTTTTACCATCATTAAGATCGATTATTGCTTATTAAATCAATTATTTTCCAACAAAAATCATTTTGCCTGCATGTCATAAGTTGAAAAATGCGCCCTGATATCAGCTGTTAAACCTTATATCTTAAATAGTCTGATGCAATGCAACGAGTTTAAAAAGTCATTATTTAAAATTTATATCTATAATTTGCTCCAATCCATTTTCATATCTGAAGCGATTGTAATTATTAAATTGTAACTATGTTGATAACTTCTCTCTTGGGATGCAGAAATACTTCATCCATGTTGAGATCAGGGGTAAGTTAATATTTGTCGATAAGTTTCTCCGTAATTGTTATTGTTTACAATTTTTGTTTCAACTATTATAGACAAGTGGTCTTGTTAGATCAAATTTCCTAAGGAATCGGATAATTAGCCGAAGATCAACCACAATCACTCCTCCTGCTGAACCTTATAGTAAGTTTATCGGACCCAGGGATCGGAAACGCGTGGGGAAATGGTTACTTTGTGTAGCAGGAGCCTCTTTCGGTACAGTTGTGATCGGTGGTATTACTCGTATTACTCGGTCTGGTTTATCGATGGTAGACTGGCATCCTTTCAGAGAATTTCCTCCGTTTACTAGAGCTAGATGGGAAGCAGAATTTGAAAAATACAAGCAATTTCCTGAATTCAAATTGTAAGATTAATACATAGTGATTTTTTCATTATCTTATGTTCAAATGCATTTCCATCTTTTTTAGGGAAAACCATGACATGACACTGGAGCAATTCAAAAAAATTTGGTGGGTTGAATACCTGCATCGTACCATGGGACGTGTTACTGGCTTGACCTTCGCAATTCCTTTCGGTTACTTTGTTTTAACCAGAACATTTCCTTTCCAATTAATGAAGAAATTGTATTGTATTGGTGGATTACTTCTTTGTCAGGTTTGTTTACCTTGTTTTGTTTCAGAACTAATCAAAATTAGATTTTAATAAACCCAATGAGAACACCCTAACATCATCAAGAATGATTCATAAAAACATTGTTTTATTTTCTTTACTTCAACATCTTTTAGGGTTATCTTGGCTGGTATATGGTTAAAAGTGGTCTTGAAGAAGAAACAGCCAAAAAGTACAGTCATCCACACGTTAGTCACTATCGACTGGCAGCTCATTTAGGAACAGCCTTCGTATTTTATTCTTTAGTCCTTTCAACTGCATTTGAACTTTTGCTGCCTCCTCAAATGGTAATATCAAGTTGCTAAATTAATAACCAGAATCTAATGATTTCTTTTAAACACTCGTCATTCAGGTCTCAATCACACCAAAACATTTATTATTTAGAAAGTGTTTAATTGGCTTGACTGGTTTAGTATTTGTCACGGCGATATCAGGAGCATTTGTTGCTGGTTTGGAAGCTGGTTTAGTCTACAATTCATGGCCTAAAATGGCTGATAGATGGATTCCAACAGATATTAATACTAAATATCCATGGTACAAAAATGTCACAGAAAATCCAACCACTGCCCAATTCGATCATCGTCTTCTAGCTCATACGGTTGTCCTTAGTGTCCTCGCACTTTGGCTGTATTCTCGTCGACTTAATTTACCTCCTCGATCCCGACTTGCTATGAATATCTTTCTCGGAGCTGCTGCTGCACAAACAACTTTAGGAATTGTGACGTTACTCACTTATGTCCCTAAACCTTTAGCATCTTTACATCAAGCTGGTGCTCTAGGTTTACTTTCCTCTGCTATTTGGGCAACTCATGAGTCAAAGCTTTTTAGATTAATCCCTAAATAATTGTAAAGATTCCCTCAGTGCAACTCTTTCAGATAAGTTTTCGAATCATCATCACATATTTATTAATTATAGAAGTGTTCTGTTTTACATTGCGCGACTCGATCATTTTATATTGATACGAGTAAATTTAATTGAACAGATATTGATGATAGACACATGGAATGATAATGAATGATTAAATTTACGAAAAACATTATGAATTTAATGTAAATATCAAGAGAAGACTGGTACATTTAATTCTGTCCATCTATTATAATTGTCATTTATAAATATCTCATCACCAATTGAATGGTAATTGGTCATTTTTCCTTCAGAATTTCCTCTTTTTAGAATGATAATTACAGGAGATCAAACTATAACGGTCAGGTGGGAGACAGGGACCAACAATTGATCTAATTGGGGGTAAAGGTTGATTATTCCGAGTTCGGGCTATTTCCATGAGAAAATCTTGAGGAGGTGGCAGTGTTAACATCTTCTCCGATTGCGATTGTATAGCCATTTTAACATCATCGACAGTGATCGTCTTCTTATCCGCATACTGTGAATATATACGAGCATCCTCTATGATAATCAACAAAAATACAAATAAAAGCTTAGATTAGAATGTCATCCAAAAATTGTCGCCATTACAATAACTAGAAAAAATAAATTAATACAAACCTAGAACAGTAGTAACATATCGATAGGTAAATTCCAACAATTGGTTGACAACTTTTGGCTCATATTCGTTGATTCCCATCTCTTTCAAAATCGAGGTAATGACACCAAAATCTCTTGGTGAGGATTCTTTTTCCTGGGCCATAGTTAAAGACGATTCACTTTAATAGTAATAAATATAATGGTAATAAAACACCAGTCAAAGAGACCAATAATAAAAAAATCAACTATAGGTGTAGATTCAATTTGTAAACACAAATTCAATTGAAATTTCACAGAAGAAAAATAAACAAAAGTAACTTTCAAAACCTCAGATTGACTATAACCAACCAGCTGAGAAGCGTGTTTACATTTTATTTCATTTTAAGGGGTGTGGGCCGCAGTGGCTCCACTGTTCGCTTGCGCACGAACTACAAATGTGTATTGTGTATTACATATTCAGATTACGAGCCATATGGCTGTTTACAATATTCAGTAAGAGAGGAATGACAGAAGAGAGAGAAAGAGAGGAGAAACCGGACCGAGAGAGACTCGAACCCGGGATTACATGCTTGATATGCAGACGCCCTATCCATAGGGCTATTACAACATACTAGCAATCACGCATGTCAATACAGCGGCGATAAGCTCTTTAGCATCTAAATGTTAGGATTAAATAAATTAAGTAAAAACGCTAACAGTAATGAAAATAATCGTTTTAACGCTAATTTTCACAAATCTCCGAAAAGTAAACATCGTTCCTGCTTAACTTTAAATCCTCTTAAATTTGCATAGACAAAAGGGGAATGTTTAATCTTTAGTTGACTACTTAAAACACCAAGACCAATCATTACAATATATAATCCGGTTAATGATCCAAGTTGACACAATTTAGATTAAAATTGCCATTGTTACATAAATTATTATTTACGTTGCGTCTTTTTAATCTAATTAATTTTACTCGACAGATCAGGTGGCCGAGTGGTTAAGGCGTTGGACTGCTAATCCAATGGGCTCTGCCCGCGTGGGTTCGAATCCCATCCTGATCGAAACTCTTTTTAAATTTTTCTCTTTAAATCGCAACTAATTTCAATGTTCAATTCATGTTACATGAACTTGCATCAATTATTCACTTGACCCTTTTGTTCCTTTGACTAACTTATTAGAATCAATTTTGCTTCAATTCTGTTATTCATTCAGTTGTCGGTTTATTATTGAATAAAGAATTATTTTTTTTAATCTTTCATTGTATCTTTTTTATGGTTATCAATTTAAACCATTTCGGTAAATTTACTCTTGATTCAGTGGATTTTTGATTTTTAACAGTTTGAAGACAAAATTGATTCAAGTTTTTCATACTGACTCATGTTTAGAGAAATTTATCTTTTTTCTAGCTTAAGAAAAGGATTACAAGTTTAGTTGTCGGTCATTTTCCTGTTGCTTCCGATTTCCATGTCCTGTCTTGTTAAATTTTTTCAAATTACAATTTTAATTGATTGTTCGTCAGTCAATTTTTGGATGTTGAAAGCTTTTCAACAAATGGATGATGATGATTAATCTTGCAACGCCATCTGTTAAGGAAAGATTTTTTCTCATTTTTTGATGTTAATGTTGCTTGTTAGCCTTTTTTGTTTACAGTTTTTATTATTTGTTGATGGTGAGCTAGATTACCGGTTTTGGTCGCTATTTTTTTGTTTTTGTGGTTTTTAGAAAAAGCACCGTACAGTCGAAAAATCTTGACTTTAAGTTTGATGCCAAGAATGGTCTAACTCATATTTATTTGGTTTTGCACTCTTTTGCTTCATCTTCATATGGTATCGTTGATGATTCCCAATTTTTCACTGTTGGCATGTGGTAACATTCTTGATTGGATCTTCAAGCTTATATAATCTTTTCTTTTAAATCTATTGTTTATATCTGTTGAACTTCCATGTCTTGGAATATGGTGTGGTATCTGTAGCTTAATTAGTGTTGACTTATTCTGGATATCGTTTTATCTTTGACTGTCAAAAATATTTTTAAATCAAATTCATCATTATGGCCGATCTTTCGAAGATGGAATCTATTATTGATGCTTACCGTCTAGTTTGTGATGAAGAACGTTCCCTTGAAGCAGACATAAAGAAAATGCTAGAAAATGATGTCAAATTTACTGAAGAGATGAAAAATATCTGTAGAAGGATGCCCAATTTTCAAATGTTACCCAGTGATGCCAAACAACTGTCAAACAACATTCATTTTACCTCTAATCGGGCTTCTGATGTAAGCTTTAAAATCAAACAATTGGATTCTGTTAAAACCAGAGTAAGCCAGTGTTTGCAACGAGTTGGTGATATTTTAGATTTGAAGTATTGTACTCAAAATATTGAGGAAGCCTTAAATAATGAAGATTACGAAGTAGCTGCTGCAAATATTCACAGGTTTTTATCCATTGATGAATCGGCTATTCGCAACTCAGCTAATGGTGCTATAAATGGTGAGTAAATCTGTCAATCATTTCCATGTTTGATTATAATTTTAATAGATGTTTTTTTATATTTTAGGTCAAGTTCTTGGAGGGTCTTCATTGGAAGAGGCATTTATAAAGCTTCATGAAGCCGAAGATAAATTGAAAACATTAGTTATGCGTAAATTTGACGAAGCAGTTGTAGAAAAAGATGTGGCAAGTGTTGAACGTTTCTTCAAAATTTTCCCACTGCTTAAACAGAAAGATGATGGCTTAAGGAAATTTTCTAACTATCTATGTCAACAATTGAGTCAACCTAACGCAACTGAGTCAAAGTCAGCTGGTCTGAGCGAAGTTAGTGATCATATTGGACAACTCACCAATCTCTTTGAAAGTATTGCTAAGATGATTGACGTCCATACTCCTCTTTTTGAGACTTATTACGGACCTGGTAACATAATCTATTGTGTTGAAGTGTTACAAAGAGAATGTGATCGTCAAACTAAGAAAATTTTGGAAGATTTTGTGGCTAAAAAAAATCTATCCGGTGTTGTATCTTCAGTTCAGAAATCAAGTAAATCCACTGCAACTGCCAATTCTATTAACAAAGTTGACCCAAGGGAAATTGTTGGTCTTTTAAATGATCTAATGAAGATTAATTCTAGAAGTGAAACATATTTCAAGTTTATCAGAGAAAGGACCAAAAAAGACATTGACTCTTCCATTAATGAAGACGATGATAACCTATCTGTTGAAGAAAAACTGAAAAAGGTTGATAGTCTAATCCGTAATTGTACTCTAAGCCACATGATACAAGAACTTAATGGAGCTTATGTTTTACTTGAAGAATATTTTGCTCGTGAATCGTGTCTTAAAGCAATCCAAGGAGATGATATCGAAACAAGTGCAACTCCAACCTTAACTCCAGGATCTTTAACATCAAGCATGCTAGATGATGTATTTTTCATCGTTAAACAATCAATAACACGAGCATTAACTAGTGGTAATCTTGACGTTCTTTGTGCAACCATCAATCATACAGTTAATATTCTGGAATCAGCATTTTGTGATTCACTCTCTGAAAGAGTTAAGCATGGATTCCCTAATATTGGATCGATTAGTGGAGCTCTTGGTTCACTTGATTTAAGTCAAGCTTATAACGCATTGCAAACTGGTCGTTATCTTCAAACATATGGGGACATAGAAAAGGCCAAAATTGTCTTTTTATGTTCATTAAATAATTTGGACACGGCATGTGACTATATCAAAAGTTTAAAAACAACGATTAAAGATCAAGTGGTGAAATCATCAATTATTGTAGAGAAACCTGTTCAAAAGGATAAACTTGAAAGTTGTTTAAATGATTTATTTGGCCTTATCGCCAGATTTCAATCGCTCATTAATTCTGGCTGTCAGCAAATTTTTGCCAGTCTGATCAAGGGTAGAATCAAATCATGGCTTGATTCATTTAGTAGTGAGTCACAGCTACTATCAGAGGATGATGTGATGAAATATGAAATTACTGATGGGCTAAGACCTTACACGCAAACCTTAATGATTAATTTGGACTCTATTCTCAAAAGCATGAAAACAATGCTTACAAGCAATAATTATAAAAATCTTATTAATATAACATCAACTGAGTTATCACAAAGGCTTGAGACAGTAGTTCTCAAATGCTCTTTTAATAAGGTAAGTTAAATCAAGTAGATCAATCAAATTTCAATTTACTAAATATAATATCTTCTCTTTCTTATTCACTTAGCTCGGTGGATATCAATTGGATCGGGAAATTAGAGCAATAATCAACTATATATCATCTGTCACCAATTGGCCTATCCGAGATAAATTTTCACGCCTTAAGCAGATTGCAATTGTTTTAAATTTTGAATCAATTACTGATGTTCTTGATTATTTCAATTTAAATGCCGATGGTTCGCGAAACAATTCCTCACCAAGTAATATGGTTACTTTATGGTTAACACCCAATGAAGTACGGCAAATTTTAAAACTGCGAGTCGATTTTGCATCAGAAGACATTCGTAAAATTAAATTGTAATTTAAATGAAACCAATATAGATTTGTGTAAAAATTTTGGATCGATTTTTCTAAAAAATTTAATAACCTTTTTGGATAACTTTATTGTCATAAAATCGAGGTTTCAATTTGTTCAAATATTCTCGTTTGTTTTGAATTCTTTTTGTTTGTATTGATTTTGATTGGTTTTTTTAGTTGAAATAGTTTAATGGGATCGATCCCAATCACGGTTCAATAAAATTTCAATATTTATTCATGTAAACAACTTGAATCATTCAACTTATTCCCGAATTGAAATGAAAATTTTCTAGTAAATTTGAGAGGCAAAGCTCCATCTAATGGAAAATTATGTAAGCATGGGCTCTCTCCCTTTTTCTTTCTCTCAATCTCTCACTCAGTTATCATTTCTGTCATCTTTGAATACTTTGAAATCAAAATGAACCGAGAACTACCATGATAACCATGAATCTTGTTTCTATATGCTAAGTTTAATTTATTCAGCAGGGAAACCAACATTTAGTTTTTCTATTCATTCAATGGATTACAAATTGGTGGATAAGTTTACTTGATGTTGTATATTTATATTTTGCCTTTACAATTTTGTGCTTTACTGTGAGCGTGTTGCTTTGTGCCTCCCTTTGTATATTGGAAAAGAGCATCAATACATGAATTGGAAGGAACATGCTTTTGTTCATTTTGCAGATTTACTTAGTGCTCATTGTTTGTCCCAGTAACGGTTTATCCGAGGATTTAGATTTGCTTCCTCGCAATGTAACTATCATACCTGAAAGTTCAACACGATTATTGATCAAATGGGAACCTCCTATTTTAACTGATCCCTCGATTACCCAATTAACAGGGTATAAGATTAAATATCATATCAAAAATTCTGCCGCCTCTTCGGGTAGTGATACTAAGAAAATTGAAACAGTGACTGTGGACAGTGCTAGAAGAGAATACCAATTGTCTGATCTCAAAAAGGGTACTCAGTACAGTGTTAAAATTTCTGCTTTAGATAGCTCAAATGATACCCTAGGATGGACTGATTGGATTCATGGTGAAACACTGGAAAATGATCTCGATGAAAGTCGTGTTCCTGAGGCTCCCAGTAAAATCAGATTGGAAGCTACTTTAACTACTATTTCAATTAGCTGGCAACCACCAAAAGATACATCAGTAGCAATTAAGGGATACATTGTTGGCTGGGGAACTCCGGTTCCAAATGATTACACTGAAGTTCTTAATGCTAATCAGAGGTTTCATCAGTTAACTGGATTGAAGCCAACCAATGAATATGTTATCAGTGTTCGAGCTTTTAATGACAGAGGTGACGGTCCTCCTATCTATGAATCTATTTGGACTCGTGCCCCATCAACACCAGAGCCTAAAACAGCCCTTTTACCTCCTGTTGGCCTTAGAGTAGATGTTATTTCACCTACATCGGCCATCCTTCACTGGACAGATACAACTCTTAACCCTCGAAGTCTTCCCGACAATCGATTCTACACCATCCGATATTCATCCAACTTTCAATCTCTTAATCCTAAATATAAATATCTCAACACAACTAAAACAAGTTTACTCATAGAAGAATTAAAGCCTTACACTCAATACGAATTTGCGGTTAAAGTAACCAAAGGTCGTCGAGAGACAACATGGAGTATGAGTGCAGTTAACACAACACTAGAATCTCGACCTTCCTCACGTCCGGAAGATTTAACGATTACTCCATCTGAAGAGGATTCAGGGATCATTAAACTTGACTGGCAGCCTCCGCGTCAACCTAACGGACTCATTATTGGCTATGTTATTTTATATACAACCGATAAAGATGCACCAGATAAAGACTGGGCAGCTCAGCCTGTCGTGGGCGGTAAATTATCTACAACTTTAGAGAACCTTCTTCCTGATACTATTTATTATTTCAAAATTCAAGTTCGTAACAAAAAGGGCTACGGTCCTCTCTCAGACCCGGTGATGTTCCGTACCTTACCAGGTAAGCTATTAGCTTAACAAAAACGCTGATAAATAATTCAAAGTTACATTGGAAGGCTTCCAAACTAAGGTTGGATTTGTAGTATTATTGTTAATCAATCAGAATAATATCATATTTACATACTTATGAAATAACAGATGACTTGGGGCTTGTCCAGAAGCATTCCATATTGAAGTTGATAATTTGACAAAACAAAAGAACCATCAGCTTGAGATAATTTCCCTGGAGGAAGAAAGAAATGAACAAAATACCGCAATTTCATCAGATTTTCAATTATTTTGAGAATTGTGCAATTCAAGTAGTTTCAGTGTTAATCTTTACAGTTATGAAAAAAATAGTACAACTGGTTTAAGGGTTTAATTTGAAACGAAGAATTTCATGAATTTTTCAATTAACTGTCTTTTTGTTGGTGTTTATTTGAAGGTTTAAGTGTTGAATATGATATAACTCTGATTTGTGAACAATTTTCAAATGCTTCCAAATTTTCCAACTTCAAATCGGAAGCCGTCCAATGTAATTCAATCAACATAAAAGCGCATAAAGAGAAAGATTGAGATAAAATTTACACAACCAATGTTCAGGTACAAAGTAATTTAAACATTTTATTACCCATCAGTGCTGTTTCTTCAACAAAGTGGGCTATATTTATCTTGATTCCGCCATGAATACCGATGAAAGTTGATTACAAATCTTGACAGTGCAAACAACCCTATTTTTCATTTAAAGATGGTTGAGTTGAAATTTGTTGCTAATCTTCAATTATATGGCAAAGCAAAAAAACAAATATACATTTAAAAGTCACTAATGAAAAAAAAACTAGTCTTGTACTGATCTTAACCAGCTTCCTGAATAACTTCTTGAAGCCAGGTTAGTTCTTGATTTTTTTTCAATGTTCTTTGCCTTCTTTATCACTTTACAAATGAAAATTCATGAGAAGTAAATACAGAAATAATCAATTTTCACTATCAATCTTCAGCTAGTTAACTAGAAATTAAATTTATCATGTGAAATGCATCTGGTTTTGAAGACATTAAATACCCCTTACAAACAGAGCGATACAGATGAAGATATGTTGGTAAACAACATGAAAAAAAGGATATACCATCCATTAGATAGTATTGGATAACAAAAATAGAGCAGTAACAATGTAACCCACAAATTTGGAAGCAACAAAGGCAGTTAGTCCAGGTAATGTAATAGCTGTGACAATCTCACTTGGGATAGGAATAGGAACCTTTTTTTGTAAAGCAAGGTTAGCCTGAGAAAGAACAGCAAAAAAAGATGAAACAAAAGGAAACATCAGCAGACCTAAAAAACAAAAATACCTTTTCATAAATGAATATTTTTTGGTACAAAAAATAACTATGTTTATATATGGATGAAATTGGTTGGCAAAAATTATTTTGGTCTATCAACATTCCTTTCATACTGAGCCTTGCCTGTGAAAATGAGAGACCAAGAGACATCTCATAATTTGCCTATTTCACCCTCAAACAGTCAATCAAATTTGATAGCTTGAAGGGTGGTGGATCGGAAGGGAAGCACAAAAGAGGGTGTACAGAGTGGGAGGGCGAATAGGTGAAATACTAGACTTAATCGAAGCAACTATTGGAGTGTAAAAAGAAATGAAAACTGAGAGAGTGAACACAAAAAAACTATGTTATTATATCTTCTATCATCATTACAATTTTATCTTCTCTTTCTCATCTCTCTGTGTCTTCGCCATGTTTTCCCATTGATGCGCATTATCTGAGTTTTTAACCGTGATGAGAATTTTCAAGTCTCATATTTTTACTCGACTTTACTTCTGCTCTTCTTATTTCATTTCGTCTCTTTTTGTATTTCATTCATTGAAGAAAAAGTTATCACCAGGAACAAAAAAAGATGGTAAAAACGTAAAAGCAATGAGGCCAAATTATAATGAAAAGACTAGGAAAAGAAGGCAAAGAAAATGAAAAAGAAGAAGAAGAAACGAAAAAAGGTAAAGAAGATGGAAAAGAAGGCGAAGAGAAATGAAGAAAAGAGTGAATTAATTTGACAATCAGTGACAAAATTTAGCTTTTTGTAAACCTTTTAACTTGCGAAGCAACAAAATGAAGATTTCTTGACTCCAATCAGACTGAACATTAACAGCAACAAAAGGCAAAGTTAAATCAACAACAAGAAAAAAAAATGTAATATTAAAAGCCATTATAACTGTAGGGGTCCAGTTGGGTTTTGGGTATTCACTTTTGCATATACATTTAGGTACATTTATGAGGTACAACGAAAACAGTTAACCGTCTCGCGAAATGTTAGTCAACAAAAAAGATGTCAAAAAATGAGGAAAAAATTTCAACAATTTTAAGTCTTTTCTTTCAATTTTACACTTTCTGTTTATCTGCTTACTGCCTTCATATTGAACCTTTTTTTGTGGTTTTCTGGTAATGTCAGAATACTCTTTGACTTTCCTTGACTTTTCCAGCTTATTTTTCATCTTTTGCCATCTTTTTTCTTCTCTTTTTTTCTCCTTTCTTTCTTTTTGCCTCAAGATTTATGATTATCAAGACAGTGCTCAACATTAACCATATATTTTACCAATATTTATATGAAATGCATTTATTCTCCTTTTTTCTGCTCTTCTTTACCAATTTTTTTTCTCATCTTTTCCATCTTATCTCATCTTTGTAGGCTTGGTCACTTGTAAAGTCACTTTGATGGCTGAGCTTTTTTTTGTTCAACTTAAATTCACCAATAGACCATAACCAGATCCCTCAATATTGTGTATATAATACAGATGATAATGATGATATTACCTGAATTACTTTTAAATTGAGGTTGCATTTAAAGTAGACCATTACTTATCTGTAAATGTACCCTTCCTTTTTTTTACCTTAGCTTCTCCTATCATCTTTCATCTCTGGACAAGCCCAGAATTTGTCCATGAAAGATGAGTACAGCTTTTGACTAAACTTATCCCTCTATTCCCATTATCCTCATCATTTTATGATTTTATTAATAACCAACTAGACAATTCCAATGATTCAGCAAGTCATGATATTCACCAACAGCAAAGGCCAAACTGGTGAAAAGCAGAGAAACCAAAATACTTCTAAAGGTGTGCAAAATTTCATTGTAAGATGATGATGATGATGATGATGTAAAGATGGTGTTGATGATGAAGGCATCTTTTACTTTTGTTTCAATCAACATTTCGCACAACTTGCAAGAAAAAAAACTGTTGTTACATTATCATGTTTGAAGGGCCAAATGTTTACTTGTTTGTTTGCTTAGCTGCCAAAAAAGCTGAAGGTGAAACATTAAATATTATGTTAAACTTTCAACTTTCAATTGATGATGATTAACACCTTTTGTTGTAGGAAAAAAAACATGTTCACTCTTAACCTAGTCGTTACCTTTGTTCAACACCAAGAAGCTCAATATTTCAATATATTACATTATCTATCCATGACAATCATCATTTGGCATTGATAATGATGACAACTTTGACTTTTCCCTTCCTTTTAGCTTCAAACATTGAATGTAATTTCAACTGTGTAACACAAATGCGCAAAGGGCTGTCAAAAACTGCTTTCATTTACCCTCTTCTCATCTCTTCTCATCTCTTTCAATCTTCTTTTTCCTCTTCTTTTTATTGATATTTACCAACTTTCACTCTCCTTTACCTCTTCACCTTTCATCTTTCACTTTTGTCCCTCTCCAACTGCAACACCAACAAATAATATTGAACAAAATCTTACAGTTAACAATCATTTTAATAACTTCACTTTCACAAAGGCAGTTCAATTTACATGAAAATTTTATTTCACTCCAAAGTATTGCCATTACTATCAACATTAATATTATCAAGACATTATCATAACTGTTATGATTTAACTTTTCAACTCTCCCTGTTTTCATCTCCTATTTCAATGGTACTTTATTAACTAAACTTAAACCGTATTCTGTGTTAATTGTAAACTCATTTTTTAAACTTAATTTTTTTCTTCTTACCCAATTGCTCCTTAACTTTAACCTAACTACATCTTTTTACATTTTTCTGGTTAATGATTATGAGGATAATGATGATGGTAATGGTGATAATAACAATAATAATAATGATGATGTGGTGAAATTTATTTAAAGATATACACATTCATGTATACATTGGGACATTTACAGTTGCTATGTATAAATTGTAAGGATAAATTTATTCATTGTAACTTCAGAATCTCGACTTTACACCAAATTTACCAAATCCAAGTGTTTCTTTTTATATCGTCAATACTCATCCATAATGATCATCGATATTTTGATATGTTGAAGGCTCACATGTATATGAGACAAGAAGCATCTTCTGTTACTTCATCTAATAATAATGCAAAACATTGACTTTCCTCCTGCAACATTCATCCCGGAAGTTTTATCCTAATTTCATCTTCTCTCATCATTATTAAATATTGATGTTTATGCCCTGGGTCAATAAGATAATCTTAGATTGGTTCCTATGTAATAGCTTTTACCATCTTTGACTCATTGTCCCAGTTTAGATCAATATTCAATTCTGGTTAGTTATTGCTTAGTCTCAATTTTTGTCGCATTTTTCTGGTTCCTTTTATCTTTCCATGTCATATTAATTGAGAGAGAGAAACTGAGTTTATCTCGCAACCAAATCTAACATCGGAAACTGTCAGCTAATTTCAATTAACTTTTTTCCTCTGAATACTTTCAATTCCCAAATCTGTCTATCTCCATATTAGAGCTTTTTACCAGCCCTCTGTTCAATCAATCTATTAGTTTAACATCATCTTAATGGCTTAATGAAATGTTTTGCCAAAATCTTTTCTCTTTTTTGTTTCGGTTTGACAAAATTTTTCCCTAATTAACGTTTTTTTTGCTGCTCTTCTCGTTGTTCCTAAATGAATTGCTTATCCTCTAAACTGCTCAATTTTCAGCTAAACAAATTGATCTTTCAATTGATTAGTCTTTCTGCCCTTTACAGGGCAATTAATCTTTGCAACCTTAAATTTGCAACAATTAATCAAAATTAACTATTTTTCAGATCTTTCTCTTTGCGCTTTGTTTTGCTTTGATTTTTTACTTGAACGTTAATTAATCTTGATTATTTTATTATTTTACGTTTTTATTTAACCATTTCCATTACCTATTTTCATTGTCTATTAATATTTATTGCTTTTTCTGCTCTTCTTTTCCCATTACAGTTTCCAAATTGAAATCATCTCATTCAATGATCTTTTTAATTTCATCTATTTCTGGGGCTGTTTTGCTGTTGATAATTGCTGTCAGCATTTTGGTTATCAAATCTTGTCGTCAAAATAGACATCGAAATGATAATTCATCGCGAAAGCATAATGGTTATATTGCTGCAGCCACAAGTCCAGTTGGCGGTAAAAACAAGTCAAATATTGAACTCAAACCACCCGACCTTTGGATCCGTCATAATGATCAAATTGAAGTATTCTGGTGATTCTCATATTGCCATTAATATTGATTATTTGATCAAATGATGAAAAGTGTAATTATCTAAAGTCATAAAACCTGTAAACTTGATGGCATCGTTTCAATTACATCGTAAAATTGTCTCCATCAATATCTCATCGCAACAATTACCATCTTCATCTTCATCGCTATCGCCATTATAAATCATGTTTATCCAGTTTATTTGGATGCAACAAAAGGTGTTCATGTAAATATTTTTTAATTGTAATCTCAACTCCAAAGTCAATTGGATCTCTTTGCTGATGAATGGCGCCAACTCATGAAACTGTCATATCAAAGACAAACCTTTTTTTTTAATTGCATAAAAGACTGTTTTTTTATTGTCTCATCTTTAGACAACACCTTGTCTATTGGTTTCACCTTGCTCATCAAATTGATTAATCAAATGCATTTTGTCGCACACTTCGCACAACAATTGGAAGTTACAGACCAAGATCAAAAATTTTAATAGACTTTCTCACAATTGGTATCCTTTCGTATTATTTAACTGTATAATGTTACTATGGATTCAACGGACAAAAGAGGAAACTTGTCAATTTTTATTGTCAAACTTAGAGCTTTTTAACTATCCTAAATGATTGTACAAATCACCCGGTTAATTGTGAGATGATCAACTTCAACAGAAATCAACTAAACTTCAATTAGCTCAATTTGAGTGTTTGCATTATTGAATATATTATATAAATTTAGTATGTCATCAATATTGATTTATGCAAAAACCCAATACTGTATATTTACTTGTATATATTTAATTGAAATACATTTATACATAAATTATATTATATCTAATAATGGTATATGCAAACAAAGAGTTGATAATAATTCAAAATCAATGTCTGGACAAAATGTTTCAGCCTTTGTCAGTCAAGAGTAGGGCTCCAATCGTATCAATTTAATATAAATTAGTCAAGTGAGTCGCTTTCATGAAACCAAAACTTGATTTAATCAATAACAAATTAGGTTTATTATGTATTTTTTGGTGATTATTTTAGTCAAACTTGGTATTTAGATTTAAAGTATGAGACCACAAGGAAAATTACAATAAACAGAATCAATAGTTTAAGTCATTAAATTATACAAACAGCGTTTAGTATTAAACAATTTGAAGCTGGAGACAATTCTCGGATTGAATCAGAAAATAACAAAATAATGGATTTGCCTTTTGGATATTGAAAAATGGTGAAATTAGTCATTCTATTTAGTTAATTTGATGACTAAATTTATTAGTAAATTTATGAGGGGGAATTTTTACACAGAACGGATGTTTTTATAATTGCTGATTCAAAACCATAAGGATCTCTTCATATTGGCGTCTTTTCTCCATTTCCTGGTGCTTCAGTTCATCAATTATACCTTGGAATCGGGAAACTAAAGCTGTATTTTCAATGTCCGTAATCTCGGCTTCTTGGATTTGTCGTTTCTCTCGAATTGTAGCAATTTCACTTTGAAGCTCGTTCAATCGGTTAACTAGATCATCATTTGCTGAGGCATTCATATCAGAATCTCCCATTTCATTTGCTTCCTCTAAAGCAGCAACTGCAGCAGCCGCGGCGGCACTCGAAGACTCACTTGTAATATCATAAGACATGTTACCATTTCCAGTCCGGTTTTCTTGTTCTATTAACATTCCAGGAGTGAATTCGGTTACATACTTATTTTCTGATGTGCTTGGAGCTTCTTTATGAGAACTGTTTGCTTCTCTCAGAGGAGGAGAAGAACCGCGACTTCCTTCATCAGTATCTTGGGCTCTGGTATCTTCTTCATCCGAGCTACTTAAAACTTCACCGAATAAATCGTGTTCGACAATATCCATACTTTGAGAATTATTAGAAATGACTCCAGAAGGTCCAGCACTTTGAAGTCCTTGTTTGATTTCTTTATTCTTTTCATCAGTGTTGACAACTTCATACCTAACACTAATGGCTTCACTGTCAGTTCTGAAAAGTCTCTTCACTTCCTTTTCAATCTCAGGAACATCAAAAAATTTTTTCTTTAAGGTTTTTCGGAATCTTTTTTTCCTCACATTTTTCAACGGCGGTGTAACTCCATGAGGATATAGAAACTTTTTATCTTTGCCGTCCTTTTTCTTGGATTCTTCTCCTTCTGGTTTTTCCTCTTCAATCTCATCTTTACATATCATCATTTGACAAATATCAGCCGTCTTGTAAAATGTTTTAGCATCCAATGTTTTGAGTGACTCAATGATACAGGGTAAATCAACAATCTTAGCCGGTAATACCCAGCCATCAAATCGAACAGTTCCATGTCTCATGTCATTCTCAACTTGAATGTTAAGGCGATCTTTTAGGTTGAGAACACCGCTGGCAACAACAGAGCGAAGAGTAGCAGCAGGCAAAGGTGGCAGGCGCAAAATAAATTGTGATTCCAATTCAGTGTTGCCATCAGAACTTTCAATAGGTATATCTCCTTTATCAGGCATATTAGTATTAAATAAATAACGAGAATAAATTCAAATATCAGTCAAAATAATAAAAAATGATGTGACTCATAAATAAACAAACCAAGAAATAAAAAAACATATGCAGCAGTATTTTTCTAAAAACAGACACAAGATGTCTCTACATGATAACTCTTTGAATTTTGAATAACATTTTGAATTTTCTGGATTTTTGGCTTTTGTAATTATTTTCAATGATTTATTTTAATGTAATTTTACAATTAATGATTTTGTTAGTTAATTAAGATAGTGATTTTCAATTTGGCTTATTTAGTTTTTCAAAATCTGATATAGTTTTTTGTAGATTGAACAGCTTGTTAACGCTTAAACTTGCACCTTCAAAATTATTGTGCTTTTAGGTGTTGAATAGGTTACATCAAGATTAATCAAAACGTATTGGTTTCAAATTAAGATCTGCTCATCTTGAGATGATTTGGATAAAAATTGTATTTAAACAAAATTAGCAAAAATAGATGATAGTAAAAGTGATTATTAGTTATTTTTAACAACACAATTAAAGCTATAACCACTGTTTTAAGGATCAATTGGGAAAAGTAAAAGTCATTTGTTAATGAAAACTGTTTTTCAACATGATAATCAACTGATGAAAAGGTAATTAAAAAGTCACAAAAGGATGTAACCGTATTTTGCTGTTTAATCAATCGCAAGTCATTATATTGATTATTGGGAAAAGTAATTGGGTATTTATGTGTATAATTAGATCCATAATCTTCCTCAAAATCAAATCAATTGAAAAGCAGCCAACCTTTCAAAATATGACTACAATTGAAGTGACAACAGATTTAATAACTAGCTGTTATTTAACTATTATACAATTTACATGTATCAAGTGAAATCTTATGCTTCAACTAATTTATTGAAATGTTAACCTTTAAATAAGCCATGATAGACTGAAATGATTAACAAGCTATATCCAATCATTTAGATGAGGATAGTAATTGAATCAAGAGTCGAGCATTTCTTGAGTAAAAACAGTAAAATTTGAATTAAATTGAGGCAATGTTGTTGAAAAAATACAGAAAGTAGTGAATGTACATTTTGCCCAACAGTAATGATATTGACGTTAAATCAACTGTTAACCAATAATTAAACTGATTGATGATAGTATGTCAATGGTAGTAATTATGTCTTATTAGCTGTAAAGTTGTTTTGAAAAATTGTCTTATAACAGAGGTTAAATGAATGAAGCTAAACTCTTGATAAGTCAATCGTGGTTAGAAGAGGTTAATCAGCTTTCATAATTTGATGTACTCTCACAATTGTGTGACACTGGGTAAATACAAATCACACTAACAATTAGATTCATTGTTGGATACACAAATCAATAACAGAATTTTGATTCTTAAATAAGTATTGCTAACATTAAACAACTTACAATTATGTTTAGTAACCAAAATACAAAAGCACTCTTGAAAACAAATCAATTTGGCTTCAACTAATCAAATAATTTTGGGTTCAAACCCAAGTCAATAGGCCTTAAAACTCAATTATGGGTTAAAGGATGTGTTATGTCTATTGAAATAATTATAATTGCTGGAAGGTTTAAGCTATAATTTACATATTTATACAAAATGCTTGGATTTCTTGGATTGGGATAGGAAAATATGCTTCAAAGTTGCTTTCTTTTAATAATTCATCTTGTAATTGAGAGGAATTAAATAGCTATGAGTTGATTATGATTGAAGTGGTTTCACACTGACTCAATTGAAACAAATGGTCAAACTGATGGTTTGCTTACATCGGAGATGCGACTCAAGTCAAAATATTTTCAATTGAATTTTCACAGCTCTTATTTACAGTAGTCATTGAGCCTTGATTAATTTAATCATTTGCGTTGACATCTTATTTGAAAATTTGTTTCATTCCAGTTATGACGATGATAAATGACAAGAGTTTGTATCAACTTGGATTGGTAAACGAGAGTTTGATTTATGTTTCAACAATTTATTCAAAAAATGCATTCATTATGAAAGTAATGTTTGCATAATTTATTGATTGTTAGAGGCGAAATAATTTGACTTTTATCCGTTCAAGAAGATAAAATCAGTGAGTTCAGAAATCAATGATCTTAAAGTGATATCGACTTATATTTGGCTAACTTGCGACTAAACACTGTTGGTACGCTTCTGTACTTATCCATACTGATTTGTATGCATAGTCAAGCTCTTAATTTGATAATGACAGTGAATGTTTAAAGATAATTATCAGCCATTTTGTCCTTATTAATCCCTAATGAAAACCCTGATTTTGTGTGGTGTTAACCAATCACTTTTCATTTTCAACCTTAAACGATACTTTCTCTGAATTCCGATTACAATCATGATTGCCAGGAGGACCTGTCAATCTTTATTAAAATTTATCTTGATAGACAGCTCAATTGTTATGCACAAGTGTCAAATATAATTAAAATTGAAGCATAGATTGAAATTATGCAAAATATAAATGATAAAAGATTCTGATGATATAATCCATTCAATTAAGATAAACCAAGCTAAATTCATTGCAATAGCTAAATCAAGCCTAAATCTTCAAGTCGATTTGAGATTAATTGCCATTCTATTTCAAACACACACCAATTTAATTTTAATGGAAAGAGAAGAGAGAAAAATTCAGTAGATGAAAAATTATTGAAATGCATTTCCGTGGCTAAATTGAGCATTGATTTAGACATTAAAAGTGATAATCACCAGGAGATTCATCACAGCCAATTGGTTTCCTAACAGTAACTGGATAGATAGGGTATATGGTGATGAATCCTTTAATCACATCTTTAATAGAGGAAAAGACAATTTGATGAATTATTGTTTTCACTTTTTTCTTGGAAAATTAACATTTTGTATTAATTTACTTTTCTTGAGGGTGATTGACTTATTTGTCTTACCATTTTAACCCATTACTAATCATTTGTTCAATTTAACCGTCACCAGTTATACCATTTTGTCACTTGAAGGCGCAGCCTTTGATTTTATCTCTTTCTTTTCAAACGAAAACGTTTTGAGAATGAAATCTTTAGCTTCAGTTTTTTTAGATTATCTGACTTTCTTTTTGTTCCATCTTCTTATAATCTTGAAGGGTAACCCTGAGCTATCCGTGATTTGTATTGTTTTTCAGTTCAATTGCAACTATTATAACAATTTATTGAAACAACATCATCAGCATTAATATCGGCAACACAAGTCGTTTTTCAAGTTGAGGAGATAAACATAAAGGTAATAAACATGTACGTGATTACTTTCTCATCATTGTCTCCCAATATTTATACCACAAGATTGAATTAAGAGGAATCAAGGAATTAATATCGCTTACAACTTTTAAATTTATTTTCTTAAATACCATCAAAACAATTACAGGTAAGAACAATCAATTGACAGTGAGTTTATCTTTTTATAAACAGCAACAGTAAGCTAGTTCCTACTGCTTTATTTGTTTTTGTGTGAAGCGCACTTTAAGTTATTAGTTGCCATTAATCTCGAATTAAATATAACTAATTTTCAAAGATAATAATTGTATTAATAATCCTTCTTCCTTATCTATTTGATTTATCCAGCCTCCTGCATCATCATCGCCATCCTTAGTTGGTCCTAACGGTTTCCCTGTTGTATCCATTTGTCAACTGGTTCAGTAAAAGTAGCTGTTCAACAATCGCATAATCGGATGTTACTATTTGTATACAAATCGTCTCGTTCTGGTTGACCGAACCATGGTTTCCACCTTCCTTTGAAACACTTCATTCACCATATAAAACTGAACAATCATTTGATTTTACGGTTTATTTAGTATCATTGATGAGTGCCTGATGAGTTGAGAAAAGAAAACATAAGCTTTAAAAAGTATCATTTCTATAGCGAAGACAGTTTTAGTTTGTTTATAGCGTATTGCTTAAAGGTTCAACTGAAGTGATCAAAAATATTATTTAAGTTCAAGTGAACTAGTATATAACTATAGTATACAAATTAGATATTTAATTCAATTTGAATTGTATAAGTGTTGTGATACAAATTAAGGCGCTGAGGCCATGGCGTCAACTATTTTATATCAAATCATTTTTTTCATCACTTTTATTTGTGTCAATAATTGTGTCAATGGAGATGCCAATGGTGTAAATACAAATGTTTCTTCCACATCACCCATTACGATTGCTGGTAATTTATCTTCACCAGTAGTCCAACTTTCTGCTAATGATTCTAAAGTTGATTGGATTCAATCAGTGCTACAAGCCTATGAAGCTGGTACGGATAAAGGTATTTTCAAAGTTATAATTGTGTTTTTATGTTCGTTGTTTATTTTCCTTTGCTACAAATATAAAAATTTATTCTCTTCTAGGCTCCAAAACGACCAATGGAACCAATGATTTGGATACAAGTGCTTCAGGTCATAGATACCGTGTAACCCATGTTAATCCTTCACCATCATCTTATGAAGAAGATGATTATCGAAGCCGTGCTTCATCAGCTTACCGTGGCTCATCTTATCACCATCATCATCACCATCGAGGCAATCAGCCTTTGAGTAGTTATGAATCAAATGACAACCATGACAATGATCATCGTGATTACCATTCCCATCCACCCAAGTCTCGTTCATCTGCCTCAAGAGATGATATTTCACCTGCCCCATTAAGTGCACGAGATGATGCTTCTCGTAAAACGGACCCTGATTTTGGACAACATTATGATTCTGATGGTCATCGATATGATTTTGGTTATGATGTTAAAGATAAAGATGGTGCTCAAGCTTTCCGTAAAGAAAGCGGAGACGCTAAAAGTTTAAAAGGTTCATATGGAATACGTGATGTTGATGGTCGTCTGCGTATTGTTCGTTATGTTGCCGATGAGAAAGGTTTCCGTGCAAAAGTGGAGACAAATGAACCAGGAACTGGTAGTGAAGATTCAGCTAATGTCTATTTCAACGGTTATGATGCTGAAAGAATACCTTCTCATGAAGTTGTCCATAAAGATCGTGGTCAACATTCCTTCAAACATGGACACTACAATAAACATACTCCTGCTGACTCTGGTCTCTATGATGACCATAGAGAGTATGTTGATGAACAAAGTAGCGACGAAGTTTCCGGCTACCGATTACATGATCAAATACCAATGGAGATACAACCCGCTGTAGGACCAAGGATGAGATTTGCTACTGTTCCAATTGATGCCAATATGGTTGATACCGTAGATCCCGATGGATCAGTCGCTGTTGCTGCAGGATTATCCGGCTCTATGGATGGTTTATTACCAAGAACACCATACAAAGATGTTGCTTCACCCTATCACACCTCTTTACATCATCATATCCATCATCATCCCTCTTCTCCCCTGGACTTAGGACACGCACACAAATTTAGTCGACCAATGTACTCAAAACGTCGCCAAGACTCTAAAGTAACTGACTTCACGTATAACATTCCTTATAACAGCATAACAGGGTTTTTCAAAACAAGGTACTTGTAATATTTTATATCATCATTATTTTGTGTCATCATCTCAATCAAAAATGTCATCAATATTACTTTGACCATTTATTTTGGCTAACGTCTAGTTACTAATTTTTTTGTGAACAAAACCTTTTTTTCGGCGTAAAAATACTTTTACATTAATTTTTTAATTCATCTGATCAATATTTTTGTTATGAAAATTTTAATTTTCTTGCCCTTTTTGCTAATATATACTCTTTATTATTGAACTAATTGTCTTTCCAAGCCGACAGAGTTCCATGTCAATATTTTCCACCGTAAATAATATTTTTGAAAAAATGTAAATACAATCAAATTGAAAATAAATGAAGCGTACCAAAGAGACGATATGTTGTTCAATTATTGTAATCAATAGGTAAGTAGCCCTTAGGAACTAATTTAATAATAAATCTAGAACTAATTTTACTACTAAAAGTTATGCAAAAATAAAATACCGTAAGTGATTAAGTTGATTATCACAGTAATAGTAACCATTCCAAATAACACTGACGGACTGATGCACTAAAGAGAGACATAATAATGAGGCCAAAAGGTTGGTTTTGTGAGTGGAAACAGAGAGAAAGAAATACAAATCAATTAGTATTTTTGTTACCAATGAAACAGAGGGAATTGACAAATGATTTATTTTACAATTAATTAATCTTGTAAGTTGAATGTTTCAAATTATGCACAGTTTCGACTCTCATTATAATAGCAGTTTGCCATTAACAAGATAATTAGGCTTTACTGTTGTTATCATTGAAGATCATGCATGAATTGACAAGATCCTCTGTTGAGTTTCTTAAAGAACCCATGCATGTTTCATGGAAGATGATAAAAGATTGGATGGAAAGATTGAAAAAGGATAATGAGTGAATGACAATGAACATGTGATGAATGAGAGAGAAAAACAAAATGAAAATAGAATTAGAATTTGTAGTGTAACATCAAGAAAATTTGGTTCATTGGTTTCAGGACTTGTGTTTGATGTGTTTTCAGATTAATACAAAAAAAACAAAAAAATACAACTTAAAATTAGGAAAGATTGTTTTTGTTTAACCCAAAGTCAATATATTTAAACATTCTTTATGATATCAATGAATCTATTTTTACGCTTGTTTTTCACTAAATGATTCCAACTTGCAACAACATAGGAACAAATTCTATGGTGATATTTATAGTTGTGTCGGGATTGGTTGTGAGAAGATCATTCAGAGGTGTTGGTTGGCTTTTTAGATAAATATAGTTCTTTAGCTATAACAACTGAATATAAGCGCGTTTGTGAGCGTGCATCAGATGGGATATCTTTAACTAGCTCTACATTGAACTAGCTCTTCGGGATATTCAGAGTTGTCTGAATCAAATCTAAATCGATAGCCCATATTATAAATTGCCAACTCGCCAGTTTGATTTTCATACATAAGCTTCTGATTTGAGCTTGCAGCTTCGTTGATATCTTCTACTTCAGTGGGTTCGACGCTATCAGGTCCATCCTGAGACAGGAGTACAATGAATAAAAGAAGAAAGGAGAGAAAGAAAAGATTGATCATTAGAACTTGAAGATCAATATCAAATTAATGTGAATGTAATTTCAGGTATGTTTGAGCTTTGAATAGCTTTTAAGAGATAAGGTTAAAAGCGATCAATTGAAGCGTTATATACTTGTTATTGTTATTTGTAACAAAATTAATGTATTATCTGCACTTAGTAAGCAGATAAATAATAAATGATGCGAACCAATTACAGTTGAAATGTCAATTAGAAAGCTGAAATGGTGAATAAATGACAATTTGAAGCAAGAAAGGGGAGATTCTTGACCTGCATTGAAATAGGTGTCCATTGAAAGTTGATTAAGATTTGGTTATACTAATTGTATAATGAAGCTGATTATTCTGATCATAATAGTGTTTTACAAACTATCGTTGATCAAAACGAGCCTTATAAAGTAATAAAGTCTAAAAACCTTCTCAACATGGCTGAGTGAGGCTGACAAATTAAACTTTTGAATGAGATTTTTAAACAATCAATGGACAAAAAGAGGCCACACAAAACGGCCTTATTCAGGCAAATCTAACTCTAATTATAATAATTGTATCGGGTGTCAAACTAAAACAACGCATAAATCAACGTTCAACTAACCTCAGGTTTAGGAGCCCATAACTTGACAGTTTTTTCAATTCCGCTAGTGGCAAGAAGACAATCAGTAGGATGAGGCTGTAAACAGTTAACTACGGCCTCATCTGCTTTTAAGACACGCACGATGTTAGTCGTTTTGCGATCCCAAATAAATATATTACCATCGTCAGAGCCCGCAACAACATACTGGTCATCTCTGAAAAGAACAAAATTATATAAAAATCTGTTAAAGAGGTTGAAACCTTAAAATTTGAAGTGAAAATCAATGAATGTAATAAAAAATCTCATTCAAATTGTCGATCGATGATAAAAATTAAAGATTTAGATTTTTGATTTGAATGATCAAACAAACCTTCCAAAGAAATTTGCTTCTTTTATGTCAGTTGTTGTGTTACAATGGCCGCAAAAGCGTTGCTTGAAATCGGCTGCTCTTGCTCTCCAAGTGATCTCTTTTTCGTTGAGATTAGGTAATCTTGAATTGAATGATAAATTTCTTGGAGCTGATGATGAGGATGAAGATGATGACGAGACAAAAGCTGTCACTGCAGCTTCTTCTGCATCATCAAGTTCAGAGGCACTTAAACACTCTCCTTTGGATGATGTGGAAGCTTCTTCACGTTCTTTTAATCTTTCCAAGCAATCTTTGATTTGTTTCTCCAATTCAGAACATGATTGATCTTTAGCTTCTTCTGGGAATGTTGATTTGAACTTTTCGAAACACTCATGAGCTTCTTTATATCTTTTTAACTCACTTAAACAACGAGCCATGCGAAAATGAGCTCTAAAATAGCCTTTATCTAGCTCAAGAGCCTTGTAACAATCTCTTAAAGCTGCATAAACATCACCATCCCAACCTCGCTTCATTAAAGCAATTGCTCTGTTACCGTGAAGAACAGCCGCATTTGGACAATGAACGATTGCTTTATTATAAAGCCAAACAGCATTGATATAGTCTCCCTTATCGAATCGCTCATTAGCTTGTTCCTTCATCAATTGGACTTTAGGTGGAAGTAATTGCTTAACCCCATAAACGCTATAATATTTAAGATTAGATGGCCGATGGAAGCCATTTTTAGTTTTAGCCGTGGGCTGGTTCTTCGTTCCATTGGTTTTTCCGTTGTATTCACAAGTACCATTGGTTGAATTTTTATTAGATGTTGAGCTAGTTTTTTTAGAAGAGACTGTCGTTTGAGTTGATGATGGAAGATAGTAACTGTGTAATGTCTGAACTTTGTTAATGTCATAAAGGTATATCTGTTCACTACCGAGATTGGCCAGAAGTTCATTCCCTTTAGAATTGAATGATACATATGTACACGTTACAGCCGGCTTTTTCTTTGAATGTAGATGACCAGCGATGAAGTATTGGACACAATTATGAGGTAAATTTGATGGTGGAGGAACCCATGAGGGGTCGTCATTTTCTTGCTGTTGATTTGCCGCTCGCCCAAAGCTGGACATAAGGAAACTAATTGAGCTAGATGGTGGATGCTATAAAATTAATTGAACAAATATTAGACTCGATAGATTTTGCATACATTGAAAATTGCATATTGTTTCTAATTACCTTTGCTTGAGTTAAGGAGATCATTCTTCTGTCATAAAGGCGGATATAAGGGTCATTAGCACCAATTGCTAACAAATGTGGTTGTACTGGATTAATTGATATACATTTGACTTCTGCAGAGGGACTAATGTGACTTGTTAAATTAATTAACACATTGTTGCAAATTTGAGAGCACCAATGTTTCTCTCGAAGATCAAACTGCAAAACAAAACCATCTTCTGCTGCTGACATAAAGACATTAGGTTCATTGGATGGAGTGGCCAGTCTTTTTACTCGATTTGTATGACATGTACAATTCAATATACATTCAGAGGCAACCATATCATGAACTCGGATAACAGCGTCAGCAGCACCGCTGGCAATACAGTTTCCAGAAGGTGATTTAACATATTTTACAGAGAAAATATTTCCAGTATGTCCACTTTGAATAGTTTTAACACATTTTCTTTTATAAGGATTCCATAAAACTATGTTACAATCATCGGATCCACTGGCTAAAAATCTGTAGACCAAAGAAAACTACGTTTAGTGGGAATGTTTTTTAAAGAGCAAAGATGTATTCAAAATGAGTACTTACTGCCCTGAATCGTGCCATTCCAAACAATTCACACATTTTGTATGCTCCTAGAGGGAAAAAATTATCAATGAGAGCATTAAAACATAACAATAAAAGACTAGCATTGTATTTCATCACTCTAATGAAATACTAGATTATGTAAAAATCGAATGAAAAAAGAGATGACCATTGGCTAATATTCTAATTTTAGCTAGTCTAAGTGCGTAGATAATTAAATGAGTAGATTAATAAAGAGTTAAATATACTCTATCAAAGCCATGCACAGTAACCGGTTCATCACGGTAAGCCTGATTGCTGTCTCGGGTTTAGAAAAACCATGAGCTTATGCTCTGTTTGTTTTTTAAGCTTCATTATCTAATACGAAATGAATTGATTGAGAATAAAATTTGCATAATTCTTCAAGAACAGGAAGGTAAAGAGCAAGCAATAAAGGATAAAGTAACCATAGCAAGTAAGGGTAAGGTAAAGTTCAAACAAAAAATGGTATTGGAAATAAATCAAGGCAAAAAGAATTGAGAACAAACCTTAAGCTCGTGTATCATTCCAAGTCTCTTAATGAGACGATCGGTGAGGTGGAATTTTCTTTCAAATTTCAATCTTGAATTATCTTGAATTTGCCTATTAATATTGGCTGAAACAATATTGTTGTCCCAACTCATACTGTTATTCGATATTTATTTTAGGTTACCAGTGAGGCGAAAACAGCTGAAGCACTATCCACTAAGAGTTCACAATTAAATTAACCGGATTCCAAATTACACACTATTAGGTTGCCACAAAACTTTAAATGTTGGCGATAATGACGATGATGATAAGGCTGATTCAATAAATTAGTTAATCGAGGAATAGCTAGAAAAGAAAAGCTATCTCAAGAAATGTATCCTCTTTTCAAAACGAAATTCTTTATATCTTTAGACAGTCCTCAAAAATTCAATCTTACTTGAAGCAAACAAAAGAGATACGCTTATTAACTGATGGTCACAAATATATAGATTTTAGTCAACATAAACAAATAAATTATAATTTGAAAGAAAAATAAAGCAAAAAATCACACAAAATTAACCAATTGTATTGAATGGCAAAGTAACAACAGAAATAAGACGCTAGCTGTATGTTTATATTGGGAGTTATTATTATCATAGATGGCACCTTTATCTATTCGGAAGCAAATTTTCAAATTAATTAACTTTAATTGAAATTTTACAAATTTCATGAGATTTATTTTCTGGTCGACTTTCACAGATTATACAAGAATTATAAATGCCTCATAACGCGGAAATGTTGATTGATATTAATCTGAATATTACTCTAAACTGGACGATAAAGATCAAAGGGCATTAAAATCAGACTGAATTGGATTGTTCATCAACATAGTTGTCACCAATTATAAAATATCGTTTAAAATGATGACAAAATTATGAATATTCAAGTTGTAAAGCAAATAGAGTAGCCTAATGAAGGTATTTTGGAAGAATTGAGTTTATTCGTACCAACTCATCTAGTAATTTACAATTTTCATAGTTGACTTTCCCGAAAATATTCAATTAGTCAAGAACAGTTAATTCTTAGAAAGTTGAATTGAAAATTTATTGAACAATTTCTCTATTTGAGAGGTATAAATCTTGAAGAGTGGGTAGCACCAATACCGGGTCTTCCGTGCTTAACAGGTTTGTATGTGATTGAAAACTCTCCGAGATAATGTCCAATCATTTCTGACTGTAGGTTACAGAAAAGGAGAAAAAAGACTAGAATTAATAAACATTCACCAAAAAGTTTCAACTTGAACGCAAGAAATTGATTCAGATAGGAAGGACCATCATAAGAATTAACTTCTGGCGGAAACCGCGAATGATTTCGTGATTTTTTTCATCATTCTAGATAATGAATGCGATTGGATATCGCTAAAATTGCAATATAACCATCTTACCTTAATTTCAACTTGGTTGAAAGTTTTACCATTGTAAATTCCTACAACACATCCAACCATTTCAGGTAAAATCAGCATGTCACGAAGATGAGTTTTAACAATTTCTGGCTTCTCTAATTCACCACAGGCTTTCTTGGCTTTTCTCAATTTCTTCAATAAAGCCATTTGTTTTCTCTTCAATCCACGGTTGAGTCGACGTTTAGCTCTAGCATGGAAGAGTTCTTTAAGATCAGCCCTGAAAAAATAAGAAAAAGATAATTAACATCAAATAAGAGGAATAAACTATAATCACTGTTACAATGTGAAACTACTTACATTTCCATATCCAAAAGTTGATCCAAATCAACTCCTCGGTATGAATATTTCCTGAACTGACGTTTTTTCTTTAAATCGGCGGCTGCACTATCGTCTTCCATCTTGATAAATTAATTAATTAAATTAAATTAAAATTACCCACTAATGTAAATAGATGAACAATTAATGTGTAATAACCCAACACAAGCAAATCTCACAAACTCTACAAACCAGCACTACTTCCGTTTCCTTAGCGATTCACAGATAACAGAGCCATCTTGTGGAAGAGTCGCGTAAGTAAATGAGGCAAAAATGAATTGAATTGAAACCTATTTCCATGTGTGTTAATTAAAATTAAAGGAACGAATTAAATAACAATTAAGGTTTTTTTATTAAGAAGTGACAAAAAATTTTAACTTTTTAACTCAATTAAAAGTTAAAATAAAAATTGATGTTAAACAGGGAATAAATTGAAGAATTTATGAAAAATAAAGTAAAATATTTGATTAGAAAATTCACTTTTGTCGTTTGAACATTTGATAGGAAACTTTACAGAAATGACCAGTTTACGTGAACGATTTTTCCATGTCTAATAAACATCAAGAGTACCTCGAAAGTTGGGTCCTTTTGATATGTAAATCTCCTCATAATATTGTTCTTGTGCGAGAATGATTACACATCTTTTGTGAAGAGCCAAAAGCTGGAAAAAGGTCAAAGCAGCCTGAGAAATAGAAAAATATTTTTAGATTAAATTGAAAACAAATGGACACAATAAATAACGAACATAATGAATAAAATAAACGGATATTCACCTTTTTCCTGTTGCAATCTTGAGTCAACTGAGAAAAGGAGACAGGTTCAGATAGACTCTGAGATAGCTGAGACAAAATCCCTTCTTCAGGTGTAGATGAAAATTCTGATTGGCTTTGTGAAAAGAGCGGAACTTCTTCGGGTGGATCAACATCCATGTGAGTTTTTTCAAATTCAATGATGGATTCTCTAGGTAAAATCTCTGGTTCATATATAGTTCCTCTACGAGCTTGCTCTTGTGATAAACGTCGACGTTTTCTGCGACGTTGGCTGCCTCTTTCCTGAGATGGTTGAGAAGATTGCGATTCAGGTACAGGTTCTTTCAGGCCCACTCTAGCAGTCGGCTCACTTTCTGTTACTTTTTCTTGCTCCACTACTGGAACTTCAGGGATTGGTTCCTCAGGTATATCAGGTGGCGGTAAATCATTTATTTCCTCTTCAAATAAAACACTAGGCAATTCTTCATTAGGGATTTCTTGATCGGGAGCAGCATCGGTGGGATTTGCGTCTTGGGTTGGAAGTAAATCATCATCATCATCATCATTACTATCTGATTCCATTTTGAGACATGATTTGAAAAGCTATCGAACGAAGACACATAAATAGAATTAGAATGTAAAATAATTAAAGAACGTTGCAGCAATTCGAATTTTACTCACCGCTAAGGCAATTGACGATACATATTTAGTAGATGGATTGTTCAACAAAACTGTATCAGTTCCGCTTGCCTTTGTCATCATTAAAAATTTAGTAGAAGGAGCACGTTCACGTCCAATAGATTCCGAGGCATCACGAAAATTTCCCATCATTCTAGCTCGTGGTATAGAAGTGACTTCATCAATCAATACTATGTTAGCTTTCTTTCTTTTAGTTCGTTTATGTGACTCGTCAAGTGGTTCTAAAACTAATTCCTCGTCATTCAATTCCAATCTTGAATATCTAGAAGTGCTAGGTCGTCGAGCTTGTTCCATTGATGGACCGGCCACCGGTTCGAGATTGTCAACATTTAAAGCTTCGTCAGAAGGCTGCTCTGGATGGTCTTCTTGTACATCAGGAGCAGGAGTTGGTTGTGTTGGTAAATCAAAAAAGTCAACAACAATATCAGGGCCAGCCCCGAGATTTTCAATATTTTCAGTTATGTTATCATCAACAGTCGGATGATGTTCTTCAATATTCTCCTGACGCTCGTCTTGCACTGGTTCTTGTGATCGACCTGTGAAAATTTTTCAATATACATTTCAATTAGCATTTCATAATTACAAAAAGTGTTCCATAACGTACCTGAACGTTTCTTGGCAGCTTTACTCGTTGATGGTGCATGAATATCGAAAACGGTTGTAGGATCTTGATCCAGATTTCCACCAAAGCCATCATCTGTGAAAACTCTGTCTTCAAACAGGATTTCATCCGTGTGAATTGATTCATTTAGAAGATTGTCATTTCTGAGAACATCTAAACTCTCAAACTCTTCACTAATAACTTCAGCTAAATCTCCTAAAATACGAGTTTTAGTAGCATTTATTATTTTGAACTCAGAGGCACCACAACTCTCAGGAAGCAACTCATAATCTAAATTATCATCACTCAAATTGATATCACGGGTTGATTGGTCGAGCAAATCGATTCCTTGTTCTTCAATAAATTGTGGAACATGATAGGCATACTGCAAAGCATCAGACAGTAAGTAAGAAACTTGTTGATTAAACAGATAACTAATACCATATAAAAGATGAGAAGAGAGTCGTAGAGACATTAAAACCCGGGAACAAAGAATGGCTTCAACTGATTCAGCAACATTGACATTGATTATATCTTTTTTGGACAACTTTTTCCGATAAGTGGCAGCTAACCAAACTTTAGCAAGAGGTCCTTTCCTGCCTAAAACAAGTGTATGATAAAACATTATAAAAATAAACAATAAATAATAACTGAAACAAAAAAATGAATCACTAATGTAACAGTTACTTTCAACTTCGAATGAACTTTGTTAGTAATTGAGTAATGGCGATAATTTTTCGTAACATTTTATCAACAAATAGAACCACCAGATGGCGCGGTAACAATTCAAATCAGCCAATGAGCGACGAGAACCAAAATGAAAAGTTTAGTCGTTACTATGGTAAACGCGGTTAAATCTTGTAAAATTGTATCACTTAAGATAACTATTGGATTTTTAAATTTTTGTTGTACTTAATTGGGATTGTTAAATTAATTTTTATTTGTTTGTTTGATTTATTAGATTGCTCGAGTTATGAGTGAACGACTTAAAAGGAAGTCAACTCCATCATTGGCAGACCTTTCATCGCCCAGTGTAAGGAGAACCTCAAGTCAGTATCATATTAATTGTATTCCTACTCCTGTTGATGTTTCTGGTGAAGTTAATCCTGCACGCCATGGTTTGTAATGCTCCTTTTGTTGCACATTCCCTAGATTGTTTACCATTTCCCCTTGATTAACTTACCCTTGACCAATCTAATCCCTATTTATCAAATATAGCATGATATTTTGACTGTATTTGTTTGTCTTATCCCTCACTGTTCACCCTACCTTTACTTGTTTTTTTTTCATTCTTAATACTTTATCCTTTGATTTATTTGAATAATTAACAGATTCTATACGACCGATTGCACTTAAAAGCCCTGGTCGACGTAAATCAAGTCCTCTATCCGTTAACAAGTCTTTATCAACAATAAAATTGAGTCCCATCAATGTAACTTTTACGCCTGTCATTGCTGAAGTTGATAGCCCTAAAGTTTCACATGAACATGAACAGAACAAGACAGACGATCGTATCGAAGATAAAGTTTGTGAAATCATTCAAGTTCCTCAACTTTCGGGGATCAAACCTCTTATCAATGAAACTTTAAAGAATACCAACAAAGAAAACTCACTTAGTATAGTAACCACACCTAAATTACCCAGAAAAGAAGTCGTATCACCAACTTTCCGATTAAAAAGATCCAATCTCTTGAGTGATTTGGGTAAAATCTTCAACAATGTGCCTGTTGACCAATTCATGGAAGGTGTTAAGGAAGATTCATTCGATGAAATGACTTTTTGCGGTCAACTTATGCCTTTAGAGGAAGAACCAGCTGAAGAGAAATCTAATGAAGAATTGACTGAATCTACTCTTATCAAATATATGTGTGAATCATGGAAAATGCTAACTAGTGCTCAAGAAAGAAGAGATAAATTATACGACGTGAAATGCTCTTTTGGATCAAGAATTATTCAAATCTGTGACAATGTTTATCGAGGACTTGATTCCTTGAATACACGATCACCTGATTTCAAGGGAATGGTCGAACTTTTTCTAAGTCTCTCAAATCTGTTTGAGCTATCTCGGTGTTGGCTGGCTAATTATCCAACAGAATCAGCTATTTCTTATCAACAGACTTTAACAAAGCTTTTCAAGTCTGCTGAAGATTCTATCAATCAACTCAATGACTCAGGATCGAATGCTAAAAGAACAGCACAAAGGTATCTAATGAAACTTGTTTTCCTCATCGGAAAACGATTACTCGAAGTTAACTCTTCCTTAGAAGAGAAAGTTTGGACAATCCTTATGGAAGATGTTCAAGATAATCTTGCCAAAGGAAGCTCAACACAATTTTCCGTTACTCTGCATACTGTTATTGACCAGGTATCCAAATCTCTAATGAACGTTTCATCTATGTCCCATCAAGCCTTTGTAACCAAAAAAAGTGAACCCATCCGATCTCTTTTGGAAACATCAATTGAACTGCTTGATGAATTACAGCAAGTAATGAAGAAATTCAAAATATGGCATGAATTTCATAATGGTGAGAACACCATGACCAAAATGTATGAGTTACAATTCTTGTGGCACTCAGAAAATTATCAATACCTTAATCTACTTTATTCCTTAATTATTGATTATACCAAAAATATTATCAAAGTTATTGAGGAATCAGGTTGTATCACTGAACTTCCACTGTTAGAGAAAATATTATCCAGCATTAAAACCAATTTAAATGGTATTCAAAGCTCACTACCTTTCTCATCTGATAATGAAGCTGATGGAGATAATGTATCAGAGTCAGTTAAACTTCTGAACGATCTCGAACAAGCCATCAGACAATCATCTACAATAATTTTGAAACAAAGGAACTTAATTACAACATCATTCATCTGTTGTAAAGGTATTCTCAAAAGCTTGCCAACTTACAATCCATCACCAGCTCTGGAATTATCAATACAATCGAATGAAGCTGAATCTGAAACTGGAAACTATAACAGAAGAGTTCATTTCTCGAATAGCATTACTGAAACAGCGACAGGCGAGGAAAAGTAAACTAACTCAACTATTGTTTATCAACGCGGTTATTATATTATCAAATGTACTCATATATAAGAATTTTGATTAAGGATTGAAGTTTTAAAAACATAAGTTATATTTCTTTTTTGTATATCAAATAAACAAAACTCATATGAAATGAAACTTTTATTGAACTTTTTTTTAAACTTCTTTTTAGATGTTCTCTTAGATCATTATTTAGACTCTTTTTTATGCTGTCTGAAACATGGGGTTTTAGATTTTTTATGCGTCTCCCAGTAAGAATATATATTTTCTTGCGTTTTAATATAAAGAATATTTTCTTCGTTCCAATAGTGATTGGCTCTTGGGCGTAAGTTAAACTTTTTTGGCAATAATTTTATCTTTCTTTCTTTATAATAAGCTCTTTCCCTGTACTTTCTTTTGCTCTTTTCTCTGTGTCTTTCCTCTTCACTCATTTCCCTCTTAATTTTTGATTTTGAAGAAGATGGTTTCTTGAATAATTCAAAATCTTCAATATCTTTCGGTTCTTCTTTAGCTTCCAACTTTATCTTAAATTCATCTGCCACGTTTTGCCACTGTTCCTCGTTTGGCCACTGTTCTGTTTTTTGCCACGGTTCCCCGTTTGAATCCGATTCTGTGAGATCAATCACTTTATAACTTTCTCTTTCAATAAATAGTTGTAATTGGCGCAAGCAATCGGGCTCTGACGGTTCTTGGGAAGCTAAAATTTTATCAAGAAATTTTTCCTGGTCCTCGCTAGATTGTTCACAGATCTCCACCGAGTGTAAAAAACTTCCAAGTATATCGTCTATTGTCATGTCATCTTCAAATTCGGAGCTTGGTACACTTGATTGACTTGAATAATTGGTTCTTTGAGTTTGCTCGAAACATTCCGCTGATTGGGTGATTTCTTAATAAAATAAAAAAATAAAAATAATTTAATCAATATATCAATTTGTATATAAAGCTAAATTTTCGACAAAGATTTTCTTAAAGCACTATTAAAATAAATAAAAAATACTACTTACCTTCTTCCATTGTAAATCAATTTTATAAATTTCAAACTCCAATTGAAACAAAACAATAAATTGACAATCGAAACAAATTGAATAAACAAATAATCAAATAAACAAATAAATAATCAAAACTTTAATTGGAAGTTGTAAATGAAATTTAATTGAAAACTGCAAATTAAAGCAACTTATGTTCGATTGAACGCTTACTCATTACGCTAATTTAGTCTTTAGCCATTGATAGATGGAGCTAGTTGTTTAGAATTGCAGAATTGCAAAAAACTGTTAAAAATACAAATTGTAAACAAATAAAGTGAAATTTAATATCATCAATTCGGAAATAAGCAATTTACGATTAATATTACAAGAAATTTTTCAATTTAAAAATCATAGATTAAGTTTATAAGGAAAGAAAATCATTTCTTGAAGTTTTTAATGATAATTATTTTTCATTTCATACGTTCATTTAGTTTGACTGTTCAGTTGTTATCCTTTTTTGTAATCATCTTTTTTTTATTGTGTTTCACGTTTTGTCTGGATTGTCGACAAATCAAAGGACAATCAAATTAATTGGTGATAGTCAAAGGAGGAAAACTTTCAGGGTGAAGTCAGGAATAAAGCAATTTGGAGACAATCTCTTCGGGTGATTGCAATTGTAGTTATCTTTCAGGTTGACACACAAGGAAGAAAAAAATGGAAATTAATTATACAAAACACCAACTACTTCAACTGAACTTTTTCGTCATTCTCCTTCTCTTTTATCCTGTTGTTCAATTGGCTCGTCTCTTTTTACATGGAAAACTTGATTACCTGACCTCGTAAACTCCAGAGCTTTGGGAACCTTTAAGTAAAAAATGCAGTCTATCTGAAGAAAGGCCAATTGTATCGTTGGTGGATGTAGTGTTATTGTTATCTAATATTTCAAACAGTTGTCCAGTTGAGGTTATCTTGGCATTATTATCCATATCATCCAAACAAGGTACTGTTAAATATATAATTGACTCTGGTGCTTTATGGTTTGATTTAACGAAGGATTCAAGTATCGATCGGTAGTTAACCTCAATGATAATAACATTACTAGGTAACTCATTGCAAGCTTCACGGAACAAAATTGGCGAAGTAATGTTTCGAAGGAAATATCTTGGACAAGAAAGACGAAGACAATCTTCCGTTACTGCAACCGTTGTGCTAACCCATTTATTTGATCTTGGCTTGGGTGAATCTATCAGACGATACAAGCTTTCCATGGCTGTGTCTTTTAAATAATCCATTTGGGAACAATGAAGAGCTGTTGAATAACTTGCAATTGGTGAACATTTAATTTTATCCATTTTTAATTTCTCCAAGACTTGTTGAACATTCTTTTGAGATCCAGCTATTGTTATACAATTGTCGGTATTGTGAGCAGATACGTAAACACCGGAATTGGAGAAAAAGGATGAAAATTCAGACTCATTTTGATGAACTAAAGCCATTGCACCTCGACGAAAACCTGAATCATCAATTTTACGTCCAATGGTTCGAGCTAAGATAATTGCAGTCTCTGCATCATAACAGCCATCCATATAACTGGCAGCAAACTCACCAATTCCATATCCAATGAAACCATCAGGAGCTATACCCAAAGACTTTAAAAAAATGATGAGAGACGATTGAAGAGCCGTAATAGTGGCAAAGACGGTGGCAAGAGTTGGCGATGAACCTTCACTGGTAATTGTTTCAATCAAATTGAATCCAGTCTTTTCTTTCAACGAGCTACACAATTTAACAAAAGGTGGAAATGTCAATATGGAAACTGACGGTGATGGATCATAAGCTTCCAAACCAGGAAAGATGAACCAAATTGGTTTACTCTGAGTTGTAGACATGATTAAATCAAGATCAAACCAAGAAAGGAATACAATCTCGTATATCAACACGTTAAAAGGTGAAAACTACGGAGGAAAAAATTGAATAACGAAAATTAACAAGGTATTCTTATTAATATTTCAATTGACTTCACTTGACTAATAGCGTTCTTTTGTTTTTGTTTTCAGTTACTCAACTAGAATCGCTGCTACAATCTCATCCATTCCAGCCAACAACGGTGACTGAACCTGCAAAAATTTTCATCCCGACACAATTCACAAAATCACCTTTTCTCTATTATTGTGATTCTCCTGCTCTCACTCACCGACTCACTATTTTCCTCTCTCATTAACTTCTATCTACCTCATTTCCACTGAATTTCACTTTCATTCTTCATCATTACCTCCTCTCATTTCTGTCTTTCACACTTGCTGTCTCTTTCTCTCTTTCGATCGCCACTTTTTTCCCTGAAGGCAAACCGGTCTATCAAACTTTTTTCCTCCAATTTCAGGTTGGCAATCAAATTACGATTTCGCAGTAACACGAAATATCCTTTTTTACCCTAATTGAATGGTCTAAAAATCGTGTTATTGAAGCTGTCACCGCAAAAATGATTTTTCATTTCTATTTGCATTACCCATCTTATATCAAATCTTGCCAGATTATCAGTGGAACCATCTCGCACAATCTCTCATCTAATTAGTTTCCCTTTTTGCTGTTGTAAGACTTAATTGTTGTCAAATGTAAAACTCTCAAATAATTGACTTTTGCAAACAATGATCATTTTAAATTGACCAATTCAAGGCTTATTTCATAATAAGAGAGCCATTTTATTTTCTCATCTTTTCCTTCACAACTTGATTGTTGTATTCATCTTTTTCCAGCACTCAAATATATTTCAAGTTCATTATCTTTCTCCACACCAATTTATCATAGTTTAACATTATCCAATATCATTTTTTCACGTGTCACACTCCATCAATCAAATCAACTAATTATTACCTTTTTCCGTCTCATCCTTTTACAGCCACACTCAACCAATTCTGTTTATCCGATTGGAAGGTTTTCAATTAAAGTCAAATCGTTTAAATGTGTTTATCTGATGGTCCCCTTGGTGTTCAAATCCTCCAAACCAACCAATATTATCTCAAGATTATCTCGATTCGTACAGTAGCTAAATTAAACCGTAATTAACGATATTCAATGCAAATGAGCCAATAAACTTCACAGCAGCTGTTAATAATAAACACCAAGTTAGCATGGAAAGGCTATTCAGTAAATGACAAGTTGAAAGAGTCATGCAATGAATTAATTTTTAATGCTTTAATTTCATTTATCAGTTTCAAAATTAATCCAAGCAATAATGCCAGCAATAAAGATATCCATGTTATGTAAATGTACGTTTCCTGCAAAAACAATGGAGACGTATTATAAAATGGAAAGATTGAATGTATTAGAGCAATCGAAAACCTTTTATGGTAACATAGTTCCGAAAAATTCTGACAGATGATAACACATGCGGTCAGTCTAGCTTATGATGACAGTAATCATCCTAAGTTTTGATTGAAATCGATTACTGCCTTTTGGAGTTACAGGCCAAAAGTCATGCTGACGGAGATGATGTGACAAATTCTATGAAAGACTTGTTTTATCAATGCTGATCATTCAATACTGTAGGGGAGTTGATGCAAATGCTTTTCAAAATCGATTACCTATGGATCCGACTTTACATTATCGGTTTCAATTTTATGATTGTGGCCTTGGTAGCGTTTCGAGCCATCATAAGGCTCAAGAACCTCTAAAAATTGATTTTTCAGTTATAGAGCCCGCTGTCAAGTGAGGATTCATTCTAAGAAAACCATTCCAGTTTGTTTTCATACTACAAGCTTCAATGTTTCAGATTTAATCCTTTTTTCAATGATAAAAAATTATTAAGGGGCCAAAAAACTAACTTAGACATACAGTCCTTATGTTCCGATTTTCGATCGAAATGACGCTGGCTTATTCAATTGATTAATCAGTTATTTAGGATGAGATCACATCAAGCAGTCATTTTATCAATTATGTTTGATCCCAAGTGACTATTTTCAGTTTAAAAATCTAGAATATTATCTAATAGGACCGTGTTTTGAGTCCATTTAGCGATTTATTGTCGAAAATTGTCGTATTTTTCAGAGTGGCCTGAATCTAGTACAGATTCGGAATCTATGAGTTTATGACTTCATACTAGAGCTGTATGGCCACTAGGAGCAATTAATTGAAATAAAAAACAATCTAAAATGATCCGATCATATTTACCATAAAAGGTTTTCGATTGCTCTAATATGCTAGTCAATCATCTGGCAATTACATTTGAAGCAGAAAAATGTAATTTCAATCATATCCACTGATTAACAATTTAAGCTGTTTAAATCTATTTTCAATCAAATAAAAAATACACATCAAATAATCTCTTCATGATTTTACAAAGTAATCATACTAGAAACATTGTATTGCTATTATTGTGTTACAAAGTGACAAGTCTATGCTGTCATAATAATACAAGTTTAATATTTCTTGGTTTATTTCAATGTAATATTAGTTTTTTGACTGTAAATCTAATTCTTTTCGTTCCTTGGATTGTCAATCATTGAAGTTCACGAGGAAAGAAGGTGATTGGAGATGATTTCAGCCAATCAATTGGTTATTATCAACTGAACTTGGAATGATTATCTTTCACTGTCAAACTCATTAACTTTCCTCGTTTTCAATTCAACTTTACCCAAATCAAATTACAAATGTTACCACACAAAAGAGCAAATTTTAATCCAAATGAAGCAAAACAAATTCACTTAATCAAACAAACTAACAATTCTGACAGTTGTGTTCATGTGTTCAGCAATATCTCTAAGTCTCAAATAATCTAAAATCTGGAATTGACCTTTGTTTTGAATCCTTGATATAGAAGCTGCTATTTTTAGTCTTCGCTAGTATTTTGTTGTCTCTTGATGTTTTCAATCCACAATTCCGGACTTTTTTGCTCGTTTGATATTATTAAGCATTTTTTTGTGTATCTATGATAAGTATGAGTTTATAAGCATTCATTAGATTCATATAATTCCTATTGAAACCCACCAGGTTAAAAATAATATGGAAGATTGTAATGTTTGCTTGCAATTTGCCTTTACGTGAGTCTATGTTTGTTGCTATTACAATAATACATTTCTTGTATCTTTATTTCCAATTGTTATTTGTAGACATCAAATTTACTTTGATCACGCAATGAGACAAACAACTAATAGTGTGCCCAATCAAGAACATAAAGGATAAATCACCAAAATAAGAAAAGTCACCTTGATGGAAACAAAAGTGAACCCAGCTTTTACAGACAAACCATTTCATGTACGATACAATGTATGCTAATGAGCTTACAAATGTTAACCTCGTAATCATCTGATAACATATTACTTGGACTCAAAGGACAGACGACACTAAAGATGATCTGATAATAGAAGTGTTTAGAGACATTCAGTACTAATCCAGAGTTGAAACACAGGGAAATAACCTTATCATGGTTGGTTTTCATTGGAACTTTTATGATTGAAGATGAGTGCAGTTAAAAGATTGACATCGGTGGCAACTTGAGGATTACATGTTTATTTTGAAAGATAAAGGATAGTTGGTGAATCAGATCAATCTGAATGATCAGACTTATCGACGGCTGTCATTTTCTTGGATCTTCATCGTTTAGCTTTTTTCAGTTGATACGAAAAGGTTTGAACAGGTTAACTGATTTGTTTTCGTTAACTTTTTCTTTTTCTCTTCGATTGACTGACTGCCGTTATGAAAATTGAACTTTTTAAAGGCCTGTTTCAACTTAAAGGTAATATACATTTGAAAGATTCAGGTAAAACAAAAACAAAATAAGGTGAAAGTGGTACGTTAAAGCGTTAGAGGACATTGAGCTTTAGTTGAAGGACCTCAATAAATGAAAGTAAATTGACATTTACATTTCATTATTTTCAAGCTTTCCTGATACCAATTATTAATGTTGAACTACGGCTTTTCAACTTTAAACAATTCATTTCTTTCTTCATGTCAACCTTTACACACATTTTTTAGATCCATAACAAATTAATCTAATTATGACATTAATTGAGACATTAGTTTCCATTCATCAGTTTCATGATTCAAACATATTTACGATGTGCGTGAAAATAGTAACAAATTGGTTCAACAATTGAATGTTGTTTCAGTTAATTGATTCCCTTTACATAAATCATTGTTTTTACATAAAAAACAAATTTATGAGACGATCAGTTTGTTGCACAGAGTTGTTCAATCAAGTCATTCAACAATTACTCTTTTGTGTTAAATTGACAGAACAGTTCAATAAATGAATTTGATCTCTTCAAATCTTTTGTTTTGAAAACATAATCAAATGCTTTGTAAATGGTCACAATAAAGTGAAATGATTAAAGTATTTTATGGAGTAAAAAGGTGGAAAGGTTTACAAAACAAAGTAAAAATTGCAAATGAAAATAGTGTCACTATCAACATGGTTTTATGGTTATTAAATGGATTGAAACTGAACTGGTAATAAAACCTTATTACAATGATGGTAATGACAATGGATAACAAAATTGGTGTTGATGGTGGTAATAATTGTTGATAAGGGCAAGAAAAATCTAATAAAAGTTAGAAGATCTTGCTGATATATGACTTCCATTGTTGTCTATGGAATTGGTTTCAAAGGTTTGCCTTCGTCGTTGGACATACAGGACGAGTAGAAGGAGTAAAATTAAAATCAAAAGGGTCGCTGAAAGAGCTACCATTGACCAGGCCAATGTTTTGTAAGAGACTTCCGATGTATTTGGTCTTGTAATAGGCAGTGAAATTGCTCCATTGGTTGATATGTTGTGTAAACCAACTGACCAAAAGTAAGCTTGCTCCTGCCTTAAATTGGATTCTAGACTCAATTGTGAATCAATCAATAAATAATTCAGCTTGATTGGATCAAATGGTTTCCATCTTGGATAATCATACTTTTCCTCTTTAGGTGCATACCTATGAATAAAAAGGAAAGAAAAGCTTGGATTAATTATGAATCAATGTAAAACAATGTAATCATTAATAAATCAAGTTTATTATGTAAAGCACTGTAGTCTTCATAATATCTGATGTATAAATCAATGTTTTGATATTGAAAGTTGAAGCTGACAGAAATGATTAGTCGACGTTAACTAGAGTCAAATTTAAATGTGATTTCATAACAGGCAAAAACTCATTTGCATCAGGATACTGGTTTCATGTTGAATCAGCTAAACCAAAATAACAATATCACTGAGATTTTAAAACTGCTTTCCACATTGTTCATTGATTTCATCTTCTCGTGACAAATATTGTAACCACCTTGAGTTGAAGGTATACCACAAATAGTTGACTGCAGATTGATAATGATGATGATGATGATGATGATGGAAACAACGAGAAAGTCAATTGAATCATCAGAAAAAAAGGAAGGAAAGTAGAGATATATACTTTTGATAATTTGAAATGGAGTTACTTTGTCAGGGAAAAATAAAAATAACTATTATTGGGAGTGAAACTGAATTCCTTTTTTGAGAGAAATCATAATTGAAGTAATGATACTTTTCATTTAGTTTTTTTTCATCAATTTCATCTCCTTCAAATAAGTAAAAGTTGAGGTACATCTTCATTTATACTTTTTAACTTTCTTCCTTTCCTTTTTTACTACCTTTGCCATCATCAGGTTTATCTTGATGGAATACATTTCCACAAAATTCAATGATCAAGTTGATGATGTTTATCAAGAGTTCTCATATACTCTGTAACAGACGAGAAACTATTACTGAATCTTCCAACCAGAAAAAAGTAGTATATTCATTGTGGCTTCAAAAGTTGATGATAAGTTACAGTTGAACAATATTTTTCACTCTTTACTTTCACTGTCGATAGTTGACCAACATGTCCATCACCATCATCATATTTGCCATCTTCCATCAGCAAATGATTCATAATAGATTCACTTTTCATCAATAAAATAGCTGATCAAAATCATTGGGCTGGTTCAATTTTCGGTCTCTTTCAATGGTTGATTATCTCCAATAAATCACTAGATCATGGCATTCTAAGGCTGCAGGTATTAAAAGCCGGATTAAAGCTGAGATTGTCATTAACTCAATAAACAAGAATCAGATGAAAATGTTTTTCAATGAATTGATATTTTAAAAATCATCTTTAACGGTAATAAATTATTCAAAACTATTGCCCTCTATTGACATTGAAAAACATGAAGCTGTTTAAAAAGTGCGCAACGATTATGTAAACATAAATCAAGTGCCACTTAACATTGATTTTAATTGTAGATATAGTTTGTGTTAAATTTCACATCTTTCGAGTTTTATTTGGTGATAATTAAATAATTGAACTAACCCGTAAGCAGCAAAATCAGTCCAGAGGTCTACTAAAAGGCGTGTTGCAAGGGAATCTTTAACATTGGTTGGTCTAAATTTGTCCATTTCAAGATTGAAAAGGTAAAACAGTTCATCTCCATGACAAACTCCAGTATCAATGACTGTTGGTGAATTATTGAGTAATATTTTAATCATACTGTTTGATCCTTTATAACCAAATAGGTACATATAAACCGGGACTAAGGAAAAACGAGTAAAATTATGAGACACAAAGGAGGACAATCAACCATTAAATCAGATGGAGGCAATAATTCAACTTACTTTCAGCGCCCCAAAGTAGCTTGGCTGTTTCATCGATGCAACTTGTATATAAGGCATCCGTTGTCATCTGAAATGATAAATCACAATTAGGTCTGGAAAAAAGGTTTAAAATAGGAGAAAAGTAAAATTTGTGATTTTTTTCACAATCATCTTTTCAAATTTTCCAAGTTCAACCGTTGATACAAGAGGAGTAAAAAAAGTAAAAAACTTTAGGATCAATGAAGTTATAAAAGTAACTGAAGATGATGATGATGATGACATTCTTCAACACCATGAAATTAATTGTTAAACTTGAGTGTATTATTAGTTTTTTGATACTTGAGTGAACAATTTTTTTGCCCACCAAAATGATACGCTTTGCTTTGAACAGTTTGTTTGATCAACTATTATCACTTTGCTTTTGTTATCAACATCATCATCAAAGGATCATTCATTTGTTATGTTATGATAGCTTCATTTGGCCTACAAAAGGATTCAACATGAACGGAAATCAATCATCTGATAAAAAAATGTACTTGGAACTGGAAACATTTTTGATACTACAGTGTAGTTGTTAACAATTCACTGCTATTGTTATTTCACTGAGACTGTTAATGATGGGACAAATTTGTTTACCAACACCTAAAACCAATTTTTGCTTCCCTTTTTGTTATTTCACTCATTCAACTTTATGACTATTGATCAGTTGTTCATTTAATCGTCACAATTGAATAATATTGGCTTATACAGCTGATGATTCAAAACATGGGGCTGTATCAAAATGAGTGGATACAAAATCGTAGTACATTTAGAAGCGACGAAAACAATCAATAATGGTCTTTAATATCAAACCTTTGGGTTCCATAAAAAACTCACGCATAAATAAATTTCATCGATTCCAATATCCGATCTGATAGTTCTTTTCTTTTTATCCTTCAACATGAGTTTAGTCCCAAAAATTCTCGAAAGCTTCTCACGTTTCTGAATAGAGACTTTTCTGATTCACTTTTCTTAATCAGTATGATAAAAAATATAATCCTAGACTGAATGTAATCATAGTGCTAATTCATCTGAGAAAAAGCTCTCAACTGTTTAGGGTAAAAAATGAAAGCCTTGAATGTCTTACTTTACTGATTGTCAGTTAGGGAAGATGAAAAAAAACTATTGAACAACTATATCATCACAGGAATTACATTAGAAACAGATTTTCAATATATGAAGTACAAGGTTAAAATTGTTTAAAATTGTATAGAATTGAAATTTTTGTATCAGTATTTTGATGCCTGGCCGACTTTAATCACTTGATAACTCTTTATTTAAAAATACAAAACATTAACTCGAGCAAAAAAGATTTCACTCATAAATGAATGTCACTAACGCTCTTGACGATTTTACTTTCAAAATCCTCTGACCCGTACAGAAATGGTATCAACTGTCTGAAGTTAAAGAGGGATTAAGCCAGCAGGAGAAACTCAAAACAACGAGAATAGTTGATGTCTTATGGTGTTTACTGACGTTTAAATACATAAAAAACACTTGTAATTACACGACTGATAGTCCTAACATGATTAACAAGGAAAAATCATTGAGCCATTTTTGCCTTACATTAGCAGCAGACGATTTTACTTTTTTACCTTCTATCAGTGCTACTGCTTTTTGTTACTCACCATGTTAAGCTTGTGTTAAGTTTATCTGATTTAGATTACCTATTAGTAATAACATAACCCCTTTGGATGAACACAGGATTTGTTGCTTTTACTCAACTCTCGTCATGTTATCTTTTTATTAATTTATGTGGAAGACTAATCAACGATCGATTGGCCTTAAGAAGCCCAAGGAAGAAAGGAAAGAAAACACGATCATCCATCATGACAGCTTATAATTTCATCTTATTGTCTTTTTTGGGTAAGTAAGGATATTGAGACAATGTGCTTTACTCTTGTTGGTTTACTTTTTTTGATACACATCCTAATGTATTGTTTTCCCTTTTGATTTCTTTTCAAGGTGACAAGTTTCATCAAGGCCTGAGCAAATAGTCATTGTATTGGATTTAAATGGTAGACATTTGACAGTGTCAGTAGCTTCTATACTATACATGAAAGACACTGAGGCAATCCAGAAAACCCACAAGACAAATTATTGAAACAAGATGGAACATTATGCGTGGATTATCAACATGTTAGCCTTTAAGAGGGAAACTGTACACAAATGTGTAAAGAGTGGATGATTAGTAAATGGCAATATGTACATTTATACTTACATTGACAAATGCAGAAGTGAATTGTGATACATTATTAGTGTCAATGGAATCAAAATATTGAGATAAAATTGGTAGTATGAGACGATCTCTACGATAACCTTTGAATGGTGTTGCTGCCTCCAGAAACTTGCCAATCAATTTTCTTTCCCGATCCTCGCCATAATTGGAGTAAAAATGTGATACTATCACTGCCATATTTTGTTTTTATCAGATAAAAGAGGAAAGAAATATTGATTAATGGTATGAATTATATTCAATTTATACAGTTATTGATAATCCAACTCCTTTGCTTCTAGCTAAAACTTGTCTTAACTCATGAATTTCATATCTTCTATCTTTCTGTCCATCTCTTTTCTATAGCAAACAATTTTTAGCTTCTTTCAAAGTCAACTCACATTGGTAAAAGAAAGACGTTTCATCCTTATTCATCCCAATCATCACCGGAATCCTTTTGTAAGGATAATTATTAAGTATGGTTCGTGGATCCTGATCAAGGAAACGGTTGGTTCCAAAACGTTCAATTGTTGGAGCTGCTCTTTGAGGAAATTCACCAAATATCTAAAGATGGATGAAAACAGGAACCAGGAAAGGATGGAAAAGGATGAGAAAAAAAAACAAAACAACTGTGTAAATAATGGCAAAATGATTCAATAGGCGAAGTTGAAAACGTTGAATTGAAATAGTGTAATTTGGTAAATGGCGTCAACTGATTTCCACAAAAAATTACCTTTCCTCGTGTTTGTGCTTTTAAAATCTTGTCAACAGAAACCTTTTGGAGACAATCAACAAGTGCTGCAGATGTTACTGTGGGACAACCAGTATTTTCGGCAATCTCTTTAGCATACTCAAGAGGCTGTCTTTCCATGGCCCAATGACACAAACCAGAACCACTTTGCATAATGGCTCGATGAAATTTACCTGAAATCAAGAACCATTGAAACAATTGATCAAATTGGTAAATCAATAACATTAAAGGGTAAACCAAGATTAAAGTGTTGAAACAAAAGCAATTCAAGGAAAATGAAAATGAGATGTCAGCAATATTGATGATACCAATCAGAAAGGATTTGATGGGTTCATTTTACATTTTAATCTTGATTTCCATGATTCCATTATTCAAGTTAATGGTACACTTTATTTTGTTACCTTGACTTAGTGGAGACAAAAGGTGGAAAAAGACGCACGCTGCTCCTGAACCTTGACCAAAAAGTGTTACTCTACCAGGATCACCACCAAAATATCTGATATTATTTTGAACCCAATCAAGAACAAGTTTTTGATCATATAGACCCCAATTTCCAGGTGCAACTGAATCTTCTGTGCTGAGGAATCCTATTTTTTAAAGCCAAGCAAAGTGAAACAAAACAAAATTGAATCAATCTTCTGTGACAACATGCTAAAGATTAAAAATAATGAAACGCTGGTAAATCATTTTTTTAATGATACATCCGCATGGGATTGGATCAAGATTTTATATCATTTACCATTGATACAAGACTGAACTCTAATTGTCTCCTAATCCTAAAGGATAAATTAGTCAAAACTCGTTGGATGGTAAAAAAGCTAAAACCTATTCTGCTAACGAGCCACATGCAGAAAGTGAGGGTAAATTGGGAGGAATTGTTTTGCTGTTATTAATTTTTTACAATTACTATTATTAAGCGGATTACATGGTAAAAAGGGAAGCTTCAGATTAAAAAATATTATTCAATGTAACACTGTAACCAAAAAAGGAGTTGAAAATGTGGATGTTATGGTAAATAATTAGGATGGCAAAAAAAGGAGGACAAAAAGGCAATTGAATAAATTTACATGTTTGATGAAGATGAACAAAGATGATGATGTATTTATAATATGGTACATTGAGTTAACCTGATAATTTGCTTACGGCAAAGATGAAGTTGACTGCTATAAAGACAATCTTTAATCATTATGGATAATGAATGGCATTATTTTGTGTACCAATCCATTGGGTGTAACAAATGGTGTAAAATGAGAAGGTAACAAGTAAATATTGGTAAAGATTGATGGACCCATTCTTACCTAAAATTCCCAATCTGTAACTGAAAGTGACCAAAATAATTTGTTTCTCCATTAACTTTTCAGGTCCGTAAATGGAACCATCGCCATTCTCAAAGCTTTCACCATGAATATAGACCATAACTGGTAACAAGCCTGGTTGAGGAGTCCGTCTCTGGATCAACAATCAAAAAGAAAGAAAGAAAAGTTGACATTTAAAGGACCATTTTCCCAATTATAATTCGTAACCTGGTAACAATAGTTCAATAGTCAACCCTCAAGTTATTAGCAAAGTTAATGGGTTAACTCATCCAATTTGTTTCCACTCAATAACCATACAATATTTTGAATGGTTAATGATTATAATTAGGGTACAGAGGCAAGATTTATGATAATCTTACAGAGAATCATGATGCTGATTATCCAAATAATCCATTATTAAATAGATCAGAGCAGAAACAAAGAAAAATATTTGTTTTCTCTGTTTACAAATTTTCTCATGTATTAGCTGTAAGATGCAATCTGATCATGAAATGTGATCAGATGCGATCTAATAATATAACAACAGTTTGATGAAAAAACATGACAATTTTGTTGGTTTGGAGTAAAAGCTTGTTGAATTAGGCTTCACTATTTAAGCAATTTTCAAGCAAAGATAACCCAACCAAACCAACAAATTTAACCGTCTAAATGAATGGTTAACTAATTAGAGTTAGAGTTACAGCTATAAATGGTGACAAAAATTGAACAAAATGTTCATGTAATGTCTTTAGAGATAAGTAGACAACATAGAGCCAGAACTAAAGCAATTTACAGTTGAACAAAGTGTTAATATCATCTTAAATTAACTTCATGTTATAATTAATAGTAAATTTGTGAGATTCCATTAACAAGATTGTTAACCAGTTTTACCAAAAACCAAACCTTACAAGAGGAAAAGAGATTCATCTTGTCAAGTTCAATTTAGGCCTACAATTTTTCTCATTCCAATTGCATACAATTTATAACATAGTCCAAATTTTTGGCCCTCTTAACAGACTAAAATCAATTATCTTAACCTTTTAATTTACTTGAAAAGCAAAATGAAACCTTTATGTACTTTCTCTGATATTAACCCAAAAAAGACGGTTAAATTACACTAAATTTACACCAAAAACTAACCATGATAAGAGCACTTGTAATGAAAAGGTTTCATTTTAATTAACCTTGATTCGATAAGCCTAAAGCAAACACTGCTATTTTGACTATTCAATTCACTATGCTGAATCACCAGGATAATCAGGGTGAAAGGAAAAAGGAATGAAAGTGAAAATCTGAAAGTTCAACGAAATGTAATCAATGGCGAATCTTGTATACAAAGATGTTTTTCCCTCTTGTTCATGTCACTCAACAGTCAATCTGATTCAATCCTTTCGCCTGAAGCACAACTGATTCTGGTATTATTATTACTATTTGTTCAAATATTTCTTCCTTAATCATCATCATCATCTTCTTGTCTTCTTCAATCTCTACCTTTCACTCATCCCTTATTAGACCATGTTTTTTTCTGGCCTCCTTTTCAGTTTCATTTTCATCTTCATTTCTTTACTATTTTCCTGAGTTATCTTTCCTTTTTGGTCATTTCTTTTATCCCTGTCCAGTCTTCCAGATGATAATGATGACCATTAGATCTCCAAAGGCAACTCAAAGTAATCAAAAATGCTTGCAATCTAAATCAAATACACAATACCAAGGATTAACTGATCATTCAATGATAACATGAAATGACTATCTTACATCAACCCATTGTTTCAAACCAGTGAACCTGTAAACAAAAACAAATTTGTATTCATCTTAATCTTTTGGACAATTTTTCAGTTTATGAATCATGAATAGTTTCCTGAAAACAAATCTGAGATTTTTCAATTTTCTCAACATCAGCCAACATTATTCATGAGTAAACTTCAAGATGGAATTTTGTTTTTTTCCTGGAAATTTTCGCTTTTTGTAAATTGGACAAAAAGGTTGGCCTTTTGATGTCTGCTTTTAGTGGATTCAATCTGAATATTTTTGTGATGAAAAATTGTTCCCTCCAATGATGATGTTCAAGTATGAAAATCATGAATGGGATTGTTTGTTAAGATAACAATAAATGGATACAAAAACAAATGGCATCATTAATCATAATATAGCTTTGCCAATGTTTTATTGTTACAATAATGTAAAAATGTTTTCACTTTTCACAGTAACAAATGTTATTGTGATTTCAGTGATCAATGGTAATCTAATAGACGAGCAAGTTCAATGGTTAACCAATTCAATTTACTGGTAAACTTAACATTATTTACTGAACAAGAAAAAGATATTTCTCTGTTTTTTTCCCATGTTTTGTTTCTCTGCTGTTGTTTTCTGTGATTAATTTGACCTGTTCACCTAAAAACCAAGAAACCAGCCTGAAAAACATGATAAAATAGCCCTGAGTTTTGCAAAGAAATAAATAGGTTAGAAGCAGAAAAAAAACAATTTAGTTGAGCAAAAAATGTCTTGAAAGAAAATGAAGACAAGAGCAAAAAAGGAATGAAGATAATAGTTGGAGCTGGTCAGTAATAATCGAGGTTGATGTCCAATGTCAATGGTGTGATCTTTGACTGACAAAATAATACAAGAGTTTAATGAATCAAGTTGACCAGAAAAAAAAGGTAACATTGAAACCAGAAACAAACAGTTTATTAAAAGCTATTGAAAGCCATTGTAAAAGTATTACATTGAATAAACATGGAAATATTAATAAATGTTATTTCCATTATTCCGTAAATGTATTAGTTTTGATTAAACTGGTAAACCTTTCAAGAAATTACATTAAATTTCATTAAAAGCCTAAATTACTTCAACAATAAGATTGCTGTTACAATATTTTAAAAATCTGGTTATTTTGGGTTAATCTTGATTTGGCATTTTCCTCTCGTAATTTTTGAAAACTGTTTACCCAAATTAAGTGTAATGACTGTTGCAATGAGAAACCAGAAAAAGAAACCCAAAAATGCAATTTACTAAATAACAGGCAAATTATTTTATTTGATGAACAACAAAAAAACCCAATTTTACCTTCATAACTCAACCATAACCATAACCATCATCATCATTGTTACCATCATCTTCAACTTGCTTCAAGGAAAGGTTACCAAGTTAAAGTGCAAATAGATTTCACCTAATTTCAATCATTCTTTTATTTCCCTTTCCTCCTTTTTTGCATGATAAAAATGGCAATTCCTGTTGACTTTTCCCTTTTTTTTCTTGCCTCTACTTTATTCAGATATGCAACACAAATGGCTCATTTTCAGAATCTTTTTCTTCTTCCCTGGATCCCGTGAAAATCGATATTAAATGTCACATTGTAATAACATTCAAGTTTTCATTTAAAGAATCGTTTATCCAAACAATAACAGTAACTTGTATATTAAATAGATTTATAAGAGATGAGAAAAGGTGAGAAATAAATAAAATTTCAGGTAAAAAGGAGATTTGTGACAAAATGATACTCAATAAAAAGCACAGAAGCTCAGTTAACATGGATTTTTTATTTCCATCTTTCAGCAAATTACTCTGTTTTTTACATGAGAAAAATGTAATTTCACAAATTAATGTTATCCATAAAAGTGTAAGATTTGTGGTTGAAAAAATTTCATCAAACCTGGAACCAGTTGCATTAAATATTGAACCAGATTTTCAGTAATATTCAAATGGAACTGTAGAGTTGAAAGCTTGAAACGACAGTTTAATGTCTGAATAATCTGAATTCAGAGAAATTACAATTTTAAAGTTGATTGCTTTCCTTGAATATAAATGTCTTATATTGAGTGTTCAAAATTTTGTGATAAACAGCATTGACTCAGTTTACATGGAAAATGGTTTTGAAATTGAAATGAGAGAAAATCGCTTTTCTTCTTTTGAATCATTCCATGATGAATGAAGTTTTCCAGTTTCTAAGGTTGAACGGGTGGACTTAGGTTCGAAGGTGTGAATGATATCAAACACTTTTCTATTGAAGTTCGTTTGGAATTGCAAATGGCGAGAAAATATTGACTAATTGATGTTAATCGGCAACAAAATCAACATGAATTTAATCTTGTCAACAGAGTTTTCTTAACCTTCGATTGGAGTCCAAATTAAACTGAAACCTTGCATAAAACATGATCTTTACATGTAACCAGAGATAAGATTTGTACAGAGAAAGGAATGAAATCTGAAACCATTACACGCAATCGAGAAACGAAGGGATAATTTTTGTGTTTGAACAAGCTTTACACAATCAGATGAACTGGTTGCATGATGAATCTAAGATCATTGACAGTGATCGTTTCAACTACATCTGAATTCAACATTTTCTCATTTTCAAATTCCAGAAAATAACTAACAGAACTTGCATGATTTTGAGAAGAACCCTTTTCCCAAATGAACCATCCTTTTCCATCCGTAAACTTCATCAATTGATCAACTTCAAAAACCCAACTTTTCAGCACAAAACTCATTCCATTCAGAGAAAAGTTGCAACAGGAAAAGAATCTCAACTCAAAGCAAACCAAATTTCAACTCTGTTTAAATTTTAATGTAAATTTTTGTACAAAATTTCCAATCTCTTCTTGAATGTACCTTTAAAGACAATTTACAATAAAGATCTAAATGATTGACTAAAGAGCTTTTGTTTAATTTTGATTTACACCTAAAATTGAATTTGTTGACTTTAGAAACCACAAATGTCTTAATTTAGATTACTGAAAATTTTGATTGTTCTAATCGAATTTAAATTTCCATGAAAGATTTTCATTTGCACCTTGGTTTTGTGTTGAATCTCATTTGATATTCACACCAACAACCTTTCTTACTCTTCAACTGGCTCGAGTTTTACTTCGATTCCTCATTCCTTTCCATATCTTCATGTTTCATGGCAACTTGCTCTTCAATCTTCGATGTTATATACACAAAACTGAGACACAGATTCCTAGTTATTCAATTATCTAAGCATCATGAAACAAGTTTAGTTGCAATCAATATTTGCTTGACTCTCATCATTCCCATCATTTCCATTTTTGTACAAGTAAAGAATTGATTCAATCAAAAGAGATGAATCGTTGAATAACCTGCACTTATCCAATAAAACCTGGAATAAGGAAGACATGATAATCAATAGGAAACACCAAGAATAGTTTAAACAAAAATAATTAGTTAAATTAATGATTCAATATTTTTCATTTCCTTCAACTCACAATAAAGCGTAAAATGGTTTAAGCAAGGTTGAGTGTAAACACGAATCACAATTGATCAATTGATTTTGTGCTAAGAAGATGATATTGATTGTAAGCCAATATTGAACCTTGCCAGGAAAATGAGGAAAGGAATGTTTCATGATGATGAACATCGTTAGCGTAAATGTTTAACAATTGTTGCCATTCGTATATTATTTATTGATCATATTTGTCTGTGACAATAAACATAACTCGACAAATAATGGTTGATACACAATCTAATATTAGCATAAAGTGATAATAGTGATCATTGGCATAACATTGAACAATTGTTACCAACTTTCCATTTTCTTGCTTCACCAATAAACAAGAAAAGAAGATGAGAATCGGCTTTTGTGAGCAATCATCATCAGAATAGAAGGTTGACTTTTGATCAGTTTTTTGGAGAAGAAAAAAAGTCTTGTAATTTACTCACATTTACCATGGAAACATAGACATTCAGATAGAGACAGTCTTCACTCCCATAAAGTGATCCTCTGGAATCGTACTGTGGACATCCAGGTCCATATTGTTGAAAGCTTTTAACGCCCCACCACATAGGAATAGGAACAGATCTCTTATGAAAAAAACGAAACAGAAAATGCATTCAAAAGTTAATTCATTTGTCTTAAAGTCGAATCTGGAAAAGGGTTCATAAAACGAGTTGACTTAATAACATTTTAAACATTGACTGGAGGCTAATCATAAGCTGTATCGAACTGTTTGGTAAAGATTAATAATCTATTTGGCCGTCAATCGCTTCAGAGTTTCGTTTCATTTTAGGTTTTGAAGACTTTGGTCGATTTCTGAAGCATATTTTGGAAAAGTGCGTTTTCTTATTGAGATGTGCATTTTAAATATTTGCAAAAAGATACTAAAGTAATTTCGAGAGTTTAGATGGTCATCGGTTCTTTGATCGATGGATTTTGTAGGAATAAGTTTTCTTTCGTTTTATTGCATTGTTGATGCTTTGCATTTGAACGCTTTTCTTATGTTTCGTTTGAAGCTTAGACTGTTATTTGATGTTGATTGAGAGGTAAATAGAGTTTGAAGTTATCCTAATGTTTAAATTATACTTGGATTGCATTGTTAACTGTTGATTTTATTCATTGCCATCTTCATCATCGCCATTTTAATCTTTTTTGTATCTTTATTTCCATCTCATCAAAATTTCTATTTCAGATCTCACCTGCTGATTGAAACATTTTTATAACCTCTTTTCAAGTAAACTGATGGAAAACTAAACAATGTTATGTTCATTGTTCAGTTCAGTTCACCTTACCATTCAAAGTGGTTTATATCAAATTTTAAGCCAGATTAGATCCATTATTCATCAACTTGTCAACATTTTCGTCGACTGTCCCATTAAACTCATCGTCTTCTTCTTTTCTTTTCGTTCTTTTCAATCTACTTTGCATGATAATTTTGACACAAACTCTCAAGACTAAAATTGAAGAAGCAGAAACTTTTAGAGACGAAAAACGAAATTTTTAAACTAAACTAAACTTATTTCGAGAAGAAAACTTCGTTTCGAAAATAACATTTTGTTCGATTTTCAATGTTCTTGCATTCAAGTTGATCTCCTGAAAATTGATCACACAATGAAACCTATTCCAACATTAACGATTGAATATCTGAGAAATTATCAAATCGAAAATTCTCAATGAAAGTTTCCTATTTTCTCGCTTTTTATTCTTGACTCAACATCATCTGAGTGTAATTTTGCGACTTCGTATAAAATGTTTCCTTTGAACAACTTTCCAATGATAAAGTCCAATGTTTATATCAGTACGGATTGAAGATAATTTTTTGAAGACTTTTAAGAGCAACTTGAAAACTTGAAATGGTTTGAACTTTGAAGTCGAAGCAATTCTCTTTTCCTCTTTTTTTGCAGCAAACATGAAAAATTGCAAAATTGATGAAATTTGTTCACAAAGCTTTGAGCAAACATGAATATTTCAGAATTGAAAAGTTACATTTATGTTACTTTCAAAGGTTTCATCAGTTAAACGTTCAATGTTCATCTTTTTATTGTAAATTTAACCCGAGGCTTTCATCTGACTTTGAGTAAACATATTTTGAAAGCCGTTAACAGCTCTAAATGTGATTATGAATTACGCTTTTCATGATGATCATTACTCCATTTGAAATGAATAAACACGTCCATTGGCCAAACCAATTGACCTCAAATAAAACGATCAACAGAAATGTCTAAATTGAATCAACTTGAATGTAACAATTTGTGATCAATTTGCATTTGATCAAATTTTGCTCAACCTTTTACTCAATGATTAATGGACATTGATTGAACATTCAACAATCATCTTTATCCTCATCAATTTCAATTGCAGGTCAATCACATATTCAACCATCGAACAGATTAATCATGAAAACAGAATCATTTCCATCGAATGTTTAAACGCAATTCAAAAGGTAAATTACAAGAAACAGAGTTGATGAGTTTTTCCTTTCTCCATGTTTTACATGGTAGTTTAGTAATTCTTATTTGATTGATGAGTCGATGAAAGTGCGATGAAGTTCAAGTTGAACTATCATTAGTTTAAAGACCGCAACTTGATCAACATCATTGGCTTCATCTTGGATCCATTTTGAGATGCAAAGTGAAAAATAACGTTTTTTCATTTTGAAACTTTTCTCTGTTCAGCAAAAAATCTCATTGACTGTATTATCTTCTTCTTTTTTGTACTTTTCTTTATATTAAACCTTCCCTGAGTTTCTTCCAATATATATTCAATATGTATGATTACATTTTACTACCTTTTTCCAGTTTCAAGTAATTTCATTTCACAAAGTAAACACTGAACACTTTTCTTATTCATTCTGTAACTCAATACTTTCAGTGAAACATTTCAGGTTGAAATTTCTCAAATGAACCAAGATTGTTCAACATAAAACAAAAGTGTCATTTTTTAATTCATCAGCCAATTTGATGATTTAATGAAAATTTGAAATTTTATCCAAAGCTTTGAGAGTTAATTGGAAAAACAAAACGTTAAAAGGTTAATATTGAAATGTTGAACCTGAGCTCACGTGAAAATTGAACCCATTAAGCTGATCAAAATGGGTAGATGTAATGAATGATCATGATTATCATGAAACTCAACTTTTCTATTCTTTTCCTTCTTATTTATTCATAACACAAAATATTTTAATCTCAATGATTATCTGAATGGAAGTAGGTTTTATTGTACTTGAAACTTTTTTTCAACTTAAACTGGAATCGATAAAAACTAGAATCCCAGAGAGTAAGCCTATTATTGTTTCAATGAAACATTCAAATGGTGAAACAAAGAGAATCAACTGAGCAAAAATATTAATCAATTTAAAGGAAAAAAGTTGACAAAAGATAATAAGAAAACAGAGAAAACAAGTTATAAAGAAATTTCGAGTTCTATCAAGGAGTTCTAACAGGGAGTTGCACTGGGAGTAATTAATAGCAGAGTGCTGACACGCTCATACAATGAGTCAAAGCGATGGAAAAGATCATGAGAACGATTAAAAAAGATATTCTAATCTGAATGATTGGATAATCGAGACTTTTACCATTAAGCTTCGACTACCTTTGAAGTGATTAATGCTGACAAGTAATGCTTAATGCAAGTAGCAACTAAGGATATTAACTGGGAGTTGAGGAACTCATTTCATCGAAAGTTGAGCTTATTTATCAATTCATTGCGATAGCTGAAACCTGATCATTTCGCTGGAAAACATTGCTGGACAGATTCTCATCGAGACTTATTCCAGTAAAAGAACAATTTCATGATCATTTTCATTGAGAAAAGACTGTTCAATGACCAATTGATCCAAGTTGTTTTTCAATTTCATGCCTTTTCTTATTCAATACTGAAACTCATCAGAATCTGAAATGAAACTGTAAACTTGAAATTTGTGAGACTTGTGAACAAGAAGAAAGCCAAATATATTGAAGTATAATTTACTGGACTTTTCTTGATAACCTTTTCTGTTTAATACTGTAACTGATAGTTTTGCATCAAGTTTGCTTGATAAACCATGAAATGACTATATCTTGAACTATTAAATTCTGGACTTTCTCTTTTACCTTCACCATGGACATCATCTTTTTAAACTTCTTTGTCTTATACTTTTTTCCTCTTCACTTGTTCCCAGTTCACCAGCTCTAACGATTACTTGCTCTTCCCTTTCCTTCATCATTTCACCAGTTTCATCATTTTTCATCACCATTCTTTCAGAATGATAAAAATGTAAAGGTAAAAGGCTAAATTCAAATGACTTTACCAACACACTGTGCACACTCAATTTAATATTTCATTTTTTTCCTTCAGCTTCAGTATTAAGCTCATTTCACCCTTTCAAAGGCTTTTATCCTCTGAATTTTGATGAGTTAAACACTGAATCCATCATCTAGAAGTGTTAACACTTTTAACCAAATAAAACCTTCAATACAGTGAATAAAATAAGTGTAATTAAACTGAATTTTAATGCTTCAAAACCTAAACAACTCCAAGACTTTCATCTTTCAATAACATTTCTTATTCAATTTATCAACTTTAACCATTAAAACTATTTATTCAACCATTTTCTCACAGTTAGCTTCACCTGTAATTGTTGTAACAACTGCGACTGCAAATGACTTATTGATTTTCAATGTTCAACTGCAACAATTAAACCAAACAACAAGCTAATTAACTCAATTACCAGTTTGACCAATGTTCATAAACCAGACAAAATTGAATAATTTCACGGTTAAGGTTTAATCGATAATCATTTTTAGCTGTTTCTTTCAATATTTAATTTGGTCATTTATGTTTACATTTGTTGAAATTTTGTCGAGTCAAGTTCATGTTTTAATGAGAATAATAATGAGGAATGTTGATCAATGTAAATTGACTGGAGATCATTATGATAACCTTTTATACCCTCATCTGCCTGCTCTACGGGCTGCTCATCATGAAGCCAAATGTCTTTGCATTTCCTATCCAAATGATACAATCATAATAAGAGATTCAATTAGCTCAGTTCACTGTCACCGATTAACTCATTTAATTAGCCTTCAGTTTCCTTTTCATCCTTTTAACGTTAAACCAGTCTTTGGGTTTATTATTGCTTTACCCAAAAAACAGATTCAACCAGATTTTGCTTTCAAATGTATAATTTGAGCTGACAATGTTTGCTTATTAATAAAAAAGTAATTCTTACAGTTTCCTTCCTAGTCTTCATAACCATTAGCTAGTCACCAGCTCTTAACCTTTACCCAAAGTTACCCAAATTTTGAAAGTTAACTAACATATCGAAAGCAATCCTTTAATTAGATCGATCTCTTCACATCTTCAACGCATAACATAAAGCAAAACCAAAAACCTGAAACAATTCAGTAAAGTAAGCCAAGGTAAATTTAAACATTAAACTGCTGAAAGGTTGATTTATCGATGAAATAAAAAGTGATTTATTGCTTTGAAATTTGATTGTTCAAAGGGAACTGAAACTTTTGTAAAATCGTTATATTCATCCTTTTTTTGTTCAACTTTACTATTGTCACTTGGATATGAAAAAACAATAACTTAGAGTTACAATGAGAAATGCATTTAGGTGGACAAAAGGACTTTCAGTTTAACACAAATGAAAATGGCTCATCAACACGAACCCATTATAATATAACTAAATGTTTCCGAAAAGTCATCTCTAAATAAACACTTGTTTCGTCTTTAAAGAAGACAAATAATGAAGACCAAAACATAGATGAATAACATAATAGAGAAACCCAAAACAAACGAATGATTAACTGATTGAAAGGAAAGTAGGAAAATTGGCTTTCGAACCAGAACTTGATCGGTTCTAACGGACTGATACAAAAGGTGCGAATCTCTGGTATTCAGCTAATAAAATGATTGGTAAAAGATGATGATTCAAAGAACCTTTATATGACCATTCTTGCAAGGTGCAAAGTTTGCAAATGATTGAGAGAAAATAAAATTTGTTGGTTTCTATTCGAACCCGTTTTGCTTACCTGAAATCTTAAGGTACCCAAAGGTGGAAGAGCATAAGGTATACCAAGAAATGCAGCAAAGGGTTTTCCTGATTGAGTAAACATCTTTTTACCCTGAGCTTTTCCTGAATGCAGAGTAACTTGAGGATCATTTAAACTTTCCTGGCAACAAATTGTCAAAACACAATTAATTAGCACAAGATTAATGATCATAAATGACCATTGAGCAAATTTATTTATCACTTTACTGTTGTTATACATTGATATTAAACTTGATGGTCTAAGCGTTCATTGATTTTTCCTTGGTGTTTGCTGAATCCGTTCACTTTGGTTAAACAATTTTAACAAACAAAACTAAACTTGACCATTGAATCTCAAATAAATGAACCAGAATGAAAGAGTGACAATTGCGTTTCATTTGTTGCAATGATTAACTGTTTTGATGGTTCACTTGAAACTTGGAGAATCAAAATTAAATGAACAAAATGATGAGAGTTTAACGAGAAACTAAATTGTTGATCATTTTATTGTTGATTGAAAAATTTAATTGAAATGTCAAGGTGAAAGACTAAACCTGCCTTGGCCTCACAATTGTTTTGCTTCTTTTCGTCTTATTCACTGTTGATTGTTTTAACAATAACTTTCTAATAATCAGGTTTATGTTGGGATTTTTACTGTTTCCAATCAAATATGGTTGTCTTTTTGCACACAAAGAGAGACACACATCGAGTCTTGATGACGGTTAAATGTGTCACAATTGTAAACGAGAATCAACAACAATTAAGCAAACAAACGGAAAAAACAAAAGTGAAAGGTTCCTCTTTGCAAAGCAATGGTTAATGTTTACACACATTAATATTCACACAAGGAGGATAACAATCAACAGTAATAATCTACCTGTTTAAATAATCCCAAGGAATTGATGAAATTCACAAATACTTAACATGAGAACAGAAAATATGACAATTTTTCATGATTACACCAACAGTGAACAACTTTGTTGAGGTCAACTTGTGAAAGATTTTGGTTGAAACTTAAAACATTACAATATCAAGTTTCCAATCGGAGGTTTGCATTGAAAAGGTAAATGTAAAAATGGACAAAAAGGGTTACTTTTCACCAAACTTTCACTTGGTAAACATTAAGAAACATTGAGATGGGAAGAAACAATGTTAAACATTCAATTTGATGTTACTTTTTTTCACCATTATTTTGGCTTCTCTTTTGTTCATCATTGTAATTATGATGATGATGATACAATTAGGCAAGGACTAACTGGCATAATGAATGTAATTCAACTTTTGTCACTAATTTGTTGATTGCCATTACAGGTTTACAATTTTTGGCTTATTAATAGAATTGAATTGTTTGGCATTAAACTAAATATCCGTGTGTCCTTGCAATTTGTTATTATACTCTTGATGGCATGTATTTTAACCCATTATTTTGTTCATTATTTCAGGCTCTTTTTTTCATCACTCAATTGACATCGCCATTGACTATTGTTATTTTTTTCATCATAATTCACTTTTATTTTTAATCTATCACTATTATCATCTGTATTATTCTGGTTATATTCAACATTTGCTAGTTGTTATTTTAATGATTGACAAACTTGAATATAAACAGCAAAACAACAAGGAAACAATGACACAGAAACACAAAAATACTGCTTAATTGGATCTGGTTTGGACAAGAAATCTCAGAAAGTCCGGAGACATGGATATTTGCAATTTCCGGGTAAATAATTCACTGAATTATTAGTACCAACATGATGTAGGTCTTTTTGAGTTTCCTCCTTAACATCTACACCACCCAGATATTCATCATCTGCATAATTTTCATCGATGTTTTTCTGATGATCTAAGCAAATATTTGAGGCCAGCAATCATTAAATTAGCAACCTAAGAGAGTCATTCTAGTCCGATCAAAGATGTTTATGAAGAAGAGTCTTTACAATTAACTAGACAAGGTAATTATTTAAGGACATTGACAGTCAATTTGGTATACAAATGATTGAGTCAAAATCAAAGCCTGTTGAAGCATTTATAAAAGTTTCAATTATACAATTCTTTTTAACCATAGTTAGCTATTGGTTTTGATCATCTTTCTAATAGTTAATGTTGCTTGAAAACATTAAAAACAATGCATATTGAGTGTCTTAAATATTAATCAATATTAAATACTCTAAGGTTAATGAATAATTTACTCAATTAGCAAGATAATAAAGAACTGGTTAATATTGATTCGCATTAATAATGAAAATGAAAATTTCTTGCAAAGTTAATTAGTGTCAATGATTGGCTTGGAGCTGGCAAGTTTCGATGGTGATTTTACAAATTGTTTTCACTTGCATGACCTGGTATACGAATTGTTTTGAACGATTCACTTCAACTTTCGTCTGAATACATGAACAAATGTGAAATCTAGGAGAAAATTTTTGTTCAAATGGACTAAGAACTGAAAAATGGTGTTGACAGGAAGGGCAAGACTATTTTCATAACTCAACAGAAGAATATCGAAGAAATATTCATTTAAAATTGGATCATAATTTGCTAGTTGTTCAGTCAATCGGGACAGTCGAGTGGCTGGTATTTTACGTAACGTTGTTCGGTATGTTTCAAATCGTATACCTCCAACGTTGAGGATCACTCTATTATCAAGATCACCAGTTCGGTTGAATGACTGAGCGTACATCATCATCACCTCAAATTATTTGAGGTAACGAGAGTACCTCGGTTAAATTGGCCACAAGTGATCTCTTTTTAACGTTATCCTAGGGATGATGGATTTCAAAAATATCCTTCTAATTGTTGATGAGTTTAATGAAATGGTGAAAATGGCTGTTCTATTTGTTAACAAAGATGGGAAACATAAAACAATCGATTCTATTGATTCACTTGTAATCAAGGTTGACCTCCTCCACTGGCTCAAATGAAAACATAATGGCCATTTGGTCCAAATTCTTGAGCTTTCAACCTTTCTCATCAGATTCCATTTAAATAAATTACTCCAAATAAGTAGACAGGATACTTTTCTTCTCCAGTTTCCAGGTTTCCTTAATCCATCAAGTTTCACAAAACACAGAAACAGAATGCTGACAATCTCTTCCTTTCTCTTGGAATCTCATGCCTTTATTTCGTTTAGTCGTTTTCATAAATCTTCAAGTTGAGGTTGAGGAGTGAATGCGAAAACTTTGACTGCGGATTAAGAGTAGAGACTAAAACTTTCGTAAGGCTCACAAATTGAGTCACTCTGTGCAAAATTTTTACGATCTACTATTTTCGACAAGAAAGCGTTCAAAGTTAAACTTCGATCACTTTTGTACTGTTACTAAGCCATGTATCTGAGGCTGCAATTACATTTTTTCGTCAAAATAATCCATTAATAGAAGATACTTCATTTGATATTAACTCCTACAAACGAAAGTCGTTACTTGCATGTAGAAAACTTAAACACAAGCCACTTCAGCTTGTCAGACACTGAAAGTTTAGTTTTTGTTATTAGACTTTAATTCATGCGAATTCAGAGTTGACTCTGAAAACTTTTTGGGAAACATTATTCATAATGTTGTTCGAGTGGATAACTCGACATTATCCATTGCATAATCGAAAACATCATCTAAATGTTCCCACGAACAGTCTTGCTGGTTAAAAGCCATTGCATCAAGGTAGACCAACCAAGTGACCAGTTGCTTGATCATAGGATACCTCGATTGCCACAGCACAAGAAAGTAAAAGGGACGAGTGTACCAATGTAAGCAATCATATTAGTTCTTACCCATAGACTCCAGTTACACATCATATGATCAATTTATCAGTGTGAAAATCATCTGAATATCATCTGATAAAATAATGTTACTTATTGTTCAATTTCAAGAGCAGATAACCTTATAATAAAATTGGTATCAACTGAAACGCCACAGTTCTTATTTGTTTCAATAATGATTTATTTGTGATAAATAAATGATAGCATTTTTACAATGAAACGTATCTAAACAATAACGTCAATAATAACTCAACAAAAGCTTTAATAGACAAAATTTTGAGTTTACAGGAAACATCCATTTATTGAGTAATATTACAAATTCAGGGACTAAATGTTTGCACTGGATTTACAGAGGAAAATGATAATGTTTTTAGTTGAAATCGTAAAGAATTGAACTTTGCTTTATTTACTAATCAATTTCAACAGAATTCAGAAAAGGTTATAGTTTGACTATCATTAGACTTTATTTTTCATGAACATTATTGAAAGATTATCAGTAAACATTGAGAAGATGATTAATATTTCATCTTGTGATTCCCGCCCTCAGATTGATCCGAAAACACCTAAAATCTTGATTGCAATTTATCACAGATTCTGAGGTGTTCCATTATAAATATCGTTGCAAATCATGTTACAGTAGGCTTGTGAACGTTAAAGTATTGAACCATTTATTGTCAAAAATGTATCAGTTTTTAGTTATTGTAACTCTTTTCACTTTTGCAACATCAAGTGTTATTTTGGCCGACAAGGAATGGACACTGTTTAAGGTAAGTAACTACATAAATGTATTAATATTTAAGACGATTAAACCATCATTATGTATCGTTGTTTAACAGGCAACTTATGGCAAAAATTATCCCAGTCTAGAGGAAGAAAATTATCGAAAGAATATTTTCAATGAAAATTTGAAGAAAATTAAACTTCACAATGAAAAGGCCATTCGAGGTGAACACAGCTATCAATTGGGAATCACAAAGTTTGCTGATTTGGTAAAGTATTTCAAAGTTTATTCATACATTGATTGATGAGTGTAATTTATTAACTTTGAATTTATTTAAACTTGAAAATTAAAGACAATCGAAGAAATGACAATGCCTGAGCTAGAAGTGGAACCACAACCATTAAATGTTAAATTTCATCATAAATCGTATTTTAAAGCTCCAGAATCATTTGATTGGAGATCAAAAGGTGTCTTGACTGGAATTAAAGATCAAGGTGCATGTCCATCTTGTTGGGCATTTACTGGTGCAGCAACAATCGAAGCAGCCTATGCTCAAAAAACCGGTAAATTGGTTAATCTTTCAGTTGAAGATATTCTGGACTGTGCTCCTGACTCCAAAGGCTGTGAACCAGGATATGTAAATACCGTTTACTATTATGCAAAGGATAAAGGAATATATCGAGACGATTGTTACCCATACGAATCACATGATGACCTTTCCAGAAAGGTTTGCCGAGTCAAATCTGAATGTGACAGGATTAAAATATCAGATATTATGTATGTTCGCAATCGAGACGAGAATGCCCTTCGTGATGCTGTAGCTAAGCATGTTGTCACGGGATATATTTACTCGGAACTTGAAGATTTCAAGTTTTACAAGTAAGTTGACTAATTTTGCTTGTTCTCAAGTTTAATTTTCATTCAATCTCGACTTTTATTAACAGAGGAGGAATTTATACTGGTCCTAATTGCCCTAAAGATAAAATTACACACTTGGTTCCAATAGTTGGCTATGGAACTGAAAACGGAACTCCTTATTGGATCATCAAGAACAGTTGGGGTGAACATTGGGGCGAAAACGGTTATGGCCGAGTATTGAGAGGAAACAATACTTGTGGCATTGCTACTTATAGCTCAAGTTACCCGTTACTTTAATGCTCTCAAATCAGTAAAAATCTCAATCAAATGCTAATTTGTAAGTTATATTTTTGCCAATAAAATAAGATCAAACAATCACCAACTCAATGTGAAATTACATAAATCAATTCAAAACTCATTAAAAACTTTGCCTTTCGATTTGAGAGCATAATAGGAATTTTGTGGGTTTGTAGGTGCATAAAAACTGAGTCTATTAGTGACATTAAAAAGTTTCTCGTATAAACGGTTTTCCAGAGAATCGAAGTCAAAGTCGAATCTTTGATCGCCTTTTGTGCAATCGTGCAAACAGATTTTATCATGAAACTCATTTCTTTGATGGCCAATCAGAATATGAATCCATTTTGAGAAATAAAATTCTCCGTCTCTGTACAACAGATTAGTTGCATATCAGTTAACTCGACCGCTTTCTGTGACTATCAAAGTTAGAAAGTTGAAACTTCGATAAAAGTTGTTGCTGCATATCATGAACCAAATACTTTTTTCAATTTGTCAATAGTTCTCTTGTTTTTGGCCATTAACCTAAAAACTTTGAGTCTCAATATTTAGAGAACGATAGTGCTCGCAATCATTATTATTTGATCAATTAGTAGTGATTTTTCATGCGCCATGAAAGATCAGTAAGTCTCAGATCATTCAAGACTATAGAAAAAAGTTAGAGCATTTTATTACTCATGTTGGCAGATTTTAGGGTATTAACTTCGAGTATTTCTCAGGAAACCTTTAGTCATGTCCAATCTTTTTCAATATCAGTTTTGACCAGTTTCTCATTCTAATGCTGGTCCTTTTCTTGTCTCTTAACCATTGCATTTACAAATTTGGGTAAATAGAGGCAGCTTGAACAATAAATCTTGAAAACTTGTATTCATTTAGGTTGTTTAATTATCCTGGTTACTCGCTTGTAAACTTATATTTTACATTTAACTACAAAACAAAAGGAGGAACAATCGTTTGTTTTGCTAATTCTGATTGTTTTTGTATGAAATAGACGATTCATCTATTGTTTGGAATCGAGAAAAAATGAAATAATTAGGTTTTGAAAACAATTTGTTTTCTAGATCAACTAGAGTACCATTTGGTTGGTTCAACTTTTGAAACAAATGAATAATCTAATTAGGCGAAGACTGTTTTTATAATGAAAACATTTTCAAATTAGAAACACAGTAATTACATCTTCGATTGAGTTAACAATTGAATTCTTTTGAACAAGCTAAACCTGCTCATAGTGAACGAAACATATTAAACGAAACATTCACATTTGTTAACAGAAAAGCTAAATTAATACCAACACATTAAGCGTATTCATCGACTTACCATTAGAATAGAATGTCGTCATCTTCATCCATAAAAACTGCGACACCAGCTACGTCAGGTTAAGCTCATCAGACACTAAAAGTTTCGATATTTATTAATAAATTACATTCATACGAATTCAGAGTTGACTTGGCCAACTTTTTGGGAACCATCATTACGTTATTCGAGTGATTTCTTTATCCATTGCATTATCGAAAACATCATCTAAATGATCTTACGAACATCTTTGTTGGCTATGAGCACAGTCCAATGAATCACGGTAGACCGAGCGATTGACCGATTGCTTGAGCATAGGTTGCTTCAACTGCCACAACACCAGAAAAAGTAAGAGCTGAGTTTACGAATGGAAGCAATCATAATATTTGGTCAAATCTACAAACTCAATCCTACAAATACGACATCAGTAAAATAATGCTACTTATTGTTCAGTTTCAAGATCAGATAACTTTATAATCAAGTTGATATCAATTGAAACACCATGACTCTTATTTGTTTCAACGATGATTTACTTGCAATAAATGAATGATAACATTTTTCAAACGAAACGTATCTTAACAATAACGTCAATGATAACTTTACATTGCGAGTTGAAATGAAAATTCCATTTATTGAATAATATTAACAAATAATTTAAGAACTAGTGTATTAATTGTCACTAAATTTACACAGAAAAATGACAAAGTCCTATTTATTACCAAGAAAACAGTCTTGCACACATTCCAGTAATACGACAAGAAAAACAAACGATAAAATTTTGAACATCATCAGACTTTATTTATCATGGTTACATTGAAACATTATTGTTGAAGAATTAAAATATGATTAAATATTTCATCTTGTGATTACCCCCTCAGATTGATAAGAAAACGCCAAAAATGTTGGTTGAAAATAAAAGCATCTGAGTAGTTCTATTACAGCTTAGTATAAATATTGTTACAAAAGGCTTGCGAGCAATAGTGAAACGCTCAAGTATCTTATTGCCCAGCACAAAATGTATCAGTTTTTAGTTATTGTAACTCTTTTCACTTTTGCAACATCAAGTGTTATTTTGGCCGACAAGGAATGGACACTGTTTAAGGTGAGTAACTACATAAATGTATTAATATTTAAGACGATTAAACCATCATTATGTATCGTTGTTTAACAGGCAACTTATGGCAAAAATTATCCCAGTCTAGAGGAAGAAAATTATCGAAAGAATATTTTCAATGAAAATTTGAAGAAAATAAAACTTCACAATGAAAAGGCCATGCGAGGTGAACACAGCTTTCAATTAGGAATCACAAAGTTTGCTGATTTGGTAAAGTATCTCAATATTGATTCATTATAATACATTATATTGATTAGTATAATTTATTGACTTTAAATTTATTTGAATTTGAAAATTAAAGACAATCGATGAAATGGAAATGCCTGAGCTAGAAGTTGAACCACAACCAATAGATTTTAAATTTCATCATAAATCGTATTTTAAAGCTCCAGAATCAGTTGATTGGAGATCAAAAGGTATCTTGACTGGAGTTAAAAATCAAGGTAAATGTCCATCTTGTTGGGCATTCACTGGTGCAGCAACCATCGAAGCAGCCTATGCTAAAGCAAAGGGTGTACTGGTTAATCTTTCAGTACAAGATATATTGGACTGTGCTCCTAAATCCAAAGGCTGTACTCCAGGATATGTAAGTACTGGTTATCAATATGCAATGAGTAAAGGATTACGTCTAGACGAGTGCTACCCATACGAATCACATGATGACAGTTTTGGTCAAAAGGCTTGTAAAGTCAACTCTGGATGTGGCAGAATTAAAATAAAAGATTTTGTATTCATTCCAAAGGGCAACGAGAATGCCCTTCGTGATGCTGTTGCTGAGCATGTTGTCGCTGGATATATTTACGCAAGTCTGCACGATTTCAAGTTTTACAAGTAAGTTGACTAATGTTTTTTCGGTTAAAAATTCAATCTACAACCATTATCAACTTTTTCTACAGAGGAGGAATTTATAGTAATCCTGATTGCCGTAAGGATAAAATTACACACTTGGTTCCAATAGTTGGCTATGGAACTGAAAACGGAACTCCTTATTGGATCATCAAGAACAGTTGGGGTGAACATTGGGGTGAAAATGGTTACGGACGAATATTGAGAGGAAACAATACTTGTGGCATTGCTTTGTATAGCTCAAGTTACCCAAGAATCTGATGCTCTCTTTAAAATAATAAAATGTCAATCAAATACTAATTCATATTTTTGTCAATAAAATGAGATCAAACAATCACCAACTCGACATAGTTCAAAAATAAATGCCTTCTGATTTGCACTGGTATTACTATTTCCCCGTTAAAGGCGAAACTCGTTCAAAGCGACTATGAAACGGACCGTTGTTCACATTTGCCAACAGAAAAGGCCAAACCGTTGCCAATTTAGTAAACCTCAACAATATGATTCGATTGTCACATTTAAAGGCATCCATTTCTGGTTACGCTTTCAATTGCCATTTCATTTTAAACCATTTAGTCTCTCTGACTTAAAGTTTATTATATTCAAATTAATTTCATTTTTCTAGTATCTGCAAGTTGAGGTCGAGGAATGAATGCCAAAACTTTGACTTTGGATTAAGAGTTCAGACTCGAAACTTGATAAATTTAGTAGGCTTAAAATTGTGTCCATCAGTGCAAATTTTTTACGTTCGAAAATCTGCAGAAGTCAAATGTATATCAATTAATCCAGTACAACCACATTTGTTAGCAATTGGTGCTAATGACCCTTATATCCGCCTTTATGACAGAAGAATGATCTCCTTAACTCAAGCAAAGGTAATTTGAAACAATATGCAAAATATATCGAGTCTAATATTTGTTCAATTAATTTTATAGCATCCACCATCTAGCTCAATTAGTTTCCTTATGTCCAGCTTTGGGCGAGCGGCAAATCAACAGCAAGAAAATGACGACCCCTCATGGGTTCCTCCACCATCAAATTTACCTCATAATTGTGTCCAATACTTCATCGCTGGTCATCTACATTCAAAGAAAAAGCCGGCTGTAACGTGTACATATGTATCATTCAATTCTAAAGGGAATGAACTTCTGGCCAATCTCGGTAGTGAACAGATATACCTTTATGACATAAACAAGGTTCAGACTTTACACAGTTACTATCTTCCATCATCAACTCAAACGAAAGTCTCTTCTAAAAAAACTAGCTCAACATCTAATAAAAATTCAACCAATGGTACTTGTGAATACAACGGAAAAACCAATGGAACGAAAAACCAGCCCACGGCTAAAACTAAAAATGGCTTCCATCGGCCATCTAATCTTAAATATTATAGCGTTTATGGGGTTAAGCAATTACTTCCACCTAAAGTCCAACTGATGAAGGAACAAGCTAATGAGCGATTCGATAAGGGAGACTATATCAATGCTGTTTGGCTTTATAATAAAGCAATCGTTCATTGTCCAAATGCGGCTGTTCTTCACGGTAACAGAGCAATTGCTTTAATGAAGCGAGGTTGGGATGGTGATGTTTATGCAGCTTTAAGAGATTGTTACAAAGCTCTTGAGCTAGATAAAGGCTATTTTAGAGCTCATTTTCGCATGGCTCGTTGTTTAAGTGAGTTAAAAAGATATAAAGAAGCTCATGAGTGTTTCGAAAAGTTCAAATCAACATTCCCAGAAGAAGCTAAAGATCAATCATGTTCTGAATTGGAGAAACAAATCAAAGATTGCTTGGAAAGATTAAAAGAACGTGAAGAAGCTTCCACATCATCCAAAGGAGAGTGTTTAAGTGCCTCTGAACTTGATGATGCAGAAGAAGCTGCAGTGGCAGCTTTTGTCTCGTCATCATCTTCATCTTCATCATCAGCCCCGAGAAATTTATCATTCAATTCAAGATTACCTAATCTCAACGAAAAAGAGATCACTTGGAGAGCAAGAGCAGCCGATTTCAAGCAACGCTTTTGCGGCCATTGTAACACAACAACTGACATAAAAGAAGCAAATTTCTTTGGAAGGTTTGTTTGATCATTCAAATCAAAAATCTAAATCTTTAATTTTTTACCATCGATCGACAATTCGAATGAAAAGTTTTATTACATTCATTCATTTTCACTTCAAAATTTTAAAGTTTCAACCTCTAACATATTTTTATATAATTTTTTTCTTTTCAGAGATGACCAATATGTTGTTGCAGGCTCTGACGATGGTAATATATTTATTTGGGATCGCAAAACGACTAACATCGTGCGTGCCTTGAAAGCAGATGAGGCCGTAGTTAACTGTTTACAGCCTCATCCTACCGATTGTCTTCTTGCTACTAGCGGAATTGAAAAAACTGTCAAGTTATGGACTCCTAAACCTGAGGTTAGTTGAACGTTGATTTGTGCGTTGTTTTAGTTTGACACCCGATACAATTATAATAAGTAGAGTTAGATTTATCTGAATAAGGCCGTTTTGGGTGGCCTCTTTTTGTCCATTGATTGTTTAAAAATCTCATTCAAAAGTTTAAGTCAGCCTCACTGCCCATTTTGCGAAGGTTTTTAGACTTTATTACTTTATAAGACTTGATCACTTTTAACCTTATCTCTTAAAAGCTAACTTTAAAGTTATTCAAAGCTCAAACATACCTGAAATTACATTCACATTAATTTGATATTGTCAGTCAAGATCCGAATAGTCCAAGACTAGTTTTACAATAAAGACATTTTCAAATTAGTAACACAGTTATCGCATCTTCGATTGATCCTCAAAGGTGAATTCTGATAACTGGACAAACTAAACGGCTCAAAGTGACTAAAAAGTTGTAAGTAACAGGTTGTTAGTGATAAACCTCCGTTTACATTTGCTAACAGAAAAGACTAACAAGTCAATAACAATACATCAAACTCCTTCGCTGCAACAGCCAACAATTGATAACTTTTTTGAACAATTACCAAGCTATACTATAAAACTCGACTGTCTTGGATTCATCGTTGAGGGCTGCGGTTTTATTTTTCGTCAAAATATTAGATAGCTCATTACTAATAAGACATTAGTTATCGACTTACCATTAGAATCGAATGTTGTCATCTGCAGGTAAAGGTCATCAGACACTAAAAGTTTAGTTTTCGATATCAAATTTTCATGTATACGAATTCAGAGTTGACTCGGCAAACTTTTTGGGAAACATCATCATGTAGTTCGATTGGGTAATTCAATGTATTCTTTTATCCATTGAAACATCAGGTAAATGGTCCCACGAACAGCATTGTTAGTTAAGCAAAGTCCAGTGCATCACGGTAGACCAACCACTTGACCGGTTGCTTGAGCATAGGTTGCCTCGACTCACACAATACCAGAAAACAGAAGAGCTGAGTATACCAATGAAAGCAATTATATTTGGTCAAATCTACTAACTCAATGCTAAACAAACTTCGTAACAATTTATCAGTGTAAAGATTAGTTGCCTGATATAATGTTACTTATTGTTCAATTTCAAGATCAGATAACTTTATTATAATAAAGTTGATATCAATTGAAACACCATATTTCTTATTTGTTTCAACAGTAACAAATCATTGTGATAAATCAATGATAACATTTGAATAATGAAACGTATCTAAACAAAAGCTTCAATAATAACTTGCCATTTCTAGTTTAAATGAACGTCCCATTTGTTGAATAATATTAACAAATGATTTAAGGACAAGTGTATTAATTGTAATTGAATTACATAGAAAAATGACATATCTCTATTTATCATGAAAACAGAATTGAGTCTTTCACACACTCCAGCACTCATGCAAGAATCAGAAAAGGTTATATTTTGAAGATCACCATATTAGGCATGCAGGGCATATTAGAAACATAATTGGGAAAGATTTAAATGATTAAATGTTTCATCTTGTGATTCCCACCCTCAGATTGATTAGAAAAAGCCAAAAATCTAGATTGCAATTCATCAAAGCTTCTGAGTAGTTCCATTATAAATACCGTTGCAAAAGGCTTGTGAGCAATAGTGAAACGCCGAAGTATCTTTTTGCTAAGCACAAAATGTATCAGTTTTTAATTATTGTAACTCTTTTCACTTTTGCAACATCAAGTGTTATTTTGACCGACAAGGAATGGACACTGTTTAAGGTAAGTGACTATTAATATTTAAGATGATTGATTATGATTTAACCATCTTTGATAGGAAACTTATGGGAAAGCTTATCTCAATTCCGAGGAAGAAAATTATCGAAAGAATATTTTCAATGTAAATTTGAAGAAAATAAAACTCCACAATGAAAAGGCCATTCGAGGTGAACACAGTTATCAATTGGGAATCACAAAGTTTGCTGATTTGGTAAAGTATTATTTCAATATTTATTCATAGATATCATTGTTTATTATAATTTATTGACTTTTAATTTATCTAAATTTGAAAATCAAAGACAGTCAATGAAATGAAAATGCCTGAGCTAGAAGTGGAACCACTTTCATTAGATGTTGAAATTCATCATAAATCGTATTTTAAAGCTCCAGAATCAGTTGATTGGAGATCAAAAGGTATCTTGACTCGAGTTAAAAGTCAAGGTAGTTGTCCAGTTTGTTGGGCCTTTACTGATGCAGCAGTAATCGAAGCAGCCTATGCCCAAGCAACCGGTAAATTGGTTGATCTTTCAGTACAAGATATATTGGACTGTTCTCCTGAATCAAAAGGCTGTTCTGCAGGGATTATAAGTACCGGTTACGATTATGCGATGAGTAAAGGATTACGTCTAGACGAGTGTTACCCATATGAATCACATGATGACCCTTTTGGTCAAAAGACTTGTAAAGTCAACTCTGAATGTGATAGGATTAAAATATCTGATTACATATTCATTCGGAGGTACAACGAGAATGCCCTTCGTGATGCTGTTGCTGAGCGTGTTGTCGCTGGATATATTGACGCAACTCTGGACGATTTCAAGTTTTACAAGTAAGTTGACCAATGTTTTTTGGTTTGTTTGTTCTCACAAATTTGATCTACAACCATTATTGATCTCTTTCAACAGAGGAGGAATTTATAATAATCCTGATTGCCGTAAAGATGAAGTTTCACACGCGGTTCCAATAGTCGGCTATGGAACTGAAAACGGAACTCCTTATTGGATCATCAAGAACAGTTGGGGTGAAGATTGGGGCGAAAAAGGTTACGGACGAATATTGAGAGGAAACAATACTTGTGGCATTGCTACTTATAACCCAAGTTACCCTTTACTTTAATGCTCTTTTAAATCAATGAAATGTCAACCAAATACTAATTTATATTTTTGTCATTAAAACTAGACCAAGCAACCACCAACTCGTGAATAAATCAAAAATGAATGTCCTCTAATTTGGACCGGTAATACCGTTTTCCCCGTTAGATTTGGGTATCATCAATAGCATTGTTTAAGTACAAATGTTTTCACTGAGAAAAAGGTAAAAGTAAAAAAGTGAAATTCAAGATTCTCTCATTTTCCTCTTCAGACAAACGATTAACCTTTTCAAAGTGAATCAAGGCAATCCAATTGAAGGTTAAAAACATGATGAACAAGAAAATAAAATTGATAAACACTGAGAAATGGTTGAATCGATGAAATATCTTCATAATGTTTAAAGGCTTCAAAACGTGTTTCCAAACATTAACCGTTGGTAAAAGTTGGCAGAATAATAGTTAACAAAGTAACAAACAGTTAACCCAAAAAAAGAAGTGTGAGATGAAAATGAAAATATCGTTCCATGATTTGCGTCGAATCATTCATTTCTATCTTCATTCTTCTTCTTCTTCTTTTCCTTCTTCATCATTATCATCATTCCCTTCAACTCACTCTGTCTTAGTTGTGCTCTCAATATGAGCCAAAAGCTGGGAGTAAAACTCAAGTTTAACAGTTATTTGTTGTTCTGTTTTTGCTATATTTATTTAGCTTTGCGTTGCTTTTATTTTACTTATATTTTTCCGTCTACCTTTACAACTCCCAGTCTAACTTTATCATCATCCAGTGTACCATTGTCTGTAGTAGAATGAGCATAAATAGGAAACAATAAAAAGATTTCAAGTGTAACTTTCAACAACAAACAACCAGAGACAACAATTATTACCAAGTAAACTGAATCAACAATTTACCGATAATAATCAATGGGATCATGTTTAGCCAATTTTACAAGCAACTCTTGTAACCAGTGACAAACACAAGAATCTTGTTTCTTGTGTTTCTTCTTCCCTTGGATTTACCTAATTTCTGTAATTATTTTTACAATCATTTGGATAATCAATTGATCAGTGCAAGTTCAACATTGATTTAAGCATATCATCACTTTGCTCATCACTTTCATTCATAACACAAGGTAAGCCAAACACCTTTCCTTCCCTTGCATCAATAAGTAAACATTTACATTTATATTTGTTTTTGCTTCTCATTAATCATTATGATACAAATCACAAACTCATTTACATCAAAATTAAATGATTTCTCAGATAATTTCTGGCAAAATTCAATTTTCTTTCTTCCTTCATCATTACTCTTGATGAAAGGTGAACTCTTTTTAACTTTCATAGTTTATCAATTTAATCAGTTTTACCAGCTTTTTATATTCATCTTCAAGATTGATGGGAAAAACTGTATGAATATTGATAAACTTAACCATTTCAACTCGTAAATGCAAAAGATACTGATGAAGATTAATGATGACTTTTAATTGTTACCAATAAATGACAAACTGTTATCATTAAGTCAAAGTGTTAAAGAAACCAAAAATTGGGTTTTCTTTAACCTAAAAAGTTGAGAGTGAAAACCAGAATAAAATGTAAATTTGAATCACAAGTAAACTCACAAATGAACTGGCAAATGATTGAGTAAAATATCAATGTAAATTGGGTAAAATGGTTCATTTGGAAAGAGCAAAAATGATTTTAAAAGTTGGGTAAATAAAAAAAACATTAACGATTCAACCTTTTCTTGGATAATTATGCAAACTTGAACCCACTTTTTTACACCTTTTACAACCAGTTTTTAATCTGGTGAAAATTTTCTGGTTACTTTGGGTAAATATACATAATGAGAAGGAGAAGAAGAAAAAAAATCAACAAAAATTACACTCATCATCATGATCTATGGTTGACTAATCTACCTAAATTACCATAGAAACCAGAATTGTTTCCATTACATTATAATGATAAAAATGATAATATGGATCGATGTAAATTCAACTGGATTGATACAAAATGGAAAGGTAATGTTGATTTTTTGGGTTAAATTTAAACAAAATTTAAAGGAAATCATTTTCTTAATATTGCGTTTCCAAAGAAATATTCATTTCTGGTTTTGATAGACAAATGAAGGCAACATAAAAATGAACCCAAAGTAAAAAAGAAGCAATTTTAGTCTATTTATTATTGTTGACATTTCTTTTAATCAAAACAGTCAGAGTTAATTTAATGAATGAAAACTCAATTTGTTTATTGAATCAAATCTTTACCTTTTTTTCACCCATTTTCCCGTTTCTTTTTCATGTTAATATTTGATTGAAATGTTTCTTTTTGTTCAACTTTCAAACATAATTTCACTTGACAGTCATAAATGATTGTTAAATAAGCTGCTAAATAGTTGAAGGCAAGGAAAGCATGTTGACAAATGTTACTCTTTTCACCCTGAAAATGGCATTATTGAATTGACTTTCAGTAAACTTGAACTTATCTTTGTAATTTACTTATTCACCAATGTAAAGGGTAAACTCTTTTTTTGCTTATTTCTTCAATTAACTTGCAAATTAACAATGTTTCAATTGAAATTCATTGAAAATGGTTAATTGTTACATTTAACCTTACAAGCTGTAAATTAAAATCCCAGTCCAATTAGGTTTGACTTTTTTAAAAAGACATTCAAACCAATTGACTTGAAACAGTTTCTTGTCAACTTGGGTTGAAAGGAAATCTTGAAACTGTAATCCCATTGAGAATCTGAATCATTATGAATACAAAATTTAAAAATTCAACAATTCATGAGCAAGAATTGAAAGATGAAAATGGCTAACATTTGACATCAATTGAAACCATTAACAGTGTTTTTCTCGATCCATTTTACGGTTTCTCTTGAAATCCTTTTAACATTTTTTCTGGTTCAAATTATTTCCATTGAAAATAATAGGAAATTAACTTTGAAATGGTTCTTAGTGAAAGAGGAAAATTGGTTGAAAATGAATCGATCAATCTTTTGATAATTTAATAACAATTCACCGAGAATTGATGAAGAATATTGAAGCTGTCATGGAACAAATTATTCTGGCCAATTCTGGGTTAATCCCAGGTGATTAGAATGGCACACAATTTCAACTAAATCAAGTATCATATTCAAGATATTCAAGAAGAAGGCGAGATATTTATTTCCATAATGAATTCGGTTTGCATCATTATCATGTCTACCTTCAAGAGTAAGTATATATAAAAAAAAGAAGTTAATAAATACATGATTTATACAGATGATGATGATAATATGATGAGAATGATGATGCCAATGATTATGAAAATAATAATAAGCATGAAAAGGTTAGCTGAGTAAATTTTTGTTAACTTGATGAAGCCAAACAAAAGGCTTTTGTCATTCAAAGTGAAGGCTTTTAAGATGGGAAACAAAAACAAGCAACTGGAATAGACTAAATTCATAAAGCAAAGACAAGGGATTCGTGTAATGATAAGAATGGTTATTATCATTATTACTCCCTTGATAAGCATTTAGTGAACGATATTTGTGATCAACTAGATTGTAGTTTAAGACAATTTGCTGAGCATTCCCTTAAAAAACTGGTTCAACCATTTAAACCAGCGACTCTCTGGTCTAGACATTGGCAAGGAATAAACAAAAAGTGAAAATAAAACCAATGATAATCGGTTGCCTTCTTATGATACCTAAAGTGTAACCAGAAAATTTTCTGGTAAAGTGATTCAATTTTTATCCTTTTTTGCCTTCTTTAATAATTTAACAGTTCATGTTTTATTAAATGATGAGCTTGATTAGTTGATTATCATGATTTACTAGTGACTTGGGTAAGGTTTGGGTTGGATTTAGGTTGAGAGATGGAAATGATTTTTGGGTAAAATTTTGTTTCGCTTGTCAATTGTTTTTTAAAATTGGTTTTTCTGGTTTTCACAAGTGAAAATCATTTAGACTTGGGTTTAAACATTGATATTTAGATCTGCTTTTGAAATGGTTTTCTGGTTCTGGTTAGGGAATCAATAAAAACTGGTTAAAGTGCAACTTTGTCAACCTTTGAAAATTGTTACAGTTGTAATCATGATAATGGTAATAATAGTTATTAAATGCGCTATCAATCTTGATACTGTGAGTAAACTGGGAATGTTGATTAAAGTTAATTTCAACCTTCTCCTCTCCCTGGGACTTGTCATTGTTATTAGCATAATAATCATTATTATCATGAAATGATGAAATAATTAAGTTAAATAAACCCTTTCCATTGTTTCAATCCTTTTAGGTTTTACCTTTTACATTCAAGCTTTATTGATTTTGATTGTAACTCTGGTTGTAATATGTGAAGAAAAGGGAGAAAATTTTCTCATGAAAAGAAAATTGAAATTGGATAATTTATTATCAAAATGAACAATTAAATTTTCAAGTGTTCAACATTCAAGTTGAACAAGAACATTGTTATGATTGAATGAACTCAATCATTTCGCCTCAATGATTAACCATAAATAATATCTTGATTGGTGAAAGTTGATTAAGAAAGTGTTTACATTTAATAACTGTTGTTGCTCTTGATGAAGCTCTTGAAATAATACCAAAAAAGTTTACCGAAAAATAATTTAATGAAATTGAATTTAATATTGCTTTAAAGAGATTGATAATGATGGTTATTAAATTGACTTTTTAGGTGAAAATGTTAACTTTCAATAGATTAACTTGAGCTTTTTAATAGTTGGTTAATTAAAATTGAAAGTGAAGCCATTTAAAGTAATGAAAGTGCTTTAAGTTATCAAGAAAAGAGTAAATTCAAATGTTTATTAAATTTCATTTCAATTTTCTTTTGTTTCATTAAGCATTTCAATGAAGTCAGATGACGCCTTGATAGAGCAGATTAACTCGATTACCATTAAATTAACCAAATCAATGGTTTTAATAAACATTTTATTTCAAATGTTAAGCCTTTCATAAACTAATGGACAAACTATCAAAACAATGCTCAATTTTGTGCTGAATGCTCGTCCATTATGGTTGATTATCCTCATTGTTTTGAGAAATATTGATGTAATATGAAAAAATCACCAAACAGGCTGAAAATCCAGAAAAATTACTTTGATCTTTGGGTCTTTAAGTATCTTTTGGTTGAATTTACAAGAAAAATCCTAAAATTGTTGAACTCCTGGACTCCTTGAAAGATTAATATTGAATAATGACTTGGATAAATGAAGAGTTTATGATCTTTAATCAGCGGAGGTTATTATTCAGCCATTTGTAGTTCAACTTTTTAACGGACAGTTTAGACGGAAAAGGCCAAGAGTTTCGTGTTCATCAAATATTGGCTTTTATCGAGTCAAACATCGGATCTTTGATATTGGATATTATTCGTAGGTTTCCATGTTAATCTTTATCCTGCTGCGTCCATGGAAACTTTCAGGGCTTTCAATTGATTTAATCTCAGTTTAATTTTCTAACGATGTGACAGTGATGATTTAGCTGTATCAACTCTCTGGTTTACTTTAGACGATCATTGAGTATATTGGGTTGCATCTGAAGATAAATGAAAATAAATTTTAAGAAACAGTTTTGAATAAGTTAACTTTTTTATAGACAATCACCAATTAAGTCTTGCTTTTAATTAAACTATTGTTAATTCCAAATGAATCAATTTATATGCTGATTTCATTTTACCTTGATTAACTTTTTCTTTCAGTTGAATCTTGCAATTCATACTTCAACAGTAATTTAATGTAAATTGTAAACTTGTTGGTTTAATCTTTTTGATTGCCTTTTTTCAGTTGAAAAAAGCAACAATAATAAGAGGCTAAATAAGCAATGATTTCATTTGTTGTTCAGCACTTTTCATGCTGTTTCCATCTCACAATCAGATTGTGAATGAAAATCATTATTCCTTTGATTGTTACATCTAGACTATATTACAGTCTTTCTTCAACAATCAACCTTAACCTCAGCTTTTTACTCAGTCAATTTAGCTAATGATTAAGTCTAATTAGATGTGCAGGGAAGGCAACATAAAAAAAGATTTTACTTCAAGTTCTGATGAGAATATTTAATTCAAGGTAAAATGCAAAATGCGAAATGAAAAGAAATGAACAGAAAAGTTGAAACAATCGAGGATGAAATTGAGACAGAAAATCAACTTAACATTTTATATCAAAGGTTAAGAATCTGTTGAACAGTTGATAGCTTCGATTAGTTTATAAACTAATCAATGGTTTGATAAAACTCTTAAAGCTACTATTTATATTGTGAAGACAATAATTTAATATTATTGCTGTCGAAGACAGGAAAATGGTTGAGATAAGATTATAATTTCATTATCAAGTCAGATCACATCTCTGTATTTTACCATTAATTTTCATCATTTATCTAATGATTTCACCTAATTCATTTCAAAATGTTTTCTTTGAAATTGTCAAGATTCTCAACGATTTTGTTTGCACAAAATGATCTCAAATCAAATCTGTCAAGGTAATAATGAAATTGAATTATAGTTTGTGGTCAATCATTTTACATTGATAACACTGACAGAGGTAATGTTTGTGACACTCAGCGTCCACCAATGTCAGTGTTTATAACACTTGATTTTACCATTACCATGAAGGCAATTAGATTTTGTGAAAATTAAAATTGTTCAATCAAGATAATTAATTTAACACATCGGGATTAATGGAAATTTGTTTTCATTAATTTGGCGTAATCTTAATTTTGGATTACACTGGATTAAAGTGAACATCTGTTCATTAATTGCTATGTCTGAACGTTCCAATCAAGTTATTCGGCTGATTATCAAAAGTTAATTAGATAGAAAAGTTTGCTGAGCAAATATTGGTTCCTAAATCCCAATGAGATTACAAAATTAATTTTGGGTTAACCTTTAACAATCAACCAGAGATTATTCTGAAGTTCAGCAGCTTTAAAATGAATATTGAATCTTCGAAATGAATCATTGCAACTTTGAAGGGATTTTTTCCATTCTAATTGACTTATAGTTGATAGATTTGGTGAAATTTTGAGGCTCTGGTAAAGTTATTTATCTTGATTCAACAATTTGAGGCTTGAAATCATAAATGTATCAACTGGTGAATCTATTTTAAACCAAGCACTGAATTCATCTGGATGTGATTTTAAGAAAGGCCAAAAATCCAAAATCAAATCTTTCCATCATTGACGTTGAAAAAAAGTTAATCAAATTTGAAAACAGGAAAACAGTTGATACATGGCCATTGATTATATTTATGTTGAGATGAAACAGATGATGTGGGGAATCGTCAAGGAAGAGAAGAATGGATGAAAGGAGAATTGTTAGTTCAACTGAACAATTCTTCCGAAGATTTTACGTTTACTTAGGTGAGCATCAGAAGCGAAAGGGAAAACACACTCCAAATAAAATAGTTCTGAATCTAATATGTGAAGGATAAATGATATAAGATAAATGTAAAAAGGTAGGAAGGAAGGGATGAAAGGGAGGAATGAAGATATACCTGGATTTTGTTTTTTAATATGGATATTCCAACTCGTCTTATGGCTGTATACAGCAGCAATTTATATTGATTTGTATTTTATTCTAAGTAATCTGTGAAAAGAGAAAGTCCAATTATATTATAAGATTGATGGCAAGATACAGGGAAGTAATGAAAGAAGTATTTTTTGTTTGTTTCTTGTCATGCAAGAAAACTGGAACCTTGATTCTAATTCATGGGACAAAAATGAAAACTCACCGAAAACAAATTGATGTCATCACTATTGGAGGGAAGACTTTGAACTTTCATATACAACACTCTATTTCCAAGTCATTTTTTAATTCAGCCTGCCTTAAATCGATAAGTATAAAGGTAAACCAATTTGAAGATATCTTGCCTACAATGACCAGTAAGTTTTGAACTGTTGAAATGTTTTTCATGAGGTTTCATTGTTGGAAACTCCATTGAACCTTGTAATAGCAACAGTTAAAGTCAGGGTAATAAACAAAACGTATTATTACTTTTTTGCCATAGCTGTGTTCAATTGTGATCACTAATGTCCAAAAAAATTCTCAAGAGACGATAGAAGATCATGTTCAAATTTAAATGAAAAGGTTGAACATAAAGTGTACACTTCTACAATAGCAGCTTGATTGAACTTTCAATGTAGTAATAGCAGTAAAAGTCAATAACAATTATTTAACATTGCTGCCTCCATGGTAACACACATCTTTAGGTAAATCTGTATTGTTCAAGTTCATTCATTCACATTAACACGATGAGTTTGAGTTGATCCTACTTGCCATTGAATGCATATTAACCTAAATAGTTCGATTGACAGGAATAAGGATCGATGAACATAATCAAGTGTTTGAATTGAAGATAAATCTCGTTAGATGTTGTGATGAAATGACTGTGAATAAAGAGAAGAAAGAAAGGAAAAAAATGCATGAGATTCCAAGAGAAAGGAAGAGATTAATATCATGAATGTGAACATTTCTACCATTGTTTTGACTCACCCACTCTTTACTTAATTGTCAATCTAAATGTAATCCATTTTTCTTTTCATCCCTTCAAGAGTTTCTCTTACAAGTTACTTGATAAACACTAGTTGACCATTTGTAATGATCATGATGACAATCCGATTTGCTTGACTTTATTGGGTCTCATGTGACCAACATTACAATATCTTTAATACACAAAATATCTTTACAAGTGTACCTAAAAAAAGATGCAACAAATAATTTATTAATTGTTGTCAAGTATTCCTTCATTTCAATGAACAGTCACCTTGATATAATTAACAGTCTCAATAGATTACACGAGTTGCACTCTTAAGGCCTACTTACCTCTCTTGACACTGATTTTTCTTCATTTGTCAATTTAATTCCAACTTGAAAGACAACCATAAAATACTGTCGCACTTGATTAATAATAATAGGCAGAGAAATTAAATTAATTTGAATAATAAACTATAAGTTGAAGAGACTAAATGGGTTATATAAAATGGCAACACAAAGCGTAACCAGAAATGGCTGTCTTTGAATCAGACGATCTTTGACACATGAAGTAATTAGTCAGTTACCCTTTGTTTTATTTTCCCTCTTTATCTTCTTGGACCAGATAGTGAGAAACTCTTTCTTTTAGTCTTTCTACATTTGTTTTGATAATGACAGATTAGTTTTTTTTGAAACCCTTAGCAACCTTTTGCAGACGGTTTATTGAATAAAAAGAGATTATGAGAAATATTAATTTAACGGTCAAATTATGATATTATCATTTTCTCTGTAACTTTCAGGCTCAACTGTTTCAAGTGATTGAATCAACGAATGTATTCTTAGTTCAACCTTTGGATCTTTTAATGGTACGCTTTTTTTCAAAGTTTATTTCATCTTGTGTCCATCAAAATTGTCTCAATATTATCTTTTCAAGATTATGGTTGATGAACCATCAATGACAATTTCAACTGTAATTCTGTGATTGATCAAAATTTAACTGTATTGGATGTTTGCTTACAAGTCTTATTGTTCATGTCTTGTGTGTCTATACTGTTATATCACACCAATATCTTTTGGCCATCATGTTGGCTTTAGGTTTGGTCTTTATTTTACCTTTATTTTACCTTCAACTTTAACCTAATCATTCAGTTTTCTTTTTTCTCTCTGTGTATTCTTTTTTTCTCCCTTGATTCAGGTTCAGTCCAATCCAATAGGTTCTTCTGTGCAAGTTTCGAGGAGAGTTGGAGGGTTTTCTAGGAAAAGTGCAACTGGTTTGTGATTTTGTCTTCATTCTGTTTCTGTGTTTTGTGAAACTTGATGGATTAAGGAAACCTGGAAACTGGAGAAGAAAAGTATCCTGTCTACTTATTTGGAGTAATTTATTTAAATGGAATCTGATGAGAAAGGTTGAAAGCTCAAGAATTTGGACCAAATGGCCATTATGTTTTCATTTGAGCCAGTGGAGGAGGTCAACCTTGATTACAAGTGAATCAATAGAATCGATTGTTTTATGTTTCCCATCTTTGTTAACAAATAGAACAGCCATTTTCACCATTTCATTAAACTCATCAACAATTAGAAGGATATTTTTTAAATCCATCATCCCTAGGATAACGTTAAAAAGAGATCACTTGTGGCCAATTTAACCGAGGTACTCTCGTTACCTCAAATAATTTGAGGTGATGATGATGTACGCTCAGTCATTCAACCGAACTGGTGATCTTGATAATAGAGTGATCCTAAACGTTGGAGGTATACGATTTGAAACATACCGAACAACGTTACGTAAAATACCAGCCACTCGACTGTCCCGATTGACTGAACAACTAGCAAATTATGATCCAATTTTAAATGAATATTTCTTCGATCGACATCCTGGTGTTTTTGCTCAAATATTAAATTACTATAGGACCGGTAAACTGCATTATCCGACCAATGTTTGCGGTCCACTTTTCGAGGAGGAGCTTGAATTTTGGGGCTTGGATGCCAATCAGGTAATGGATCTACAAATTCTTTACATAAATGAGCAAGGTTAACCTTATTTCCTGATGCAGTTGATTCTCAGTTTAGTTAACCAAGCTCAAGAAAGCAATGTGTATTAAGAGAAGAAAGAGGCTTCACAAAGCATGGTCATGTTTTCATGTACCAAAATAGTATGGTGAATATCATCTTTTCATATTCAGTAATGAAGATAGAATGAAAAATGAGAAGAGCGAAAAGACTAAGATGATGAAACGAAGCAAAAGATTGAAGACAAAAGAAAAGAGGTTAAAGAATGTTTAATGGTAAAGGATCTGGAAAAGGTATCTGAAGGAGAGTAGATAAATAAGAATAAGTCAGATAAAAGTATGAGTAGGAGTTGAATCTGGAAAACAAAAATAATAAGATGGTGAAGAAAAGCAAGTAAAGCACGAGAGGCGATTGTTATAATTGACAGATGACGAACTCTTTCGATCTATTTTCTCTTTGTAAAACTGAATCTCTCATTTCAACAGAATAATAATCCTTTCCTTTCCTTATCTTTCTATTTTCTTCTAGGTTGAGCCTTGCTGTTGGATGACTTATACTGCTCACAGGGATACTCAACAAACCCTTGCCATTCTGGATAATCTTGATCTTGATGCAGATAAATTAAGTGAAGAAGAGTTGGCAAGAAAGTTTGGTTGGGAGGAAGACTACCATAAAGGTATGGAAAGACAAGAAAGACAGCAGATGTGTTAAAGGCATACATTCATGATGATGAGTGATAAAAAGAAGATCCAAAATGATGGACTAAGGAAGAGCAAAGGAGAAAGGAAAAAAAGAGGATGGAAAAGATTGACGAAAGAGAAAGCAAATTCACACTGATTGATGTGTATTTATTTTTCATAGCTATATCATCCGTCTTTATTATTACCAAACGAATCAATTTTGAATGTTTTGTCAGTATCTGAATGCTCAGTTACTCAATTTCAACGTTCAACTCTTGAAACGATAAAAAGGCGACCTTGCAAGATGATGTACTTTTTCAACTGATATGTCCTTTCTTTATCATCACTCTCAAGTCAAAATCAAGAGGCATTGAAGAAGGAAGAGAAGGCAAAATCAATGAAACATTCAGTCAACATAAAGACTCATTTCAGTGTAAACAAATATTTAACAATGCTGTTGAGTTATGAAAATAGTCTTGCCCTTCCTGTCAACACCATTTTTCAGTTCTTAATCCATTTGAACAAAAATTTTCTCCTAAATTTCACATTTTTTCATGTATTCAGAAGAAAGTTGAAGTGAATGGTTCAAAACAATTCGTATACCAGGTCATGCAAGTGAAAACAATTTGTAAAATCACCATCGAAACTTGCCAGCTCCAAACCAATCATTGACACTAATTAACTTTACAAGAAATTTTCATTTTCATTATTAATGCGAATCAATATTAACCAGCTCTTTATTATCTTGCTAATTGAGTAAATTATTCATTAACCTTAGAGTATTTAATATTGATTACTATTTTCAGACACTCAATATGCATTGTTTTTGTTTTATAGTTTTCAAGCAACATTAACTATTAGATGATCAAAACCAATAGCTAACTATGGTTACAAATGATTGTACAATTGATAGTGTTATAAATGCTTCAACAGCCTTTGATTTTGACTTGACCAATAATTATCTCAATCATTTGTTCACCAAATTGACTGTCAATGTCCTTAAATAATTACCTTGTCTAGTTAATTGTATTACCTGGAAAATAATTTCTCATCAATTTTCCAGTTTTACCACAACTTGACCATTAACTCAAGGTAATCCTAACATCCAAAAGAAGTTTGAATGATTTTATACAATTTCAATTCTGCAGGTAAACATTGAAATCAGATTGAAATTTATCGATAACAATGTTTACATGATAACATCATAATCATCTTTTTATCCTCATCTGACTGTTATATTCATAGTTTTTCAAATCTCACCAACACTCATTTTTTCCCAGGTAACCTTTCATGTTGGCAAAAAATTAAACCCAAATTGTGGCTTCTATTTGATGAACCTTACTCATCTCATGCTGCTAAAGTAAGTCATCATCCATATCATCATTCATCTTCTAACCCAACCTAATCACCTTTTAAACCTTTCCAACCCTAAAACCCACCTTTACATTAATATGATCACCAATATTCAATTGATTAACAAATCCATCACAGCTATTTACCTCTAGTCTACCCATTGTTATGATTGATTAGATTTCAGTAAACCTACAAAACAAAACCAAGTCTATTAAATAGTTAACCACAATTTAAAATGTAAGTTTTGATAAACTCAAATTGATTAACTTTACCATTTTAACTTGAACATTCAATTCAGTATTTATCTGGTTTTCTTTGCATAACAATTCAATTGCTTTTTATTTGATTAACCTTCATTTCTTGTAACTTTCCCTTTATTTAATTTCGTGTCTTCAATTGTCATTTGTTTTGATACCAAGTGTAAACTTTCAATTGAACAAAGTAAATCACATTGAGACTTACATGATTTAGCCACAAACAATCAAGTTAACCTGTTAAAATAGAGAAATTTAATGTTCGCTCAAAATATTCCCAAAGTATTAGGATATTGACTGAAAATAATTGAAAGACACAAATATCTAGATTTATTTATCTCCGTTTGCAACCCTTAACAATGATCAAAATATTCAATATTAATATCAAAAAAGCTAATAACTTGTCTGCTTAAAACTTGAATCATTTCACTCTGGGAATTATGGATCAATCAAACCTCCATATAACCATGAAATAATGTTAATATGATGGATCAAATTTTGTCCTTTTCACTTGATCCATTGAAAAAAATGAAAAACATTTCCCATAAAATGGTATAAAATTTACCTTCTATAAGCTGATAACACTTTTGATACAGAATCAAAGAAGCAATTTTTTTAATGATAATATCAGGATAAACTTTGAATCTTATTTCACCCTTTATTTGTTCAAAAAACTGTCCAAATATAATGTTCAACTCTCAATAGTATTGTATAAATAATGGTCAGATTGAGGCAGAAAAAAAATGAGAAAATGTTGATTCCTATTAACCCTGAAAAAGATTGGATTATACAATTGAAGTTACAATTATTTTGATATTTGAAAATGAAAAACCTCAATTTTCTCTGTCAACATTAAACTTGTTTAGTTAATGTTGTATAATTTATAAAGATTTGAAATTTCATTTGCTTTTGTTTCGTTTCATGGCATTCAAATCTCATGACAATACAAATGTCTGACCTTGCTGAAAATGTTATCCTCTATTCAAGTGCAAAATGAAATTTCATCAATTGCATGAAAAATATATTAATGTTTCCTTTTACTGTTGCCTTTTTTGTCAAGATGAAACAATCAGAAACAGACAATGAAAATGGAGATGTCATTCAAGAATGAAACTGAATGATAGAAATGAAATAATCAGATGGATTTTGAATACAAGGAATACATGTGTTTGAATGTTCCACTTTTGAGTTCAACTCTTAAGATGTTCAACTTCAACAGTTGATGATATTATTATGATAAGACCATTGATTTGAAAAAATGAACAAAATCAGTCAACTATGATTATTTTTAGATTAACATTGAACATTACAATTGTACTTTGAATGATAAAAAAATGAGTCTTGCAATTGAATTTTTTTCATCCAATACTTTCCTATTAACCATCATCTTGCGATATTATCACAGCATTATGATTAATATCATGAATAATTTAATAAATACATTGATAATATAATTCATCTTGAATGTTGCTTTCCAATTGAACTTCAAACTTTTTTTCTTAACACTTGAATTTATCGCTCAGAGTTGACAGAATTGAAAATTGATAGATGAAGGTAAAATTCACTCAATTGATTGTGAAAAAAGGTCAACCAGAATCACAAGAAAAACTCTGCTGAACCTTTTTTTCTGAACTTTTTTTCGAACCTTTTTTTTGCTCCTTTTCCAAATCTTCTTGAACCCACTTTTGTCCAACCTCATCAACTATTCACACTTTAATTCAAGTATAATCTGATTCTCTAACCATCAGTCACTTATCATTCAACCTTTCATGAATGACAATTGTCACCATTTATTATTCATTTGTTTTTGTTTCCCTGGTTTCAACTCCAACTTGATTCCCTGATACAAAGCCAGATAAAAACCAAAATCCCTTTCAATGGTTTCTTTTGTTTCCACTCAATTGAAGGTTTGATGAAAAATTTCAACTTGATTACTTTACACCGAGAATTGACTTTGAGCTGAAAAATATATTTATAAACTAAAATCAAGAAAATTGAGTTTTTTTTCTTATTAAATTATTCCTTTCCCTTTTCATTATCAAGATTGTATTGTAATATATTTCAATATTGGCTTCAGTTTCTTGGTTTCAGTTAATTATTTTGCAGTCTGGTTAACCATTAAATTGCTGGTAAACATGTAATAACGTTCATTAAAATCACTTTCAAGTAATACAACTGAAAAGATGATGATAATGATGATAAAAAATCTAATTAATTCCAATAATATGTTTATTATCTTCTTGAAACACGCACAGTTTATTTTTGTTAATCAATCCACACTCAGCAACCCCAAAAAAGGCTAAATTAATTGGCTTACCTTGCAACTTTTAACCCTATCTAATAACCTTATCCAGTTTCATTAACTTGATCATTTTCACTTTACTTTCACTCTATTTTTTGTTCATCTCTTTGAATTTACCAAAACGTTTTTTTTCCTTCTTCTTCCTTTGATTAACACCAAATTACATGAACTATTATTTACTGGCAACAACTTGAAATTTGATATATTAATATGTTTCTCCCTTTTACCTGAACAGGTTACTGCTGTGATATCTGTTTTCTTCATATGTGTTTCAATTTTCTCTTTTTGTATCAAAACTCATCCCAATATGAGAGTTCCCAATATACAAAATAAAACCATCCAAACAAATCGTCATTACTCTACCTGGATGTTGGACAAGGTGAAAACTGAAGCTCATGATGCTTTCTTTTACATTGAATCCATTTGCAATGCTTGGTTTTCATTTGAAATTATCATTCGTTTTTTGGTAAGCATTTCATTTCTTTCAACCAAAATTCAAAATCAACTATTGAATTGCAATTTTGCATGTTCAATGAGTAAAATAATAATTAAACTCATGAGTAACATACATTTTATGAAAGGTAAAGTAGTTAGTAAAGGTCGAGTTGGTTTTTCTTGACCAATACTGGCAGTATTGGTTTTTGTAATGAAAACTTTTTTTGCAGAAAATAAAGAAATAACGATTTTCTCGAAATATTGAGGCTCAAGTTTCAAGACTAATGTCCAAAATCGAGAGAACTATTGATAATCGAAAAAAGTGACTGACTTAACATGTTCACACACAAGTTTTATCAATGAAAAATGAGTTTCCGATCTTAAACTCTTACGGTCGAAGAAAGCGGTCATTTTAACTGAAAATCGAAGTGATCTGTTGTGCAGAGGTAGAGAATTTTTTATCAGAAATAAATGCATTTTCTGGTCGATTGTCAAAAGTTACTCAAAAAGATGAGTTTCACGAAAAAATCTGGTTTCATTATTGATAAAAAGGTGATTGAAGTTTCAACTTTGAGTACGGTTTTCTCGAATACTGTCGACCCAAGAAATTTTTCAAGACACTAATGGACTCAGTTTTTATGTTTTTACAAACTTACAAAGTCAAAATCTCAAATCTTAACTCTAAAGTCCAAGTTTTTGCCAATTAAAAAAAGTGAAAAATGAAATTGAAAAATAATACAAATGATAAATTCGAGCGATCGGCTGGACTCCTGTCGATCGATCTTGGGCTCTCGTGACTCAACCCATCTCGAGTAGCTTTGATTGAGTTCCTCTGGCATCTTGAAGTAGTGCTCAAATCGAATATATATGTGAAAACTCTACGAGTTTGATGACATATTCACTTGTCAAATGCAGTTACAAATCAGTTTTTAATTTGTGCTTGTCAAAATCTTTAGCTTGGATAAATTTTAGATTAATTAATTGTATCAATTTAATCATGATGCCGTCTAATTGTCTGTGCGATTTGATGAAAACAACCTTCAATTGAATGTTTAATTGCATCTTTTGCTTTCTTTTTCATGTAAATGCACAATTATTATCGCACAAAATGTCATTAGAACCATTATTATCATTTATTGTATTCAACATTAGCTGAACAAAATGTTTACATGATGTATTCATAATTTTTATGAATTTAAATTAAATTAAAATAGCCGGCAGTCATTTGCATCCTTTACATTGCTTTTGTCTTCCTCTTTGTTGCACTTAAAACTTACAAAATGTTTAACTTGATTCAAATTATTATTTTATATTAAATGTTTCGTTCATTTTACTTTCTACGATTTGATATATTATTGTAATTTTCCCAGTTTTACCGTAATACTAATGGTTATGCAAAAGAGTCTGATGTTGTTTACATTTACTGTCAATTTTTTTCAATTACATCAAACAATTGTCACTGCAATTTTGGTTCAACAGTGAATAGGAAAGTTTATAAATGATTGTTTGATTTAAACAATTGCTGAAAAGATTGATCATGAATATGACTTTAGACAGAGTTGATTAAATATTTTGCCTGTTTTCATTGCTACAGTTTTGTCTGAATTTTATAAAGACCGACAAATATTCACATTGCGTTTCTCCACATTTCATTTATCATTTCATTTCCACTCTTTTAGTCTCTCAATTTTCCTTTGTTTTACCATGTCAACATTTTCCTTTTCAGCATTTCTTCACTGACTAACCAAGAATCTCTGACCTTATTATTAAGGTGGTTGAAACTGAAAATGTGTTGAACAAAATGTTAGATTCAGTATCTCATTGTATCTCAGTTATACAGTATCAGGCTAATGTATTTTACAAACTAATACATTTTGTTCAATTATCACAGAAACAGTGTCATCATTTACCTTTAGGCAATCACAATAGATTTGACTCCATTATCATGTCTACTCATAGTCTGAATATTAATTATATTGAATCTCTTTTTGACAGCTTGAGCAATAAAATCTGTTCAAGTTTGTCTTTTGTCTAAACTTTGATCATTTCATGGTTGAATCTCTAGTTTCAATTCATTGCAACGTTGAAACTGAAAGACCCAACAATTAAGGTAATTATTTTATGTGATCTTCTTCGTGAACAAGTCGAGTTTTCTAGTTAGTGAGAGCATATGCTTCTGGCTCAGAAATGCGAGTCACATTTGAGTCACGAGTAACTGCTTGTGCTTTGAATTTTGACGCTTCAGGGAGTATCAAATTATAGCCTTGGAGTTTTCTTATATCCTAATAAGCATTTTTTAGTTTTTATGTAAATTTTTACGTTGGATTTCGTTTGCCTGATCATGCTGATTTTCTTGGAATTTTTTCATAGTTTGAACTTGCATCATGAAACAACATTGTACATTGTTTTTATTTTTTCTACCTGTTTAGGTTCATGACTTGAGAAACGCTAGTGCTGAGATGAAACTTGTACAGCTTGAGCTCAAATGGCCTGAAAACAGTAGAAACAAAAAGTAAATAACTAAATACAAATAAATACAATAAAACTCACCAGTATAAAAAAATTTTAATTTTACTCAAAAGAACAGAAACGTCCGTGAGGCAATTAAATTTATTGCAAGACCAATCAATTCGTATTAAGCCCTATCCAACGAGCTATATCACTAATATACTCAGGATAAAGAAGACCAAACTTGATTGAACAATCGCGTTGCATGAATCATCAGGTAAATCACCTAATTACATTGTGAGAGAGCGAAAAACGGTGTGAGCGCGAAAAAGAGAAAATAGAATTAGATGTTGACTCAAACACATTTAACTTTTTAAAGGAAGAAAATCATTCAAAAAGTAGGAAAAACCAAAATTATTATGTGGCCATGGCCAATCTCGCGAGATCAAACATTGCATCTGGCGAGATTAATGGTCTTGCAGGGGATTTGCAGACGGCTTGCAGAGGGTTGCAAATTTTCAATCAACTGATGAATATTGCTCTGTAACTTGTTTACTCAATGGATATTGACATTTTCCCTATCCCGTCTTGTTCCAACCCAAGCTATCACTTCAGTTTAGATAACAGGTGTTCAAACGGGTAGGTTAAACTTTGGGGCTTTATATCTCGAGAAATAGGTGCACGATCGTGGTCATTTTAATTTTATATTAATTAGCTTTACTAGGAATTTGAGAATGTTTTAAAGACAGGGTAATTAGAAGCGAAACAAAAACGTTCACCCGACTCGAAAAAGTGATTTATAACATGGGATTATAACATTTCAATGGAAACGTGTCAAAAATTTATAGCTGTATTTTGAAAATCGTCTGATAGCGTTAATTTTAAAAAGGTGAGGGTATTTTGAGCACACATATCATTAATTCCTGATAAAAATCTATTTATATACAAATTTTCAGATCAATAAACAAATCCGTTCTAAAGATATAGCCGTTTACTTTTTGACCTACCCGTTTGAACACCTAGTACATACATATGCACTGTCTTGTTTGAGCTAGCCATAGTCAAAAATGCACTTTTAAGCAATTCGGACACTTTTCAGTAAGAATTTCATTTTTCAATTATGGTCAATGGCTTTACCTTTACTTCCAATGCTTTGCCTGCTCGCTACACCGTTTCACGCTTAGTAACTTTTCAATTAAATTTTGTTTGATTGAGGTTTGAATATGCCAATCCATACGTTTAATAACTTGGTTGATACTACTCTAACAGTCCTGTATGTTGAACCTTGCAAAGACTTTGCTTTAGTTCATTTTTTTACTTTTGAGGTAAAAAAAGTAATGTTAATCTCTTGAGTATATTTGCCCCAAATAATTCGTTGAACATGAAGTTTCATGTGAAAATTTATCCCATTCAATTTGATGGTGTGCAAAGCAATATCAACCAACAAACATGAACTGAAAAAAATGAAAACACAACAAAAACACATAAGGAATAAAGAAACTCATTTTCTTTGGCAAAACCGAAACCAACAAATGAATTATGTCACTATTTTCAAGTTGATCAAAATTTTCATCACGATTTAAACTTTGATTTCATTGCTTATATTTTCTTTCCCTTTCATAATCAACATAATCATGATGATGATCATCATCATGCTCATCATGAAACCTCATTGTCCAGTAAAAATAATCATAACCAAATACAATATACTGAATACAAAACATACAGTCAACTTGATAACCGCAATGCAATTCAAACTGACTCCAGACGGCAGAGAAAAGGTGAATATTGAAAATAATATTCAATTGTAAATTCCGAGAAAAACATGAACCTTTTCTTCACATTATGTAATCTTGTTGAACAATCGCAATCATTAATACTTGGAAATAGTTTCTCGACTGGAATACAGTTTTTTATTCAATTATTCATCTCTACCGAGTCTCAACTTTTCATGAAATGCACAAAGCAAAATGATTGTAAACCCATTTTTGGTGAAAATTTTCATCTTGATAAAACAAGCTGAAACTGGTCAAGAAAAGAATCTTCTTGACCATTTACATTTAAATGCGTCTCTTCTTTTTCCTCCTCAGATTATCAGATTATTCAGATTCAAATTTTCATCCTTTTCCATTGATCATTTCACTATCATTATCAACTTGAATTGTTAGTTGCAAGTTTTGACCAAAAATTTTCCGAGCAATTCCAAGCTTTCATGAGTAAATGATGAAAAGAGCAACAAAAAGAAGATGAAAATTCTGATGTTTTCATCTTTTCAACTTCTTTTGAACAGTTAAAGGAATGTAAAAAAGTGATTTGCAAATTTCATTTTTTCGAGAAAAAAAAACAATTCGATTTTTGGTTATTTCATTAAGGATAATCAGTTTCACCATGAAAAGATTGAATCATTGAACAGATAATTTTGCTTCTTTTGTCTTTCAATTTGTCAAATGACTGGTGAAGTTTGATTGTAATCAGATTCCGAGGTAATTTTCAACATTTGATTCGATTTAATGGTTAAACGGTTTTTCACTGATTATTATGAAATATTCAACAGCTTCGAACAGGTTTACCCTGAAAAGTTGAATAATGAATAATCTAATCTCTTCATTAGTCTTGATTGCTTCAAAGCTTTGAAGCATCATTGGTAATAATACCTTTGCATACACAAGGCTCTAACAGCGTTTCAAATGCTTTTATTTCCAACCATCAAAATTTAATTGCAACATTAATTATTGACAAGTTGTCAGTAAACAATTGATAAATTGTTGCAACTTGCTTCGACTTTTGTAAATCAACTTTATCGACTTGATGAATGAACTTGAACTTTTCCCTCTGATTTTCAATGTCATCAATAATCAATGAATTATCCATTTTGCAAATTGACAATTTTCTGGTAAAATATTGTCAAACCTGTTCTTTTCATGATTATATTTTCCAGGTTAAATTGTTATTCTGTTGAACTAAACAAAAAAAATGTCGAGAAATAATTTTCAAGCCTTTTTGTTCATTCAATTTAATGTAAATGCCTCAAGTGAAATTCAATTTTGTCACTGAACAAAAAATAAGTTATTCAGCTTAAAGACAATTTTACTCCTTTTTTATGTCTAACTTTATGTTTATTTTATAAATAAATATTTTGTTTTCTTGCTTGATTTATTCCGTTATTTCAATGGATTCATTTTTAAACAGATAAGTGTAATAACAATTCATACAGGATAAGTTCATTTTAATCTTGATCAATTGATCAACTAAAGAGACAGAATAATTGAATTTTGTTCAACCCCAAGATTGTCAAACCGTTTTAATCAATAACTTGATTTCACATTTTTTTTCAATCAATCCTTCAAATTGATTTATTTTTCATTCACTTTAATCTTTAATACAACAAGTTGTCCATTGAAATTTTCAAAGTTAATTCCCTTCGATATGTCATGGATTTTGTCCCATTTTCATCATGATTTACTTCTTATCTTTACCATCCATTTTACGTTCATTCAGTAGGTAAACAAACATTTAATGAATGTTCAGTTGTTGCTTGAAAAATGATGGACTTTTCAATATACTTTGGGATAACTTGACTCACTTTTTTGCTTTGTTTTTCAAACTTAAATATTGACAATTGCCAAGAGGAAAGTATAGTTTATAATAAAATGTTACGCTCTTGTGTTACTAAAGGTTACAACTGACCATTAAAATGATCACGTCTCAAATGACCAGTGTTTGCTTTTGTTTCTAATCAATGTTCCAATGTTTCAACCTTACTGTATTACAAGTTTACAGTTTCAATACAAACCTAGAGATTGAAAAAAAATAAATGAAATTCCCTCAAAATGAGAGTTTATAAGTTACTTTGACAAACTGGTTCATTTCAATGGAATTAGGAAGTTTACTGATTCAGTTTTCAGTTTCATTATGAAAGTGAAGTAAATCTAGGGAACCGTGAAGTATTAAATTAGTGATTTTATTGGTCACTATCGGTACATTAGACGTTGTTGAAGACTAATATAACGAAATAAGTTGCCACCTTTTCGATTTCGGCATTGTATCGCCTTTTTTCTAGAAAATTTGTATGCTTTTCTATGAGCACTTGTAAGTTCATTTTTAAAGAAATCTTAAAAGTTGCATTTGTGATTGTTTATTCCTTGCAATTTAAAGTATCCAAATTAAGGCCTTTAATCAATGTCTAGTTAAAGTGTTTATTAGGATCAAATCAAATCCTCAAAATGATTTGTAAAGCTTTTTATATTGCAATTGTACCAAAATAATATGAAACAATGAAACTCTTTAAACCTTATCGCCATTCAATATTTCAAGTTTCTGAGTTACATCAGATTAAAAAGGTGTACAAAATGATGATTTAGTGTTGGAATCAAATCAACTTTAGTCGAGAAACCAAATGAAATAAATTCAATTGTTTTTATCTCAAAAAAGATAAATACTTCAAGATTCATATGAGATTGAATTATTTTCACTTTTTCAGGTGATATTCAATATTTATGGAAACATTAGAAATGATGGATTATGATTTTTTCTCAATCCTTTTTTTGAATCATTCTGAGAATGAAATACAATGAATTGAATAAACTGGTTCCTCTCCATAGTGTTTTGGGAATAAAAAGTGTCGGATAAATGAAATATTAAACTTGAAATAATGATGGGATTTTGACTAGCAACCTGAAAAGACTCCTCATTATATGAAAAGTTAAAGTTTATTTGTCGGTTGCATTTATTTGCTTTGTTTCACTCCAACAATTTCAACACTCGAATTGAAATTTTTATCCTCTTTTCATGTTTATCATCTTTATCATCTTTATGGTCAAATTGATGGTCACCTTATCCATTATACTGTCCAGTCACAGCTTTTACAATTTACCTCTGTTTTTATACCTTTTTGTGTTCAATTTTCTCTCTGCCTTCAACCTTTCCAACTCTTTATCTTTAATCTTACTTGATGTGTACAAGTATCCATCTTATTCATCTTCAATCATTCGGTGCAATTTATTTCCGATTCAACTGTTCATTACTTAGCCATGTATCTTTTATCACCCTGCTATTATCTTTAGCCTTTTTTCCTTTGATCCAATTTAGTCAAATTGATTAGTAAAGATGATCAAAGTTAGAGTTAATCCCTCTTAGTATACCAAATGGTAGACTGTAAAGGATAAGATTAAAGTTGCTAACTGTACTTTTCCCAACATTAGATTATTTTTATTGCATTACACTGAACTGAATCAATTTTACGTTTTTTTTCAGCTAACAAGCGATTTTTAGATGAAACTAATGAAGCAAAATTAAAACTCTTGAAGTAAACGCTTCTCAATGCAATTGAGTTGAATAGTTGATTTTGTATTTGGTTATTACTTTGATTTGAATTTGATGATAAATGATAATTTAATTTTCCATTTCAGGTTGCACCATGTAAATGGAACTTTACATGTGATATGATTAACATAATTGACTTTGTGGCAACAATGTCATTCTATTCAGATATGTTACTCCAAAGGTTGGCCCATGGGATCGAGAATGCCGACATTCTAGACTTTTTCAGCATCATTCGTATTCTTCGTCTATTTAAATTAACCCGACACTCTCGTGGCCTCAAGATACTTGTACATACCTTTAAAGCCAGTGCAAAGGAACTATTTTTGCTCGTCTTCTTCCTTGTCCTGGGCATTGTCATCTTTGCATCCCTTGTTTACTATGCGGAAAGACTCCAAACCAATCCCCATAATGATTTTAAAAGTATACCCGAAGGCCTTTGGTGGGCCATTGTAACCATGACCACAGTTGGCTATGGTGATATGGTGCCCAGAACCTATGCTGGCATGATGATTGGTGCTCTGTGTGCAGTTGCCGGTGTGCTTTGCATTGCCCTTCCAGTGCCCGTTATCGTCTCCAATTTTACTATGTTTTATTCACACACTCAAGCCAGAGAGAAGCTGCCTCGTCAACGGAGACGAGTCTGTGCTTCCCCATTGGATCAAGCCTCATCAGGTACACCGGTAACGATGGGTCCACAGGGATTTAATATTGCAACTGGATCAGCATCGAGACGATTCAATGCCATCAAATATCATGGATTTGATCCTTTTGAAATAAATCTTGGTAAATGTTGTCTTTACTTGATATTTCATTCCAACAGATTCAGTAAAGCTCAAAAATTGAACTCGAATCTTTTTAAATCAATTTCTCGAAAATTTGTATTCTTTAAATTAATTTATCTGATCAAAGACAATAATGAAAGTCACTTTTCTTAATGTTAAGCTATTTACTAATTGTTTAACTCATCTTTTTTCATTTCCAATATCAGCCATTTTTAGATTACTTGTCAAAGTGTTAGAGTAATGAAACTAGGAATGAAACTTAAATTGGATTGAATAAGTTGTCCTTGAAATTTCAATTGTCAAGACTTACCTGTTTAGGTGATGCTGTGATTACCTTTTTTCAACCTTTCAAGATTTTTCAATTCATTTGATTGAGTAAAAAATGGCAGCATTGGAAACAAGAAAATTGAAAAGTTTATTCAACTGTTTGATGAAAAGCTCAAGATTAGGTGAATTGATGGTTCAACATGATGTTTCAACCTTGAACCCAACCAAAATGATGAACAACAATTTATCATTAATTCAATTTAAGACAGTATCAGTTTCATCTGCAAGTGTTGATATACTTTTTTTTCCTTCTGATCAACAATCAATCCATTCAATCTAAATGTGAATTAATCAATGTAAAGCTATTCAAGGCAAATACCTACTCTTGAATCCCTTTACTGTATTGAATAATGCAGCTTTCCCTGTAACAAATAAATCACAATCAATTCATTGGAATCAATATTAATCATCTCATAATATAATTAACCTCCAGAGATTTAATTAATTTTAATTGCATCTGCAACGTTATTGTAAGTCTAGCTTTACTTTACACTGTTATGGTTGATGAAGTTGAGTTGCGATTTTAAATGAACAACAGTTTTCTCGTCGTTTTTCAATTGTTTAAATCAATTAACCAAATTGCTTCAGTCAGGTTAAATCGAGTTGACCACTTGACTTTGCCCAAAATTTACATTATTATATTCAAAGAAAAATTGAGTAAAAGCTTTGAAAACAAAAGGCTTCTACTTTTATTATGCTTGTAGCCAAACATATCATTACAATGTTACGATTCATTTAACTATAACATTGAATCATTCCCTTTTGATGTGTGTCTGATTTTCATGGATAAACACTGAACACATTTGAAGGCATTTTGATGAACAAAAATGATAATAATGATGAAAAGGGAAGACAAAACAAAGCCAAGATGAACCTTTTTTGTATGATTTTATTCAAGTATTTCAAGTTGAAACAAAAATGAAAGGAAACATGTAAATATGAGTTGTTTTTATGCATGTATCATTCACATTACGATGAAAAAAAGACTAGAATGAAGCAGAAACAGGGAAATCAATTGAAAGTTTCATGTTAAGATATACTTTTGAGCTTCTTTTTCAACTTAGAGCAACTAAAATAGTTTCAACTCTGTATTTTATTTGGATTTTGTTGTTTTTCATGGTAAAATATTCAAATAAATTATCTCAACTGAACCAATTTTCATTATTGTACACGTTTCTATCTTTAATGTAAATTTGGGTAAACAAAAGTGCTTTGTTTGATTTACCTTTCAATTGATCTATTTGATTTACTAATTGTTATTCTTTATCTCTTTTGTCTGTTGATTCAGGTAAATCTGGCATTCAAAGAACTGGAAATGTTAAAAATTCCGTCCCAACTGCTGATCTAATGGTAACTGCAACCGAAAGTGGATCAGCAAATGTTATACGAACAAGTATAATACCAAAGGTGCCTGAAAATGATGAACATTTTATTAAAGATAACTTGGACTCTGTTGGAAGCAAATCATCATCCAAGTTGATTTTGATTAATAAAGATAATGAATGTTTACCGGGTTCCTCGTCATTGATCATTGATGGTAATGTTGATGGATATGATGGATCAAGTGATAATCATGATGAGCTGTTTACGGGTAAAAAAAGGAAATCCCTTCCATCCAATGAACATGCTAAACATGCAGTTTCCATGGACAATGATAATGATGATAATAACAATAGTTATGCTTCTGATAATGTTAATAATTGTAGTAATAATAATGGTGAAACTGGTTCATCTATCAGCTTAAGAACTGGTTCAATTGAAGGTGCCTCTGAAGATCAATATAATAATAATATGGATTATAATGGTCAACAGCAAAATGAACATTCTTCTTTAACTCATCATAAACACCATCAAAATGAACAGTTTAATGATAAACTGTTAAAACAACGAAAAATATCAACAATTGTAACAACCGATGCTAATAATCAAGCAAAAGTCCATAAAATTCCCAGATGTACATCAGATGAGATTGTTAAAGCCTTGAAAACTGCAGCAACAGCAACATCAACCAATACCTGTGAAAGTGGACGACGATCAACAATCAACGTTTGTTCATCCATATCTTACTGTTGACATTCAAATGATTTGAATTGGAAAGAAATTAAATCTTATAGATTAAACGACTTTGTTAAACTGTTACATTGGACTCGCTTTTTTACACCTTTACAATTGAAATTCACTCATTTAGATTAGGCCAATTGTTACCAATTGTTTTTTAATTTGCCTTCTCACTGGTTTTCACTATTGCCAAGCTTATCATGATTCAGCTGTGATTTTATGGCTAACTGGCAATTCATCACCATGAACCTGTTTTTACTCAACAAACTCTTCTTTTTGTATTCAATTTTGGCCCATTATTTCTTTTTAACTAAATTATGAACAATTTTTCGTCTCTTTATCTCTGCCTATTTGCCTCTCTTCATCATTGACCAGTCACTTTACTTCTAAGATCGGATAGTTTGAAGAGGACCGAACAAATCAACGACATTTTAATCTTCTAATCAATTGGCTTCTTGGATTGACATTTTTGGCAATAAGTTTGATTTTTGCAAATTCAACTCTCTTTCTCTATCTCAACCATTTAATAATTAAGTATCAATTGTGTGATTCAAAGAGATTGAGATTTTTTCTTTTGTGACATGAAAATCAAAAATAAAATGAAAATTAATGCGTAATGTCAACCCTTTCTATGTACTTTTGTAAATTGAATGATGAAATTCACTCCGATTGTTGTATAATACAAATTAAGCTATTGAAATATCTCTAGCGATAGATATTGGAATCTTTGCTTGCAAAGTTTAATCAAATCAAATCAGTCATTAAGCTAAACATTTATCCGAGTTGGCAATGAAAAAAGTCAAATTGTTAACTATCGATTAAATAGTTGCTTTATTATTTGTTGATGTATAAAAACAAAAAATTGGTAAAAATAATAATCATAATAATAGTAATGATACTAGTAAAACTAATAATAAAGGGCTAATAAACTGTCTATACTGGGATAAGTGTAATAATGTAAATTATAACAAGAAATAGATTGTCATCAAAATTTAAAGTCTACTAAAAAATTCCAATTATCCAGGTTAGCATTGCCAATAAGTTTGTCAAGGGCTTCAAAATCCAATAGGTCAGGTTGAGGTTGCAATTGCAATTGTTGGTGTTGATCGGGTAGCAATTGAAGGGAGCACAAATTTTGATTGGCTGATGTTATTGTTGGCGTTGATGATGTAGATGTTGGCGGTGTTGGTGTAGTTGGTGTTATCGGTGTGGTTGGTTCCTCTTTAATGTAGTGAACAGGGAAACCGTGTGACCTTTGACATGGTCGCTGTGAATCAAATAGGTGAGAGGGTGGTTGATAAGGGAGTAGCTGTTGTTGAAGTTGAGATTGCTCGAACTCAATATGATGATGAGGCCCGGCTGATTGTGGTGGGTGAGGTTGATGAGGATGATGTGATGTGTCGGGCTCAATGAAAGCAGCATAACAGTGATCACCAAATAAACCATGGTACCCATTGAGATCACTTCCATTGGGATCACTGATGGTTAACGAGTCCAGAGGATTTGATGAACAACATGTTGGCATAAGATTATAATTGTATTGAACAAATTGTGTGCTTTTCCCATTCAGATCGCAAGAGTTGATAGAGATATTGAAATGAAAGAAATACAAAACATTAATTAGATAATCAATTCATAATTAGGTAAACATTAACAATTGACAAATTTAGTTACTTTGTAATATTTGGAAGACCCATAACATTTTCACTGGATTCGCTGTTATTTCTTCTTAAAGTGATCTTTTGCATGTACTTTCGTTTTCTCTCGGCTTTCCGTTGGCGAGCCTCCAATGGACTGTAATAATAACCTAAAATACAAGATAAACAATTGAAAGATTAAACGATTAAACAAATCAATTTAAAAAAAGACTATTAAATTTGAATCTTCTGATCAAATCTCAATGATTGAGCCTTGATCAGATTTCCTTGTTTCATCCAAACAAGATAGTCTAACACTGAAACTTGAATAACATTTATATTCAGGAAATTAAATCTCCTGATTATAATCAGATTTCTATACCTAATGATTGTATAAGAGGTTAATTTAATGGGAAAACAATCATTTGATGGTTATATTGAACATTTACTTACCAGGATATTTTTTCATATGATTGGCATGAGCTTCATTGGCTAAACAATGATAGGAATCTTTTTCAGCTGGATCCATTTTGCGCCATTTATCGCCCAAAATTTTACTAATCTGTTTATTGGTGTAAGATGGATATTGTTGGGCCACAGTCCGACGATACTTTTGACCAAACAACATAAAGGCATTCGGAGGTCGAGGAATCCTTTTTTCACTATAATTCTGTGTAATAAAATATCCAATGAAAAAAAAGAAACAAGCAATTAGTAAATGAAAGATTAATAGCATCGATTGTGTACCAAGACAATATTGAATAAACTCACTGACTTACCTTGTTCATGATATTATTTCAGATTGTTTCTATATAAAAACCTATGAAATTATTGACATCAAAAAGTGACAGAAGAAGGGAAACAAACAAAAAAGTTTAACAAAAAACTCACAACTAATAAATAAGAGAAGGCAAAAAGAAACAAAGAGAAACAAAATGCTAATATAATCCTTAAACTTGAAAGATTCAATAATCAAATGGATAAAATTATCCTTTAATTTGGTCCATCTTTAGCTATCCTGGATTTGTGCCTGGTATTTGTCTGGTTAAATAATCTTCACTGTGTTTAGGTGTTCACCGATGGGTGGTCTTTGCAGAGGAATCAAATTGTGTATTAAATTTTTTCGTATCAATCGATACCGAAAGAAGTATGAAAAGGCTAAGAGATTGGGTGCATCCACGAGCCCAATCACACTTGAAAAAAAGAAACTGTCTAGTACGAGGAAGAAAAAGTTCATGCTCGATGTTTTAACTTGCTTCATTTGGCGGAAAAAATCTTATGAAGAAACAGTTAAATCAGTGAAATCCATATTGACCCATCAAGAAACATATCGATTAGCCTTTTTCATTTACGGTCTAATATTTGCTTGGATTTTGTTTGCCATTTCCTATTATGTTGGATCGGATGACAGGTCGTTTCTGGCCATTAAAAGTGTCGCTCTTGTTGCTGCAGTGTCCTTTTCCATGGCCTATTCACGTAAATTACGGTGCATTACCAGTCTATTGACTCCAACAGTTTTAACCTCCAAAGGACGTTATTTAATCTTTGTTGTAATTGCAAATTTAATAATTTACGGTCCAATAACTAATATGCGTTTTAATTTGTCGGAAAATGGGCGAATCGTTAAATGTGTCAGTGAAGTTATAATTGATCAGGCTACGCAGTTGATTACAAAAAATCCAATTGTACTTTTTTTAAAAGATATGCTTGATCGCGCCAATGCACTATTTGAAGCTTCCAATGAACAATTGAAGGTTGTATTGAATGTGTTGGCTTCACTTTATCGTTCACTTGTTTTTATATTTCAACATGTTGTAGAGTTTGCCAAAAAGGTGGGCGATAATGCCATACGAATAATAGCAAGTATTAGAGGTTGGTGTTCAACAAAGATCATCAATACTCAAAGAAAGTGCATTGCAGATTTTAGTCCCATCATGGGCCACATCCTTTGCAGTGTAAGTATTCCGATTTTCCATTCTTCAAACACTATTTACAAATTTTTTTATCCCAATTTTAGGGTTATTATTTTATGCGTCTGCTGTGTTGGGTTGGTGAAGCGATATTCTACGTACCGTCATTGAATATTGATTGGATGAAGAAATTCCTCGTAATCATGTATGAAATTGCAGAAAAGCGCTTGAAAGAAGCATGGAACAATTTTGCCTCCGGCTTAGAAGATTATTTCGTGTTGAACATGACCATGGCTCATGAAAAGAAAATACATGAATATGAAAAGACCAATTATTCAGAAGCTTTGGAAAATTTACACGGAAAGATTGATGATCAAATGGGCCTGTTTGTCAAATTTTGTAAAATCTTATCCTATTTCAGTTATCTGCTGTTTTTGTATTGCGTTATCCGAGCTTGGTTATATTTGCAGAGATTTCTTCTCTGGGATTCTTTTGACAATGTTTACATCACCAAGCAGATTCATAAAATTGACTGGGAACGCTCATTGGCTGGTAAACCAACCATACTTCCATTGGGTTACATTTTTCGTCGCAAATACATCACTCCTTTTTCAATCCGAATGACATCCGATGAGTTGAGAAAATTGCAAACCAATATAGTCATCTATTTTATACATCTTGCTTGTATCGGTATTTTCCTGGCCCTTGAACACATTATTTACGCTCCTTTGGATATGACAAGAAAATATATGAATGACTTTGATTCTGAGATTCCTTTGCCAACGATAAAAGTTTTCACTAAACCAGGTAAATTGATGAACTTGATGCTGAACATGATGAAATTATCCTTAATCTATCCTTTAAATGTATCGTTGAAAAACAGAGAGCGGAGTATTGGCAGACATTATTAAATGGATGGGTGATTATTCCGCAAGTATTGAAAATGTTACCAGTTTTTCTGAATCAATTGCCAAATGTAAACCAGATCCAATTGCACCTGACTATGATTTATATCAAAACATTGGATTTCTCACTTTAATTGTATTCATTGCCATCTTGTGTGAATCCTATGCATTAAGGTTTCGTTTCATGATAGCTGGTTCAATGTATCCGTCTAGGAAATTTGCTCGAGCAACTTGGCTTTACAATAGGATTCTTTCATCGGCTCCATTGGCCAAACTAGACGCTAAAGGTAAAATGCGAGCCAAAGTCTTAGGTACTTCAGCCACAGGTTCACCATCTCAAATTAAACGGATCATGTATTTAAATCCTTGTACAACCAAAATTTATAACCTGTTTGCGGGTAAACAAAGGTATTGTATTGTGTGTGGAGAAAGTGGACCTTTAAGTGACACGGTCAACTTTATCAATTGCATAAATATGGCTTGCAAGGCTAGCTATTGTAAACCTTGTTACTCTGAATTTGATAAAGCTTGTCCTCTCTGTGAATCAGTCAAATTAGATCCAAAGGTTGCAATAATTGATGAAGAGAAAGGATCAAGTGAAGATGATGAAATTTTTAAATTCATTTATGATGATGATTGGAACTTTCGTGGTCAAGATACTGAATCTGAGCCAGAAATGGATTTGAAAAAACTTGAACTGCGTCCACCAAAAGATTTTTCAAAGTATTTAAAGCCAAGGAACATTGAAGATGGACCAGTAGACTCAGATGCGTCAACAGCATCTGACAAAAATTACCCAAATGTTAAACATAGACGCAGAAACTTGAAATGAATACCAAACAAAATTAAAATTGTGTACAAATCTTGCTAGAAGGATCAATGACTTGAAATTTAATTGGTCTGCGACAAAAAATATTCATTCCCTGGTACAATTCAATTAGCCTTAACAGCAAAGAGTAACTCTTTGCTTAACAGACAATTTACAAGGATCTCAAGGTAGTCTGTGTCTGTTAAGGTTTTATGTTCAATGAAGATACTCCGTAAAATTTAGCACAATCTTCCACTGATTTACAAGTTCCTGCACAACAGATTCCACCATTATTACATGGTGTTCCTTCTAGTAAAGCTAGAGTTGTCCATTGAAACCATCTTAATTGACAAGTATACTTTCGGCATGATTCTCGTATAGCTGGAATTATGTTAACGCTTTTTCCCATCCTACAAACATCCAAATCAGTAAAGACTTGACCTGGTAAATCTTCAGGCATGTGGAATCCATCGGGTACCACTCCTAATTTCTGGTTATATAAACATTGGGAAGTTTCTGGCCTAATTTTATCAGTGAGAGAATAGGATAAGAATAATGAAAACATAATCATTTGCTGAATATTTTGAACAAACATAAGAGAGAGGTATTAAGGTTTAATTTAAAACTATCAATATCCTTACATATTGTCCTGGAATTGTTTAATGGCACAATCTGACCAGAAAGTTTTGAAAACACCAACTGAATCCGACATTATTGACGTTGTGTCCTCACAGCCTACAAAAGGAAATAAAGTATTTCATATTAAAACAAGATAAGCACAATAATTTCTTAAATTTAGTTTGATAATCAATACTTACCGACTTCACTGTCATGGTGAGCTCCAAAACTACGGTAATTGATACAATTTTACAAATTAATATTGGTCGTCCTATAATTGAGTAAATTTTTTACATTAAATTACTTACGCGTGACCCAATTCATGTAATAAAACCCAGATACTATCGAAATCATGGACTTCGCATAGAACGGCTTTGCTACATAAACTACCGACGAAGGCAACTCCTAAAAATAGATATTATCGTGTTAGCATCAATTGAATTCAACAGCGTAAAATAATCTTTCACTTGTTACCTAAAACATCAGCTCGGCGTACAGAGTCTTCCTTAGATATATGCAAATTTGACCTGAGAAAAAGCCAAACAATTTGAATGATTAAAAATCTAAAGACACAATAAATGTATTCAATTTGAATTAATTACTTACCCTGTTAAGAAGATAGCAGCGTCCCAATGAGATGAAAAAGCTTGTGGGTGAGCCAATGCATAAGAAGTAGCAGTGCTCAAAGACAGTTTTAGCTCTCGATTGCTAGCTAACCACAAAGATCCATTAGCAATTTCACTGAAAACAATACGAAATTCAATTTTACCACCAAAAATTTGTCTCAACTTTGGCTCGTTAAACCTTAAATCAATCGTTTTAATCAAGTATCTGAAAAATTTCGCATAGTCCAGATTAACGGTTTGTAATCGACTAATTAAATCATAGTCACCAAAAAAAGCTAAATCTAAACCCGGCTTAACACTGTTTTGTAAAGATTGGGCGCCATGTTTGGATTTAAAAAAACTTTTGTCTTTTACATCTAAATCTAAATTAGTTATACAAGTGAAAATGATTAGAACATTAATAATTGAACGATCAAAATTGAATCGATAATTTGTATTAATTTCATGATATAGCTTAACCTTTTTTTGCTCCACAGAACTCAAATCTTTTTTCATTTTGGATACTTTGAACACTAAAAACTTGTAAAAACAAAAGAGATATTATGAGTAGAGTTGAATCGATGTAATCACGAATTGAATAGACTAAGAGGTTATCAAATTTTTTCATCACAGCTGTACAAATGGTTTAACCTAAAATCACAATTTCATAGAGATTCTTAATTTCAAACAATGTCCTTTCTTATAATATTGCTGATTATGTGGTTCTTTTAATTAGAAGGGATTACAATTATTTGTCTGTAAAATTACGTGATAATTTTAATAGTCAAAAAGCGAGCAGAAATTTTACATTCTAATTACATTGGAAAAAATTGAATAATTATTTACAAATGGGGACTTTTAAAGTAAGTCTTGTTTTTTCAAATCTTCATGTTTTTTTGTTGACAACTGGTCCTTCTGGGTCTTCATATTCTTCTTCAGTTGCAGTGAATTTTTCCTTTTGTTTCTCATCTTTTAGTTTGTGTCAAATTAGATCCAAGCCAAGGTAGTCAGTGTCTGTTAAGGTTTTATGTTCAATGAAGATACTCCGTAAAATTTAGCACATTCTTGTGGAATCCGTCGGGTCCTAATTTCTGGTTATATAAACACTGTGAAATTTCAAGCCATTCATAACCATTTCCTGGAGATTTTGAATGAACAAAAACTAAGGTTTTAAGGTTGAATTTAATAGCTATCAAAATCCTTACATATTGTCTTGAAATCTTGGTAAAATTTTGAAAACACCAACTGAAACTGACATTATCGATAGTGTTTCATGTTGTTTGTTTCATCACAGCCTACAAAATAAAATAAAGATTTCATATTCAGACAAAATAATTCCAATAATTTTCTAAATTTAATTTGGTAATCAATACTTACCAACTTCATTATCATGGTGTGCTCCAAAACTACGGTAATTGATACAATTTACAAATTAATTTACAGTAAATCTTTCGTTGCAAATTGTCACTTCGTGGGATTAGCATTCAGGCTATTTGTCTATAATATTTAGGTGAAATAGACCTTTCACGAATTTAAATAAATCTGTAAAATTACATGAGAAATTTAATAGTGAAAAGAGAGCAGGAATTTTACTTTCTAATTACATAGGGAAAAAATTGAATAAATATTTACGAATAGGGGCTTTTAAAGTAAGCCCTGTCTTTTTAAATCTTCATATGTTTTTTTGTTGACAACTCGTCCTTCTGAGTCTTCATATTCTTCTTCAGTAGCTGTCTGAAATTTTTCCTTTTGTTTCTCATCTTTTAGTTTATGCCATAATTTGAGAGCATCTTCAATTTGGGTTACATTCGCAAAATGAGCTGTATTTGGTATTCCAAGGCATCTCATTCCATGAGCATGACGCCACTCAGCAAAATGTAATTGAAAAGCTTTTGGTCCCTTGTAGGTTGCATTACCACAAATTTCACAAGTATAAGTTATATTAAGTCCATGCAATTTATATAACCAGTATGGAATCGGTTTACCATCCCAGCCAAGGGGCACATTTTTAGGGTTGTATATGACTTCAGAGTCTGGTTCATCTTCTGACTCTGTATCAGAATCTTCTTCATCAGAAGCTTCTCTTTCTCCTACTGTTCTGGCTTGTTTACGTTGGACATTTTCTTTTGTTGCATGTCTCTGATCTGAGAGAATATCAGAAAACTCATAAATTTGGGCCTCTAATAATGCTATTTCCTTTTGCTTTTCTGAATCAAATGTTTTACGAGCCTTTCCTGGCCTTCCTTTGGCATATAAATTAGGATCTAATTCGTCCAAAGTTTTGTTCTTTGTTGCCCACAAACGATTGGCGCGTTCTTCTAGAGTTCTTTGGGGAGAGAATAAAACGATTTAGCAAACATGCGAAAGTCAAAATAAAAAGAAAGATAAATAGTTTTAATTACCCTCCACATTTTAAGTTCAAAGCCAGCAGGGCAGTCTTCAAACGATCAAGGCCAAGAGACGCAAGTTCAGCCGCTGATGAAAATGCTGAAAGATCTAGCTGAGCTCCTGAATGGGTGAGAGCACTACTGGTTTCTTTCTAATAATTCAAGTTAACAAAAAAGCAATAAAAAATTTCAATTAAAAACTAATTTAAATTAAAAGTTATTCAATAATGCTTACAGGCCATCCACGAAAGGTACCTGATTCCCATTCCTTTTCAAATTCCGAGGTTACTTGTTTCACTTTTTCTTCGAGGTCTAGTAAAGGCTTAACACGAGAACAGTAATCCATCAAGTACTCTAAAAGTGATTCAAGATATTGTTTATATTCGGTTGTCATCTTACGGTCTTTAGGTATATCAAAAAGCTTGTCAAATTGGCTTAGATAATTGAGATAGTCGATCTTTTCAACTCCTTTAAGATTTCGGTATTTGAGATAACAATCATTAAGGTCAAGAAATTTCCCATAACCCTCTTCTGCGGTGAAATCGACAAGATTAACATCGTTTCCAGATTCACGCATTTTAAGAAAATCATCGAATTCAATGGACATCGGGCGAACAGCTTCATTCGGGTTTTTCTTATAAAACTCTTTGATAACTCTGAGGCGACCATAAAATTCGGAAAATTCATTGCCACCAGTCATCGATGACATTTCATCTTTTCTTAAGCCTTCTTTATCTTCATAGGAGGCGATTAAATGTTGTGTAACTTGAATATACCGGTCCAGTAAATATTTTAATCGATGTTCACTATTGATTTGATCTTTGTTCTGGAATCAAATAGAAAATAAAATCAATTAAAGAGAGAAAACAATCAACAAAGTATGGCAGCAATGATCAAACAACAAAAAGTATAATACTTACAGATGTTTTCTTGGCCAACATTTCTTTAACCATTGTATCCTCTATTCTTTCACGTTCCTCATGCCAGCTTCTTTGTTGTTCAATAACTGACTCCATGGCTAATTAAATTGTACTATAAGCCAATCAAACAAAAAAATCAATTAACCACAATAAAATGAAAAAACCTAAAACAAAAACTATATCAGCTTATCATCAACCAGATTTTCAAACTGAAAAAGAGCGGCATGCTAGGGACTGAATAATAATTGAAATGTGCAGCAATTCTGTTTTCAGCATGATTTTTGTTACTCAAATCATTATTGTAAAACTAAATTTTTAATTAAATTGAATTTAGTTTTTAGTTTTATTTTGTGTTTTAAATTAATTTTGAATGCTCTGTCTATCCAGGTAATCCATCAAATAGTTTGATTTTCATTTATTTTGTGTCAGAACAATCAAGGTAAATCTGGGTCTTTCAATACTGGGTCTTACTGAGTTCATCTCGGCATACAAATATTCACAAATCAAGCTGACAATGCAAATCGGCATCATGCATAACAAGTACTTAAAAAATAGCTTGTAATTTTGGCTATCTAGTTGATTGAAGCGAGCCAAAGCAGGATTGGGCTTGATGGAAGTTACATGGAAACCTTTTTTTGCTTAGAGTCTAGGCGCTTGACAAGATACAATTGCCGTTTTTTGCGATATAAAAATCGACGCCACTTTCAAATTTTTTCTAGCGAAATAGATTGATAGTTTTGGTGGCATGAGGAGGGAGCTTTGAATTCAATACAGTAAATAACAGATGAACGGTAAATGAACTTGTTGATCGATGCAATTTTGCATCGTGGTTGCTGTATACACAATAGCCCATTCGAACGGTAAAAGTCTGATCTGGAGTAACAATAAAAACAAAAACTTTTTGCTTCTTTCTTTCTGATAAATTCCTGCATTAGTCCTCGTCTTAAAATCTCTTGGCGAGCTCGAGGAGAACCGCTATAAACCAGGATTCTGCATAATGGCTCTTCCATCCACACTGGAATCGACAACATCTTCAAGTGAAGCAACTGTTTTTATGGCTGCTTCAGATGTAAGATCTGTAGTTAAGGAACTGGAATAAAGCGCTGGTATAAAAAATATTGTTAACGTGATTAATGAACGAAAAATATGAACGACTAAAAGAGTTTTAAGACGTGATGCTCGACGTAAAATTGCACAAATCAAAGGCCAGATTATCCATGGAGATGTGATTTTAATGTTGAAAAAATTTGGATTGAAGTACCAAAAAATGAAAGGGATTGAAGAAAGAAATAGAAAAAGGAAAGCCAAGGATATAATTACATCTGAAGGGAATATCAAAAGTGATGTGAAGACATCTTCACGAATTATTCCAATTTCGGGTAAAGCTGAGAAAATGGTACAGGATAGATCACCTAATACTGTTCCTGGTTAAGTCAAGTAATTGAAGCAGGAATCGTTGCGAATGAATATAATCTATCACAAAAATCAACTTCACCTCATTGAATTAGTCCATTAAGGCCAGTAAAATTGCCGGAATCACAATCTCCATAATCGATCGGTTCAAAAACACAATCAAATCAAATAGAAATAGAAATGCATTATTATAGCAAAAACTATCGGGACTGGTATTCTTAGGTTTCTCTGGTAAATGTTGAAATCTTAATGTTTTGATGTTCAAATGGTATGATAAGAAACAGAGACTTTCAATTATTCTGAAAGCTATTGAAATCTAATGATTCGAAGCTGTTAAAGGTTTATCTGGGAATCAAAATCCAAATGAAATTTCAATTAACACCTTTATTAGCTGGCACAATTAGATACACACTCAGATGAAATTTTATAAAAAAATTACTGAGATTGAGAAAATGAAAATTGATAATCTTTACGGGCAATAATATTAACAATTAGTATTACAAGAGCCAAAATTTCCCTTAACAATTAGTGCTGAGAAAGATGTTCCAACAAGGATGAAGAAAGTGAACTCTACAACCTTCATACCGCATAATAAGAGCAGAGAAATAAGGATAATTATAATCATTAATTAGTCTCATGTTCTAATTAATGTAATTCAAGCATAAAGCTCAAAGTTACAATAAGATTTGTTGCCATTTTAATCTTACAATCTGTAATAAACATTGTATCTCTTTCATAAAAGGATATTGATTCATAAATGTGAAGCAAATACGCGAAAGGTAAATCATTAACGTGTGTCTTCATCTTTTCACAGCAATTTAATGCAATCTAATTCAAACTTTAATTGTAAGCCTTAACCTTAAACAAGCCAACTTCACTGTCTAACAAGTTGTAAGTTAACACATGTTATAACCGAGAAACAATAAGCTATTTCAAGTTGCTGGCATTATCTGGTAGGTTATTGCATTTTCAAAATATAAAAACATTCTGATTAAAACAAAATTAAGATGATTCTTTGCCGATTCCCTTCGATTTCACTTAATGGAACAGATTGATGCACCTTTTTAGCCCTTTTCGCCTTTTTTGCTTTTTATCATGGACCCTAAGCCACTGAAAATGCGTAACCAAGTAATAGTCAAGACATGGTTGAGACAATTAATGAATGTTGAATTGATCACCGACAATTACAATGTATTCACCACCAAAAACGTGTTTCATTTTGTTAACCAGTAAAATTGGGTAAATCAAACAAAACTGGGTTCAATCTGGTTGATAGGAAAACAAGGCGAAGGTGATCACAAATGGCAAATTTACCCTTCCATTGAATATCCATCATTTATCATCGAGTTTAATTTCCGCTTTTAATTCCAACTCCAATTGTCCTTCAATTATTCACACAAATATACACAGAACACTTTCAAACTAATCATTATCAACGTCATTTTTTAATCAATCCCATTGATTATACATTTTAAACCATAAAGACGATTAACATGGAAAGTCTAAAATTGTTGCTTTGCAAAAAAACCAAACACAAAATGATGAACAAAAAACTGAACTTATGGTAGCAAACATTGGTAAATATTACTACAGAATCATTAGCAACATCAATCAAACCCAATTGAAATCAGCTTTACGGTCCAATCAAATGATTAATCTATTTACTCAGGATAACAATTGATAAACATGAAACTCTGAGTAAAACTAAGCTCAAAACCTGACGGACTCTAGACTAAACTTGGGTTAACCCAAAGAAATGCATTTTACCGGCAACTTTGAATCCAATATCTGACATTTTCTCAACTTTCAAGACCAATTTCAATTTCCAACGTCATTTTGGACTCTGTTACATTGTTAGACATTGGATAAGCACAATTACTGATTTTAATCAATCATTACAACCTCCCTTAATGTTGATTTGATTTTACTTCCTAAACTACACCCGATCCCTTCGGTTAATGAATCACATTAATATTGCTTGTGATTATGGTGTGGTACAATGATTATGGATGATGATGATGATGTCTATGAGTGACACAATTAGCTGAGTTACTTTGTGTAAATATGATTATCTTTATAATGACAATGTCGGTGGGAATGTTAAGTTGAAGAAGAAGAGAAAATTTTCAACCAACTTAATTATAAGAAAGGAATCAATTTGATTAAAAGGTATCAACAGATTAGAGTGATTAATAATTCCATGATTATGAAGGTTTGATCAGTTTCTCAATTAAAGTGTGTTAAAGGGAGTGATGAGTAGGTAAAGACGAAGCAAGCCTAATCACAATTTACATCAATCGACAAAGTCTTTAATATCTTGCCATTGCAATTACTCCTGTTAAACTACCAATTACTATGGTTATTGCTACTGTAAATGTTCAACTCACTTGTTGTACATTTAAACACAATAACAGCAATAATGATTATTGTAATCGGTCAATCTGAATATAATGAAATCTCATCAAGAGTTACATTTAGAAACCTTAAAACAATGAAAGTTCAACAGGAAATTATGAGCAAAATGAACCCAAAAAAAGCACAAAATTCATTTCAAATGTTAACTCATTTCCAACCGAGAAAATAATCAAAATACAATTTTCAATATCAAACAATTGGTTGATTTTATTGTGTAAAATATCGCCCAATTAACCGACCAATAACCCAATAATGTACAATTTAAATTGTGAAGACACTCAATATTTCACTTTCATTGTGGACTTTGAATGATTGGACAAAATGAATGTTGAAAGTAAATCAAGGTTTGATTGGCCTTAATTTTTGTTTCTTGTTTATTTGTTAAATTAAATTTCTCACAATTAAAAGGGTTTCACAGTTTATTCAGACGTTTCACATTGGTTTACATTTCCAATGAAATGCAAAACTAATTGATACATAATGTTGTATTGAAATTGTGCTATCAAAAGACAATCCAATTGACTCGTAATTTTTACCCTTTTCAAATCGTACATCAAAAAAGCTTGTTTAAATGAAGCGTTTTACACTCAACATCAACTGATTAAATGATTATCGATGAATATCAGCTGATGAATTTCACATTAAGTTGTTCAATAATCTTCATTTCAGTATTTTCATCAATTGTATTATTTGTCACTTTCACTGCCCTTAAACTAATCAAGTTCTAATTTTAAGTCCCAGCTAACTGATTGCTGATAAATCAATATCAATAACGAAAAATTTGATAGTGACAAATTCATATTGAAATTATCATGAAAGATTACTAATGAAAAAAAGTCACAGCTAACAATGTAAGTCAGTTGCTAGTTTCACTTTCAAGTCCTAAACCCAAACCTAAACCAGACTCAGCGACTAGATTGTTTCCATGATTTCAATGATTTCAATGATTTCATAATTTTGATTCATAATATCTAATTTACAATCTTAAATTTACAAATCTATATCCAGGAATACATTTCATGGAGCAAAAATAGAAGCACCAAATAAAGCTCAAGTTGAACCAGAACCAGAAAGTGAATTTGCTTTGAAAAAAAGGGAAAAATCTTCATTAAAAGTCTCTCTGTAAACGGACCATAAAAGAAGCCAAGATCAAGCTTGAAGTAAACCTAAGTGAAGCCTTATCTAGGTTGAAGCTAATGAAGCTGTAACCTTCAATAGTTGCAATGTTTACTCAGAAATAAAAAAAAAGTACAAACAATTAATGAGGAAAAAAAGTGAAAAATGATTTTACTAAAAAAGGAAACAATTGACAATTAATGGTAAACAATAAAAACAATTAAGTTAAACAATTTAGCTCAATCATAAATGCTGTATTCAAAATTGAATTGAAAGTTTACCAAAAAAAGTCAATGCAAATGAAGAACCAGAAAATGAGAGTAAAATCGTTGAAGTTGACCAGAAAATTTCGGGTAAAGTTGACCAATTTGTGAATAATTTCAACAATAATGATAATTAAACATTTAATTATGTTTAGTTGATTAGTATAATAATAATAATAATAATGAAAATCAAGCAAAAGAGGAGGGAAAATATGAAACTGTAGAGAGACAGAAAGGTAATCAATAGACAGAGAAGATTGAAAGGATCAGGTAAGATAACAATAGGTAAGAGCTCCCTCCCATCATCATCATAATCATAATCATTATCTTCTCTGTCTTTTCCTTTATCATCATTCTCACTTTACTCTTTCTTGCTGTATTTTACCACCGGTTTACTGTCACAATATTGTACTGATAATTGTCATCATCATCATCATCAACATTATCATCATCGTCATCATCATAATTGTCAGTATTGTTATGATTATCATGATTATCATTAGTATTAATTGAGGTGGGATGAAAAAGTCAACTCTCTGTGAGACTGGATATGAATGAATATTGGCACATTGAGACATTAAAAGATCAACATTGACTTAACCATTTTTTTGCCACTTTTAATTGTCAATTAACTGTCCACTTTTGCTTTACAATTTGTTCCAACTTTTGGCTCATCTTTTCCGTTGTTCAACTCAGTTAATCAAATATGATGATTGTGTTTCATTTCATTGTTTCAACCTTTCCGTTTCAACTTTAATTAAACTTCAAACTTGATTTGATATCAAAAAAAAGATTCAAGTTTTACATTTTACTTTCTGGTAAAAATTTGATTTCAACTTTTGGTTCGTTTTTTCATCTTAATTTATTTTCCTTGAATCTATTCAATTGAAAACAATCATCATCATTGAGTTGCCATTAAACATGTGTGTAAGTAGTCTTAATGTAGTAATAATTGAAACTTGATAATTCAAGTCTCTTCAGTGAATCAAGATAAACATGAGGATACACACAATAAACAAATGCGAAAAGAGTTGATCAGTTGAACATTTGATGTTTGTGTTTACCTTTTTTTTGTTGTTGTTCACTTACATGATTAATCTTTTAAAATTAACTAATTGTCATTAAAGTCTTTTCTTTCTTGCCAATGCTCCAAACTTGTCCAGGTTTTTGACCCATCCTCACTTACCCTGTGCAATCCACTGGTTCCCCTGACAGTAGCCTACTCACCGTTACATGTTTCACCGGCAACTGCCCTTTGCTCAAGTTTACCCGGTCTTCCAACTCACCATCACATAACAACCCTTTCACCTGGACCACAGGTGGCACCTGCCTTGGCCACAACACTGGCACCCTCAACACCGTTAACAGCAACATCAGTGTCTCACCTTCAGACACCCAATTCACTGTCATTTCATTCAACCTCAACACAACCTCAACCTCTGCCACTACCACCATCAATACCATCCTTCATCCCACCTTCAAGTACAACTGGTTACTACATACAACAATCACCAAGCACACTCACCTCATCAACCAATTCATCGCCCATCAATGGATGTCCACCATTAATAAAACCCTCTCCATGGAACCAATCATAGTAAGTCCAATCGACCCAATTTTTTTTCTCTCTCTCTCCAATCATGTTCAAGTGATCAAGTTCAAGCCTTACAATATTACTGTCGATATTGATATCAAATTGTTCGGGGTTTTTTTGCTACCGATAAAGCACATTTATTGGAAGCTAATCTTGGATAATGTGTTATCACTTTGCAGACATTTATTTTTGTAGCAACATTGTTGCACTCATTTTAATGTCAATTTGCATTTCATCATGAATTCACAAAGAGGACAAAAAGACTGCAAAATCATAGCATTATCATTGAAATAAACTGTAAACATTTACTTGAGCTGAATCATTTTGCGATTTAATCAATCAATGGAATGACAATGAAAAACAAATGCAACTCTAAGAAAGTCAAATCATTATTGTTATCATGCAATAATTTTATTAATTTTTTCAAGCAATCAAAATTTTCCTTCATCAATCCAAATGAACACACAGACACAGAAACAAAGCAAGTTTGATATCAATGTCAACAAGACTAGATAACTGATGAAATTGGTTGAATTGGGTTTAACCAGAGAGAAAGCTAATGATTAACCTGTAAATGTGAGATTCTGTTGATCAACTTGAAAGTAAACAATGCTTCTGTTAACATCATTAATTGGTTACCTCTTCAATGGTTGAAATGTTTCACCACATTAGATAACTCAAGTAACCACAGGTAAACCACTGGTAAACTGGTTCACTGTTTTGCTTTTCACGCAACACCATCAAAACGCAACAGGTTAACTTGTTTTCACCTTCAGCTTTCCCTTTTCACTCGCCATTTTGACTCTTCATTTGCATGACTTGACATTTAGTCAGCTTTAAAGCTGACTGATTAACAATGACTGTTGATCAATGTTCAGCTTGAGGTGATTCCCGACTCAACCTTTAATCATAACCTTGGTCAGTTTGCTAATCAATTGGTGAAACAAACAAGATTAACAATATTCAAAAAAAGCATCCATTAACAAGCTTTATTATCATCATGTCTACAAGTCTTGCAGTTTTTTTTCATTTTATATTAACTTTTCTTTTTGCTTTCCTTCCTTACCCAATTAACCAGATAAATGATAGCATTGATGATAAATTGTATTACTTTGACTGTTTCAGAGTTGATTAACAGTTTATTATCGTATACTTGACTAATCCTGGGATAAGATTTGTTGTAATTGTTCAAGATGAAAATGTATGAACATGAAAAAAAGACCAAATAACGCGTCAACCTTTTAACCTTATCATATGGAAATGGTAATGTTACAATGATTGAGAGATGAGACAAAAAAGGTTAACTTTGAATTACCTTCAGAGTTGATTGTGTTTAATAAGGTACAATTAACTCCTCATTTAGAGTTAATTACTCTGGTAAAGATGAGTAAAGATTAATAATTAACTAATGTAAAAATCAGATTAGCTAATAATGGTGAGCAATTAAAATAATCATGGTAAGTCAACAGTAAACAACTTGACTTGGAATAATTGGTTAAAGTGAATCCGTATTTAAATTGTTGAACAATTTTCAATCAATTTTTGCTATTTACAGATGATTTTGATCAACAATTTATTTGACTCAATAAATTGTTGAACCATTTTTGGGTTTAAACATTGAATCAACTTTAAAGCATCATTTCAATGCAACTGTGAAGTTGAAAAAATTTGGGTTTTTCAATGTTTCTTCAAGTAACCTTTTTTGGGTTGTATTGGTTACAAAGTCTCAATTTATTCATGAATTTTGATTGAAATGAGGACAATTATTCCTCCTTTTTTCCCAGGTTCATAAGAGCTTCTCAGCTATTGACTGATTAAATTGAACAGTTGATTTAACAGTGAGAAAAGGTTAACTATTAGTTTCCGCCATCATTCAGTAATTATTAGGGTCTATTAATAATGTACAAAAACAAATGGTAGAGGTAAACAGAAGAAGCTTGTGTTTACTATTTGCTTTACCTGCAATTAACTCTGAATATGTAATGATGTTTATGATGACTTATGATGACAGTCAACAATTGAATTGTCACCAATTCAATGAAATTCAAAGAGAACCTTTTCTTTTCCTTCTTTTCCCTCTATTTAACCAACTTTTATTTTCATTTTTTATTCATCAATTTATCTGTAACATTATATTAAAGCCCAGTAATTGACGATATTAATAGACATTTGAAATTAGCCATTTCTTGATTGATATTATTAGGGTTAGCTTGGAGTCCAAATTGGTATTTCAATTTGTCATCAATTTTCAAATGAAAATCAACTTTAACTGAAAATTTTTAGTCAATTTTGCACATGAAATTAGTCGATTGATGAATCCAATTGGCTTACCAAGACGTTTGTTTCCACTGGGATCATGATTTGTTTCACCCTGAGTTTTTGTAATCAGTTTGGCTTGTTATGCGGCTTTCATGTGTGATTCAATGTGACGTAAACTGAACCCAATTAAATCATTTTCACCCACAGCGTTGATAGTCTGACTTGATAAATGATTGTTATGTTGATATGTTGATGGTGTGACACTGACGTTGATTAACTTAAAGGACAAAGTTTAAGCTACAAGGGTTGGGAATGCTGATAGATTGTGTAAATTAATCAACCCTTTGGTCAATTTGCCTCTTTGTCCATTGTAGACCATTAGCACTTGACTATAACCTGGAATGGGATAGTGATTCGTGATTCTAGTCTGGATCAGTAAAATATGGCTGAGAGTAGGAAAAGTAGACTCAATATTATGAAACAATTCTGATTTAGATAGAAATCTTTTAATTTGTTAAAACTAAAATGACGAGTTTTCATGCAATACATGCAAATGTATCTTAAATGAAACTATCTAAAGTCAACAATCAAACAATCCATGGATAATGGATTTACTTCTTATGATCCAATCGTACTGATAGGCATTCAAGTTAGACTTATAGATTAATTGCTCAACATTTGAATGAAGGGATCAAATCAAGTTTAGTCATCAAAAGGGTAACCGCCATGATCCACTCACTTCATTAATTTTTGCTCGCCTCTATTTGTCAAAATGATAATCCTGGTTAATCTAAAGTCAGTTAGTTGGACGCAGCTCTTTCCATATTTATCAATCAATTTTCACCCTGACTCAACATGTTATTATAATCAAATCAACATTGATCAAAAGGCTGATCAGTTGTTTTTGGATTGAATCTGGAACCAGCTTCTTTCCACCACTTTTCCAATCACTTTTCATAAGATTTTCTAACATTCACATCGACCAAATTGCTCACTATATCAATATGAGGATGGATGATTGGTGGACAAAACGGTGAAAAAGGCGATTGAAAAAGTGGTTCACTGCAATAAATCAAGAAGCAAGATTCAAACAGTCAAATGATTTTTGTCACAATATAAAGGATGTTGCGGTTAGGTAAATAAGCTTATAAATAAACTTAAATATTGAAAAGAGGCGAACTGGAGATAAAGATGATAATGTCCATATGAAGATTGAAATATTGTGTCTTTGTTATTATTATATTTTTGCTTCGGCATCTTCAACCATTCTAGCATTACATTGTATCATCTTCACCTCTGCACCAACACCAAGTGAAGCTGACTAACCACACTTTATTTGGATGTACACAAATGTGTGTAAACACAAAACGCCTTGAATTTAATTTTTGTTTTACTACAACTTTATTGATCTTCAAGCTCAAATCAATTCAAAACAGCGATTTATATGTTTACTAACATTAGTAATTAACAAGTAAATTGTGCTATCAATGTTTCAATGTTAGGTCACTTTGGCTAATGAGCAAAATATTCATTAGTTTCATCTTTAGGTTTCGAGTTTTGTGCACCTAAATATTGAAAGGTTTGAGTTTTCAGGGTAAAAGATTGAACCGAACAGACAAAGCCTTTTAAGCCTATTTCCTATTAAGACAACTGATGAACTTTTGATTTGAATTGTAAGGAAGCAAAACAAATATGATTGCATAAAATTACCAAATGATGAAGAAATGTTGCATTATTACGATATGATTATAACAACAAGATGATTGATATTAAATGATAGCAAATGCTAAGACCAGTCTGGATGCAGTTTCAGATGCAAGTACAGCTAAAAAGCAACTTCCATTGAATCAAGTCTCAACAATTGGTTAAACAATTACAAGGTTAATGATAACTGTTAACCAATTTAGGAAACTGTAAACAGTTGACTGATTATGAGTAAATATACAAGAAAGTGAAATAACAATGAAAATTTTGAAAAAAAAGTTAACCAAGTTGAAACAAAAGAAAGTGAAATCTTGTTAACTCTGAAGATTAATTTTACTTTGAAACCTCAATTTCAATGGAAACGCGCTTTTTGACACTAAAAAAGTGCCTTGGAGTGATGCGGATAAAGATGAAAGTGAAAGTTTAATATTCACAAGAAATGGAAACATTACATTGGATTGTTTATTTCCTGAGGCTTGAGTGACATTGAAATATTTCTTATTGAAATTTCCGTACAATTGTTTTCCAGTTTTCTTCATCATCTTACGATGAACCATTGTTGTGTGCATTATTGTTGTTTTGCTGTTTAAAAATTGTGTCAATAATACAATCTCTTGGTGTGAATCAATGAATGGTAAAACAATGAAGTCAAGAAAAAATACTGTTCAAGTAATATTGAGAGAGGGAACACAAAGCGAAAATAGCTGATTAAAATGAAAGGAAAATAAAAGTTAAAACAATTGGCAAATGTAATTGTAATTGGAGGAAATTGATGAATTGTTGGTTAATCAAGCAAATCAAACACTTTTTGGCCCTTTTCGCATTGTTAGTGAGATTTTGTTGATTGATCAAAACTCAGACTTGACTAAAGCCTTTTTGCGAGAAAAATTTTTCCTCTTCATTCATCTTTTTGTTTCAAAATGTATACATTTGATTCATTCATCAGTTTTCATTTCTTTGGACTTTAAAGGCAAAATCAGGTAAAAATCATGAGCAACTGCACCAATAATGACATTGAATTAGCTGGAATCCATAAATTGGTGCATCTATTGGATTTAATTAGATCCTTTTGTATTGATATTTCTGATTCAACTGTTTACTATTTGTATTTTCATGAGCTTCAGTCTTCTCATTCCCTCAAGATTAATCTAATCAAGTTGAAATAGTTACAAAGTGATTAACAGATTAGTTGTCTTGGATGAAACGTCTCATTCAAATGTCTAGGTGCAATTGGTTTCATGTTTTAAACTTGCTCTCCTTTTGCTGATTTAATCATTCATTTACACTTTTCGATGTCTATTTTGATTGATCATTTTTAATCAATGTAAATAGTAGCAATTTATGTTGCAGTTACTATTTGAAATGAGTTCAATTGACAATTGATTATACAATTCACATTGACTGGTAACATTGCATCAGTACTATTTGAGTTTCAATTTCTTCAGCTTGTTATCTTTTGTTTTCATGTTTGAACTGAAATTATTTATTGATGCTTGTGCTAATGTGCCAGTGTGCAATGATGAAGGCGATGATGTTTTGGTTATTATTAATAGGTTTAAGTGATGTTAGACTTGAACTGGTTGACTTTAAGGGCTTGGGTTTTTTTGGGTTCAAACCAAATTTGCTAATTTTTTTGGTTTACTTTTTACAGTGGAATGGAACATGTTTGGATGGCTCATTTTACCTCATTATTCAAATCATATCCTCACCAATGGTGCCTTTTACCGGTTGAACAACGTCCCCTTGGTGGTAACTTTACAACTTTTGTCGACTCGGCCAAGGTACGCTTTTGTTGTGAAGATTGTGGCCATGGGTGGACATCCATGAAGGGACGAGTTGCCTTCTGGTTTGACTTAACTGCTTATTCAGGTTATTCACAAGGTTTGGTCACTTTCAAGCTGTTTGGTCAACAGTGTCAAAAGTGTAAATCGGAAATGTATGAAGCTCCAATGTGGTATCCTGAAGAGGTGTTTAAGGTATGCCTTTATTGAATCGAATCGTGTAAAGTTTCTTTAAACTTAATTTTTCTTCATAACTTTTTCTCCATTTTCCAGGTTCTGATTAACCTTTTCAATAAAGTGGGACAAAATTATTATGGCTTTTACTATCCTCCCTTGGAAAAGACTCGACGACCTGGTAAACCGCGAACTCCCCACAATAGCCAGTTATGTCAAGCATGTAAAGACGGTGTTTGCACCAATCGTAAATAATTGAAACCCTCAAAGCTCTAGACCAAAGGAACTATTTTGATCACCTTTTTTTGTACTGATCAAAGTTATTAAATTTTAAACGTTTAGTTGAAAGTAGCATTGAAAAAAATTGTGCGTTTGAAGTGCAAGCTGGTTTTGATACTCTTTTTTTGGTGCTTCAACGGTTCCATTAGGTGACTTACAACTTTAATCATTGTGACTGTCGTTATTCAATAATCACAATATTTTATGTTTAAAATCTGAAGAATAAATGCATAAATTAAATTATTTAAAATTTTTATTGACTTACTTCTTGAAAATCACTAATGATTTGAATGATTTCTTGGCAGCATTAATAACCACTGGTGAAATAGTTGAGAATAAAATTCAATCAATATTCATCTGATTTTTTCTTCTTCAACGTATTTAGCTTCAAATATTGTCCAACTTGGCAATAAACTTGTGTTGCTTTAAGTTTGTGTCTTTTCTAAGCAGTCGATGCAGGCAGAAACACGAGCGCGTAAGTAAAGGATCAGATTTTGTGTTTAAGCAAATTTATGCTCCTTTAACGTAAACAATTTACAAAAGCGCTCGTCTATTGAAAACTTATACAGACAGAAACGCTCACATTATTATAGTGCAAACATTTTTGATTAACTTTGAAAAATAAATTGAATTTATTGCATTTGAATGGTAAATTAATAAATGAATACAACAAACCAATTGATAATAAAAAACACAAAAATTGTGAATGTCAAACTGTTGATCAGGTGCAGGTATCTACATTCATACACATTTCAGTGAATGTCCACAAGTAAATTTAAATCTTTAGTTGACTTGAAACTAAACAAATCAACCTAAAATGTCATTTATTAATGTACAGGGCTATTCAGCCTCATTTGCTTCGCGTTTTATTCAATATCTTATTATACAAACCAAACATGCTAGTTTACCACTGTTTGAACTGTATGTTTTTTGGAATTGAAGGACAACTTTATTAAAGTTTCAAGGTCATTTAAGGTCATCCATTTGACCTCGAAACGACTTCTGAAGGTCATTTCTGAACAAATTTTTAAACATTATGAACCTTTATGTTATGATGTGTTTGTGAAAACTTATTTCCCTGATATTTATATTGATGCTCAACAAGAAACTGGTCTTATTTTGTTAAAAAAAGTTTTCTGTTTTCTAAAAACCGATAAGTTTGCTAAACTGGCCGTTTTCTGTGACCAAAAAGAGTTAGAGATCTAAAACTTATTATTTAGGGATAAAAGTGGTAGGCAAACATAGATCATAAAATAGATTATTTTTTCATTAAACTGCAAATTGCTCTGTGTAAGTTTGCGGTGAAAGATATGTTAATCTTTACATTAACAAGTAATATCTGAACATCTACATTTTTCCGGTTTGTTTGTGGGTTTGTTGTCTAGTTGATTAGATAATTTTAGTACATGTTTCAACTGTCTTATTTGTTTCTTTTCTCATCGATTCAGTCAGTTCATCTAAAAGGCTTTGTTCTTGTCACTATCTTTTTTGTTTTTTTTTCGATTGTTGTTAATTACTGTAGTTGGGCAGTTTTCTCATAATCCAAAGACAAGGGAGTTTTTTTAGTAAGTAAAGGTCTCAATTGTATAATACGGGGCATTCAGCTAATTTATTGTATACTTGTTACTTGTTGTAAAACGGCATTACTCTACATGGAGTGACCTTGAAGTTAGATATATGCTTTTTTATGGGATTTGTCATGTTTGTCATATTTCAAGGTCAAGGTAACTGTAACTCTTTCATGGCTTGTAGACTTGTTTCAGTGATTATTGTTTTTAACAATATTATAATATTAAAAGAACTTCCACATGCATGTTTGTTTATCATTTTTGGTTTTATAAATGCGCTATAAGATTTGAGTAACTTGTACAAAGGTTAAACAATGCATCATTTTCATGGTTTACGGTCAATATCTATCTTTTTCCATCATTTAAATCGATGCAAAATATGATATAGTATTTCATTCAACTTGAATGGGAATGAGTTTTTTTGTTAGTTAGAATGTCGAGTTGAATGAGTTCAGGTTTATCCAGATTCCACTGAATTACAATAGATTGAGTAAGTTGTTAGCTATTATTCAAGAAAGTCAAAGTAACTTAAACTCATAAAAAGTCGGCATATGGCGATTTGTTTAAAAAACTGATTTTCCTAGGATATTCAAATAGCATGCGCAGCGGTTGCAACTCAATTTTTAGTATAGACATAATTATGAATTTGCACTATGATATCGATCGATCGATCGAGCTTAAAATGAGTTACATGAAAAAATCTGAAAAAAATTTTCAATGGCACTGATAGACTCAGTTTTTACACCCCTAAAAACTCATTAAGTCCCGACTCTTAACGGTGAAATCAAAGTTTTTGGACATTGTCCTTTGAGAGACTAGTGAGAAGACTTTGCACTCACTCGTAACCAAAATGTTTCCAACAATTAATAATTGTATCTATTGATACTTCAGACCAGGAACTGTTTACCCATTCAAGAGCATCGAGAATAAAAGTTTACGGACAATATCAAGAACATGAGCAGAATCAATATTTTTTATAATGTAACGAATGAAACGACTTAAATATTCACTGTTAGATTTAAAGGATCTGATTACTAGGTCGTTAAAAGGTTGAGTAAGGCAAGTTGTGACCGAAGGTAAATATTTGAAAGAAATAAAAGGAAAATGATGATGTTGATGATTGATTTACATAATGGCCTTTTAAGTTATCCAGTAAAAGTAAAAATTTTCCCTTCATATTGTTACACACCGTCTAAAATGAAAAACTTAACAAGTGGATAAGCAAACAGGTTTAATTTTAAAAGAAGGGTAACCGTTGAGACACAAGTCATCACTGACTCAAAATAAGATACAAAGAGGAGGACATGAGGAGTGAGTCCTCGTTGAGGGTAAATGAGTCCTCGTTGAGTACAACATTCCCTCCACATACAAAAAGAAGAAACTGTCCTCAGTTTAAGTTAAACAAGTACAATTGTATATTTCTTAGGTAAATCTTAGGTTTCTATTACATTGTGTTGTTTTGTTCTTTCTTTGTTTTAATTTTTAATCATCGCTTGATTTTGTTATTGTTACCATGGCAAGTAAGCGGAAAGTTACAAAAATTGTTACACCTGTAGCTGGTACTTCAAAGAGTAATAAGAAGACAGCAACAGCAGTAGCTAGTGATGGGGCTCATCCCTTTTCAACTATCATCGATTGCATGTATGGCCCAAACAGTGTGGCTTATGCGCTTCCTCAATGGGATCCCACGTGGGTGCCACTAACAGATCTGGATTACGATGAAGAAAAGATGAACGATTTTCCCCAAATTAGACCTTATTCTCCTAAATCGTGGGAAATGTGCGAAAGTGGCTTATCCTCTAACAATTTCAAGATGAAGGAAAGCAAATTTCTATGTCGTTGGTGTGGAGCTGGCAGCAATGACAAATCTAATATCAACCGCCACGAAAGAAAATGTAATGCACTCGGAGAGCCCAAACACATACATGATTTCACTAAACCAGCTCCGTATGGTTGCAAGGTCGGGTGTAAAGTTGCCGTCGTCTATACACCACGTGAAGATGGTCGCCACCAGAATGAGAGACGTCCTGTTGGCAGCAAAACAAAATCTACTAAAAAGTAGTTGGTGTATTATTTAATACGAAAATGATGAATAAATAAAAGAAATTTGTTAATTAATTAGATGTGTCTCTTTTCTTTTTAAATTGATCGTTTACAGTGTAAAAATGGAAAATAAGATTAAAAGAAAGAAAAATATTCTATGGAGGAACGGAAATTAATATCTGTTCACTTGACCAGATATTATTACAATGTTCTGGAAATATGTTTCATATGTTTTTAAGAAAAATGACAGTTGTATTGTTATTCCAATGTAATTTTTAGGTAAAATAATCAACAAGAATGAAGTATGCAATCAATTAAGTTGGGAAAATGGAGGAAAATTAATATATATGATTTAAAGGAATGAGAATACGAATTGAAAGGTAAATTGTAAATGATTATGCGCATTGCGCTAACTGAAGAGTCCGAAGCTCGATAAGGTTATTTGACCAGTTAACGTTTAACTCTTGTTGGTCAAAGAACCTAGAATAGCTCGTTCATTATGAATAATTTTTGTGGTAATTTAGATTCCATTTTTGGTAATTGTAAGCGGACTAAAGCAGCCACCAAGAACCTTATGAAAATAAGTGCTGAAGAAAAACCGGATTTTACAGCTTTTAACGAAGGGGGTCAGCCGAGGATTTGGATTATACCGTGCCAGAAGTTTCTATCGTGACGGGGTAACAACCCTTTACAGCTGTTATGGCTTGTTTCGACAGTGAAAGTTTTCAGTTTATTACAAAGTGTTGTTTTGAACTCTCCATCGTTACCTGTGTTAAAGCTCGCTGGAATAATATAAAACATGCAATCATTTGCGGTTACTTCTCTTCCAACGTTGCTAAGTATTCTGTTGAAGATTTAACTAAGGACTTGAAATCCATTGCTGCCGTTATTAAAACAAAGATGGGTTCATATGCCCTTAAATTATTTGTTGGCGATTTCAATGCTTACCACTCTTCTTGGTCAAAAGAAGAGCGTTTAAGCCACTACAAGAAAAAGAAAGGTGAAAGTGTGATGACTTTCTGCAACATCACCGAAATGTATGTTTTGAATCCTTTTCAGCCTAATTACGTTGTTGGTGCCAAAGAGACAGTCTGTGATCTTATTCTAGGCTGCAGAGTGTTTAAAGAAGGGATTGTTAGTTGTAAAATGGAATTAAACAGTTCATCCGATCACAAGCTTATTCGAATAATCATTGATAACAATAAATTGTTGACTTATTTAAAGGATAAGACTACGAGATTGGACATGAAAGGTTTCTAGTTATTCAGTGTGCCTGAGAAAACAGACACGGCCAGCGAAGGAAGTAACCCCGAGCGTCAAAACGCTGGTCATCGACATGACGGGCAAAGAGGTGTTCCTGGAGTGCCTGGTGTTGCTTCAGGATTGCGTATGCCAGATTCCGCTAATTGGCCCAAATATTGATAATCGGAGCAGGATGGATGTATGGCGGAAAATTTGCGATGGGTTAAATGAAATGGTGAATAGATATGATGAAAAAAATGGAAAGATATCAAAAAAATAAAAGTAAATGAAATAAAGAGATTGTTTGAATTAGTTATTGTTGCAACACTGATTAATTAGTGATTGGTGAATTTTTAACTGGTGCTTTTCTCAATAACAAACGTTAAGCAGGTATAAT